AACAACAACAACAACAACAACAACAACAACAACAACAACAACAACAACAACAACAACAACAACAACAACAACAACAACAACAACAACAACAACAATAACAACAGTAGTAGTAGCAGTAGCAGCAGAGAGCGACCCGACCACCCCTTTCACTTTGGGAAGGCTCTTCCAACTGATCATGACCACCCACTACCATTTTGTGGTAGCGGTCGACTTTGGAACCACATACTCATCTGTGACATTCCACCAGCGGCCCTTCGGCGACGAGCTCAAAGATGTTGCAGACAAGCACCCCAAATTGACTTCTATCAGAAACTATCCTGGAGCACCTGCGTCAAAAATGGGAGATATCTCCGAAACACCTACCGAGCTACTGTATAGTGATGGTCAAACCTTCTACGGATATGACGCTTGGAACAAATGGGGCGGCAACATACACCGCCAGGGAATACTGCTACAATGGTTCAAATTACTGCTCGATGACTCCAAAGATGAAAAAAGACGACAGGAGGCAAAACTAGTGTCGAGTCAGCTGGACAGCCTGAGTCTCACTATTAGTGATGCCATTACCGATTACCTCACCTTTCTGCTCGCACATACCAAATCTGAGCTGCAGCTCTACAATAGATTTTGTGATGATTGCACAGTTCAGCTTGTGCTTACAGTGCCCAACGTATGGAATGCACGTGCCTGCTCCATCATGGCACATGCTATGGAGAATGCTGCCAAAGATCTCTCCTTTGGCCACGAATCAGAAGTATTTCTGGTGTCTGAAGCAGATGCTGCAGCTACGTACTGTTGTGAAAAAGCGTCGGATTTTTTCTTGAACGTGAGTTTCATACATACACTACGAGAGTGAGCGCTACAGTACGTGGGTGGTTGACCAATGGTTGTAGCTGGGCGATGTATTCATGATCGCCGACATTGGGGGAGGGACCTCGGTACAATATGGCCAATCTAACGTCCACCCTATATCTTGCTCATGCTAACATACCGCAGGATTTGATGATCTATAAGGTTACACACCTATATCCTTACCGCTTTGACCCCGTGGTCCCTGGCGATGGTAGGTTGCTGTCCAGTCCGAAGTCACCATAAGTGCGGTCTAATCGTGGATCCTTTCAGGCGCTGTTTGCGGCGCTAGCCACTTGAACAGGGCCCTTATCAGGGAATTGAAGACCAAGATCAAAACCGACCCCCGCTATGGAAACATGAGGGATCATCTTCCCCAAAACTGGACTATCGATGACAGCTTACGTGTGGCGAACCACGACTTCGAGACAGTGAAGAAGGATATCCGCAGTGATTCAGAAGGTGAATACATCAAAGTCCAATTCCTGCCAAAATTGAAAGACGACCCGTTCTCGGTCGATGGCTCCTTCTACGCCGACAGGTGAGGTCTATTGACAAATGGACTTTCACATACTCACAACCTTGGACAGAGAGTTTATCGATAACATCTACCTTCCTCTTTTCAACCAGATCTTGGATTTGATTCAGAGCCAAATGCAAGCAGCTGCGTCAGCAAAAAGCCCCTGCACTGTAGGTCAACCATCGAGCGTCGCTGTCTCGTCGCTCAGATAATCATAGCACCTCGTTCTCATTGGAGGCTTTTCTTTGTCCGACTACTTGCTTGGCTTCCTGCAAGATAACATCCATGGCTGTCATGTGGTGAGAGAACATACAAGGTACGCGAATATGAGCACTCGTTATAATAGATCGCTAATCCAACTACAATGCAGCCAAGATGCAATCTCCAGAGGCGGATGTTTGCGTTACTTGAATCAAATATCTGGCCCAGACGAGATCATGCAAGCCAGCTATGGATTTCTCAGCCAAGAGTTGTGCCGACCTGGGGAGTTCCAAGGTCATAAGCCTGAGAATGCCGTTCAAGAATTTGACGTCGACGACGGCGAATTGTATGCACGTGATTGCATTAGCTACATTGTTCATCGGGTGGGTAGAGTCTCAAAAATTGCATATGCGGCGGCACTAACCGATCTACATAGGGACAGAGAGTACCTGCCCAAGGCAAGACGTTCCCTGAAAAGATCTTCGCACTAGATCGTACCTTCAGGTATCTGAAGCAGGACCTCGCGATCCGCATCGAACTTTTCGAGAACAAATCAGACGACGTTCTGGAAGATCATTTTCACTACAGACATGACAAGAATCTTAGTATGCTCGCGCCTTCCCCCACCCAAATCCGATACCTTCAAATGACGTGCGAGGGGAACTGATCATTGGCAGAGAGCTATTCGCAAGGAGAGATTGAATTTGTCATTCCTGCACGCGACCTGAAGCAACTGGCGACAGAAAAGCACCGCGGAGAGAAACGGTTCTGGAACAAGCGCGATAAGAAGTTTTTCTATAAAATTCGATATGAAGCACGCATCAAGATCTTGGGCAAGAACATCCGGTACGAGCTTTGGGTAGGAGGCTCGTGCAAAGCCTATGGAATTTTGACAGGCCTGTCCAAAGCGGTGGAGACGAGTGAAGTAGAAGACCGACTCGCGTCGCTTGTGATATGAATTTTGCAAGCTCTCAACAAACCATTACTGTCCCGCTGTAAAAGCTGGCTGGAGCTGGACAGATTGGTTCTACCAGGGCGGAACCGTAGCTTTGCCAGAGGCCGCAGGCGCCTCCAGTTTTTTGCAGCCCGGGAATGCGGAATTTTTAATGCTGGTTTAGGATCAAGGACATGTGGACGACCAGTGCGCGGTTCTATTAAAAAAAAACAATGGTTGTCGGCGAACTATGCAGGTGCAGAAGGTCAAGATTCATCGAGAAAATCCCCATGGAACACGAGCACTCATATACATCGCATTAATACCGTAATTCAATTTCCCCCTGTCGACCAGGTAATCATCTACGCCGGCGCCCAGAAGAGGACAATCACGGCAGCTATTTCCACGCACCGAGTCGCGGAGATCTCGTACCTCATGCATGGAGATGTCTTGGATAATCCTGATTTTCACCAGCGGCAGCACAAATAAAGCTCTTGGCAAATCGGAATCGCCCATTGTGGAGAACCATCGCAAATGCCCGGCTAACAGGCATCTTAGATGGGACAGACCATACGCCGAGCAAAACATCAACGGGGTTTTTCTATTCTCCTGGCCCGTGTGGTTGAGGGTGAATCGTTGCCCCTTCCCTTTGAGTGGTCCTGGATACCCGAATACCTGCTTCGCTGCCCAGAGGATTTCTTTGGTCCCCATGTCCGACTCTCCTAATACTTTTTACCCGCCCTGAAAGGGTTTGTCCTTGGGACGGTTTCGCCGCCCCATCTTTATGGATCTCTTAACCCGACACTTTTCGGGTCGTCGGGCGCTGAGAAAGTTTTGATGTTTCCGGTGGATGGAGGCCGTTCCGTTGCTGGCTGACCCCTCTCTCTATTAGGATTGCATACTTTTTTTCATCAGTATCTCGATCTGATACCTTCACGTATGGCCTTGCCTTATCGAAGCTCTTTTGCTCTTTGAACAACAAAACAGTAAAGCATGACAGATGAAGGCTCTGAAAGCAGCATAGACGACAGTCTCGACCTGTTCAAGGGCAAACCTCGCCTGGCTCGATGGAAGCAGTACATTGCCGAGGAAGCGAACTTGGGATGGGCGGATTTGATCCTAATTGTGACGCGTTTCATCTCCGGGTTGGTGGATAGTACAACCTTCAATATCTGAGCTGCTTCGTGAGCATGCGGAGAGGTGAGAACTCCGTGCTGACCGTGGTGAAAAGCCAAACGAGCTTTCGCCAAGCCAAAGGAAATTTGAAAATCTCGAACTGACATATTTCAAAAAAAATTTGCGACCGATACCGTGTCGAAATCGTGCCACCTGTTTTACCCTCATGATGCATAGATAGTATCGCCATGCTTGTATGGTAGGTTTTGAACACATGAGCATTCCTGCGATTGCACCATTCCTAATTCGCAAGCTCTGTAACACCACAGATTGACAGCCTTGTCGAACCTGATACAGGCTCGTCGCCGATCTCGCCTCGCCGTCGCTTCAATGAGGCGGAATAGCCCTACTTTTCACTCCTTCGACGTCATTGAACTTGCAGAAATTGATGGAAACATTGCTGTCGTCATTGTAAACGACAATCATACTCATTTTGGACCTGTGGGCGATGTATATATATCCGTAGATAGGCCCTGAGAACCTCAGGAACTTCAGGTTCCTCAGAGCATCAGAGAATGAATATTTAGCCGATTTGACAACAGACGTCATGTCACCGCTCCACCTGAAGTCTTCCAGAATCGTCCAATAGACGGTGCCCTGATAGCAACGTAACCAAGAGGGCTCGGCGAGCACACTCATTCTATTAGTTCAGCCGCATCCGTGACCCTTAGCTGGTTATCTCTCTCACCTTAGATTTTCCACAATCAAACGCACCAGTACAGTATTTGTCTGATTCCACAACACTATGTTAGTGTTCCAGAAAACCGGACCCTAATATCGCGACTTGCGTAAAGCTGACCAAAAGCTTAGAGGATCCAAAAGGGGCCGAGGTCAGGTTACCTAGGCAGAGCAATGGTACAGTACGTAGACGGTTAATGGGCAGAAGACTGAGCAGCTCCGGAAGTAACCTGAGCCACAGAGGTGCGGCATGAGTGAGGCTGAGCCGAAATTGAGCAGAGCCTAATTTTGCGTCCATACAGTGGCAAGGGGTAGGTGCGGAAGTAGAAATCGTAGTCGGTTAGGTTCCGTCCGTTCATAATTGATATCTCTATACAGTCGTTCCCGAAAGAGCGCTGCCCGTTGCGGACACAAGGGAGTCGAAGGGGAGCGCGAAAGAGAAGAAGGGAGCAGAAAGGAGCGGAAGAAGGAGCGATTCGACTTTCCGAATCTTCGGGGATTAGATATATAAATATAACGTGACACCATTTATATACACTTCTTTCCGCAGCCCAACGGCATTCCCCCTATCGTCCTGCGCTGATTGGGCGGCGACGAGCCTTGTCCTCGCACCAGCAACCGGAGATATCCACGAGGCTGGAGAACATGCCGCAAGATTTTCTTTTCCAGATGAATGAATGTATACCTCGCACCCCGTAGATCCTCTGGACACCCCATCATTCAGGTATTACTCAGAAGGGGAGGAAAGGGGCAAAAGGGATCATCATTCTCGAGGAGGAAAGTGAGCGTGGCTTCAAAATATTGGAAATATGGCTCAACCCGACGGAAACCATGGAGGAGGCCGAAGTCCTCCAGATCTAGAAGACAGACTCGCGTTCTGCACGATGGGCATGTTCATCATTGGTCAGTTTCGCAACCATTTTCCCCATATATAGGAACACACCGGTCTACGGAGTATGGGGGATATACACAAAGTTTGATTTCTCTGGCCGCAGCTGATGCGCTACGATGTCTACAGACAAGATCGAATACCTGGCCAACAACAATACGCAACCGCCACCGCAGGAGAGAATCATCGGCGGCGCAGGCACGTACGCAGCGCTGGGCGCACGCCTCGCAGCCGGCAGCCGCCATGCCAGCTGCGTTGGCTGGATTGTGGACATGGGCTCAGACTTCCCCGCGCAATTCCGGACGCTGATCGAGACGTGGCGCACCGCTTGCATGTTCCGGTTCGACAGTACGCGGCTGACGACTACGGCGTGGAACGGGTACGGGGACAACGAGTTCCGCGCGTTCAAGTACCTCACCTCCAAGCGGCGGCTGGACGAGAACTCCTTGTCGGACGACCAGGTCCAAGCTCGTGCGTTCCATATGGTTTGTTCGCCGACAAGGTGTATGGCGCTTGTGCGTGGCATTTTGGATCGGAGGGGGAGGTTGCGTCGAAGACGTCGTGGCGTTCTTACGGACGGAAATGGAAATGAAGATGCAGATGATGGTGATGATGACGACGACGACGACAGGCCGCTCTTCATCTGGGAACCTATCCCGGATCTATGCACGCCCGAGGAACTCTCGCGGCTGCGCGAAGCAACGCACTGCGTCGACGTGGTGAGTCCCAACGCGGACGAGCTCGCGTCCTTCTTCACCGAGATGCCCGAGTTCTCGACCCGGGAGCGAATGGTCGCGAACCTCCTTGGGCTCGATGCACACAATGGAGAGCAGAAGAAGAAGCCCCTGAGCACGCGTGGCACGACCACGGCGCTGGTGGTCCGAGAAGGCGCGCACGGATGCACCGCGTACGTCGGCAGCACAAAAGGTCTGCATCTCCGGGCGTATCACCAAAGGAAAGAGAAGGTCGTGGATCCTACGGGCGGGGGAAACACTTTTTTGGGAGCGCTGGCTATGGGCATGACGGGACGGACGACCCCTGATGAGGCGGTTCTTCAAGAGCTTGGCCTTCTCAACCATCCCAGCGAGGAGCCTGTGGTTGGCGAAAAAGGGCGGTTCTTGCTCGCACTGCTCCACGCGACAATTGCCGCTGGATATGCCATTGAGCAAGTCGGCATGCCCGCTGTGTCGGCTGAAGACGGCGACTGTTGGAATGGAGAAGCATACCCGGAGCGGTTTCGCCAGTACGTAGACAGAGAGAGGGACTATATACTTGCTCAACTCTCAAGCTCATGCGGCTGAAAACATCGACAAGTGCAATATTATTAGCGCGGGAACCATCTTTTGAAGTCCTTTGTAAGAATCAGTGGTTATTGTCAGTTAAAGACCCATGGAACCTAGTCATTTCTGCAAGGTTGACCTAGTGAGCCCAAGGCATAGCTCGCCTGATGAGCCGTGTCCTGATATGTACAGTTATAGAGTCGTTGCCTCCTTTGCCTTCTTAAGAGCTTCCCACTCTGTGTAATCGAGTCCCCAAGGGGGTGCTTTTTCCTCTTTCACTGTTCTTTTCGCTCTTCAAGTAGCCTTCACATGATCGTGATAATCCAGCCGGATCCGCGCTGCGCCCTAGAGTCGTGCAAAGTATGTACAACCGAGTATTTTCGAGGTCAACAAATCATTGTGGAATTTCGTCGAGGTTCGTTTTGGTTTGGTAAGGTGATTGGGGAGACTGGTAGCGAGCGGCTCATTGGCCCTTCTGCCCCTTTTCGTGCTCGATAATCTGTCTGCTCCAGCTGCAACGCCGTCAGTGTGACTCCTCGATACGTCTTAAAAGTAGCCCCCTCATGGTATCTTCATCGAACACAAGTTTTGATCATTGTCGCACTCCTCACACCACCCAGACCTCCTCTTCCACATCCACACCCAACAACCACCTCCTGCGTGTTTGGGATCAACTTACTACCGACTCGGAAAAAACACATCCTTCGATGGCATCTTCGTCCTGACCTCCCTCTCCGCCGAGACCCTCCAAGCAAGTCCCGCGCACGCCGCAATCACCACGCCCATGACCAACGTGTTGGTCCGCCAGTTGTGAGGTTGTGCGTACCAACCGCCGGCGGGGGACCAGACGTGCTTCGGGTACGCGACTTTGCCGCCTCCGCCCATCGTTGTTGCGAAGTCGGTGAGAATTGATAGGGAGGTTGAGGAAGGGAAGGCGAATTGAGACTGTGGATGAGCTTGGAGAATGTACTCGGTACGGAAGACCTCGAGGATGATTCAATTGAGGTGCAGTTTGAAAGAGCGACGGTGATTGGCTGCTGGGAGCTCGAGCTCGGCACACTTTCCACTCTAGATCTATGAAGGTACCTACTCGCTAGGTAACTCGTATTACTCCCCCTCTTGCTCATCGTGCACTATCTTCCATCTACAACTTGACCACTATTTTACTTGCAGACACTCCCTGTTTCAACCTGTCGATCCCGGTTTGGATGCTGTCCAGACCTTCACCGATGACATTCGCACGGGGCGCTGGTTGGTACTGGCCGCTCGCCAATGCTGCTGGGAGGAAGTCTTTCCAGAGAGCCTTGCCGACATCTGTACCCGGGACCAGTGCTGCCAGCACTGACGTTGCATTAGTGACCTTTCATAAGCTGTCTTGTATATGCCTTACTTTGTTTGGCGGTGACATCCTTGGGCAGCTCTGCTGGTGGCTGCCCCGCTGTGGCGATGAGCCCACCCCCAATTCGTGAGAGGATCTCAGCAACCTTGCGAGTGCTTTCTTCTGTACCAAATGCTTGAGTCTTTGTTAGTTGTCTTTGAGCATTAAATTTGATCCCCATCAACGCTTACCATCGAACGCTCCGATCACGTTGGAACTCTGCAGTCTGGTCGCCAATTTCTCCACAATATCATCGTCCGCGTGATCGAATATAGCCGATGCCCCCAAGGACTTGCAGTGCTCGAAGTTCCTGGGAGATGCCGTTGCGATGACGTCGACCCCGGACGCTGCGGCAAGCTGGATGACTGCACTGCCTACACTCGAACTGCCGCTCCAAACTAGGAGGGTCTGGCCAGTCTTCTCGTGGCTGTTCTGGGGTAAATGCACCCCCAGAAATCCATCCTGATATAGCCCTCCGACAGCGGTGGAGAAGGCAAGCGGTATCACGGCAGCGTCCTCGTAACTCAGACTTTGTGGGATAGGAGCCGCGGCATGTGCTTGGATGACGGTATACGTTTGAAAAGCCCACTGCTCTGGTTTCCCGGTGATAAGCCCCAAGGCGTGCGCTGTGACACGCGTTCCAGGCTCGAATCCGGTCACTCCTTCACCTACTTCAACCACCTCTCCAGCGATGTCGTGCCCCAGGATTGCGGGCCATTGCTGAATGAACAGGCCCAAATCTTGCATTATATGATCAATCGGGTTTATTCCAACGGCATGGTTTTTGACCAGGATCTCTCCTGCACCGGGCTTTCCAACGCTGGCTGCTCCCACTCGGAGCCGCTGTCGTGGTCCGTCGAGGAATGCCGCGTTGTTGTCGAGCGACATTTTCAATATCCGCGCTTTTGAACCAAGATAAAACAGACCGACAGATTTTGTGCTGGAGAGACGGGCAGCGGTAGTCGTCAAAACTGCAGCCTTGATGGACTATTGACTCGTGCCTGGGTGCCAAGCCACTAATTCGATGGCACCGAAGTGCAATCCTCCCGCAGAAGCGTCTCCCCTCTCCTTCAGGTGTGCTTCGATTTCTGTAGGACTCAAATGGATGGGAGATAGCTAATGCACAGGATCCACTCACATTTCCCTCCGTCTGTTCGCTATGGCTGTCTCCTCATGCAGAGGCTCCAGCAAGGAGAGTTACCTGGTGGGGAGATGATCTAATCTGGGAAATGGTGTGGGAACTGCAACCCGCAGTCAACGGTGGCATAAAGGTCCAAGAAAGTGTTTGTACAGAAGACTTTCTAGCTCCGATTTTGGTCAACCTCCTAAAGTAGGCTGGGCTTCAGAAATCGAAGAACCTCATCGGTGACGAGCCTTCCTGGATGTACTGATCAAGGATGCCCTGCGAAAGCTTGATAAGCAACCACAAAAAAACATGAAAGGGAGAAGCCAGAACTCACCCAGTCAACCATGTCTGAATCGCTAAAGATCACATCTAGGAACTCCTGAGACGCAGAATCTTGGGGTCCTGAATGTCCACTGTCGAAAAGGAGGGTTGACGGGTCGTTCGGAGGCAAGGGCTCGCCTCCTGGTCTGCTTTCGTTCGTGCTTGAGGTGCTCACGCAGTCCAAGCTTACCTGCGACAACGGCTGAACTATGTCGTTGCGTGCAACGTGATTTCCATTCGATTCTTTCTGCTTTTGGGAGCCTGGCCTGGGGATCTTTGAGAGCATGATTCCAAGAATGTTTGATGCTCGCCTAGCATCTGACGATACTGACTTTCGTGATTTCCAAATTTCATGGCAGCCTTTCAGTGCGTCGTATTTCATCCTTTGGGCGTCCAGGTGTAGGGCTGACGGGGCACTTGTATTAGACTGTCGGTGAGATTCGTACAAATCAAGACAAGTGACCATAGCTGCAAGCAGAAAATCATGGTGCGCGAGATTCGACGTCGTCCATTGACCATTCTGCAACTGACCTCCGGGCTGGGTTGCTTGGTGAAACTCAGCTTGATACTGCAACATTTGAAGGCTTGCAGTGACGCAGACATTTCGGGAATATTCAAAGGCAGGGTTCACCCTGTCATGACTCAAATACCTCCTGTGAAGGATCATCATGGCCTTCTGATACACCAGCTCCAGGTTGAGCCGGTGCATTATCGTGTGAATCTCGTCTGTGACGGAAGAACTAAGTGGCTTCCATTCAAGGCTCGGCGGTATTTCAGCGCGAATCTTAAGGAGCTCGTCATCGAGTCTCAGGACATCCGCATAGGCCGGAACTCTTGGTGAAACAGCCTGCCGCGCCACTTTTCTGAACGCCTGCGCCAGGCGGCCTTTGTAACAGTAGTAAAGCATCGGCGTTGGGTCTGTGAGCGGTCGCGACGGTGGAATTGCCGTGGAAGATTCATCAAAGTCTTCATCGAACAGGTTGCCGGGAGGCTTAGTGTCACAATCTTCCTCGTGGATGATGGCTGGGAGTCCCGCTTGGAAGGAAAGAAGCAGTTCAAAGGTCTGCGCGGCAGAGAATACTCTCCGTCGCATTTCTCCTTCGAATGGCGAAATGTGAGCGAGATGACTCGGGTCTCGGTGGTATCCCATCCTCAAGGCAAGGCGGGCTGCTACGCCCATTAGCAACCAGGGCTCAGTCTCAGAGTCACCCTGTACAAAGAACCTGGCGATAGCATAAAGCAGCGTAGCTTCGACGCTATAGGGTCGCGCCTTCTGATAATGTCCAGCTACCATGGCTCGACCCGCGTTCGTCAAGAATAGATCCGAGGCTTCACTTAGCGAGCCAAAGAAACCTATCTCCTCGGGTCGTGCCATGCGAGAGCCTAGATGGATACACGAAAACAGCATCGATATCCAAAGGAAAGAAACCGATGAGGGATTGTTCCAGAATGATTCATACTGCCAGACATCAGCGACCTCTTATCACCCCAAGTAATGGCGGTGTGGTCGGATCTACCTCTCGTAAGAATTTCCGCTTGTGTATGAATGCTGTGACGGTAAGCCAAGCTCCCAGGTCAGCTCCATGAGGAGGACTTACGAATGTGGAGAAAACGCGCATTGAATTGTAGCGAGAGTAGTTTGTTCACCACCGGTCTAGGAGGCATAGAATTGCAAACCTCGGCCAAGGTCATTGGCTGTAAATTGGAGAGGATGATATCAGGGTCGTCCCTGTAGGTTGAGAAGCCCCCGTCCTCTGTGTCATCTGGTTCGGGGGCAAGACATTCCTGGATATCTTTGATCTGTGCATGGTAAGGGTGACGACGCGGCTAAGAGCAACGAGAGGCAAACGAACGTTTTCTAAGATTGCAGCCCAATGAGTAGCCCCAAGGTATTTGGTTTCAGCACCTCTGATATCGAGATGACCATGCGGTGGCGGATCTGGCGTCATCAGAGAAGTGTCGGCCGCTGAGGGTGCTGTAGCTGTGTCGGGGTGTGCGCTCGTCGACGTTGCTTGCTGGCTGCTCTCAGATGGAGGCGTGGCCTGGCCACGCTGGCCGTTTGTGCTCTGATTAACCTGCATCAACATCGTCACCATTTCCTCGAGCTTCTGCAGCCGAGACTGGGCCTTGGAGATATTATCCCCGTCATCAAGACTGCCACTGTGGTCGGGAGCAGAAGCGTCAGAAGTTTGCCATGGGAGGTTATTGGATTGATGCTTGCGTTTGGCCGCTTGGCCCGACCGTCTAGGGGCATTGGGCTTCGCGATCCGGAAGACAGACTGGTATTGCGTTAAATCAGGCATGTTTCGAGTCTTTAGCTCAAGACTTAGATCAATCGCCAATATCAATCAGGTGGCAGTCGCAAAGGGTGAAATTTGAGAGCGCTGAGGGCGGTGGTTGATGTATGTGCATATGTGGTGTTAATGGGGGGCCGTAGTCTACGGAGGAGTCGAAACTCAACTAGTGTACTCCCGATAGTCTCCTTCTTCTCGCTACAACTTGAGTTAGGGCTCATCAATTCAAGGGAGCAAGATTTTGCGTATATTCTTGGTCACAGAAGAAGTCCTTGTGATTAGATATTGCTAAAGGAGTGTCTATGAACCCGTCAAACACAGAACGCCAGTCGCTGATGCAATAAGAAGACAGAAACGCCAATCGCTATGCAACTCAATTAACAAGATCCGTCATCTATTATATCTCTTCCACTTCCATCGCCCATCCCTCACTCATTTACAACTTTTGAGCAACAAAGGTAGGATCACAAACGATCTCGCCGACCTCACTGGGGGTCTCCAGGGTCCAAGCGCCCTTGTCGGCGTCGGAGAAGGTGATGTCTCTGTTCTCGCCTCTGAGGACGATCAGGGGGTTACCATAGAGATCGAGGATTTGGCAGCGGTAAGCCTGATCCTCGACCAACGACCCGACTGAGAGCTCGACGGTTTCGAAGGGACCGCTGGTGGCGACAGGAGCCGACTCGGCGCGGTATCCAGCCGGGAGGGCTGTCTGCGAGCCAGTCTCGGTGGATTGGCTTTCAAGAATGACACGCAAGTTGAGCTCATCAGAGGCGGGGTCGATCTTCACGAAGGCAGGGTCGCAAACGACCTCGCTGACATAGCTGGCTTCGCGGAAGGTCCAGGCCCCCTTGTCGGCGTCAGAGAAGGTGGTGTCGATGTTTGCGCCGCGTGTGGCCACGATAGGGTTGCCGTAGTTGTCAAGCGCCTGGCAACGAAGCTCCTTGTTCTGGACATCCTCCCCGAGGCGGATCTCGATCGAATTGAAGGGGCCACTGATGGCTGGGGTCGCCATGTCTCTGACAGTGGATTCGAGGGGGGTCACCTGGGCGCCAGTTTCACCTCCATCGCTGAGGGCGACGGCGACCTTGTCGTCATAGTAACGACGGCTGTGAGGAGCAGCAAGTGCGCCGGAAGCGGCAAGAAGAGAAAGAACGATGGCCTTGGAATGCATTTTAGGATATGTTATTTTGCGTTGAAAGCTTTTGGACTTTAGGAGTTTTCTTATTGGATGCTGAAAGAGAATGTAGAGCAGGTGGTCCCAAAGAACAAAGGAAAGAAAGAAAAGGAAGAAGTAAGGAAAGATTGTAAGTTGGTTGGTTGTTGCTTGTGTGTGTTGTATAATGGGGGAGCAGATTCGTCGTGACCGGCAGGAATACATGGCGTCTTTATACCCATTCCACCACACCGTTCACTCTCTAAGGACAGTATGGTCTATTCCGCACATACGATGTAGACGGTGCACGGCAGGACCAGTATCCACCGAGTGTATTACACACCCGTCCTAGTCGTCCTAATCGAGAAGTGCGCATATACTGCGCCCGGTAAGGGGCAGCGTGACAAAGCGCTCGCCAAGGCGACTATACCCATTGGCTTGATGGCGGAATGGATATTGCCATGCCCGGTACCACCAGAAGGAGCCCGAATCACCCAATACCGTGCAACGGGAAGGACCAAATCGCTGTTAGCCAAGAGTGGTCACCGCTCAAGGTTTTCCACCCCGTCCGTCTTGGCTTCTGGAAGTGCTTACTATTTCAAACTCCCAATAATAGACAGATAATAATCAAAAGGCCAAGAAAGCATACAAGCCTGGTGGGTGCCAAGACTTCCCGCCCGCAGAGTATGGCCAGCTGAGCGGTCGAGTGCTACGCCGGATTGCGAATCAATAGACGGTCAGAAATGAAAGCGGAGTGGGGAAGGAAGGGCAGGGAAGGAAGGCGACCTTTTACCAAAGACGAGCGAGGAGGCTTGGCTCCACCTTTCGTCCATACCCCCAGACACGATCTCAGCGATGCAACACCAGCTCATGGTTGGTTGGAGTAATAGTGTTCCCTTTTCAGGACTCTGCTTTTCTCTTCTTTTGGATTGCTTCCATGGAAATCTCCTGGCAAAGTGGCTATTGCTCCATTCCAAATCGTAAGATTTGTCTGCTTCACCACCATACATTTTTGTGCAGCTGACTCCAGTCTTCGAATTGCATCGCTTATGTCCCCGTCAAAACATCCTTGTTCATTCTTTCTTCAGCCTCTTGCACCGTCATTGTTTTCCCGCAAAGTAAGCAACCTGGCATACTGTTCGGTGAAGCCGGTTTTGATGTATCTCTGGATGTTGCCCTCGGCCGATAAGGTGACATGCTCAATCTTGCGCCTCAAGGCATTACTCGACTTAGCAGTGACTCGTTCCTCTGATCGGCTTGACCTTTTCGTCGATGCCTGTTTGTCAAGCAGGACCGCCTTATCTCATAATAATGCAAGAGTTCCAACCGTAGCAATCAGTAGTTGCAATGTTGAGGGTTCTCGCCAGTCAGTCCGTAATTTGTCACGGCAGGGATATCGGTGAGACTGGTGAACGGTGCTTTGCCATCTTCGCAAGTTGCGTAAACTTTGCTCTCGTTCTTGACTCCTGGGCAGATGCTCCGGCTCTGGCATCCTCTCCGTTTCGCTCACCATTAGGACACCAGCAAGCCACCGCAGGGCCAAGTCAGAAATCCCGGAGCTCACCCATTAACCCTTGACACGAATGACACAATATTGCACTCGATATCAACCAGGTGCTGCCAAACTTTACCAACATGGTGGCCGCCCGTCTCGACAGAGCTGTTCCCTAGGAGAACAGATCGTTTCACCTGGTGTTCTTCAAACGTCCATGCAGGTATTCACTGGAGGAACAGGTACAGTCATCTCCGGTGAGGTAAGATAGACTGCAAGTATCTTTTCCCGGCCTCGGGAACTGTGCACGAAACGCCACCATGGTTTACGAGCCGAAGTTAGCGACCGGCATTCCCTGTGACGCCGCAGCTTGGCCTCGGCGAGAAGCCAACAGAAGGTAACTTTCGCATCTCGTAACAGAGCAACGATGCAATTAGATGTCTTACCAATACGCCAGGGCCAAGGATAGCTATGACAATCGTCTGGTCACCTCGAGAGAGTCCCTTGCCCTTGCAGCGCTGCATGAATAATTGTTGTATTCCCAATATTTGCACAACTTGACTTTCATTTTGGCCATGTTGTCTTGCTATTAGCTTACCGCATGTCGAAGTCACCTAGAGATCACCCCTCTTACGACCAGGATAGTTGTAGAATCGAAAGTCATGATGTGCAGTGGTAGAAGAAGAAAGCGGATAAGAAACCACATCCTCTTTGGGACTGGCTGCCAAGACGCAATCTGATTGGCCCCTGGCTCTCCAGCCGAATTTCCTTTCGCGTTCGACTTTCAATGGTCTCGTGTCGCAGGAGAAAAAAGTCTCTTACACCATCGAATCCGCTGTCCTTCAGCGCTCACTTATCCCCTGGGTTTCATTATCTATCAGCCTTCTCCAGAGCACTGCGGGACTACTACAGAATCTTCAAAGAGCTCTTTTAGCTCTCATGAAGAGGTTGAAGCTCCTGAGATGGAGCGGCACTGTACTCTCACCCCGAACGAGACCGGAACTCCTTCAATGTCAGCCTCGATTTCATCGGCGGTTCCAGGCGACCGCTGCTGCTCCCTCAGATCCCGAAGATGAATCCCTGCATCAGGTCACAGATGGACCGTATCTCTCGGAAGAAGAACTCATGAAGTTGCCTTCGCCTCCAGTCGCCGCAGCTAGGACGTCCGCCAAACTAGCTGCCTTGCATGCCCGACTCGCCTTACCCTCTCGTTTTCCCCTCGAAACTTTGGCACGAACCCTCGTTGACGACTCGGCGGATCGCTTCAGCCGGTTCAACAACAGAGCATTTGCTCTGCTTGGGAATGACCTGCTGGGCTTATACACATCTGAGTACATTATCAGTCAATACCCCAGGTTACCACTCGAGGTACTCTACGCGGCAATGTACGCATATCATGGCCCGGCGACGTTGACACAGATGACGAGAGAATGGGGCGTTGAAGCAGCCGCGGAACCTGGTGGGGAGGTCGACCCGGGGTTATTGCAATTCAAGAGGATGCCGCCGGAACAACCTCTAGCAGATGGGGATACAGGGTCAAGCGGCAGTAATAACGAACCGAGAGCGAAATGGACGCGAAGTTTAAGTGCCAGAACGGTGCACAACGATCAGTTTGGTGAATACCCGGAACGTCCAAGTTCGCCGGAAGATTTGGCCTCGAAAGGCGTCACCCTACAACGAGCCAGTACGAATTTTGTGAGAGCAGTAATGGGCGCAGTATACTTGCACGCTGGAAGAGCAGCCGCAAAGAAATTTTACAGCGACCACTTCATGTCTCGGCAATTGGACATGTCGAGCCTGTTCCAGTTTAAGTACCCAACCAGAGACCTGAGCCGATTATGTGGAAGAGAAGGATTCCAGGCACCCGTGGCAAAGATTCTGAGCGAAACTGGGCGGAAGAGCAGGACACCGGTGTTCGTGGTGGGAATATATTCAGGCAGTGACCTGTTGGGAGAAGGCGCAGGAGCCAGCTTGGACGAAGCCAGAACACGAGCGGCCGTGGCTGCACTCAAGGGTTGGTATCTCTACAGCCCCACCGAGTTTCGATTGCCCAGCGAAATGGAAGAGCCTGGGGCCAAACCGTGGACCCCGATTCTGGTGGATGCCGGCGAAGTGGTCGGCTAATGTCTGCTTGAGCCTTTTGTTCTCGCGGCCTTTTGTCGTCGGGGCTCAATGTACTTTTATGAGAGCTTGAACAAAAATTCTACGGGGACATATGTACGCATGTATGCATTATCGGGCGCCTGGAGGAGCTCTGGTGTACAAGGCAGCCACTGGTGGGTCAAGAGGCCTATGCACAGGTCAAATGTTACCAAATGTTCCTCTCCAACATCTTCTGTTTGCTTTGAGCTGTCGGCGATGGCCTTGCAATATGCTGGTGGCCTTGGTCGTGCTTTTTCAAGGCGCAAGACACAAGCAGCTAGCCAACTTTACTCGTAGACCTGGGTTAGGGCGCCGCCTCGCCGACTGCCTGAGAAGCGGTGAGCACGCTGAAGAAACGTGTAACCGATGTTGATGGGCTGTGGAGGTTTAAATCGATGTTGAGCTAACTGTCTGTGTAGATACATGTTTACCTAGGTATATACACGGCTAGACGGGTCTTTGAGTCTGCTGCGGTGTCTGTTACTTGACCCTGCCACGGCCAATGAAAAGCACTGCAAGCGGATTTGCGGCTTGGCAGGCTTGGCGACCATCTTGATGACGTCGATTACCAGGATGCCCTTCTCCTCACTCCCAACTCGTGTCAATACGACCCAGCACCTGAAATCCGCAAAGGCGAAGCGAAGCGACAATCAAGGGACCAAGACGGCATGGGACGTGGTGCTGGGGCTCCCCAGAAATAGGGCGTCCCGTCTCTTGGAGTCTTTGGAGATCAGCAAGCCACGAGAACGAGGGAACTTTCAGGAGCACAAAGTTCTGTCAGGCATCGCCCGGCTTGCGCCACACCCCCTTTACGGCAGGGCAGCCAGCCCCACGAATCATGTTCAGACTTTGACCTTTACCAGACGGAAGTTTCAGAAGCTGATCATTGAACCTACCTGGGTAGTAAGCCCGGAAGACTCATACGGTTGGGTGACGGTGAGTCTGGAGTTGCTATGCGAGGATCCCCGCTTCCGCCTGCTTTCGCCTGCTTTACCTAGATCCAGTGCCTGGGATGGCGCATGACTGGCGCTTGTGACTTGACGAGTTCGACCGCCCGCCTCTTCCAAACATTCCACGAGCCGCTATTTAGCCTCGCTAGGCAGTCTTCCATGACTGTCGAGAGTCTTTGCCTCTGTTGATGGATCGACACTGCGCAGCATGTGGTACCTATTCTTGTTATAAGGTTGCTTACCAACTCTGGCTTTCTTGAACCTGATTTTCCCACCATCTTCGTCTCTATCTCGAGAACAGCTCACAAAGTCTCCAAGATGGCAGCCGCAGAATACCTTACATCAGGCCACAGGCCTTCGCTGGAACCACAAAACAATGGCTCATATGGGCCTCCACAACCTCAGAGGGTACACTCATCGCAGCCTGGGTTTAATTATCAACCTGGTCAGCCAGGCCAACCAAGCCCACAGTTTGGCGTTCAACCCCCTTCTCCGTACGGCCATCCTCCCAATCTCCCTCCCCCTGCCTATCAACCTCTCAACACCGAACCAAAAGTCCAGTTCGCTCCTCCACCTGTGATGCCTGGACAGCATCGACCCTCCCTTTCAAGCCAGCCGACATACAGCCTCAATCAGCCCAACTTCCAAGCCAACCCCGTGCAGCAACTATCTCCATATCCTCCCGGCCCATACGTGCCTCAAGCCTATCAACAGCAGCCTTACGGACCACCTCACCATCGGCCACACCACAGACACAGTGACCCTTATGGCTCCGGCTATACCTCAGATCCCGAGCCCCACAGAAGAAAGCACAAGGACCGAAGCCGTCGCGTATCGGACCACTCGCGATCTACCAACGCGGACGGCTTCCTCGGCGCCGCTGGCGGCGGATTAATTGGAGACCTGCTTTTCCCTGGACTCGGCACTGTCGGTGGCGCGTTGGCGGGATGGATCGGTGGCAAGGACTACGGAAAGCACAGGAAGTGGAGAGAAGAGAAGAGGGATCGGGAGCAGGAGCGCTGGGAGAGGGAATACGGCAGGAAAGGCAGCCGCAGCCACAGCCGTTCACGGAGTCACAGTAGGGACAGAGACGTGCACGAGCGGAGGCATAGTCATGGTCGCCATGAGGAGGGACGGAGACACAGCCATGAAAGGCGGAAGAGCCATGACTGAGGATGGATGGGGCGTTCATTCACGAGGGTTTGTTCCCAGAGGCGATTTTGAGATGTTTTGTTTTAACGATATCATGTGGATCCTGTTCAGAAATGGGAGCCAAGGTGATGACGCATCACCAACGAGTTTACGACAGAAAACACTCGGCCCGAACGGCTGGTCCATCCGGCAGCCGGGTGTTGAATATGTAATTGAAACCATCAGAATTGACGAGGGTTGTTTGATTCTCTGGGGAATTTTTCGGTCGTGGTCGTGTGATGTGTAGAACAGGCCCTGGGTCGTCTTTTTCAGCGAATCAAAAAGAGGTGCAGCTTAATGAGTGCGATGGATGACGGGCCCATGGCCTGCACTCCAGATCCGCCGTAGGTGGCAAATCTGACGAAGATGGTCGGGGGGAGGGTTACCTGCCAATCGCGCACAGCTTGTCTGCCTATTTTTTGCCGTTGAGAAGGCAACTTTGTTAGAGGTTCGACGAGGCGAGTACCCTGAGGCTCTAGGCGAAGGAAGTCCAGCAGTCTCCTGCCTGTTCCTCGAGAGGAATAGCTAGCTGGCTGGCTGGCTGGCATGTCGTGCCTGTCCTCCTCGAACCACCCCTCCACAGGCTCGAATGCGCCTTACCACTTGGCATTATCAACGAGGTCACAGCCTGACGAGTCTTTAGCGAACCCCCTTTCGTGCCGCGTTGCGCCTTCTGGGGGCCGAGAACGTTCTGCTGCGGCCATTGAAAACCAAATGAATCCGAGGCGGAGGTCCCACAACCTCTTCGTGGTAGTATATGTAGAGCTGCCTGGCGGCGACAACGGTACAGAAGCAATAACCCAAGTACATTATGAGGCACTGCCCCTTCCCGTCCACTTTTTGGGGGTTCTAGCCAACCTTGTAGACCTTACCTGGTCCCTTTGCAGCGCTTGCGTCCGTGGTCGGCGTTCGTTGCGGAACAAACAAAAGTCTCACAAAAGTTTTGCGGATGATGAGGAAGCTTTCCTCGCCCTGCGGTAAAAAGGACCGTGCGGACAGAAAGGCTCGTCTCCACGTGGCACAACTGGGATGAATGATTGCTTTTTTGTGTCTTTGTGTTCGCGACTTTCGTGTTCTATCAGCGCCCATGTATTGCCGGGATCGAAAGCGTTCGCTGTGGCGGTCGTCTCGTTACACAAGGCGATGCGGGTTGATGGGAGCCTGGATGCTAGAGGGTCGGTGGTTGTTGATTTCTCCCAGGAATTGGATTCCACGTGCGCTCTCTCGAGCATCACTGAGTCACATACCGTCGCCCCCTCACCGGCACGGTGTTTGTACAGAAGCCCTTTTTGTCGACGCACCTGGGCAACTCAGGTAGCAGAGGAGGTGTTGCCAAAGATCCTAGACCGACCCACCGTGAAGGCATGGGACGCAAGATTGGAAAGTAGGTACTCGTATAGTGACAAGCAGCTGATTTTTTCGAATCGATAGCTGTGATCTGAAAGTCAGGATCTCACGAACAGAGTCATCAGCCTTCGGGAGAGGATGGAAATGCTTTTGTAATGACCGTCATTTATTCTGTTCGGCGTGGCGGCAATTTTCTGCCAAGACCTTGAAGTCGACACCTGCATTCAACTCGAAGCCCATCTCTCGCCAAAAGATGAATGTCCGTCCACACCAACTGAAGATCATTTTAAGCACTCGGTGAAGTTTTTGGCTTGTCAACGCGTGATGATCCGCCCCAAGGAGTCAAGATGCTGATGCCTCGGAGACAACCACGCCGGGCGAGACAGACGGCCTCGGATGCCGACACTGGCATGCGTAATGGACGCGGACGGCCTATGAAGCGGTTTGATCAGCTCAAGCCTCCGCGCAAAGCTCGGACCCTGCAAGCCAGCATCATCCATAGACAGCTCTCGGCTGAGTACCCTGAGAGGGATGAGAGTGCTGAGGGCGCTGAGGGCGCTGAGGGCGCACCTCCCACGAGAGTATCCGCGCTAGAGTCCCTGCCAGTCGAAATCATCGAGCAGATGTTCTTCTATTGCCTGGAGGTGAACCTTCCGAGAGCGTCGGTGTATCTGGCAAGTGCGCTGTCTCGACCCGCCGTCTACCGTGCGCTCGTTCTGTTGGCCTATTTCCAAGCAGCTCCGCAAAGTCACGTCGAGACGCGCCATTTTCTGCCCGCCACATTCAGGCTCATTGGGGTTGACGACCGGCGACGTCTACAGGAAGACATACTGAGATGTAAATGGTGCACCTTCGAATTTCTTCAATCCTGCATGCCTGCTTTGACCCGGTTGGCCATGGTCAGAGAATGGCACTATGAAAGAGAAGAACTAACATGGGCAAGATCTAAGGGAGTCCGCCAAAAGGTGGTCGATGAGCTTGTTGAATTGCCCGATCCTGATGTTTTTCTGCCACCAATCGACGACACGTCCGCCATGGAAAAGTATTTCAGACCGAGGTCAGCCATGCTGCCAGACAAGCAACAACAAGATGAGGCAATGTCAGCTGATGGTTCGGATAAATATCCCCTTCTGGTTATCGACACCCTGCATCACGCAGGTATTGAAGAGCAGCCTCCGCCAGAAGGCGACGACGTATCCCTCATTCACAGACCCCAGACTGTGCTCGCAGCGGAGATCATTCCAGAAAACATTGTCCTCCGCAAACCATGGACGGATGCGAATATCAAGCTGCTACAGCTGCTGCGCCAAGCCATGCGATTCGGTGGATGCCAGCCCACGCAACCTTCGCCGCAAGCACTCTTTGAAGGCATGGCAAATGCTGTGCGAGAGGGCAATGAACTGGCTCTGCTCGTGCTACTTGAGCTACATGAGACGGTGACAGGAAGGGTCTATCAAGAGCAAGTTCCGCCATTGCGACTGTTCCACCTGGTATGCCAAGAGCCCACACTTCCGGATCGGTTGCAGTGCAGGATGATTGCGTTGCTGCTGCGCAACGCTGGCGCCGCTACGGCGCGTGAACTAGCGGACGACGAAATCCTTACGCGGTGGGCTATACATCTGACAAACTCGCCAGCAGCAGCACAAAATGACTTGTACGTCGCGAAGGAGGTGCTTAGATTCATGGAAACCCAAGGTCGGTCGGATAACCCAACTGGTCGTGCTTTTGGTGCTCGAAGAGTAGGTGGACTTTGGACCTACACACCCTGCTTCGCAGAGGAGATTGGGTACCTCGAGCACCTCCCAGGAGGGCGAACCTTCATGCAGCAGACGTAACATAGCGGACGCTCGTTGTACGGTCGTCCCGAGTTGCTGTGGCACATGTGAGCTCCTACTGGAAACGGTCCTGGGACCTCGATGTCGAGCCTCAGCAAGAAGGGGCTTATACCGACCAGTCATGCCAATCAGCGCCGAAGTCAGGCAGGAGAGGCATCGAGCTATCTAGTAGCCTGCAGCTCTGTGGTCCTGACTGGGACCTCATCAAAGTCTAGCCACCCGCTAGGCACAGGGAAGGGATGCTGATTTCGGTGAATATCGCTGTGTTGCCAGACATGCAATGTTTGTTATATGCCACTGGGCAACTTTCTGCATTGGTCAATCAGACATATCTACGGGACAGCCTGCACTCTGTTTCTCAATATCGCCGTCAGAACGTGGAAAGGATCCTCGGCGCTGATTATTCGCTACTCAGACGGATGTTGAATGCAAAGCCCCCACATGTTCCCATCCCGCCGTCAACAGCTGGACCTCAGAAACCCTTGGACTTTTGGTTTGATACCCCAGACTGTTGGGCTGTTGAAGCCGCTCAGTCTTTCGTCCCCTCCGCCCACATGCCACTTTCGCCAATTGCTATCAACCCCCTGTGACCTTCCAAGGTCCGTTGTCCTCGCAAATTCTCTCCCAGACAATCTTCTCCGAGGCGACCAGGCTCTCACGGTTCCCCAGGCCAGATGCGATCTGCGATCCTCCTCACCAACTTCAACTTCTCGACCATGTCCGCCCTCTTGACGGCATTGCCGCTTGAATGACTAGCAAACCCGCACTGCGGACTGATGCCGCACCTGTTGAGTGCTTCCTTCTCGCTCTCCCCCGTGCCCTTGGACATGAACCCCGCGGCCTCCTTGACCCGCTTGACCATCTCGTCTTCATCCTCCATCTTGGGGAATTTGCTCGTCACCACGCCGAGGATGACGTTCTTGTTCTTGGGCAGGTGCTGGAGCGGTTCAAAGCCGCCGGCCCGCGGAGTGTCGTATTCCAGGTAGTAGGTGTGCATGTTGAGCTTCTGGAAGAGCAGGGTGGCGATGCGGTCGTAGCCGCCCTCGGAGAAGTGGCGCGAGTTGACGAAGTTACCCCGGCAGAGGTGGACTCCGACGTGCATGTCTGAGGGGATTTGAGAGATGCACGCGTTGTACAGGTCGATGTACTTGGCGAGGAGCTCGTCGGTGGAGTAGGTATTTAAAGGGTCCTTTTCCCAGCCTGCGATCATGGCCTCGGAGCAGAAGTCTGTTTACCGGGAAAGAAGGGGGGGGTTTCAGCATGGATCTGGACATACCTGTCTGTGATGGCCGTTGCTACAGAAAGAACTGGGAGGAGCCCACTTACAAGCCAAATTGGGATCATCGAACTGCACGTTCCTCAACCCATGGTCGTACAAGATCCTCAGTTCCTCCTGATATGCTTTGGCAATGTCGGCAAAGTACTCGTCATCGTTCTTGTACACATCGGTGGGATAGGCTTTGCCCTGCTTGTACCTGAGGTGGTACCAATTGGGGGCTGCCAGGGTGAGCTTGAGATTCTTCCACTGGGACTGGGGCACGAGGCTCTTGAGGAAGTCGAACTGGGCGGTGTAGGTGCTGCCCTTGTGCCTGATGCGGCCGGTGCACAGGACGGTCTCGCCGGGCTTGTAGCCCTCCTCGGTGAAGGCGGCGATGTCTGGGATGTACATGCGGAAGAGGTCCGGGTCCGGGTGCTCGATCTCGGTCATACCCTCTAGGCCGGGCCAAAAGCTGTGTTGAAAGTTGGTGCAATCGCCCATATCTCTAGCATGTTGCTTACATACCTGCCCCAGAACATATGCCGTCGGTACTCGCCGTCAGTGAGGGCGTGGAAGCCCAGCTCGCGCTGCAGCGCCACAATGTCCCGGATGTCGGCGTCTTCGACCTCTTGCAGGGCCGTCGCCGACGCTTTTCCGGCCTCCCAGGCGTGCCGCGTGTCGAGCAGCTTCTCGGTACGCAGGAGGGAGCCGAGGTGTTCGGCGCGGAAGGGCGGGTCGCGGTGCAGGGGGCACGACATGATTGTGACTGGTTATGTGTGTCTGGACGCTCACGAGCGGGGGCTGGGTTGTTTTACACTCCGAGCTGTCCGATACAACTCGATTTGGCAGAGAATTCTATCTCAGTTGAAGACAAGGTAATCAAAGCTAATGTGGACAATGAGAAGAGTCGTATGTAGGGAAGAGAGGTTGGGGAGGAAAATAAAACTACTGATGCAACAAACAAACAACCATATATAAACTTAGCCAGTTACTGTAGATGCCATTGACGGCCTTTCTACCCCGCAATCTGGGAAAAAGGATTTTGGTGGTCGTCGTGCTAGTCTCAGTTCAGGCCAATGGTTGGCCTCTAGGGCCTTTGAGGGCCTGGAGGGCCTAGAGGAAAGAACTCTTACGATTACAGGGGGGGGCACTCAGTAGAGGTTAGTGGCTGTTTGAGATACGATGATGGGGGAGACGTTGAATTGAAGGGGAGGGCAAGAGGGGTAAGTCAGTCAAGTCAGTCCAGTGACCCACCGTGAGAATACGCCCTGCGGGGAAAGTATGACGACGACAGTGACAATGACAATTAACAACTTGGATGACTACCTACGGACTACGACGCTGCTCACTGTTGTTCGTGTCTCTCGCTGCTCTGTCAAACACGTCCAATCACTCGCCTCCGGAAAATCCAAGCACTAAGGCGGCAGACACATCAGCAGTGAGGCGAGTCTGTCTAGAAGGCCCCCTCGAGTTCGACGTTCGCCGTGGGGTGAGGATAAGTCAACCACCAGTTGTCACTGCACATAGGACTTGGTCATCATTGATGTGCTCCAGCCAACTGCTTGACAGCGGGCAATGGCATCTTAGATCCATTGAGTGCACTGTCAGGCTGGCTTCATTCGCCCGCACGCATGTTAGGGGAGTCAACGAGTGTGTCTGATATCTGGACTGTTAAGCACGATAATTGATCCCAATGAAGCTTCTTCAACTTCCCAACGAGATCCTGACCCGCATCATCTCCTTCCTCGACACCCCCAGCCCCTTTGATGCCGACATCCTGCAGAAGCCCAAGTCGGCTCTGATCCCCTTCGAGTCCGAGGCCGGCATCGAATTGACCAGCATTAAAGCCTCCGCCTTGAAGAACTTGACTCTGACATGCCAGTTCCTCAGGGCCCTGACCCTCCCAGTTCTGTTCAAGCACGCCGTGCTCCATCCGCTACTGCTGACCGACTTCCTCTCCTTCCTCAAGCGGCATCGCCTGAACCAACATGTCGTCAGCGTTGTCGCGCACGTGCCGGGCCATTACAACCACGTCCATCCCGCCTGGTGGGCACGCTTGCTCAACGAAGTGCCCGCCACCCGCCTCAACATCGTGGCGGCTCCCGAGATTTTCGCCGAGCTGGCCGGCATCTCTTCGTGGACCAGCGACGCCTGGGCCTTTGACATGGCGTTCCAGATCCTCCAGCTCGACCAGACGCCAGAGGCTGCCCGGATGGAGATCGACTACGACAACCTCCCGAATTTCTTAGTGGCGCGACCGTGGCAGAAGATGGTGGTCAACGAAGGGTCCAGCCTGCAGGCATACACGACCTACGAGTTCTTCCTACGGCGGACCCCGTCGCTGATGACGGCGTTGCACTCCAACCACTCGGCAGCCGGGGACGCGCTGTTTGCGAACCTGCAGAGCTTCGACTTCGTGGCCATTTTCCCTTTCTACAACCACGTGGACGAGGTGCTCAAGTGCGTGCGCAAGATGAGACAGCTGCGGCGGCTGTTCGTCAAGTTGTGTCCGGAGCCGAGCAGCACGGTGTTCCACGACGAGATCGAGATGGCGGGCGGCGCGCTGGACGTGCACGACCCGTGGAACGAGTGCGAGACCTCGTGGGTGCTGGTGGCGCACAGCGTGGTCTTTCTGGGCACCGAAGGCCACTTGTGCGAGCTGCAGATGGACGACGTCAGGATCGAAGGCATGCGGCAGACGCTCGAACAGTGCATCAGCTCTGTGCTGCCGGAGCGGCAATGCTGGCGGTATGAAGAGCCGGCATCTGGCATCTGGCGCCGGAGAAATGATCCGGCATCTCTGCAAGGGGGATAGCCAGCCAGCCAGCCAGCCACCAGCAAGTCCCACGCTCTGGCTAGAACTTTCGCTTCCGGTCATATCGGGTTGTACAAAACGGTCTGGTCTTTAAGCAAGGAGTACGTGAATGATGTCAATGGGAAGCCCACTCGAGAAACATTCTCACCAACGAGCGCATGTTTTTTCCGCCCGTCGCATCTCGAATCTGGATCTGGGATCTGAATCGGCAATTTAGCAGGATCTGCGATTTGAGCATCAACGACGACGTTTGTTCTTGACATAGTATCGAATGACAAAGCATGATTATCACGGATTGACGTGCCCTGCCATGGGCGTACCAGGTCAGTATAGTAGTACAATATGGCATGGCAGAGAACTATATGACTATGGATGGCAATGTCCCGACCCGCTCCAGCAAAGCCAAACTCTTTTCTCGCGAAGGTATCGGGTAGGAGGAGGTGGTGTAATAGAAGAACGTCCCCCAGATCTCTCTCCCTCTTCATCCTTTCCGCTCTCTTTCCCATATCGACGAAATTGGGCCCAAAGGCACAGGATGCACGACATTCCTCGTACAAGGATATCGAACAAAAGGAAAAGGTGGACGGGAAGGACGGTAGGGTGACCCTACAGTAGATGCGTGGTGCCGCACGGAACAATCTTCCCACCCCTGGTCCCCGAGGCCCTAGTGACCACTGACCACCTGCACCGACCACCGCTAACTCCCCCAACCCCGAAAAACTCAGAAAGCGAGAGAAGGGACCAAGGCGCGACTGGAGGGGACCTCTGACTTGCTCGGCTCGAGCGGGCTACATGAAATTCCACCGGGTTAGTACCTAGACGAGGTAGTGTACGACTACTCCATTCCCCTCTGTCCAGCCAACAACGACGACTACGACGACGGCTCTTTTCGCAAGATTGTTCCGCTACGATCGGTAGAGCCGTACAGGACGGTGTGATGTCGATGGGTCGAAGTCCCATGTCAAAGACCATGTCTATCGTCGTGATTGTCGATGGTCAAGAACGGTGAAATCTCCGATCAAGATCCAGGAACATTCTTCCGGTGTCAGGGCTTTCTTCGAACAAACAAGCAAAATCGGTTGAGCGGTTGAGCGACCTCTTTTTTTGGATTTCCCATCCTTTTTTTCTGATTTTTCTTCCCCCTTGCGCGTTCCCGGTTCGTGAATGCTCGTCGATTGTTGTCCTACTCGGTAGTTTGTAGTTGGGGGGGTGCTCGGCTCTGATCTGGGATGTCTTTCTATGATGGGCTTGTTTGTTGAGGGGGGGGGTTTTTCTAGTAAGTCTCCATTCCGGTATCCCTGCCCCTCTCTCTCTCGCGCGCGCGCGAATTTCACCGATGTGCCTCGTTAGAAGCTGAGTTATTGCAATATCATACACCTCGTCGTACGCTGATCTCGATTTGTCCTGCCCTTTTGCGAAATGTGTAACGTCATATTAGGTATGCTACCGACGTTCCGTGCCCAACAAGCGCACTCTCTACCCCGGTACCATCGGGCCATTGTCGCACAGACCACAGACAAGGAAGGAGGTTACACAAACATCCCCAACGGCCCTTACCCTCGTACAAGTTCTGTTAATATTAGGTGGTCTGTCGAAAAGAAGGGTAGGTGTGAACCCTACTAGGTACATATGCATTTACCCCGGCCCACACCCGTGGGCCAGCCTGGAACTTTGTTCCGGCCGACGGCGCCATCCTGCGTCGAAGAAAACCAAAAACCCAGATCCCGAATCCACATGGGAAAAAAGAACCCCACCTTCGCTCTACATGTTTAGTGTGTCTACGGTATGATTTCACAAGTTACCGGTAGGATATCTTTCGCTCCCCCAATGATCGAGTCCGCGGCAAGGGTGCGGGAACTATATTCCGGTGTGGGCTACCTACCTAGGATCGTGGCACCCAAAGAGCTGGTGCTTGAACAGGACAAAGGAAAAGAACCCTAGGACGGGCCCCGCTAAGCCCGGAGCTACTCGTTCTAGGGGCATTGCCCTGATGGAGCACCCCCCTGGCCCCCAACCGTCATCGATAATATGACGAGTACCTACCTACGCATGTGCAGCAGTATTACTTACTCGGTGGGTGGTTGAACTCTCGGATAGCATGGGTTGCTGTCCCTCAAGGAACCAACAACTTTCCTCTCCCTTGGACACAGGGACCGTGCTGCACACACATTTTTCCAACTCGGTACAGGATCCTTCTCAGAGGCCAGGAAAATAGATCCTTCCCTCGCCTCCCTGTCAAATGACTTACCGCCAATTACTGTCCAAGGTCCTACGCCACTGGGGCTGCCACTGCTGCCCATCTCCACTCCCCAAGTCGTACAGAGCCTACAGAGGCCTCGATGGCAGGTAGACGCACCTGATGGAGACCGTGGCTCGGCCAATGAACCCGGTCTGGATATACATCTCCTTCGTGGATAAAATCACCTGATTCCCCCGCCGCATGAGTCTCTCGGTCTCTCACTCTTCTCACACCTGCAGGCCTGCGCTGCTTCCTCCATTACTACTGGGCCACTAGGCCCTGCTGCCACCCTAAGCGTTTGCTCAACCGGGCTGCGGCTGCGGCTGCTCCAGCTCCAGCTGGTAACCTCTCTTTTCCCATTTCTCGAGCTTTTCGCCGCCGCCGCCATCAGCTCTCGATCAACTCGAGCTAAGCTTGTAATTACCAAGACCCGATCGTAGGGGCCCAAAAAGTTGGTTTCGACGCAATCGGTCCGTCGCTCTGCCCTTTCACTTGCTCGCGCTACTCTTTGTTATATCGTGTCCTCCCGTTTGTGATCGACGCCTCCGTTTGTTTCTCAATCATCACCGTATGTTATCCTGCTGAAGAATCGTCCGCCTCCAAAATCAAGCCTCTGGAAACAGACCCAATGCCCTCTCCTCAAAGCTGTGCCATGGGGACCGAGACCTACACTTAGCGAACACAGGTGCAATCCCCCTCAGCGAGTGAGAGAGACCGTCAGTCGCATGCCTTCACCACCCAACTCGCGGCCGATCAAGCCAGCCAAAGACAATCCCGCCAAAACCCCCCGGAAGAAGCCCTCGAGTAATCGCATCTCGGCCGCCTGCGAAGCATGCAAGAAACGCAAGACGAGATGCACCGGCGGTCCACCACCCTGCCAACTGTGTGAGACCCTCGGTACCGACTGTGTGATCGACCTGTCGCTGGATATGAGACGCAGGGCCGCCTTCCAGCGCACCTTGGACGAGTCGCGGACTTATCAAGATGCCTTGAACAGCTTACTCGATGGCATCCGCGACGGCCCTTCGCCGCGCCTCGAAGCCATGTTCGAGCTCATCCGCAGCAACGCCTCGAATCAGGATATCGTAAACGCTCTACATCAATACTCGAGCCGGACGGAGGATGAAGACGGCGACGATACCATGTCGTCCCAGGTAGACGGGTCTGAAACCCTCCTGGACGCCGGCAAGAGTCCCGCTGATACCTCCAGTTTGGGGTCGGTTACCTCCGATTCGGCAAAGGGCAAGGGCCCCCACGCCTCCATGCCTATCGCCAGCTTGCTTGCCTCGCTCAAGAATGCATCCTCCCAGGAAGGAGAAGCCATCCTGCACCATTTCTTAGCACTGCGCTCCGATGACAGGGTCGGTTTGAACATCTGGGCGGCCGAGGGACAGAATCTCTGGGATGGCGCCGACGGTGTTCGTCTTCCCAGTGTTGCCGAACGCGCCATGTGGCATCCGGTACTGCACTTACGGTCGCAAAGCAATCGTGTAGAAGAGCGCCCACAGGTGAGTTCCGTTTTCCACCGCTCCTGCATAATACAAGATGTGCTTCATCTTGTCCCGAGCAATCAATCATGTTCAGGACGCCCATCTTATCTTTGACCCGCTCCATGTGCTTGTGCTTTTGATCAGAAGTTGGTCGAATGATTGACACTCATATTTAGTTGCCACCTGCCCCTCGACGTTTCTCCGAAGGAGCCCCCAAGACGGAGCCGGGAGAAGCAATCGTATCGGATTCGCCGTCACCGTTGACTGGCTTGTCGAGACAGTCATCCCGCTACCCCCGGGTCACCACCGATCTCCCCATGAGCGGATTGACGGTGGCTTCTTCACCTGCTACTCCGTACTTCGAGTTGGTCACGAATTTTCCATCTTCTCAGCCGAGATTGAACGAATGGGATTTGTGTGTGGCGCAAGAAGATCAAGTCACCAGGCTCCGAGTCCCCAGACACCTCATCCTGCCCTTGGTGATTCCCGACGATTCACCCATGAGCCGCACCTACACAGACTACCTGCACGGGGCGCGGCGAATGCTTGAGACTGGTGTCCCCGTTTCCGACGTCCTGGGGGCTACAGAAAAGGTGGCTGTCGATTTGTTCTTCCGCCCTCGTCGGGCAACCGATAAATTTGACTGCGCCTCATGGGCATGCGAAGTCTCTCGAAGTTTTGACAACGATGTCTTTGTCCGCCTAGCCTCGGCTTATTTGCTCACACACATGATGCGGGTAAGTTGGATGTCTGAACAGTTCCAGGAGGAAATTAACGCTGGACAGTGGCTGCTGGTCCCTACCTTGGAGAATTACCAGAAACTCCCTGACATGATGAAACCGACACCTGCACAATGCATGGTCCCGCACATTGGCGCGATCGAAACAATACCATTGTAGGTTCCAGTGGATTGGTGTCGTTTGGGAGACCAAAAGCTGATGTGGATACAGGCCTCCGGTTCGGGATGCTGCAATCAACAAGTTGCGGGACTGGCTCACGCCTCTGATCCAGGCGGAATGGGGCGTGAATTGGCCTCATGACCTAGACTTGGCTGTCGAGCAAGACGCCTTGACGGGAGCCACAGTGTTGACCCAGAAATTCATCGATCATGTGGTCGTCTACGACAATTGGAGTGTTGGAAGTCGCTTCCTCATCACGTTTCCCGAGGTGGCAGGCAGAATCCGGATCCACGAATTGGGATGACCGTATGACATCTGGTGTGATTTCTTTGTTGCACCCATTGTACTCAGTCGAAAGCCGAGAGCGAGGAGCACTGGATTTCAGTAGCCCATCGCGATGCAATCAACCTCGAATGTCGTCTGGGGGTTTGAGAAGTCGGTTTCCAGCCGTGCTCACGGCGACTTCGGTTGGACAACGACGAGCCGAGACTGTCGAAAAGGGACCCGAGCCACTGCATTCAGTCCTTCGTTATCTGCAGACTCTCCTTTTCCTCCCAGATCAGGTGCGCTCATACCAAAGGCAAGACAGGGCCGAGGACCAAGCCGGGACCCGCTATGCATGGCAGGGTAGAGAGACGGCGAGACAACTTTGGAAAGGGAATAGTTGATCGGATCGCCTAGCCCGAACGGGCGACGGCGTGGGAGGGGTGTGGATAACAAAGGGGAATAATTCACAACACGGCAGCAAAAGGTCAAGGAATCTTTGGGTATCATACGATTGTACTGATGATCATGAGACACACGAGAATGAGACACGGCACCCTCGAGCAACAGTGTACTTTTAAAGAAGACGATTAGATGATGAGTGGAATGGCGGACTGAAGGTTAGAAGGAGATGAGTTCCAGATGAGGTTCGGAAAGAAGTTCCGGGCAGCAACGACCTGGACAAAGTTGTAGGGTCATGTGACTCTCTCAGCCCGCGAGCCGGGTCAAGTGACCAGAACGCCAAGACACGGTGAGTCAGCGAAGGACTAGTACCGGAATGGAGTAGCTCGACAATGTGCTTTCCGAGCTATGAAAGCGCCAAGTCTTCTCGCATTCTTCTTGGGGGCCGCGAGTGATTTTCTTCCTTTCTTTGCGCTGCGCCTCTCTCTCTCCTGCGCTTCATGTGGCGAAGCTGTCAGGGTACGCGAATGAGAGAGAAAAATTGGAATTGAGAAGCAATGCATCGATCGATGGATGGATCGAAGAAAAGGAGAGGGAGACGAAAAGGGAGACGAAGAGGAAGACGCAAGGAGAATAGATCTGATCCGGTCCTGTAAGGGACACGAAGCGACCAGGGCAGCCAGATATCCGCGCAGGGGACGTGTACCTCGTATACGACCTCGAAAGAGTACCGAGTACCTACCGAGTACCTGCCGAGTACTATGCGCGCGGACTTCAAGGTGGCTCGATGGATCGATCTACAATGCGAGGGTAAGCTGGTGGCAAGGTCTGTTGAGGAACAGCGATTCGTTCATTCGTTTTCGCATGTATGTCCCTAGGTACACAGTATATTACTCGTATTTCGCCTCGCATCATGAGCCATCGTCACCATCATCATCATCATCATGACCCCGTCATCATACGAAAGGCCCTTCCATGGTGGCCATCCCGGGGCCCGCCCCCCAACCAAGACACAAAATTCAGATGGAGCAAGGGAAAAAAAACCCCAAACAAACAAGAAAATCCAACCAAATGAAAAAAACCATGAAAAAGAAAGCCAAAGAAAGCGAGCAGGTTTATCGAGAATGCAAGGGACAAGGGACAAGGAAATCATTAAAGTTAGCAAGTACGAGGCTGGGTGGGTGCCGAGGTGCGCCTTGTTAGAGCGGTCGACGCAAAGGCAGTGCTGCCTTGGCCCGCCTGGTGGCGCCTTGTGTGGCGCTCGGCGCAAGTCTGGCCTTTCAATAATTGCAGGTGTTCAGCCCTGCAGCTGCGGTATCTACCTATCCTCCAGCTTCGTATTTACTCGGTCTCTTGTAGTAGTGCGCACCTAGCCATGGTCAGTGAGTGAGTGCCCTGTCCGAAGTACTCGGTACTCGGTACGAGGGTAACTCAGCTCGCTAGCCTCACCAGCAAAAGAATAGCCCTACGAGGTACCCCTAGGTACTACTCAAAGGTACCAACCTATAGGCACTCATGCGAGCCGAGTACCTCATGTAGGTACCTTATGTAGGTAGATACCTTTATGCGACCACCGCCCCGAACTCCCCACAGCGCCCCGGAGACGCCTAGTGAGCCTGGCGTACCGGTAGAGACGCCCGACTTCGTTAGCTTTCCGGGTTTTGCCTTGCACCATCCTGCCTGGCGCGGTATTATGGCCTGGCCTGCAGCTCCAAACGACAAAAAGGGTCCCGACGTCGATGCCCCAGCGCTGATGCGAGGTACACAGCTCAAAAGTAACCACCTAGGTACCAAAGTACCCTCTAGGTACCTAATGTGCATGCCTTGGGTACCTGTTCATCAAGGTATCTGCCTATTTCGGGGCACCCTGGCTCGTAATAGTCAATGTGCTTAGGTACCTACCTAGGTAGGTAAACCAAATCGCGAACTAACTCGCGCGCCCTACCAGCCCGTGTACTGACTCACACCGGTCTGTTACTACCTGTCATGTCCCTACAGGCGAGCAGGGTACCTACCTACCTAGGTAGTTACATAGACACTGCCCCCAGCCCTGTGAGGAGGGACAAATATGCACTCCGCACGAGGGAACGGTGTTAAATTATCGGACGACGGGCATTTCTCGATTCCGACCTCGCCGACTCGTGAACGAACGCAGGTCAAGATACAGTTGTCGCCCTACGAGAGAGGACAAGGACATTTTTGGGTTAACCTACAGGTGAAGGGACAATTGTTCCAATTCAATTTGAATTCATTTTCGTCTCATAAGATAGAATTCATCCGTCATTAGTGGAGCGTCAACGGGGGTCGACGTGATCTCCACCATCGTCAAGAGAAGAGGGGAAGAATACCAGTATAGATAGCCACGAGTACGTCGCGGCTGATGGTGATAAGAAGAGTAGTATTAGACTAGTAGTATTCATCGTGACATTCATCGTGGTGTAGTACAAAAAGGAAACCTGCGTAATCCGTTGTGCGTGGCGAGCGTGGCGTGGTATCTTTCAAAAAGCAAAAAAAAAACTGAGGAGCGACAATAATTCCACCCTCCAGACCCTGCTTCCCTGCCTCCATCTCTTTGCCTGTATACATAGAGCGACGTTAATATTACCATCTGGGTTCCCTGAAAACGCCGATTAACCCAAAAGCCAAAGTAGTATCATGTGGCACTTCATCCAACGCCACCGCCAGGCATCCGGTTTTGCATATGGTATATCGCCTGAGGAGGCAAACTGCGTAACAGATTCTGCAGGCGATGGATCTCTGCTGCCTGGCGGCGAATGAACTCTTCCTTCTGCCGGAGCTCATCCCTGAGATGTTGAATCAACTGGCTCTCGGCGCTTCCGACAAGATTGTCGATGGTATTGGGTGCCACCTCGTTGCCTAGAAGCTGCTGCTGCTGCTGCTGCTGCTGCTGCCCCATCGCCACCCCCTGTACTTCTGTCGCCGTCGAGATTCTTCGTCGCTTGGCTGCCGGTTCTTGCGGCATTGCCGAGTTCGTCGTCGTGCCTGCAGCAGGCTGCGACAACGCTTCGTGGTGTGGCGGGTCACGGTCTGACATCTCTTCTAGGTGTCGCCGGCGCTTGTGCTCCTCGAGGTTTTCCTTCCTAGTGAACCCCGTGCCTGAGCTTCGGTTGCAGTTGGGGAACGGACAGAACAGCGGCTGCTTGGTCGACAGGTGCATCTTGTGAACTTCCCTCTGGTGCCTCAGGAGCCCGCCCGAGTAGGTGAATCCAGGGTTGAGTTCGCAACCGGCCTCGCGACACTTGTATGGTCTCTCGTGCCTGTCCATGTGCTTGTTCCATTCGCAGACGCGCTTGAACGTCTGGTTCTTGCCTCGACAATTGATGTGGTCGCAGAACATCTGGCCTTGTTCGTTGCGAGGCGGGGATCTGGTTCGACGAAACGCCCCTTGGATCTTGACGGATTGCTCCGGCAGCGAGGGGACCATTTCCTCGGCCATGGTGATGATGTGCGCTTTCTTCTGGTCGGGCGTGCTTGTGGATATCGATGTGTATGTTGTATCGTAGTCGCTTGGAGGCGAGACTGGATAGTTATCTCTCATAATCATGATGAGCGGTGGGTGGATGGGAGATGTGGTGAGGATGCTGAGCTGGACGGTCGGAGTGGGAGCGATGATGACAGTTCAAGCGAGCGCCATGGCAGGAAGTACCTTGAATTGACCAGAGATATAGTGCGGGAGATGGCTTGACAAGACGCTCTGCTGCCTGCAAGGCTGTGCAACATGGTGATTCAAGGAACAGGTAATGCCTCACCAGGGTTAAGTACAAGTCAAAGCCCTCTAGATAGCCGCGCGGACGAGCCTTTCCCAGAAGGATGGTCAAGCAGCGAATCATGCGCCACACGGCATGGCAAAGATGGCAGCAACAGGCATTCGTTGGCGGAAGCAGGCTATCTTATAGCACTAGCATCATTCACCATACAGCTGACCATCAGACGGGGGGTGCATGCCTGACACCCTGATGGACTGACGTGGGAGCCTAATCAGGGTGTGCACTGGTGTGTCAACTTTCAAGGTGTGAAGGCCATTTTTTGGCTGCCCCCCGTTGGTGCCGTAGTCCCCATATTTGAATCCACATGACTATTACGAGTCGGCCGTCCTCGTTCCAAGAAGGAACACTGGGTGAAGACTCTTGTTCCCCGGTGATGACTCACTTCATTGGGCAGCCTTCGCTTGGGGGCAAAGGAATTGGCCGATGGAGTGATGATGATGATAAACGGTAAAAAGGCAAAAAAAGATAACCTACAGAAGTCCCCCGACTTACCGTAAGTGTGTCCCTAGGCCAGGATATTAGTGTCCTGAGGCATGTCCCCTCTGTACCCAAAGTTCCACGCCTCGCCCAAAGCAACCATCGCCATCTTTTCTTCTTCTCCCCTCTCCCCTCTCCCTTTCTCGCCTCAGGATTGCCACGAAAGTCAGGACATACCGAGGTTTGCCGCCCTTACGGAGCTTGGCACAATGACTGGTGGTGCGACGACAAAGGGCGGCGAGGCGGCCACACGGTACCTCCATGCTTGGAATTGGGTTCGACTGGGGGAGGCTGGCAGTTTCCACCCAATCCCCGGAATGGACACCTATATCTGAGTGGCGAGGGGGCGGTTCGCCTCAGGATCAAATCCAGATCTTACGATCACGTTAGATGCCCACCCGCAAGCCTCAAGCTTCAAGCTTCAAGCCCGTTCCGCGTACGTAACGCTCAGCTTAGGGGCCAAAGCCTTTGCGGCTGTCGACGAGGCGCAGCTGTCAGCCGGCCCCTGGGTGCAAAACATATAAAGACCTCATGACCCCCGTAACCTGTCGGCCACCATCGCATCCCTCCTCGAGCCCCTCTCATGGGACCCAAGAATGTCAGCGGACTCCAAGTTGTGCGGTGGCACAAAGGATGGGACGACGTTGCGATATCCTCCTCTCGGATCATGCACGTAAGGGGAGCACCCTCCCTAGCTGACATTACGGCATGCCAACACCGCAGCTGAGCGACATCACCTCCCAGTTCCGTTTTAGTTGCAGGTTTAGCAAATACGCCACCCGATGTGGCTGTGGCTGAATCTCGTCGGCTTGCGCGGCTAAAATCGAGCATCCCGGAGTTGAGAAGTCTTTCTCCTCTACCATTGTACAACTAGATCTCGTCTTGGCTCTACCGTCTACTGGCACACAGTTGATTTGAAATAACCAAGCAGATTGCTACGGACAGGCTCTGGAACTTTACTCGGCAATGTCGCGTGAGACGGTGCCATCCACCTAAATATAGCTGGGCCTACTCGTACGTAGGTCCGCGTTGTCCATTGCCTGGGTGTGATACGTAATGCGACTGGCGGAGATCCGGTCGGGTGCTAGTAGTATTGTCATCCAACTGTTGACGTCTGAAGCCTTATCGCCATCTGACTTTCTCGCATTGATCTACACGGCTTCTCCGTGGTGGCTATATCGTCACAACAAGCCCGTGCACAAGTAAGCTGAAGAACGAAGATCATCTCGTCGGACCATTGAAGGACCGGCATCCGTGTGGCCTCAACCTAATGCCTCATCTTCTCTTCTCGGTGCCCAAGGTGTTGGCAGTCATTGAAGCTGAAAGAAAACTCGACTTGTGGAGTGTTTGTCGCCAATAAATAGCGGCCGAAGCGAAGGACCACGCAGGACATGCGACACAGGATGCAGCATGCATGCAAGGTACGAGTGCTGGGGATCTTGGGTTGCCCTTGAGTCTGCCTTGCTTGCGGCACCCGCCCTCAGCTCAAATTGTTCCCAGATGCGACGAATGAGAACAGGCGGATGGGTGTCATTGACCTGCGGTGATTCACGCCTCCTCCAAGACATAGAGGCAGGCGAAAGACATGTGGACTTTTGGTTGACGTGGTGAACTTCGGCACCTTTGGATGCGATGCGCAACTCTCGCACAAACCTCGAATGCGCATCTGGGCGTTCGTCCTCAGCTCGCCAGCAGTGGCGCAATATTAACACCACTCCAGGCAAAGCATCCAGTGGGACCAAACTTCCAGACCAGCAATGGTGACGAATCTCTCGATCATTGTCTGCGACCTTCCTATCAGACCGCGCCACGTTTCTTTGAGTGTGGCTCCTCTGTTAGGCTCACATCCGGTTACTGGAACGACCAAGATGAAACCAATGAGACTCAGTGAGACGCAGGTCCGACGTGGATACCCCTGAAGCCTCGACAGGCACTTGGAGTGGCTGCTCTAATTTCCTGCTTTTGCTGCTTGGCCGATCACTTCTTGACATGTGGAAGGGCAAGGCAGCAAATCCTCCAGCAGACCAATAAATTGATTCTTGGTGATTGGAAACCAATTGGAGCACCGAATCTAAAGCCGCAGCAGGCGAATCACGGTTCTGCGTGGAAATCGCGCCACCAATGCTTGACTGGCCAGCAGGAGAATGTAATATTGGTGGACAAGGTCGGCGCCGACTTGCATATCATCGCAATTGAGAAGCAAGGAACAGTGAGTCCACGCGGTCTGCTGTAACTGGGGCTGCATATCCAGACCCAATACTGGTATAAGAGATAAGTACTAGAGAGTACCACACAGCGTCTTCGTCCAGCACATATTTATCAATATCGAAATTGGAATTACGTGTCCATGGCCGAGTCATCGCTTTCGTGCGCATACGTGGATCCAGTCCGTCGCCGTGAGGTAGTCGTGTACCAAAGACGGCAATTCTCGATATTGTTGTGGCTGTCAGCCTGGCTTACTCGGGAGAAGCCAGCATCGATCGATATCCCTGTAATTCGTCAACAGCTGCGGAGAACAGAGCACCGAAAGGCAACGAATGTACATGGAAGTGCCTGGGACATTGGACCATCTCCATCCGTTGAAAGAATTTTATATTTTGGGCGCGCATTGAAGTTTACCGAACTGTCAACGAACCAGGTCACAGGTCGCTGCAAGCTCGACCGCGAACCAAAGCGTGCGTGAACAAAACGTCACAGAATCCTTCACACGCCACAAAAGGCCGCCTTCATACGGCCGTCAGGATTTGCTGCACCCGCGGGTAAACATGCACGAGCCGCTCCCAGAACTCGGGATGATCCGTCATCGCCACTTGCGGATCCCAAGCCATTGCCACAAAGAGGGTGTCAACTCCAGATCCAATTGGGGTCGTAAAAGTCTGGCAGATTTGCAGTCCGATGAGAAATGCAAACGCCATGATGACTGGGGTGAAGGTGCGCCCGTCGTTGTATGCCGGATGAGTAAATTCCAGATACAAGTAAGCCAGCAGTGCAGAGACATATGCCACGAAGACACTTCCCATGGTTAGGACAGGGCCAACGAGACAGTCGTTGACCAGAGCGTCGACGCCCCGGTCTTTCATCATCGTCCACGTATCTTTGGCTGCTGGGATATATGCCTTGCCGTAGAGAGCGATGTGAGAGAATGCGTACCTGTTGATGAACTGAACAGCCCAATCTAGAATGCCGATAATGCAGCCAAGAACGCAAAACATGATGGTCCCAACGATGTTGCCATCCGAGGCTTCTTGTTGCTGGGCAATGCTGCAGGCTTGTCGGAGCATATTGATAAGTGCAACGATGAGGCTGCCAAAGGAGATAGAGCCGAAAGAGTATGTTGTTGCTCGTCTCAGTGCTCCAGCGGTTGCGCCTCGAGGGATGCCACCTGGTTTACCGGCGCAGAAGTACCACGAACCGTAAACTCCGGCAACAGTGGTGTGAATGGTGTTCTTGATCCATTCTGTGATCCAGTAACCCGCAAAGGTCACAAACACCACGAGTCCGATGACCTTGCCGCTCGAGCAGCCTGCGGCTGGGCACGATGGATTGGCAGCGCTACCGGAATTGCCAGGCATATAGGATGTGTAAATCGCAACGAGGGTGACAGAGAACCATGCCGCGAATGCCACGCTGGCAATTCCGCCAATTAAGCTGACCAAGAATACATGTACTCGCCTCATTCTCGCAATGTCCATCGTCTGCTGTAGCATCACCACTGCGAATGGTATGCGTGGGATCCAACTGATGAAGGCAATGACTGCAATGACAGCGAATACGGCGAAAACAATGCCTGCTCCCCACAAATGTCGATACAGATAGTAAACAGCTGTGCCAATTGCCAAGGCGCAATTGAGAATGCCAGTCAACCAGACGAATTGTTTTGTGAAGGCGCGAGCGGCGAGGAAGTACGCCCAGGAGAATACGAAGCCGACACAGAGGATGAAGGCGAACAGGACAATGGTATTGGTGTCCAGCGAGCTGCAGGATCTGTCAGCACATTGACCGAGTCTAACAATTTTGTCTTTGACCCGGTCTCCCCAACACAAGGACTTACAAATTGTTTGAAGCTCCATAGATCCCTCCTCCATTGAAGCTATGGTATTTAGAGTAGCGGTACAGCGTGAGCCCTGAAACGGCGACGAATCCGCAGAACGTTGCGATTAGCTGTAACTGGTGAGCATATGTTCTTGTTTCGGCAGCAGCCCCAGGCGTAGGTGTGCTTACCAGCAATCCGGCCCACAGATCATGAAATTTAGGCTTCTGGATCTTGAACGTCTCCTGAAAGGTCTGTTTGTCGTCTTGAGGAGCGACGAAGTTGTCGCCATAGGTGGGAGGGGCCACTGAATACTTGGGTTCTTGCGGTTGCTGTGGCGGCTGAGGAGTGTAATAAGGCTGTTGCGGCGCCGTAGTAGGAGGAGGATACTGCTGATAGTTCTGCTGCTCATATGGAGCACCGGCCATATTCTGATTGTAGTAATCAGCTGCTTGTCCTTGGTGAGCCATGATTGGAACGCAGTCTTGTCAACTCGATTCGTGGGCAGCGCACTTGGGCAGCATCCAGGACAGAGGCGCGACCTTTTGGATGGCGCAAGGCACGATAACAGGTACGCGACACCAGATAGAGGGTGGCAATGGAAATGAAAATGCTGGTTATAGCCGTACAGAGAAGTGAAAGAAAGAATGAAACAGATGGACGAGGAGACAGATTCCAGTGCGGCAGGTATGATCGTGGCACATGTACCCAAGGTCATAATTTGTGTTTTCAGCTCGCCCGGGTTGGCAGCGCGCAAGCCCCAGAGGCAGAAGGAGCCTGGCCATTGGACGCTGACGCCTAGCATCTGGGACCTATTTCGCTAACGACGCCATCGATGAGCTTAAATCTTGTCGCTTGGGACACCCATCCAGTTAAAGCTCGCCCCATTCCCCTCCCTAAAAGAGCACCGTTCTTCAGTGACAGGGCCCCAAAGCATTAATTCCTGGGGTCTGACCGAGGATTTTGTTACTAGCTGAGCCTGGCTCCAATCTCATCATGCGTACCACGTTGTCAGACGGCCTTACAACCCACCCCAACTCAGGACGCCCACTTCATCTGCTCTCTGCCTTTTTTCTGTCTTGTCGTCATTATCTCGCAACCTCTCCACTACCTCAGCTCGATTTCAAGCTCTCCCTGGGTGCTCCCTGTCCCACATCCTCCAATCAGCAACATGGCCCCAAGATACCTTGGTGTGTTGATCGCCGCGTTGCGCATCGGATGTGCCTATCCATGAGCACTCGTAGGCCCATTATTGACTGCGCCTAATATCGAGCCCCGGCTCATCAACTCCGAAGCGACTTTTCAACATCCTGGAATAGTCTTCTCGTTTCAATAATGTCGTCGATCGCTCGCTCCGACCACCCTCGACCATGCCATTGATGGAATCCATCCAGTATGTTTTCTTCGCCTTCGTGGCCGCGTCCTGTGTTCCAGTCTCGACGCTCCTTCTAATTTTCAACCTCTTGTGGCTATCGCTCTCCCCATGGACTTCTATCCACCAGCGTCTCAAAAGAGTGCCAGGGTTTCGATCGAGGACAATTTTCATCACTGGAGTCAATACGCCCCATGGGTTGAGACTGGCCAGAGCGTTTCACAGCACTGGTCATAAAGTTATTGGCGCTGATCACGAGCCTGATGGATTCCCTATCCACGTGCGGTTCTCCAAGGCGTTGAGTCGCTTCTACCGTCTCCCGCCCAAATCCGACGACAGCCGCGAGGTCGCGTACATCGAAAGCTTGGTTCGGATCATCGACCAAGAGCATGCTGAACTTTGGATCAATTGCACGAGCAGCGTAGATCCTAGTACAGAGGCACAAGCGAGGAGTGTCATTGAGCAGCGCAATAAGTGTCAGTGTTTCGCCCTTCGGATTAACGATGTACCTTATTTCGCAACGAGGGAAGCATTTCTCTTATATACGGCCAGCCAAGGACTACCGGTACCCGAAACATATCATGTCAAATCACGCGATGAGGTGCACAATGTGCTTAACAAAGCGCGCGGGAGACGAAAGTACTTGCTGCAAAGTCTGGATCAAAATGGAGTTTACGCCAACTCGGCCAGGACAGTGCTCCCACGGAGAACACTCAGTCAAACATACAATACAGTCTCTCAGATGGCCATTACTAGCACGGTGCCCTGGAAGCTGGAACAGGACGTGAATGAACTTGAGAGATATCACACCTTTGCGATCATTGTGAAAGGCTCTCTCAGAGCCTTTGTGGCCAGTCGGTTGATACATCCTGGCTGCTATCAGCTCTTGGAGCCAAAATCCGCCCTCAATATGTCGATGTTGCGGTTTGTCCACACGTTCGCACGTAACCAAGGCCATGACTTCACCACACACTTGGGGATCGACTTCTGTGTTGAAGAGCAGTTTACAGAATCTGGGGTGGCCCAGATCATTCTCCCGGTCCAGGTCTCTATCCAAGCGCAGGCCGCCGCACAGTTATTTCAGGGCCTGAGCGGCTCGGTGCAATTGTCTCGAGCCTATCTGGACTGTTTGAACGTTAATGGTGTCAACGCCGAGAAACAAATGACAAAGTCAGGTCCTGCAGCTATACAGCACTCTCCACACGACGACATAGCCATGCCGGATTCCAAGATATCTGGAACGTACAGCTTCGGCCAGGATCTCCTGCAGTTGTTCTTTGAGCCGCTCCTCAAACTAATCACGTTAAGGATCGGTATCATTGATTACACCCGGCATTTAGTCCACTTTCTCAAACACTTGGTTTTCTGGGAAGACGACTTATACAACTTTCAGGATCCAATGCCTTTTTGGTGGTCTTACCAGATCTACATTCCACTGCGATTTGTCAGGAACGCCGTGTCCTTGGATGCTTGATGTCTGACGAAGACGTGATTCTGACGTTGCTGACCAAAACTCAGGTGTCAAAAAGCCCTTTACCATAACGGCGCCATGGCATCCAAGAGGTCGACAAGAGAAAAGCCCTTATCTCCCAATGATCAGTCGATGTATCCACCGGGTCCAGATTTCCGGTTCTTGCATTCTGGAATCGATTGCCAACCATTGCGACTGCCAGACTGCCCCGGGCATCAGCGGGCAGCCGCCCATTGCAGATACTGTTTGGCCTTGTAGTCAACACTTGATGAACATTGCCGCTCAAGTTGACAGTCACCGAGTTTCAACATCGATCGAACAAGACACAATTCATTTGAGACTGGTCTCTCTCCACGAAACCCGTACGATGAGGAGTTGGCCACCTCTCCAGGTCGGTCCAGCTTCGAATGCCAGAAAATGGGCGAGCGTCGGTCGGCACGGTGTGAAACGAAGTGCATGTATCAATCCGGACTCAATCCCCGACACAATTTGGCAAATCATCTTGATGATCAACAGTTTGCAAGATTCAACAAAGACTCAGTACGTATGTTGCACATGCTTTCGCAGGCGAGGGTGACCTTGCCAGCTGCCGTGCTCGCGAGAATTGGGCTTCATGGAAATTGCGGCTGGCTAGAGCGGTGGGTTTTCACGTCAAACTTGCAGCATCATGCGAAAATCCGACACTTGTTCCAAGGTTACAAGCGAAGACAGACATGGCAAGACGGGTACACCGTTCATGTCCTTTCCTCATCAGGAAGCATAGGCGAGCAAAGCTCCTTTATTCTGGGATGGGTCCAAGCTGAAATGGGCATGAGGAACGGCGTCCAAGTTTCGTGCTTGGTTAGCGTGGGGTGTCCCAAGCGAACACTTTCGTCTTTTCAGAGGCTGGTCCTGCTACCAAGTATTGCGTCCATTCTCTCCTGCTCATCCGAGCTTCTCAACTCGTAGCACGGCTGAGAGCTGTGGTTGGTTTCCTGAAAGAGCCTTCTTCAGAACGCTGCAACAAGACCATCAGAAACCACCCCTGGCCACTGGATGCAGGATGCGATTGGAACGCAGCTTAAGTGGTCCGCTCGGGCTAGTCTTCGTAAGGCATTTGTCAAAGGAGCGGCCCAAACGATGCGAGGCCGGAACAACGTCCATTCTCGCTGATACAGAAGTCACCATGAGCAACGTCTCCAAGGGGGTGGTGAAGAACAGATTTCTGGGAGGTGACTGGGACTCTCTCACAGACGCTCTTCAAAATGCGGTGGAGATTTCTCCAGGCGTAGAGGAGGGCACAGCCTGGAGGGGAGGTGCAGCGGAATCCTATTCTGGTGCTCTTCAGCTGTAGATCAGTTGCGAAGCTCTACTGGACAATTTTGGCAATGGCTTGGTCTTCAGCCGAATCTGAGCACTCCACTGTCTCAAGAGACGACTCGAGCTCAAACATTGAAAGGGGCTGTCCGTTCGAAGACAATCCTGTATCCCAAATAGTATGGAATGTCGGAGAGAGAGTGCCCAAATCCCAGGAGATCCTACTAAAGATCAGCTAGCAGGACTTGGAACTCCGATCCAACTCCAAACGTGCGCACAGAACTGGGGGCCAATTCTGCCGGTACTACGAATACTGAGACCTTGTGATAATGCACTGGTGCTCATCTGGAAAGGGTTGGTGCTCAAGTCCCGCGGTGGATGGGCGATGGGTTTGATGGTGTGCTTGCTACTTAGTTAGTCCCCTTCTAGACGGGCACCGTGGTTGGACCGAAGCCCGAGAAGTTGGCGGATAGACTCCAGCATTGCGCGTTGTGGAGAGTCTGGACCTGCGCCGACGACGCCTCCTCGCATCCATCGCAGCCATCCTCGCTTTCGGTTTCCGGGGGGGTCACACGCTGGCATACTCTTAGGCGATGTCGTAGGCGATGCTACCCCGCAAAACCAGTGAGGGCCCGGGGGAGGGTGGAGCGCAAAAAAAAGCAAATTGGTGGCGGTGAGTCCAAGTCAGTTAGTCATGTTTGGCTTCCCTGCAGCCCGTGTCAAATGATGATGGGGCGCAGAAACGACTCACAGAAGGAAAAAAAAGGGGGTGAGCAACAAAGGGAGGGAGTGGGAAAGAGAGAGAAAGGGAGAATGGAAGAGGGGGGAAAGAAGCAGCAATAACCACCAGGCCGAATCACTGCCCCCAGTGGCCAGTGGTGATTCTATGTTTCTCGCTATGCTGAGGAGTGAGGACACCGCCCTCGGGAACCAAGGCCCCTCCAAGGGGGTTCTTCAAAGCAACCTTGGAAGTTATGAACACGAACTTCGGTGGCCTTCCGGACTTAGCTTTACGATCTGTGTGACCAAATGGGGGCCGGCACACTCAGCCTGGGATCGTGTCATATTACATGGAGGGTGATGGCGTATTCAATTGTGGCTTTCCAAGGTTCCTATGACAGAGGCCCAAGTCACGCGCGAGTCTATCGTAAGTGTGTGCAGAGCGTAATTGCCAGCACCAGGCATGATATGGACGAAATGGTCATGAGTACGGGTCAGTGAAGGTGGGTGGGTGAGGGTGGTTCGATATGGTAATAGGTAGGTGCAGATGGCAACCCGGATGGGCTGGACAGTCCCTCACCAATAATGGATTCAGTACCTAGCCCACGGAATAATGCTGCGCAATGCCACCTCGTACAGTCCTGTGCCTAGTAATGTCCTCCGTCCCTTAGCGAGCCAGGTACCTGATCCTGCCGACCTACCTATTTCCAGGCTGCAGAGTACTTTGTACTTTTCCCCTCGGGCGGCAGAAAAGCAACCAGGCACGAATTTAGTTCTCTGCCTACTACCGAGTATCAAGTGAATAATACCTAGGAGGCACTCGGTTTCTCTTGTGTATGAGCGCGGAGGACGGAGCAGTCTATGTGCCGTCGGAGACACTTGTCAAAACCTGTCGATGTCGGATATGCGAGCATTGACTGCATCATGGACTACTTACCTAGGTAGGGAGGTACCTCTTAATCAACCAACTACGAGTTGGTACTCGGTACTTTACCTGGACCTAGGTAGTTAGCAGACGTCACCACTCCAGTCAGCGATTGGTACTCGGTACCTATATCCATGCACCACTACTAGTAGGTGGAGTATGTACCAGGTACATACTGGGTACCTGGTTGGTACACAGTGGGTGCAGGCACGATTCACGAATGGTAAATGTCGCTGCCACCATTGAGCGGGCCCAAGCGATATTTGCTCCATATCTGTCCGTTATGTGGAACCATATTACTAGGTGCTCATAACTTTCCTAGTATAGAAACCCACGTCGGCCGGCGAGCGTGAGCAGGTACTTGTGTGTACGGTAGGTCCATCCGAGTCAGGGTGATGACAATGACTCAGATTAACAAGAACAACAACAAAATCAACAAACCATCACCACGAAGCTCAAGCGAACTGGTAAGTTCCCACATCAACCACCTACCGGGGCTCCGAACACGATCTAGAAGGTCGAATATTGAATCTTGAATCTCGATGGAGAATATTTCCACTTATTGTTATGGAGCCCAGATATTCGGATGGACATGCTACCCGGGCACTCGTGAACCGTGACTCGTACACGGCCTCGAAACCTTGACCTCCCGGTGTCGAACTCAGTTGCGCGTGGATTCTGCATGCGTCCCATGTGTGCGTGCTTGCGAGCGGCTGTCTACCTGTCTGTACGTGTGAGGGTGTGTGTGTGTGTGGGCCGGGAGTCAGTCCGGTAACTTCCTCGTGTGAGGTTTCATGGACACTATTTCCTGTCTCCTGTACTCCCGGAAATAGCACTCCTTACCAGATCGTTGGTAAGGTACGGTGAGAGGAAAACTCTTCCAGCGAGACAATGATGAATCATGAAGAATCAAAGGAGATGTGTGCCGAGTAACAGGGGACGAGCGATTGAGTGATCGATCAGGATCAAGATCGATCAGGCGATCAGATTCACCCAAGCAAAGAGCAGGGGAAGCAAAGCGGGGTTGGGTCACCCAGACGGGAACAAGATGGAGACAGAGAAAGGCAGGGGAACCAAACAAAAAGGCGGTGGAATGCATGTCGAGCCCAAGTTCAGTGGGTAGCAGTTCCCAAAGAAGCCAAACCTTGGATACAAGTAATACGTACATAACCTGTCCAGGAAATAAAGATCCAGCTGGGTTTGAGTTTCCAGCTGCGTGGCCCAGCGGCCGCAAGTGGGAAGGAGGAAGAGAGAGGGGAATGAATGGAAACTAAGTCTCGCCCACAGCGAGTGGTGGGGACGGGCGGGAAGGGAAAAAGTTGCTTTTCGTTTTCCTGGCGGAGATAGTATCCGCAGCACAGTTGAGGCACATTGTGGGTAGGTGAGACAACGGATGGGCCGCCGACGGGAGGGCGGACGGGGAGATGTGTCAGGTAGCAAGATCTGAGAGCACAACAACGAGGAAGAAAAGTGTGCGAGACACTGAACAACAAGGTGGCGAGTAGAATCCAAGGCAACAGGAGAGAAACCCCTGCCCTGATCAATGTTCATCCTGCTAATTTTTCCCTGTCCTGAGGAGTCCCTGTAAGATCATGCTATAGTAGAGGCTTTGCTCGGCCAGTTTTTCTTTCATAACCACAAATGATGACAAAGGAAAACCAATGAGGAGGCGAGTGCTGTGCTCCTAATCCATCAACTTTCTTGCCTAAAAGCCGCCAATAAAAGGAAAAAGGAAGAGAATGTGGTCCATCGATGTCTGGTTCCATCCTTCTGTCCATCCCTGGCATCATCCCATCAGGACCAACCATCAAGGCTTTGCATCTCGCATTGCATAATGTTAACATCTTGATATCACAAGTAACAACCCAAGAGCATCAACTCGATTCAATCCCGATCTCTTGTTTCCCAATCTGCGCCCAGCCCAATCTAGATGCTTGATGCACAACACTGACCAAACATCAGCAACACAGCCCGTCATCAATTACAGCAGAAGAAACACCATACGCATGTGCTGCTCTTGAACCCTCAGAATGACCGCAAGCGCTTGTAAACCGCTCCATATTTTGCCCAAACCCTCTTTCATTTTCGTAGTAGTCAAACCAACGCCAATGTAAATGCAGTCAACTTTTGTCCCATACCCTCCAGGCTATGCATAAAACACAATGAGATTAAAGCTGGTAATGATCATCTGCTTCTCTGAAAGGCTCCAACCTGATTGTCCCCCATCGTCAACCTCATATTCCCGTGGTACTTCGTAATCACCAGTCGTAGAATGCTGGTTCATGGCCCTCTCCAAGAGGCTTTGATATCTTCGTTGCTTTGCATCGACACTCGTCTTTTCAAGGTCCTTGTCTGATCGAAAGATCCCGCATAGTCTTTCAGATCATTCTGGGCTTGTTCGGACAGCTTCGGGCTGATTGGGCGGGAGATAAAAGACGTAGAGAGCGAATTCGATGACGAGGTCCGGTGAATGGAGAAGTCGTAGGCTGGTGGAAGGTAGAGACCAGGTGTGGTGATGGTCAGGGAAGGGCGTTGTGACGAGGAGAAGAAGGTGGTGATACTTGTGTCACGGGGAGAGGAGGATGGTGTCGACGACCCCAGGGTATAGTGATCGAGTTGTGTGAGACGGCATGCCGAGGAGCAGAAGTTTGTACCGTTGGTTTGGCGATCGCAGGACAGGCAGAAGTCTCCGAGAAGGAAATCCATGTTGTTGTTGTTCTGTTGTACGACTCTGGAAGGAGAGATGGTAGGGTTCAAGTGACTAGAGAGGCTGAAGGGAGAGAGACTCGTCCAAAAATGGCTGGTGGGTGACGATTTATATTTCCTCTGAGGAGGGTATCGCAAGGCCACAGGCTGACCAATGTGGTGGTTATAGCCGTGTGGCAGTGGTGGGTTTGTCAATGGAGGGTCACGCAGGCAGACTTGTATCTCATCCTCAGACGCGGCTGACGTTTGATGTATCTGTGAATATAAGAGGGTGTGCCAGAGGCTGAGAAGCTATCCGGGTTCCAGACGGTAATGAATCATAAAAGTTGTCTTCTGAGAAGGAGGGGGAGGTGTGTGTGAAGGTCAAGGGCTGATGATGGGAGGCTTCGTCCTTCTAGTAGATAAAGAAAATGTAGTGCATATTGGGAAGCGTGGAGGTTCAAGGGCTAAGAGGCCCCAAAGATGTGCAGAGGAGGGTGCCTGATCGGGAATGGCCTTCGTGTTTGAAGGCTGCAGTAGCCTGGAGGGAAAAAGAGGGGAACAACTAAGCTGGTTTGGATGCCCACCAAGTCATGATGGAGCCGGGGGGTGGTCTAGGGGGTCCCACCCTAGAGCAGCAGCAGCCTAACAGTAACTGGAACATCCCGGTCGGCGATTAGCCAGCAGCCAACAGCCATCATCCAGCGACCAGCGGCCAGCGGCCAGCGCTGTTGTGCAGCTGTCGCACCCTGCAGGCTTTCAGGCTTCAGGTGGCCCTTGGGAAGCCCTCGTCCCTGCCCGTCTCATCTCCAAGCTTGTCGCCTTCACACCACCAATACTGGCCAAAACCCCCTCCTCACTTGGATACTCACTCCACTTTTTCACGCAAGCACGCACACACACTCTCTCTCACTCAACTCAACTTACTCAATTCACTCACACACCCTGCAACTCCGCAGTACGAGGGTCATCTATCCACCACGGCTCCTTCGGCCTGAGGCGTGTTCCTCTTCCTTTTCCTGCTGCTCCTTGTCCTCGCTCCTCGCCTCCCCGTCCTACCGCCTTGACCCTCCGACATCTCGTCTGCCCTCGGTGGCCACCTGCAGCTAAACGAATCCATGAGCCCAGGGGCCCCAATCCTGGCAACCGTGCCTCCCACGCAATCAAGGCACCATCCAATCCGCTCCCTGCAGCCAGCCGAGTCCTTGCTTCTTGGACTGAGAAAGCTTAGGCCCAAGCCGTCACATCCTCGAGCTACAGCTGAGTTACTCACCTTTTCGATGAGGGCTCATAATTACCTCGTACGCTAGTTCCAATGGCCTGAGCGAAAGCGGGATGTGCGTGCTAGTAGTGGGAGACTGGTAACAAGAGGCAGTGCTGCCGCGACGTCGCTGTTGCAGAGTCACCGGACCTTTACAACTGTACACCCTCCGACTCACAGACTCTGGGAGTGACCCGTTCGAGACGCCCTCATCCCTAAAGGGTGATCATGCCGCTGCTTCGTTAACCCAACCCTGAACCAAAGGGTGCTTTTTGGGCCCATCAGGCCTTTGCCCTTTGCTCAGCCCTAGCGGTAGCCTCCGTGCTCAATAACCGCTGACACAAATCTTATGGGCAACTACCCGCCCGTGGTCATGCTTTGCGCTGGGCTCGTGAGATTGTTCTTTTCGAAAACTATGCCGCTTCGACCGTGTTCTGGCATTCTTTGAGGCCCAAATCACCCAGATTCGTGGCTAGACTTCCAAGAATACCCCCGTCCATCCCGTTTGGTTCACCTGGAGAGTTTCCACTACAGTTGACATGGTTCATTAGGCCAACCAAGGGACGGACCTCGCCCTTTGCTAGGTTTAATTCGTCGACCTTATGCAACACCCTCCCACACCATCGTATTTGCGGTCTAGAGCTTGCAGCAGCTTTATGCACAAACGCTTGGCTGTCGTACCATTCGTGCTCAAGGGCGTGGGATGTTATTTTGTTGTGAGTGGCCTGCCACCTGGAATGCCAATTTTCCTGCCATGGGAAAGATCGCACGGTTGGAAAATTTACGAGCTATTTCTCAATACCTCCACGTTTGAAAGTGTGCAACCCTCGCGGGTCAGGCACGAGCAAATTCCTCACGGTCGTGGTGAGGCCGTTGTCCGTCTACCTGATTCCTATCCGGGATGCTGACCTTTTTTTCTTCAGAAGATGCAAGGGATAACATTTTTTTTTGCTTTTCTTGTGAGAACAACGTCAGCATGCGAGATCACATTCTCAGAGCTCCTGGCTCCTACGATATCTAGCAGTGGCCCAGTGGGAAGATCCGGCTAGCTGCTCGGCTTGATGCAGTAGCTCCACGTCCCTTGCGGAATACTATCAGTGGGGTTAGTGTTCGAAACCCTCGACACTCACAACTGAGGGCATACTTGTGCGATTACTCGTGCGTGAGACCTGTTCAATGCGCTCAGTGGTTGATCTGTGACTCGGGCATCCAGGACAGTCAGAAGTCTCAGTGACTCGCCCATGCCGACTCGCCCAGTCAATGCCCTTCCGCAATCAAGGATTGCAGCCAAAGTCTGATTGGCACGGGCGCGATGAGCGCTTCGGCCCACCGCAACCGACCTGGAAGTTAAAAGACTGAGCGTCGTCGGTGCTCCACCAGTATGAGACCTTGGACTAGCACAGTACGAGGGTATGGTGTCGGCCACATAGGCCACCTTTCATTCAGAAATGCCAATCTCGCTAACGATAATCTGTGCTCAAGACGAATCACGCGCCTGAACCTGTCCGTGCTGCCGCTACTTCAGAAATGTGACAGGTCAGTTTGCGCTAACGGTCTGTCGACCCCGCGCTGTCAACGGTCTGCTAGCCGCGACAGCAGCGAATGCCACAGAGAGTGTTTCAGGCCTTTGGCGCAATTGGCATTGTAGCACGAAAGTGAACCCCACACCAGCCAGCTCCCCCTTGACGTTCAACTGGGAGAAACGTGCTTGAGCAATTATTGCGCACCAAAACCACGAGTCAGTGCTTTGTTGGACCCGGTCGAATTCGCAATGAGGCATGTTAACAAGAGGGGCAATTGCCGTCAACACCCTACGCCAGTCGGTACAAGGAACAGTACTCACCACAATGGTTTCGCTGATCATTTGACACGGTTCTTTCCAGCTCCAACATGACGGCGGGTCAGTTACTGCGCACCTTGTCGCAGAACATACAGGCATTCTCCTTGTCATCGTGGTATCCTCCATCCTTTACCTGTGATGCCGTACTATCCGGCTATTGTCTTGGCTGGAGATCCTGTCTGGGTCTGAAGTCGATCACCATACTGAGGACTCTCAATCATGGGTATGGGATGTTAGGGGTTAAAATCTAAGACCCCACACCAAAGATCGACTATCAAACACCTTGCACGAACGGATGGAGGCGACCTCACATGGCCCAAAAGTGGGAGTGGGTTGTTGCAGGAGGGGTTCCGCACTCATCGTAAGACTTGTCGGATCAGCAAGCTGCAAGAAAATCTTGTGCCAAAGCTAGTTGATCCATTGAGCCAGCTCACACTTGGTCCTGAAAGGTACACAGTGTCACACCCTCGACATGGCGCCCGCATTCAGAGGTTGTCGGAACCCTGCTTGGGACCTCTACAGGGGCGCCTGCGGTGACCCGGCTCAATGTGCTCGCTCAAGGCTCGCTGAGTGGCTCCGCATGGACTGGCTAGTGAACCATCCTATATCTACGAGCAGCCGAGGACGACCATTGGTTTGTTGGCCCAACTCGTACGACAAATCCAGGAGACTGCTCGCGATAAGAGACGAGGGTCTTGTGTCTGACTGCTGTTGGGGGCACCTCACTGCGCCATTTCTGCGCATACCCTCCGAGATGAATGGGACACAGACGGTGAGAGGCCATGGAGCACAAAACGCGCGCCCTCAAGCAACGATGCCTTTGGTTTGCACCATTCCGCAGTCTTCTTGAATCAGATAATGCGGAGAAGGATTCCCGCGCCAGCGGTCAGGTCCGTCGCCCGCCCACCGAGCCACGCCGACCTGCATTCCCTCTAGTGCTGACCACTCTTCTCAGCCTGATGCATCTTTTTACCTGCCACTGACGTGATCTCTGGGTACCTGAGGCCCGGTTGCCGCGCGGAGCCTACTTATTATTGCTGGTAAAGGTAATCCGATCGGCAGCCTTGCATCGAGCTACGGGTTTGCGGAGGCTGGACGGTAATCTTCCGCCTTACAGGGCACGGTGTGATCTACCGTCTTCCAGGAGGCGGGTCATGGCCTAGATTGGTAACACAATGCGTCCAGAATCAAAAGATATGCTTCATGTCATGTCCGAGGATCTACCATGTGCCGGATTGGTCGCAGCCAACCCCTGCGAATCACCAACGTCAATACCAGTCGAACCAAAGGCTGACCGTGGAATGTTTTCAAGTGTACGAGAACCCGAGACCACCAAAAAGCTGCTCTCCGCCAAATGGTTGTGGCACCATGTGCGAGGCCGAATGTGTGCGATTGGACAGATTAGAGATTGGTGCATTGCGTGCTCGCGTTGATCACATGGTGCTGCGAAAGCTCCGTCTTCGTGTTGCACACGAGAAAGATTTTGTGAGTGTGCGCTCGTCACCCCTGCTCTTCTCATAGACTTTCCATGAGGTAGGCCTACCGCTGCGGCCTGTCTATTCCTACAGAATGAGCGCACAACAATGCCCACTGACATAGCTGCGAATACATTGTCAGCGGCTGGTTTCGTCTGGCGATCTTTTGGTTGCTGACCACAACGGTCTAAATTTGATCCCACCGTCAACAGGAGATGATAGATCGTTTTCACAAAAGGACTCCCCTCCACAAGGGCGTGGCGGTCTGGATCGGACGAACCACACCCTCTCCCGCAGCACTCGGGCAACAATTGGACGGAATTGTGACGGTGACAGCCTCGACCTCTATCAGATGACTTGTGGCGCAAAGCAACGATAAGGGTTCAGGCAAATGACCCTGCCGCAAGTGTCAGCTTTCCACTCAAGAGGGAAAACGGAATCCCCTTTCGGTTTCGGAAACCTGAATGGAACAAGTTTGAATCGTTCGCAGCAGCGCATTGCTCCCAGCCAGCGTTGGTTTCGTCCAAGTTTCCAAATCAATACAATAAATCTTACCAGGCTATCCTCAACAGCTGAAGACAGTGTCCGCATACGCCGAAGGGGCAGTTGTAACAATCAAGGCATCCCCGTTTCCACGCATCTCTCTGGCCCCAGTACCATTACTCTCAGCTCGTGTCTCTCTCGCCATACCCAGACCTTCGATTCTGCCGCGTGGTCTGTTCCGTCACACCTTCCACTCAAAGTCTGACCCTTCCTGTGGCTGCCAAAGAGTTATTCCAAGTCAACTCTCGGACTTCATCCTCGCACTATTGCCGGCTTACTAACATTACTAACGTGCAGTCCTTCCTTCCAGATCCGGTTCTTTGCAGCCTCGAAGGACCATACCGCATCCTGACGATATGCTCTGCAGTGGGAGCTGTTGAGCTTGCCCGTGGTTCCTGCTGTGACAGAGGTGGGTTTCATACCAAGCAGAATCCTCCGTGCCGAAGATGGGACCTCTGGAGGGCGCACTTTCCCCCTGTAGCACTGTCGCCATATCACGTTGGCCAAATGACAGTGGCCAACCCAGCAAGATGTGATTTCTGTTATAGAATCCGAAGCTTCCCAGATTTCGACAGGATTTCCCATTGTTAGGCCAAGGGGCTTGTCATCCTACCTAGCCTTCCCGGCTGCCTACATGTCTATTGAGCAGGAAACATACAGTTTGTGTCCGACAGTGTTTTCCGGAACAGACACAGATTCCCAGATCTAGTACCACTCGACTGTTTGGTGTTTCCCAAAGCTTCGTTCTGCGAGAAAGCGAAATGTGACCTTAAAACGGGAAAAGCCGACAAGCGAGATGCAGACCCTAGGTACATGGTATATTAAAGGGGAATGAGTGCACCAGGAACGAACCTGTGCATCCCCTCCCCTGTCGCCCCGACCTCATCTATCAATGATCCACCCCGGTCTATAAACCCTTCTATTCGCCCACGCGGTGACGTTGATCTATCTCTCCGTCTATCCACCCATCCATCCATCCATGTAACTTTCTCGATGGACGGCGTCTCGGACCAGTCAGGAGAAAAAAGACGACCAAAAGCCGAAAAAGCACACCCGCGCGCAAGCCGGATCTTCTCGACAGAAACCCCATCGCGGACAAAGACATCGCTTTGTCTCGCCCGGAGGGAGGAAGTTGAAGTGTTGGTATCAGATTAGAACTGTGTATAGCCAGCATAAGATGAGACATGGGTAAGGGGGAGGAGGTGGGCGTAATTTGTGATTAAGATACTCGAGACTCGACACAAGTCTGAATCGTAAAGATCAAAAGTTTAGTATACAAAATATTCCTCTCTCACCGCAAAAGAGTTTCCGCCCGCTTGCTATGCACATAATACTGGGACATCAACCTCCAGCAGCCCAATCCACCAGCTGCAGGCTCCGTGGAACAGCTAATGCAATTCTCGTTGCGTTCATACGACACAATCCTGTCGGTTCATTGCCAACTAGAAGAGATCAAGAAGTGGGCTAGACCATCAAGCGTCTGAAGTTGATATTCGAGCACTTCATATTGACCCTTCACTGTCATTCATCCTTCCTCTTCAAGCTCAATGACTTGGTCCCGTGTTTGCTTGTTATCATGGCGGCATTTTTTCTTCGCTCCTTTGGTGCTCCTCGTCGCAAACATTCCGGTCGATTTTGGTGGCCCTCCAATCTTTGACTTGTCTTGTCCACCAAGGTACGCTCCTCCCTCACTTGACAAGCAGTCCAAGACATCCCAGGGGAAGTAGATCTGCCATTTCCCGCCTGAAAGGATCCGAGGGCGCTCTGAAGCCTGTCTGCGGTGGAGAAGTTACACCGGACGCAGGGCTCTGAAGAGGATTAGCCAGATAATCGTCGCTGCTCGCGGATTTCTCTTTTGCCAAGAGCGCTCTGCTCTAATCGTCGATCAGTTGCGTTATATAAGCCTCGTCCTCCTGAGCGCGGAGTTCCTTTTCGAGCTGACAGATTCTCACTCGGAGGTATCGTTGGATGACCGATGTATGCATCGCTGATCGTTCGCGGCAGTGAGACGTCGCGGCGAATTTTTGCCAGTAGTTGAACAAGCCTTCTTTTCTTGTGCCCTGCTCGACGATTGACTTGTTCCGCATCTTCTCGGTCCCCTTCTTTGTCTCGCGTGCTCGGAGAGCCAGTAAGTTGCCCTTCAAATAGTTCTGCTAAGTGTATCTCACGTGCTTGCTCCACTGCACTGGATGACTTGTCACCTGTGTCGCGTCTTACAGCATCTTCAAACCCGACTAATTCTCTGACGGGGATGTGGTCGGTTGGTGATTTGCTTCCCAACACACCGGACCGATCCGGCTCAGCGAATGCTCGAGGACGCTTTTGTGGATCGGCCCTGATCTTTCTTCCGCGGAGGAGGACCCCTTGGATTCGGTCTTTATGATATGGCATGTTTTGGACAAAGCGGCAGGTTTGAGGAGCAGTCTTCCGAAGAGCCATGTATGTGGCTCTGTCGCCTTCTGCAGCAAGTCTGTTTGCTTTGAGCAGGACGCTCGCGAGGTGGACTGCAGTGTAATAGGTTGGCATCAACTGGCCCGGGTCCCGCTTTTCGACGGTCTTGCGGGCAACGGGCGTCGGAGGAGACCCTTGTGATGCCTTGGATGACAACCACTTACCACGCCGTAAGACTGGCCATGGAGGGGTATTGGGAATCATCTTCTGCTCAAAGAGTTCATAGGCAAGTAGCCAGTGTTGCTGATCCTTCGACTGTGTCAAAATTTGAATGTACATATTCCAATTTTTACTAGTCAATGCAAACCCCACTCTCTCCAGCTCGGCCACGAGAGTTGTAGCCCGCGATTGGAGTTCACGGACAGACAAACTGCTCAAGTATCGTGTCAAAGGGGCTTCGAGAATGTATCTTTGTGAGGGAATGATCGCCAGTCCGGGCTCGTCCAACGGACCAGAAGTTGGGGCATCCTGTGGAATCATCGACTCGAACAAGAAGGTCTCCTTCGTGAGAAACTCAGTGTCGGGTAGACCTATGGGTAGAACCGGCAGAAGTTGCTGGCCATCAGGAGCTCCGCTTTCGGCAGGGATTTTCTTTCCGCCTGCACGGGAAAATCTTCTTGCTGTCTGGACACCGCGTTCGAGGATCTCTTCCCAAGTAGACTCAACCCTTCCCCAGTCACGACTCTCGCTTGAAAGCATCAGGCGTCTAGTCAGGAACTGGATCGAGGAAGAGGCGGCATTGCTCAAAGTAAGGTATGATGCCTGTGAGAGAGACTGAAATCTCTGGACGAGCTTCTCTGCACGCTTGATTTGACCTCTTGCTGCAAGGAGGTCGATAAGATACTCCAAATATACTGCTGGAATGGCATCAACGCCTCGGCGGCGGCGCAGACCGGGCTGCGGTTGACGTGCTGCGCGGTCCTGCGTTGAGAGCTCATGGAGAATCTCTTCCAAGTACTGAGCTGCGAACCGGGGCTGTTCATTGGGTATAGAGTTTCTACTAGCCTGTAGATGGAGCATCGCAAGACGTGGACTGGCTCCAATCCTTGGAAACCTCTCAACCATCTCTTGATAGACAACACTGGCCATGTCCCTGTCACCCTCTTTTGCAAATCCGTGCAAAATGATGGCATAATGAAAGGGTGTAGCGGCAAGTGCCTGACTCAAGTTCAAATTCCTCAGTATTTTCATCGCAACCCGAGTTTTGTTCAATACCACGAGCGCTGTCATGAACGCAGCGTGAGTCATAGCATCGGGCTCGACTCCTAGCGCCCTCATACGGCCCTGGACACGTAGCATAGTTTCAGCATCCGCTGCGAATGCGTAGTGACGTAGCAGATAATTCCACATTGTGACAGGCGAGCCCTGAAGATTGGCAGTGGTGGCTGCTTCAGCTAGCCTCTCCGCAGCTTCTGCTTGATCATTAAGGCAGTATGTTTGTATCAGACCAGTGACCAAACCATATGAGCCTTGTACTTTATTCTGCTGGGCTTGTTCAAGAATGTCCAGTACAGTATCGGTGTCGCCAGTTCTTGAGAAGATACCCATCAAAGTCGTAAAAGTAAACGCATCCGGTGCTACTCCCTCAGCCTTCATCTTGTCGAAGACTTCAAAGGCCCGCCAAGGTTCGAGAGACCTGGAATGTGAATAGAGGAGGATATTCCAGCAATAGGAGTTCGGGCGTACTCCAGAGTCGACCATTGACTGAAATTCCCGTTCTGTCCCTTGCACATCGCCAAGGCGAGCGAAGACGTACAGGAGCGGTGTGTAGTACGCCACGTCGGTGGGCCGTGAATGGGCCTGGCAAAGGCGTGAAAAGGTCTGCTGGACACCATCAACATCACCTTGAGCAGCAAGGGCTGAGAGGACCTTTTGGTAGCTCTTGAGATCTGCAACACCGTAGAACTTTGAAAATTCATCCAGATAGTGGTTGTAGGTCTCAGCAGGGGCTCCTTCATCGCAGTGTATCGATAAGAGCGAACCAAAGGCCTGGGGTCGTGGCGGCACTTCTGGGAGACTTGATCGAAGCATGTTGTACACGAGATCAGCCAATGCTCCCTTGTCCGGTCTCACGGCGCTTTTGTTGATGGTATCAATGGCAGTGATGTAAAGAGACGGTTTGGACAGCGCTAGGTCGGTCGAGAGCTGTAACAAATGTTGCAGTCCACGCGGTGTGATTATGCTCATAAGAGCACCATTTCGTACTAGGGCAGTCAGAAGCTCGTTGAATAGAGTTGAGAGAGTTCCTGAATGTTGCATGGTGACTGTCGCCCGCTCCTGCAGCTTTGTTCCAAGTTGGTATATTGCGAACGGTAGATCGCGGTAATTGCCAATCTCCTTCGCAATGGCAAGCCGAGTTGGCGATGTTTGTCCAGCCCGGAAAGGAACTCGCTTGAAAGAGGTATCCCACACCGTAGCAGCGGTATTCCAGAGATGATTGGAGACAGCATGTAACAAGAGGAACACACTGCAGCCTTGTTGCATGTTGCGCCTGGTAGCACGAGCATTGATTCTCAAAGCTATCCGATAGTTGTCCGCCTTTAACGCTGATCGAACGGCTCGCTCGTAATCAGCTCGAGATCTCTGCTCTTCATCCATGAGTCTGAAGGCGCTTAAAGCGAGGGTCTGATCTCGTCTTCTGCTTGACTTGGAAAGGAAATGGAAGACTTCAGACGCGTACGCTTGCTGATTCGGGAGCTGGTTGAACAAAGCCCAAGCGCGATCAAAATCGTCGCTTTCCGGGTCTGGCTGCACATCCCTGTTGGTATCGAGGAGGTGCAAGAGATGTTTTTCTGTTTCCTTGACGGTTGGAATCGCATGTTCGTTCCCCGACTCTTCATGCGCGCCTGCGGCAACCGGATCATTGCTGCTGCTTCCTATATCTTCCACAATCATGTGTCTCGGAGTGCTGGATGGTGGATCGTGTAGAAGTACATCCTGCAAATTCTCCTCTTCCTTGGCAGACACGGCAGTAGCTTTTTGCCTGAACTTTGCTGATCTAGTATAGGCTCGGGAGGACGAAGATGGAAGACGGGTAGAACATCCATCGGATTTCGAAGCTCGAACTCGGGATCGATGAGGAATCTCGCCGGGTTCGACTAGCCAGGACTGTCTCGGGCAGGGAAGAACGGACTCGAGGCCAGGTGGATTCGAACGCCGAGCTCGGATGCTACTGAGGTACAATGGCCACCAAGGAGAAACGTCCAGCTGGTTACCTCCATTTTTCCAGAAAGAGGGACCAAGCGCACGGTGCGTGCGAACAGGAGGCTCGAGCCGTCGAAGAAAGAGTTGAGATGCTGGTTCAATGCATGCCGCAGTCCGCTCTATCATGCCACGATCAAGACGGAGGGTGTATAGTCAAGCTCAAGATAACGATTGCTAATGGTGGTAGTCGACTGTCTTTCGGGCATGTAGAAATGGATGGGAGAAAGCCACTGGAACAACGGGGGCAAAAAGACAGGTTGAGATGGCAAGCCGAACGTGAATCAATGATGAGCATCAGGTGAGAGAAAAGTCAAAAAGTAAACGAGGTGTACCTCGTATCTGGCTCGCTGGCTCGCTGGCTCGCTGGCTCGCTGGGCCTGCGCTCGCTGGCTCGTGCTTGCTAACGCCGCTACGCCGCACATTGGGATTTGTCCCCACATTTTACGTCTGCCCTCATTTCTCCATTGCAACTTGAATGCCACGTTGAGGCTTCCAACACAAGCAACTCTGGCCCAACTCGCTTCCAACATGGATATCACCAGTTCGATCGTCTCTGAGCGCGAGCGGGCTCTGCTGGGAGGAGACTATGATGCCTACCATGCTCAAGCCACCCGGAAAATCCACAACCTCCGCAGGCGACTTGGTGCCGCAACTCGGGGGAAAAAATACACTCCCAAGGCCCCAGTGACTGTAGAGAATGTGTCCAAGAATGCAGAGTAGGACTCTCATCTCAGAAGTGCAGCTGGTTGACTAACTTGTTTCACAGATGGGTGCAACTGCTTCTGGCCAGCTCCGAGCGAGCATGGGCATCTTCTATGGCCATGAAATCGGCCCAGTCGGCAGAAAACACCCAGAAGCCCATGCCCGGCTCCACGAAACGACAAATCGCTTCCAGGCTTCGAAGAGCCATTACCTACGCCGACAATCTTGTGACGATCCTGCAAGATCGCAGCGCGACCGGCGCAAAAACGATAGACGAACTCGAGGCACGTGCTTATCTCGCCATGTTAAGAGGAAGTCTGGATTTCGAGAAGGGAAGATGGCAGGGATGTATTCAGAATTACTCCATCGCTCAGGTTGTGTACACCACATTGGCGCGCTCATCGAAGACGGATACGTACAAGGAACTGTTATCAGGCATCGTCGAACCCAGTATTCGTTATGCCGCATACCAGATGAAGATGCCCCGCACAAAAGCCATCAATGACATCGCTATTGAGAATTTCCCTCCTAGCGAAACCACTGTCCGGAAGGAGATTGAGAGCATCAATCCACAGTCATTCTCGACTGGGACAGAGGCTGCCCCCACGAAAGGAGGTCCCAAGGAAATCCCCTCAACAATATCCTGGAGGGGTAGGAAAGTGAACCTGGAAGACGCCAACATCTCTGAAGCCCTCGGTCTCGCTAAAGAACGGGAAGATGAGTTGAACACAGCCTACAAATCTTTCAAAGATGGATCTCTAAGTGCCAACGACCTAGCAACCGCTTACGAAGAAGTCATCACCGCTCGTCAGGACGCCGCGGATGCCACGAAGACTGCCATTGACGAGCTGATTGCCGAAGGCGTTGACACTGGCGATGCTCGCCTGCAGTCACTACAAATAACTCGTACGGCAGTTAATTACGGCGTGATCGAATGGCGGATTGGACGCAATAGGGTCCTTTGTGGTGCCACGGATGACGGTCTCGCTTTTGAGTCCGAGAAGCCTACAAAGGCCCTGAAGCCACGCAAGGACGGCAAAACCCGCGCCCCCAAGGAGGAGAGTTCAGGTCGCAAGCTATCGAGGTTGCGGGAGAGGGTTGCACTCTACGACTCGATTCTGCAGAGTCTCGATGCTGTCAAGGAATTACCTGGTGTCATTGCGGACAGCGCTTTTGTGGACGAGCTTGATGCAAAACGAGCATACTTCCGTGCTTTGAAGTGTTTGGCTGTTGGCCGGTCACATGCGATCAGTGACCATATACCAAATGCGTTGGCCCTGTATGCTCGAGCACTTGGGCTGGCAGAGAGTGCCACAGCCGCGTTGAAAGCAGCACCCACCGACAACGATTCAGCACCACCAAAACTCGACCTGTCATCCCAGCACCTCACACAGACGACAGCCACTCTCAGCAAACTAGTCACTCAGTTCCGTGCACTGGCTGACTTGGAATCTCTCGGCAGCGCAACGAAGCCATCATCCCTCAAGGACACCGCCTCAGCGACCGCCATGAAACCTGCTCCTCTCATCGAACGCCTCTCCCACAACGAATACATTCCGGACGTGGATCTAACCAATCTCGTGAACTACCCTCCAAAACTCCGCCCAGTGCCCGTGAAACCGCTCTTCTTTGATCTGGCATGGAACTACATCAAGTATCCCGGCCAGAAACGACCCGAAGGTGATGCAGGAGCTGAGGAGGACGTACAGATGGGAGGAGTCGGAGAGGAGGTGAATGGAAAGGTTGAGAAGAGCGAGGAGCAGAAGCCAACGAAGAGAGGATGGTTTGGCTTTGGCCGCTAGGTATCCCGGGCGCAAGTGTATCGCTCCGTGGGGAAGAGTGGTTGCACTTGCTTGTCAGGGTGCAGGGAGCAGGATACTCTTTGTCATCGCGACGGCGGACTCGAGCCTCCCATGTGGACCATATCAAGCCATCTAAACGACATCTGAAGAGAAGGAGATGAACCCGTGTTGTACACACGCAGAATCTTCTCCCCCATCAGCGAGCAATAGCACACTGATAATACCGAATGCAAGAATGGCTATTCGACCGAGATATGGAATGAAAGGGAATGGAAGGGACATAGGCCCAATGACGGAGAACCCATGACAGGGGATTGATGCCGAGCGTGACCTACCTACCTATGATAGCTCAACTTTGTCCATCCAAGCAAACGATGTATGAGGCCCATCGAACGAACAAGACGAGTAGCTCACCTTCCTACATACATACATATACAGACAGACAGATGTGTTTGCGGATAGCTCTACGGACAGAAAAAAACAGACAAGTCAGGCGGATAACCAGATACCTAGGTAGACAGACATGGAGACATGGAGACCTCATACGTACTGGGTTAGTCGTCCATGAAGTCCAGCCCCAGCCCAGCCCCAGCCGTCTGAAAAGTGATGAACTGCAAATCCATCTTGATGCCATCCACCTACCTACCTATTCATCCATCCATCCACCTATCTGTTGACTCGTGCGTAGATACTGTGTACCTAGGTACCTAGGTAGCTGCTCGAGAGTCGTCTCCTGGGTCCATGAGACTCGGTATCGCCGTGTGTCACACCACCTGACACCACCCACCACACATCCACGCAACCCACACGAAACAACAACCAACGTCGCCAGCTCTTTTGACTTTTTCGGAGGATTAATATTTTTCGCCTCGTCTCGCCTCGTCTCTCGCTTCACTAACCCTTGCATCCCTTGACACGTGGGCAGCTAGGCGAGAGCTGTACGAAATAAAAAAGTTTGAGAAACGTCAAATGGGCGGCTCGCCCGTGTCGTTGGGTCCAGATCCCTGTTCAGCTGAAAAAGGCCAGCACACAACATCTCACACATATTACTTCGTTGCGATTCCATTCATTCTAGACCTTTCAATGCAACGGCAGCCCTTTTGGCTCTGGTTGTCCCTCCTTTTTGACGTCGCTGTCGTCCAATTGCGCATCATAAATATCTATACTGGTACGTGATCTGCAAAGACGCCTCGCTCAGCAGAGTCGTTGATTGCCCTTACGAACCCTAAGAAAGCCAACTCCAAAAACCCAAACACAGCTGATCCAGACCACAATCCACCCACCACGTTTAATCCTCCCGGAAATCCTGTTCCATTCGTATTCCATGAGCTAACTTTTTCCATATCTTGACACTTGATCCGGTCCAGCCGAAGTGTCATCTGGGCAGCGTCACACTTGGAAGTTCTCTTGCGGTGCCTTTGTCGCCAAATCGCCTTTCCCCGGACGGGATCGTGAAGACACTGGGGACGAGTTCTTAGATGAGGTGATGTTCACTCAATAGCAGCCGAATCTATCGGGTCCGCCGAGCAAGAAGCTTCCAACTCAAGGCTTGTCATCCGGAGAAGGCGCGTGGCTAGGAAGCTGGACGTTCAACGCCTTCCCTCAAACGTCAATGTCCGTCGCCGCCAGACAATTCGAGCATCTTGGCCATCGCAGAAATGTTCCGTCCCGTCAAATTTGCAGTCCTCACTGAGCAGACTGCCCTGAGGCGAAGGTGGTGGGTAGGAATGTCGTCTCCATGCGGAGCCAGTGTCGTCAACGATGCTGCGTGTCTCGTCGCCTGGGGCTGTGTCTGCCACGACATCGTGTTTTCGGGCCCTGGCCCTCACTTCAAAGTCCACCTTTCTCGCGTTCTCAAGCTTTGCCTTGGCTGCCAGATACCCGCTTGTGATGGGAGCTGATCGCATTGAAGTAGAGTCGCGGACTCGGTGGGAGGATTCTGTCGATAGTCGTAAATTCAAAGGAATGGTCGAGTGCATTAGATGCTGATCTGTTTGCTTGGAATCTCTGTCTTCCTGAGCTGATTCTGATCTGTGGTTCCTCAATTCTGACCGGTTACTCTGGTTCCTTATCTGGCGGAAGAGGATGAGAATGCAGAGAAGGATGCAAAAAGAAAGTGCATATATGGTATGGATTAGAAGATATTCCAGATTGGTATACTGGCTAGGATTCACTTGCAGTGGAGCCATCATAGTACAATGGGAGAATGCTTCAGCTGAAGGACTGGGGAAAGACATTCCTACTGATGCTGCAATGTACTATCGATGCGGTCTAGGCAAGCAGAGCCAGGACCTCGATCAAATAGACCTACCTCCAGACATTTGGCGAATAGTGCACATTATATCATTGGAGCTCGGGCGTCCATCTTCGGATACGACTTCTGTGTGACCTCGCACGGACACGAGAGCAAAAGTATGCCACCAATGGGGCGACTGGTAGGATATGTTGCTATGCGACAGATCTAGATTCCGGACACTTGCTGCTGTAACTGGACCCAAAGCACAGTAGCCTCCTACGCAACAACTCGAGACTGGAGCATGGCTGGCTGGCTGGTTGGGCGGTTTTGGCATGAGCAAGTATGCCGCAATCGCTCTCGGGCATAGGACGAGGCAGACAAAGTGATGGGGGACAATCTCCGTAATGGCGCCATTGTGTGGTCATCAGACATGGGCAAATTGACAAAATCAGCCATAAAGTTGTAGTCCGATGATGAAAATTGCCTGGGAAGGAGACGCAGAAAAAAGAACGACGGCGAAGTTCAGCTTGGATGTGAAGACGCCGTCTGGACCATCACGGAGCAAAAGGCTTGACCGCCCGCGAGCCTATGCAAGGAGCCGATTACCGAAAGGGCGGCAGGGTTGGGAGCTCAGCTCGCCTGATAAACGCCCATTTTCAGGCTGGTGGGACTGAGGTGGAGGCCAGAGCGCGGCTAGGAAAGGGTCAGGACTCAGGACACGGCTGTATCACCCACAGTCTGTGTCATGATCAGTGCGATGCCCGTCAAACCTTGACGTGATTCGAAGAGATGACCTTACGTGAAACGAGGATACGAGGTCGGCAGTGAGCGATGACAATGTGTCAGAGTGTGAGAGGACAGATGTTTGATGAGATGAGGGATGTCGGGTGAAGAGGAGGAGAGACACAACGAAAGGCGCAGGCGAAGGTGCGACGGACTCGATTCGGAGACACAGACACACCTTGCCGCTTTTATCAGTCGCGCACCTCATTTATTCCTCCGTCAACGCTTTCCTTATATGAATGCATATTCAGGCGGATAATATCAAAGCCACTGCATGGTCCCCGTTGTGGAACCTTGGTCATCGCTTAACTGCTTTTCTGAGCCCCATGCTGCCCATCAGCTCTGGGAGAAAATAGGCGATAGTTCTGGACGTTTGCTCAGCATGTCACCAGAATGCACCTCCCTGCGCGGTACGGCTCATATATCCTTCACACAACGCCCAGCCATCAATCAGCCCGCTGGAATCCAGAATCCAGAAGCCCAAAGCCAAAAGGGAGAAAGTCAAAACCACAGACCGCTCTCTGCCCCGAACAACCTGCTGTGCCTTTCAAACTCTAACTGTCTTCCTACCCAGCAACTTTCATGACCTTCTCCTCATGGCTCATGGGTTGACGCGGCTGGGGCCGTTCGGTTTCACCACTATTTCTCCGCGAAGTGCTCACCACTAGCTTTTTCAGCACGTCTGGGGCATCTTCTCGGTCCATCATCACCTCCACAATGTTGAGGCCCTTGCCTGCCTGAAGCCCGGGCTCCGCTAAAATGTCCTTCAACTGACCCCAAGTTTCAGCTCGCCTAGTCACCACGGGATATGCAGGGTCGTCCTTGGGTGCCCCGAAATAGCTTGGTGCCTCGAGGTATCTCCACGGTTGAATGTCATTGTAGCCCGCTTTCATGCCGTGTATCCATCTCTCAATCACGTATCCATCATTGTTGATGACGAAAATGGTCACATCGATACGGTTGCGGATCATGTCGCTGATAGATTGTGCCGTCATTTGCAGACTGCCGTCACCCTCGATAAGAATAGTGCGTCCGTCGGGGCGCTTGCCTTCTGCAATCATCTCGCGCTGAGCCAGAGCGGCACCTTGAGCTGCTGGCAGCATGTAGCCAATGGAGAGCCATATGCTAGAATTGATGAGTGAGGTGTGTGCAGGGAGGAACATATCTCGGGATCCTATTGACGGCGTGCCCGTCTCCACCATAACGATGTCGCCAGAGCGGAAAAATTTGGAAATTCGCCGCCAGAAGGTAGCCTGGTCGATCAGCTCGTCCTCGTCGGCCGGTGGCAGGGCCATCAACTGAAGCTCTGGGTGGCCCAGGTCCATAGATGGGCTATACTTGGGAAGCTTGTTCTTCTCCAACTTTGAGAGGATTTTGCGCAGGAGAGACTTGATATGAAGGTTGTGATATTTGGTACCGCCGATCTCGACGTGGTCCCGATGGAAAACAATGGCTGACTTTGGATCGGGGATAGTGCTGAACCCAAAGGTGTTGACATCGCTTTCCAAGGGTCCCAATTTGATGACCAAGTCGCAGCCTCGTGCCCAAGGCATGTATATTTCGTTGCCAGCAATACCAGCATAAATCCCATAGAAGTTGGGATATGTCTCGTTGACGATCCCTTTGCCAAAGGGGGTGGTCGATGTTGGAAACTCGGTTACTCGGACCAGCTCATCGGCTTCCTCGCTGACACCGTACCTTGATGTGCACCCATCGACGATGATCAGGGGCTGTTTGGAGGAGTACATTTTGTTGAGGATCAGCTCGACTTCGGTGTCTTCGAAGCCTTCGTCATTGAGCGGGATCGAAAGATCAATAGGCACGTCTAGAGCCGCTGCCGGTACCTGGGCTTTCACCATGTTGGTTGGCAACTCCAGGTAAACTGGTCGACTTTGCAGGACACATTCTCTGATGCACCGATCAATCTGTGCCGGTGCAGTACCCGGATCCCTCAGATTGGCCTGGGCCACGGTGATTTTTGCATACATCTCGGCAAAGATCCTGAAGTTGCCGTCTCCCAGCGAATGATGCATGCACAACCCGTGGTCCTGCACATTGGTTGGAGCTGTGCCAACAATGTGAATGACGGGTGCCACTGTTGGTAACTGTCAGCATAAATTCAAGAGCGCAGCCTTGTAGACCCACGTACTTTCGCTGTATGCTCCGGCAATGGCATTGATGGCTGACAGCTCGCCGACACCAAAGGCAGTGACAAGAGCTGACAGTCCTCTGATCCGGGCATAGCCATCTGCAGCATACCCGGCGTTCAATTCGTTGGCATTTCCGACCCAGTCAAGACCGGCGGGTTCAATGTAGTCCAGTGCGGTCAAGTTATAGTCTCCGGGAACACCATGTACTGACTTGACTCCAACCTGACGAATCCTCCGGAAGAGGTATTCAGCTAGGTCTATGTGTGAAGCCATGACTCAATTCTCAATGGCTGGTGCAACGCAAGGTAAGTCCTGACAGATTGGAAGCGTGGATCACTCAGGTTACAACGGATTGGCAAAGAAGACTGGCTCTCAGAAGCCAGGAGTCCAGTTAATTATATAGGATAAACAGGAGGAACTTATCTGACATTCCCCTGGAGAGAACGGGTGTCCTTAAAAAGCGAGAATTAGGTGAGATTATTACCGCACCAGTAGAACGGACGAAACTTTTGACTTTGAGAAGAATCCTCCCGGCAAGAAACAGCTCCCATGAGGACGATGGAGACGATGAGATGATGTCGTCAAAGGACCGGGTATGCAGGGAGAGCAGACCAAGTGGTTGTCCGTCGGCGGAATAATGCTCATTCTCTGCGGCTGTCAGCGGTTGCAGTCGGTTCAGTGCGGAATCATGCCGAAAGCCGAAACAATGCAGGTCGTCAAGCGTTGACATTTGAAATGAACCGAATCTTGCGGTAGACACGAGCGGATGCTGATAGACCCTATCAGTGAGTAGTCGGCTCGCTGGCTGCATTAGAGTCGCTCTTGGAGAACGATAAGAAGTGCCGCAACATCGAGTGATTTGGTCCTCCCAAAACCTTGGACTCGACCATCCGCCATATCCTATAGCCACGTTCCTCGATTGAGAAGTCCAGATGTAAATAATACCTAGGCACACGAGGCCCGTTGCCGTCCCCACCTCCTACTCCTCCCGTGCTCGTGCATCTTCGACAGCTTTTTGCCAGTCGGTCAACCGCATGTACGTGGCCATGATGAGTGTTGCGCAGCCGAGTCCTGTGCATGGACCGATCCACATACCGCTTAGGCCCATCTGAGGCGGACCGAAACACAAGGAGAATGACAAGGGAAGTGCGAATAGGTAGTAGACTCCTAGATTAACCCAACCCCCAACTTTTTGTCTCCCCAAGCCACGCAAAAGAGCATTTGAGATCGCTAGGAGCGCATCAAAAAGTTGAGCCGCTGCAGTTATTGGCATAACGGTTGTGATGATTGCTCTCACAGCCTCATCCGTGGTGAATATAGCTGCGATGACGTGTCGGCAAGACGTCAACAAGATAACATCAAATATCCCAATGCACAGAAAGATTAGATAGTGCGTCTTCCAAGCCTTCCGCGCAGCTTCCAAAGCACCATACCCAATGAGATTGCCGAATCTTGTCGAGGCTGCAATGGAGATAGGAAACGGAATATGATACATGGTAACAACCACCGTCATTAGCACGGACTGAGCTGCAAGGTCCGGTTCGCTCAGATAACCAGCAGCGATCGTGAGGATATCGAAGGCAAACCACTCCGACAAGGTCATGAGGACTCCGGGGATGGCTAATTTGATCATCGGACCCCAGTGCTGGCATGCTCGTCGCAGATCCAAGCCTGGCCAACATTGTAAGTTGGAGGGGGCAATATAGGCGACGTACAGGGCCAGGACAATCGGTTGGAGGTTATTAGAGATGACCACGGCCCAAGCGGCACCCGCAAAGCCCAGATTGAAATGGAAGACCAGGAGCCAATTCCAAAGGATGTTCAGAGGAGCGCAGACCATGACAACCACGAGGGAGGCGGTAAAATCACCCTGGGCCTGGCACAGGCGCTTTCCGGCTTCAAATATGGCCCAAGCAGGAGCACCAGCCAAGTAGATGCGCATGAAATTACCAGCCAGGAGAGCTTCGTCTTTTTCGGGCACGATAGCTGACAGGATCCAAGGAGAACAAATCCAGATGGCGCCGATTGGAATGGTGACTACACAAACCAGAAGACTCATGCGTTGAACATGGAGACCAACCAAATGTTTCTTGTCGTTCCCAAATGCCTGCGAGGTTAAGGTGTCAAGGCTGGTTGCGAGTCCCTCATAGACACACAGTCCCGTAATATTGGCTGTCATTGTGGCTAGGGAGGCTGCTCCCAATTCCTTGGTCCCGAGACGTCCAGCAACGTAGACTGTGACCAAGCTAAAAGAGTATTGCAAGATGTAAGTCAACATCAGCGGACCGGAATATCGAGCCAGAAGCTTGGTTTCTGTTTTCCATGTCGTCTCAAGCTCGGGACCTCTTAAAATTGCAGAGTCCTCCTCATCAGTCGTGCCGTATATTCTCTGGTCGATCTGTTCAATAGACTTTCGGAAGTCATCAATCCCATGGTCGTTGAGAAGAGCACTGGTCTCGGAGGGTCGACGTCCGGCCATCCTTTGTGTAACGCGAAGGGATTTCTCTAACAGGGTGGAGATCCGGGCCCCTCAAATGTACCGTCTGTCTTTGCTCACAGCGTTATCTAATTTCTATCATAGCCGGAGTAAAAGATGTATGCTGAATGGGATACCGTACCTAGGTAGAGATGGTAGGGTGTCTTCGCCGTATCGCCAACGGAAGGAGGACGGAGGTTGGATGGGCTCATTTTGCGAGCGTCGCTGTTGGGTTTGCTGGCGGTGTGTGGATCTACAATCAGCTTCCTGCAGAGGGAAATGGGGACATTGGGGAGCAGGCTGCCGGCCCATCAGCCTCATCTGGCCTATGGCGCCATCGCTTATGGAGGCGAATGGCTGGTTATCGAGGAGATGACCGAGGGGAGTATCCATGGCGTTCATCTGGCTTTTGCTGCAGGTCATTAGCATGCGATAGGGAATCGTGGGCCACGGACTTTGACGATCTTTCTCACTGTTGATGGTCCCGAGTAATGCTTTAAGTCCTTGCTGCGGTGCTGTCGCTACTGTCACTGCTGTCGCACCCCCGGAAAAGCAGTTGCCAGGATCACGCGTCAGATCGCGTCAAACGAGGGCCTTTGTTAGTGGGCATGGTGCAGCACCCATGGCGGGGTCCTTCTGGTCCTTCAGCCAACAACTGCTAAACTCGTGGCTGGTCTTGCTGGGTTGCAACACCAAACACCAACACCAACACCAACAGCCCCAAAGCTGAAGGTTTCTGACCGTTTCTCGTGTCTCCAACCTGGTCCATTTGTGTCCATTCTCACTCGTTCTCATGCTATGAAATAACTCCAGCTCCAAGCCCTTCCGCCCTTCCACCCTTGCACGCGTCGTGCCCTGCATCCTACTTCCCACCATCTGCGCCCTCTGTCTTTGCCTCACCCGCGTCTCATCACGTACTACCTACCTAGGAACCGACTACAACAATGACTGCCACTTCCATCTCCCCTCACAAGGTCGCCAGTCGCAATGTCATCCTGCCCGCTCCCTCTCCCGACCCTGCTTCCATCCGGTTACCGGACTCGCCTGAGAAGAATAATCTGACCTCCAACGAAAGGTCTCGTGGTCTTCGTCGACTGCAATCCCACACTCAGCTCTCGTCGACCAGCAGTATGGGCACCCAATCCTCTAATCTGAGACCACCTCGGTCTGGGCTCTCGACGAAACCCTCTCGCGAGCAGCTCAGTCTCCCTCAACCCTCTGTGGTACAATCACACACCACCGTTGCAAACTCGGTCAGCTATTCTCGCGCCCGCGCAAACAGCGATGCTCCTCTACCTCATGTGCCTCGCAACCGCAAGCCGCCGCCTACCCTACTCTCAAATCCCTCCTCCAACCACATTCTCACTCATGCGCGCAAGTCTAGCCTTGAAATGACCCTTCGTGATGGTCCGCCGCCCGGAACCACCGCCGCTACCGCCCTCTCTTTGCTCCGGCATTCCATCCTCACCAGTGGCGTCAATGCGACCAAAGAAGGCATGTCCGACTATCGAATATATCTGTGGTTGACTCTTTTGAACATTGGACCTCTCTCGACTGACATATATCTCGATCTCATACACCGAAGTCGAAGTCCTGCATATGAGAAGATCTCCAACGACGTCTTCCGCACATTGGCAACCGACACTCTCTTCAAGCGGCGCGTTACCGATGCAAGTCTGACCCGACTGTTGAATGCAACTGCCTGGCGAATACATGATGAACAGTCCTCCGACCCCCCATCCGAGTTTGCCCAGAGGTATCCACAATCTACTTACCTCCAGGGCATCAACGTGCTCTCTGCCCCGCTCCTGTACGCATCTCGCTCGGAAGCTCAGGCATACGCGATCCTGACAAGCCTACTGACTGAACATATTCCGACCTACCTCTCCCCGACCATGTCAGGCGTGCATAGAGGACTTGACCTCATTGACCGAATCCTGTCAGAGATAAACCCGACCCTCTCATCCTTCCTGCTCAGCAAGTCCTTACCGGCCAAGATCTACGCCTTCCCTTCCGTGTTGACGCTGTGTGCCTGTACCCCACCTCTTCCAGAAGTCCTGAAACTATGGGATTTTCTGTTCGCGTTTGGCGTGCACCTGAACGTCATCTGTGTAGTTGCACAGCTCCTGTTGCTGAAGGATAAACTTCTTGGAGAACCCAGCCCTGCGAAGATGCTGCGAAGTTTTCCGAACCTGAATGCTGATGAGGTGATTAAGATGACGGTGTGGATCGTCAGGGAGCTGCCTGAAGAACTGTACCGCGATGTGGTTTTGCATGGCCGGGAGGTTTCGTAAGAGGCATGGAACGAACAACTCCAAGTTTGAGAATTCTCGTTTTCTCTCCTGAGGGAAAGACTATGGACAAGTGCCGAGAATGTCGATTTCACTGCCGTTCGATTCAATCGCAAGACTGACTTCTGCACCTAATTTGGCACCATACTCGACACATACATCACCTCGATACTCGACCCAGCCTTGAGCTTGCCAGGTTGGTACCGGCAGCGACGCAATGGTTATGCTCTGCAAGCGAAACTGGATTCGACCAGAATATGCTCCATGACGCAAAAGCGCTCAACGACTGCACCGCCTTATGTTAATGAGTACTGGAGGGTTTTACCCAACCCCAAACCGCAACACTCAGTGCCCTGAAGCGAGAGCTCTGTTGAAATGCTGGTTCTATCTCCATCCTGCCTCGCATTCCTACCCCGGGTTTCAACAAAACTTGCGTCGAAGGGGAGACTTTCACGTTCTCTTTATCGCAGGACAAGTGACGCCTGCATTTTGTTATATTGGATGGAGCATACCTCAGGTAAGCATTTTATGAAACGGGAGGAAAGGGAAAACATGTACCAACAAACGTGATGATAGCAAATGAATGACAAGAAGAGGTATGAGGTGTTTCCGAAATTTGTAGGAATACTCGGTAGTTTTCTCCAGGATCAATGCCCTTGGGAGGGACGCAGTTCAAAATCTGCCGCAAGACAGTTCCAAAATCAAGAAATATTCCAACGTTCGAAACGCCCCAGGGAAATTTCTGTTTCCCTGAAAAGGAATTCTCCCTGATCTCCTTTTAAAACACCCCATTAAAATGGTCCCATGCACACTTCCAACTTCCCAACTTGCCCATCTCTGGGCGCGCCCGCTCTCGTTCCACTGTCTGTGGCTTGTCATCTATTTTACATAGATTTTTTCCGCCCTGCAGGTAGGTGGACTTCCATCGTTTGGAAGTCTGAGGGGATCGTTTTCTCTGGAAAAGGGGGACAAGACGTGCGATGGCGGGACGGTACGGGAGCTTCGTGTGTTCCCCTTCATTCATGGATTGATCGATAGGATCACGGATGGTAACCGTCCTCGCCCCTGACCTTCCCTCTTCCCTAAGTCGGCACCAAAGAACTCATTCTCAACCCCCCTCTCTCGCGCGCGTTAGCTCTCGTGCCCATGGGTCTAACTGCAGGTGAGTCGAGCTCGGTGTATCGTCCCCAATGGCCAAGGGGGAAGAAGGAGAAAGAGGAGGGGATTCTCAATGCTTCATATCCCCATTGGCATCACCGTTTGCCTTGAATCCGCCGTCCAGGACACCGAGACCCGTCTCGCTCCTCCTCAGCTTTCTGCGACCCCAGACCTCAGCGGCCCACTCGGAGAGCAAAAACATCCACCCGCCACCGACCAGCACGCCGCTGATGACATTGACCAGCCTGACCAGCAGACCCAGAAGGCTGGCCCTGCTCTCGCTGACAATCAGCAAGATGGGTTCGATGTCGTACTTGAAGAAGATGCCCGGGACGGTCGACGTGGGGACCTCGCGCGACTGGGACTGCGCGGCGTACTGGTTCGTGAAGATGGACTTGGTGTCCCGGCCTGACTCCGGGTGCGGGACGTGGCGAATGATGCCGTCCTTGTCGCGCGACGTGTTGGGCGTCATGTCCAATGTGGGCGGTTGCGGGACGGCGGCGGGATCCAAGCTGCCGCTCCTCGTGGAGACTCTGCGTTTCGTGAAGATGGTGGGCACGATTGACAGATAGTACTGGTACCGCATGAAGTGCGCTTCTGTCGTATCGCTCGTCTTGTCCAGCGGGTTCAGCAGGTTCGGGTAGTGCGGGCCGAAGCTGAGCTCGTTGATGTGGTGTGAGAAATTGAACAGGTTGTGGTCCAGGTGCGACTGCATCCCGAATTCCATGTACCCGTGGCCCCGCGCCGTGATGTGGAAGTCCCCTTGCACCTTGTTGCCCTCGAGAGATCCGTAAATGCGACAGCTGTCGACGGCCATGTGTTTCTGCAGCTTGGGCGACCGGGCGAATTTGCGGCCTTTGTTCTCGCGCATGTGTCCCAGGACGTGGCCGACGTGGGAATCCTCCTCTTCGGCTTTCTGCCTCTTACGATCCCCCTCGTGCAGCCCGTGGTACATGCCCTGCTGCATCTTCCTCAACCTGAAGAGTTTCCGCGGGTCCAGCCAGAGCTCGAAATTCGTGTCCTCCTTCTTCAACAAATCGCCGGCCATGATCCGGTCCATCGCCGCGTCTTGGACGTTGACGTGCAAGTCGCGGCACGGCATCGCCACCACGATGTCCAGGTTCAGTTGCAATTCATGGCCCACGCCGCGCTCGACGCTGAAATGGTGCGTCTCAGTGCCGGCCCACCACGTGCGAAGCTCCGAGGCCGTCAGGCACAGACATAGGATTATAATGGCGAGGGTCCATTGGCCGCCGCGGGCGGTGGCAGCGGTGTAGTTTGGTTTGGTTTTGGCTATAAGGGAAGGGTGGTGGTCAGTGATGGCCACAGACAGAGGAATATCGAGTCAAAATTCAATCGTAGTAACTCCAGATGCCTCTCGAGGGATAACAAAGGCACACTCACGAAATGCGTCAAACGTCCTCAGCCCTGCCAGCCCCTTGTCCCCAAACGCCGACTCGTCGAAGCCGTGTTTCTCAAACGAGGAGTCCATTGCCCTTTAGGAAGTTTTATGTTTTATGAGGAGAGCCTTGACAGCTCCTGTATTGTAGTCCGCGACATGTATGGGATAAATCGCGAGAATATCTTCGGAGCGAAAGAGACGGCTGCCAATTCGACGGGAGTGGTGGGTAGTGGTGCGTTACTCGGCGGCGCAGCGCAGGATGGAATGGCACTTGGAAAGGTGAGGCTCATTCTGGCCAGATCTTATTTTATGCAGGGTGCAGCCTCGCGCCGTTATCTACCTGCTAGTACGAGGTAGAGTGACAAGTGTGGGCTCCCTTCCGGCGCTAAAATTGTGCCTGACGAGGCTGAATGAACATGCTGTCCAGCATATTCGCTAAAATCGCATCAGTTAACTAAGACAGGCTACCAGGGAAGATTGACATGATTTAAAAGGGAAGACGTTGATTTTATGCTCGTATTTCTCGTCAGAGTTCATCATGTGTCCTCTGCTGCCTGGGTTCCACGACTTCTTGCCATGCAACGCTATGCTAATGCCATGTCTTCATGAATTGCAAAATAACACTGACTGCTTGCTCGGTGGGTATCTCTTAAAAGGCGCCGCCTCCAACGATCCCGTAGTTCTTTTCGTATGCACTTTCCGGGTTGAGATCTCTCGTTCCTGACTCCATACCAAAATCGATTCGAATGTTGCGTGAGCCTCTGCTGCGTCTCCAGCGCGCAAACCCTGCTTTGTGTGCTCTGGACAAAATGTGCCTCCCAAATCATTCTTCGATGGGTTCCAAAGAGAAGTCCGCCCTTCGTTCCGCGCCACAGACCGACCATCGCTTGCGTTCCTTGTTGCTCCTCAGATTGCCCCCTCGAATCTCGAGAGAACTTCTTCGCCGCAGGTCGCTTGCATCGCCGTCCTCTCCTCTCAACTTGGCTTCCTCTTCTTCAAGCACAGCCGCCTCTTCCGCATCTGGTGCGTCCTCTATTGTCTCCAACGAGCTGATGGATGGCGACCGAGATCGCAGCGATGTTGGGGTACTGGGCATGCTCGAAGCAGAGCTGAGAGAATACATCGGGTATGGCTCATAGGTGTACTTCTGCGGGGCAAAGGCCGGCGACGGTGATGTCCTTCCCGATACGCTAGGGCTCATGGCTCTCGCATAGAGAGATGGGGCGCTTGCACTCTGGTGAAGCGGCTGTGCACCTCTCCGCCGCGCTCTTGGGAAGGTGTTGGAGAAGGATGTCATGGGCGAGGGATGGGACGCATCCGCGTCTACTGACAACTCAAGCTCCTCATTTTCCGGTATGTTCGGTTCAATACTGAGTCCGCTCCAGGATGGAACGCCGGGATATGGCTCTTCCACAGCTGCCCGTAGCGGGCTCCTTCTTCTTCCTGAATGTAGTGGTGAAGACGGTCTTCTCGGGACACCGTAAGGAGTAATGTATCGTCCCGAGGCGTCAACACCAGGCGATGAGTGGGCTCTTTGCATTGGCGGCGCGTGGGCCACGCCTCCTACCGATAGTGGCCTCACCCTTCTGGGAGGAGATGCAGCACGAGGTCTAGAGGGCGTAATGTTGTGTGAGAGAAAATGGGCGTGTTTCGGAAGCGTCTCGACACTCGTCGATGGGGACGATCTAGGTGAAGGGGAGGAGCTTGGTTCAGGTTCATGTTCGAGGTCTGAAGGAGATGGAGGTAACTCGATATCTTCTGCTCGGATTTGAGGCGAGGAAGTGACGGGAAGGCTCGCTTCGGACTGGCCGTCGGAGGTAGCGGAGAGGTCCAACGGAAGGTTTGTCAGCGGCGACATGGTGGAAGCGGGAAGAGGTAATCCAGGATATTGAGTGGTGCAATGATTCAGCTGAATAAGAGAGCGAAAGTCGACATAATCGTGCGATATAGCAGTAAGGGGTCCTAGGGTCTGTTGTCGTGGGAGGGTGTCGCCAGATTTCCGCAAAACTGTAATCACCAAGCGCTCAACTTGCAGGCACCTTCAAGGTGCTCGCGGTGTGTCTCTGTAAAAGCTTCGGCGGAAAGGTAAAGTGAAAGGTGGAAACCCAGCAACACTCGAGGCACAGAAGCCCCAGAGGTTGCTGGTGAAGGTGGTTTCGGATGGCGGGTGGTTTGATCAAGGAATGTTCAACGCAGGAGTTCAGGAGGGAGGAAGAAGAGGCTGTACCAGTCACAAAATTGCGGAGGTGGAGATTGGTCCCAGCTGCGGCGCCCGGGTTAGGAGTCCAGATCGGGGGTGATACTCTGACGGAGTATTAATATTGTGATGTGATGGGCTCGCCCGGCGATAATGTCAGGGCCCGGGATTTAACTGGAATTTAGCGGCCAGCCTTTAACTGGACTTAGGCTTTCGCGCTGCAGTTCGCCGCTTGGCCGCTTGGCTTATTGGGTGCTCGCAGGCCCCTTGCAGCGGTTGTGCGTGTTATCAGTTCTTGGTTTTCTGTTAATAGCGAGTGTCGACCCGTCTTTGTGTTTTGTTATTGATCTTTTTACAAAGTCATCTACCACACGTCGCGGTGTTCCCCTTAATTATATGATTCGCATTACCCGATGCGAGCAACACTGCTACCTCGCCGACACAGATACCACGTCAACTCTACTACGGATGTCACTAGGAGGAGTTACTGCGCCCTTGAAATGCCTGGGGGCTGGAAAGCTGATTTCAGCTGCCGCTCCCCTGCGTCCAGAATCAGCCCGTGCACTGAACAACCACGCCCTTTGGGGATCCCAAGTTTGTCTCTCAGGCCCACTGCTATTCCATTCACAGGTACCATAGCCCGACAGCCTCCCAATCTTGGAACTTTCCCACGTGGAAATCTGAGCACACACTCGGATCTGGCGACCCTGAAACCCTGGTCAGTCAATGCGTTACCTGCAGTGTATTGACGCGGTGCAGTATTCATGTCTTGATCCAATCCGATTTTCCAGCCGTTTGGCACCTCGCTCCAAACGCTACACGCTACCCGCCCAGCCTAGATCACCATTAGTCGTGAAACAATGAAGGACGATTCGTAATTTTCTCGCTGATCCTTCTGGGTCAAGGACATTCCCCCTGATCAACCCATCTCCTGCAGGTAAAAAAAAGGAAAGAATCGATACAAGTCTGAAGGCAAAAGCCGTCGAAAGCACTTTTTTCTCAGCCATCACTAGCCCTGCTATAATCGGCTCTGGCCCGAAGACCTGATGGCAGTGCAGGTATATGTTGACGCGACTGAGCTGCCCTCTGTGGTTTGGCGATCTCCTCATCCAACATGCTATGAAGAGGAAAACTAGGCGAAGGGACACACGATGGTGACCTGTCGCGCTACAACCTTTTCCTCTGGTGATACTTTGAGAATCGATTAGGGTATGTTTCAAAGCCCTCACTACTAGGTATGGAAGTGGTGGCAAAAGAGGTTCTTCTTCGGTGCCGCCGAGAAAATTTCATGGTTCAAACGTCTCTAGCTCTGGTCTCAATATCGATAGAGACCCTTGATCTGTCCAAAAATACCGAGTACAGAGCCTCGTTGTGGATGTCTGAGAAGCAGATAAACTCTCATTCAGTCTGCGCTTGAAACTCGGACGAGATATTGATTGGGTGAAAGATTTTGCATAAACAACGCAGCCTGCTACGGATCCGGCTCGGCGTTACCAGGTATGCATTATAAAGTGGGCTTTTAGATAGAGGTGTTTTTACAAGTCCTTGTCCTTTCTGCGAGTTCGATAGCCATGCCGCCTTCTTGATACCTTGCATATCGGAAGCTCTAGACCAGCTTACGAAGGTACCTAGTTTTCATTTTCGGGTCCGGCAATTGCACTTATACAGCCCTTTTAGCGGTGGTCAGAATCGCAATCCAATCCCACTTGATCTCGCCATTGCCGTATTTTTGCTTCATGTAGGAGATCACAGCATTCGTCGCCCGATCTTTGTATCTCTCCCGTTGCTCCGCGGTCCAAGTCCTTTGCTGCACCATACCCAGCATCCCAGTCATCATCGGGATGAGCTTGTCAACGCCACTTAATATGCTGGTGTTGGGCACCTCTCGCACATTGACGTCCACGAAGCCAGATTGTACAACGCTGTCCCTGATCCAGGCCGCGTCACTCCAACGCCCGTTTGAATTCACTAGTTCACAAAGTGCTTTCGATGACGGCAACGGCGGTATCTCTGGATCCGTGGCAAAGGCGTTTCTTATGTCGTCAGGCCAGCCGAGTCTCATCCATGAAGACATGGCCAAAGTGCCTCCAGGCTGCAAGATCCGGTGGAGTTCGGCCATGCCGACCTTCCAGTCTGAGAAAATCATGGGCCCAAAGTTGAGGAGAACATGCGTGAATTTGTCGCTCGGGAGTTTTGTGTCCATGGCGTCTGCCTTGATGGCGTGGGCACTCTTGACGTCAAGAGTGCGGATCCGTTGGCCTGCGAAGGTGACCATGGAGTCCGCAAAATCTGCGCAGGTGAGGTCCAGGTTGGCTTGTTGACTTTTGTTCAACGCTCTGACCAGGTGCTCTGAGACGATACCCGTGCCACAAGCCTGATCAAGCACGATCAAGTCTTTGTCGTCCGGCACTTCGTTCAGCTTTGATTGTTCGATGAGCAGACCGGCAAAATGTCCGGTCATCTTTTCGGCGCTCTCCGCATATACCTTAGTGAAGTTTGCGTCATTGAACATTGCAAATGCTGCTGAGTTGTCATGACCATGAGGGGCCATGGTCCCGTTCTCAGTAAGCTAGGTAGGGCCAAAGACCGTCTTATTTTGTTGATGTAGCAATCGTGCAAATCAAGAGCTGCTCGAGTTTCGGTAAGGAAGCGTCCGCCAGATTCGCGTCTACTCCTCGGTGATAAGACAGGAACTGGTCCAGCACATTTGCAGCACAAGGACTCAAGGCTCTGCTCGAAGAGCCAGCTGTTTAAATGTAGCATCATCGCCAGCTCAGGCCCTTTTCGGAGACATACAAGATGTCTCCGAAGGAAAACATAGGGACCTTCAGATGGTGGCCTGAAATTTGATGATACGAAAGGGGTTGTTGTGCTCCGGATGTGTCTTGATCTTTTGCTGGGTGATAGATGGGCATTCAAGGACTCTCACTTCTGTTGCACCTACCTGTTGGAATTGCGGTCTCAAATTTCGTGATATCATCGTAGCATTGTCCTAAGAACCTGAAAGGGCCGCAGAAAGGACTGAGGACTCGGAGGGAAAGGATAGTTAGGTAGCCGGTCAAGCTTGTTCAGGCTTCCCGTCAACGAATAGGAGACTTTTGGCTTCGGCGGCATATAGCCTCGGCTCGGCCTACTTTCCCTTGCTTGTTGATGGCTCTACCTAGCTCGCTAGGTATGTTTCCGGCTCCCGACGCGGTTGCTTCACTTTCTTCTTTCTAACTCGTCCAAACCCAAATGATGCCCTGAACCCATGCCCAATGACATCTATGGATATCTGAATTCTTCTGTACCTCGTACCTGCAAGCGGACAGATATCCAAGCCGAGACCAAGCCGATGAGCGCCATTACTAACGCATTATGCTGACTAATATCCCCAAGCGAGCGGTGTCCCCAATCAAGCCAGATTCTGCTCTATTACCTGACGCTTCTTCAGCAGCAACGTCCGGGAAGGCGCCGCAGGATATTCAACTAGAAGCAAAAGAACCGACAAGGCTGGAATCGGGACCGGCGTCTCTCCGCGCCACACGCGACGCATCTGCACGACTTCACTACAACCCATCAAAACCTCGTGTTTCCCGCGTTGCCACAAAGACTAGCACAACAGATGCTGCTCTGCGTGGTGGCCATCTAGTGCGTGGCCACTCGAGGAGTCAGTCATCAAGTAATGCAATTACTGGACGCCCTACTTCAAGCGCGCCTAAACTGGCAACTGCTACGGCATCTTCGCGCTCGCACCATGCCCCCTCGACCACCAGTTCAGGGGAACCCCGATGGACAATCGCAAGGTCGCACAACAGAGCCTTGACTGCGTCGACGCGGCCGAAACCAAACGCAGATCCTGGGGCAAATCGCGAAGTTGTTTCGAAGGTCAACAGACCGGTTGCCTCTCACGTGCTTTCTGAGGCGAATGCGTCGTCTTCCTCCGCCGGACCAACTGTGAAACTGGGCCGAAAACCAGAGGCCAACACCCATTGTAATCTCAAGGTGCAGACGACAACATCAACGGCGACCACCCCGCTGTTTCCCTTGATTTCTCAACCCGCCGCCGTGCGTTCCGGCTCCGTAGGCCGCGTCATATCTGGCACAGAAGTTGCGCATCTTGAAGATGAATTACTCCAATTGTCTCTTGTACACGAAAAGTCTGCGGCGACTTTCCAGAATTACCGGGCGTCTGTCAGGTCGCAGCTAGAGACAGGGCTGCAGGATGTGGAACAGCAGCTAAGCACCCTCACGTCCCTGCGGCATGATCGACAAGCGAACATCAACGCCTTCGCCGTGAGCCAGTGGCTCGACCAGGAACGGGTCTATCAAGATGGAGACCCTGCAGCGTCAGACACATTACTCTTGCTCGCGCATTGCCTGGAAGATTTGCAGAAGATCAGCAGCGTACATGGGCCTCTGGAGGCTGCCATGAAGATATTTGACGAGTGGTATGTCTACGCGTCTTCCATGCGACCGACTGACGCCGGAGATAATCTATTTCGTAAGGGTGATGGTGAGGAGAACGAATATTGTCTCCACTCAATAGACCCACACTGGTCAGCCTTGGTGTCATCTGTGGACGGCCGAGTCAGAGCCTGTGCGGCTTTATTGGAGGGTCTGCGTAGGCCGCCGTCGTCGTCACTTGGACTGTTGATTGAGATACACTGCAAACTTGCTGAGCAGATTCTGCAAGAGATTCGCATTTGCAGGACCATAGAAGGCCTGATACTTCGGGAACAACAAGAGCGGCTTGCAAGGGAAGTAAAACATGCTCTGTACGATGTGGAGTTACGTGATTCCGTCGAAGGAGTCCGTGACACTACCAGGATAGGTATATGGGACCTTCGAGGAAAGGCTTCCTAGAGCCGCAGCGATAGCACAACCACAGCGTGAGCTCGGAATGTTACGCTGAAGGTGAATAGCCAGTGAAATCGACGGGCCCAGACCTCTGCGTCGGCTTGGAACCTTGGTGTCGTCACATCAATAACACTAGGAGATTCTTGAAAGAACCCCGTCCTTGGATGTAGTCTGCTGCTTGGTGCACTCCTTCGGGGGTACACATTCCCACAAAGGGAAGACGTAACGAGAAAATGTCCAGCGTGGATGGAAGACGTAATTAGACGGGATCGGTTTGGGGTCCACGGACGGAGTGCCATCTCGAAGGTCCAAGCAGGATGAAAAGATGGACTAGCATTTCACAGGGAAGGGTGGTGGAGAGGCCTGAAGCGAGGTCGTTGCTAGAGTGGTAGTGAGCTTCGAGAAAACGTCCCACTGCATATCCGAATTCTCGGCGACCGGAGGGTGTCGGGATAGTGGAGCCCAGCTCTGAGCTCGAAGCACTGGTGGGTGACTGGGTCGTTGCGAGAGGGGCAGGGAGGAGCCTTTTGGGGGGAGCCTGTCGAATCATGAGCAGCCTGAGAAGCCCCGTTGAGATGCAGAATGACGCCGGTGGACAGGCCTGAGGACCCATCAAGGTGATTTCCCAGTTGCCTCACTAGGATCGGATCAGTGATAGTGCAGGTGGTCCAGCTGTTGCAGTAGCTTTCCCCTCTTACTCGTAGTTGCCCCCCCAGGTGCAGGGTTAAAAGTTGAGGGCCCGATCTACCAAAGCTTCCCTCCATTCCACTCCCAGCTTTGCAAGGGCCAAAGGTAAGCCGTTCCGTCGCATCTAAGTGGGGAAATGCCGACGTTTGGATTTTGCCTTCCACGCCCATGACTCCATGTCTGTCGAGGGGCTGGATGAATAATACGCCCTGCTGCTCCTCTTCGGCCCGAGTGAGTGTAGTGACTTGTTTCGAGAGTAATGGTTATTCTTTTTGCTATTGCCCACTACTCAGAGCAGACAAGCCGTTCTTACCGGGTTGTTTGCAAGAAAAACCTTCCATCTACCGTGTAAACTTGCCTCAACCTCTTCAACCATGCTTAAGGATCTTGATTCGTCATGCTATCTCCGACAGGCGTCCGTAGCGGCTCCGAGGTATCTCTCTCTTTCTCTTTCCAGCAGGAGCAAGCAAAGTACGAGGAATCTCGCCCTTTGTTTCTGCGGGCGAGCGGCGAGTCCAAGAGGCGTGGTGGTCGGGAATGAGATTTAAGGGCGCCGTTGATGCTGTCTGCTCTGCCGATCTGTGCCGAATAGGTTCTAGGTTGCGAATGGATTCGTTTCGTGCGAGAATTGGTGGTAAAAGGTAAAAGGCACGGAAAAGGACGAGAGCATGATAACGTTGGAATTTTTCTTGGTTGGGGCCCTGCAGGCTTCGGCAAGTGTTCGGGGTGATTTATCATTTGAGTCGGATTGACCCATCACAATCCTCCAGGACTTACCTGTCTGGAACATGACTGGCGACACAAGTGTCTCGAGGATCAAAAGAGTTGGGTGATATACACTCCGTACTGGTACTCCATACCTTGGTCAATGACTCAATGCTGCTAGCATCCACGTGGAATGCCTGATGATCGTGGCCTGTATTACTCGGTTGCCGCTACCTTTCAAGGAGCGTGGAAAGACAACTCTTCAGCATCATACATCGCTAGTATCATGTGCGGACCACATCTTCCCCCCTGGGTGCCCCCCTTCTGCTCGCCAAGCCCCGGGGGACGGAGCCCCTATCCCAATGCACACAACTGATGGCATTTGTCAACAAAACTGGTCTTTGCTCACTGGCAGTCGTCTGCACAGTTCGGCGGTCGCGCTTGGCTCCGGAGGGGATGGTAGGAATCGGGTTTAGTGAGCGGCTTATCTAATATTGTGGTCAACTGTAGTCATCGGAAAACTGGAGCTGGAAAGGTTACAGCACACGGTAATGGAGTGCAGCAGTGGCAATTGATCAGGTAAGAATCCCGGATGCTGGCTACCTAGGTACGGCTGGCACCCGCCTAGAGACTTGCAGAGGTAGTCACCTAGGACGTGAGTGGGAGGTGGGAGGTGAGAGGAAGAGAGAGAGAGAGTGCGTGAGGTGAAGTGCAGTGGTCGACTAGCGGGCCTCTCGCTGCTCTTACCTTTCTCATTGGGGCAGCAACGAGTCAGCCAGCTGCGGCCCAGCACCAGTCCCCAGCAGGGCTTTCCCTAGGCTGGGGAACTTCCTAACAAGGAATTGCATCTGCCTTTGGGTATAGGATCTTTTCTCATCACCCTTAACCCTGTGCATGACATGACAACAACTCGCTTCCTCCTTCCCCCATTTTCCTGTTCTCCCCTTTGGATCACGTTATCTCGACGAATTTTTGGTCACTGTGGTCACCCTGTGGTCACCCAGTGGTCACCCTCTGCCCTTGACTCGACAGCAACCTTTACACCACTTCCCCCCTTCAGTTAGGCTTTTTGATGTCAGTCGTCGACGTTGCCTCCGATAGGTTCTTCCAGGCCCGTCCCGCCCTGCCAATGACACAATATCCGCCTCGTTCGCATCCCGAACACACGCCAGCCGTGGCGAACCCAAAGGAGCAAGCGCACCTTTTACAGCAACTTCTCAGATGCCATGGCCCATGGCCCATGGCCCATGAGCCACACACTCTCAACCAAAGAGACAGTCCACCCTCCCCCTTCCTAAACCCCTCGAAATGGGCGAATCGGAGCCTCCAATGTCCCAACCAAGATGGCCGTCGAGACCGAGACACACCACCAGGCTGTCCGTTGCAGTATGCTCCTAGTATTGAAACTTTGTTGACCGGCGGGAGGCTAGTGGGCTAAACCTCGCCCGTTTGGCGCCCAGCTGGTAAAGTAACAATCCATGCGCTCAATGCATGCTAAACTTCTCTGCGAAACCCAATACGGCACGCCGTGATCTCTGGATCGTTTTCCATTCCCAAACTCTACGACCTGCGGGCTGACTCCAATAATCATAGGTCTTGCTCCTCTTCTCCAATCCTTCTCGATCTCTGCCTTCCCTCTTCCAGATCCTCTTTATCCCCTGGCACCCGCCTCCTGCGGTCCAATCGACGATCGCCATCTCCGTGGCCTTTGCCCCGATCCTATTTCTTTCCTAGCTGCAGGGCGATCCCTCCAAGGGCATAACATACTGTACTTCATACAGTCTCCCCCATGCCCGCTTAGGCATGTTGTGGTCCCCGTCCTGGCTCTCGTCGCATTCCGCGAGTATGCAATATATCCAAGGATTTGCCTCCCACGCCCGTCTTTCACGATAACTCAGGCGGAAACGTACAGACGAATAGACGGCGCCAAAACCAAAAAAAAGCCCTCGTCCTAGACCCTTAGGCCCATCTCCTTTGCGCTGGCTCGCCACACGCGTCCTCCTCCTCTTCCTCAGCCACTGTCACCTCAAATGTTGCCGTGTACACGCCACTCCCCTTTGACAAAGGACCAGAAGCTGGTGCGAGATCGGTGGAGGTAATGGAAGGTGATTTCTACTCTCCAGATGAGCCAGACGATGTGAAGTCCACTCCCTCCATGGCTTCCGGCCTCCTCCTGTCCCGTGTCACCAGTGCGCCTGAACCCAGCCGTCGAGTAGCGGATGGTCCCTTCTTGCCATCATTGCATCAGACACCGCGAAAACGCGACTTTCCCATGGAACAGTCTCACAGGCGTCGCGGTGCCGACCGACCATCTCCTCCTGCTAGATACTTCTGGTCTCCGGGAAGCTCCAGTCCACGGACGGAGCTAGAAGAACCTCCCGACAAACGCCCGCGATTGGATTATATACCGGAAAAGTCAGAAACGGGAGAGGAATCGTCTAAGAGGAGGATGAACCCTCAGGTATGTGACAGGTGTTCCCAGGGACTCCATATCCATATCCACGAAAGGGTCGGAATGGGCACGTCTATTGGTGATAATGACTGACACACCGTCTATCGCCGCTAGACCAGCTCGTATGTTTACCCGGGAGAGCATCGCCCTCCTGACCCCCCTCCAGAGGACATTTCTCATCATCGATCGTGGCGCGGATCCTGCGGCAACTGCTCAGATACCGAGTCCCTGGTGCTGGATCTCGTACATGGGTTTTTGGAGCTTCAATCAGAGGTCGCTCAAGCTCTGGCCATTTCCACGGGGCGCAAGAGTCCCTTGGAGGTAAGCCCCGGTCCGCCCCATTGGAACGGGAAGTGCTGACGGGACCAAAAAGTCTATCGGAGTCGAAGTGACTAAGCTAGGCCTCAAACAGTCTCTTACATGGACCCTCAATGAACTTCGGAATACAAGTCGCCTCATACAGTCACATGCAGCTACGAGTACGTCGAAACCGGGGTTACCACCCCTGGCTGATGTTGTCCCGGCCCCATTCGTAAACGACATACGTCGTTTATCTATCCATGGACAATCTTCGGCGGCTCCCACATCTATAAATGACCCCCGCAAACCATCACTCCCGCCAGATACTCCTCGAAGTGATGATTACCACCGTCGCCCACTTGATCACCCACCTCTTCAGATGCCTCGACAGTTCGAGCAAGGGCTTCCCCCCATTCTCCAAGGGGAGGAGTTAAAACGAAACCCACCCTACGAGCAGGCAGCTTCAGGCTCGGGGCAGTCGCCACATGCCTCGTCGTCCAGTTCGGTTTTTGGCTCTGCTCAGTCACCCATGCAATCTCAACCATCCAGCCGGACGCTGCCGTCACCACCAGCAATGCAATATGCGCGGACAGGGAGTTCGGAATATGTACAATACTCCCCGGCGACGACGCAGGCGGCACACAATGCTCATCTCCAAGACCTGCAACATCAGATTTCGACCAAGACTCTCGCGCTTCAGACTCTACAGCGTGAACATGACCAGTTGTTAGCAGCATTTTCAAGGTCTCAGATTCGGTGTACCGCTTTGGACAAGAAGTCACAGGTGTCGGATCACGAAATCAACACCTTGACTGAGGACAAGATCCGATTACAGCAACAAGTGGAGGCATTGGAGACTCAGGTCCAGGAGCTGGTCAAATCACGTGACGAAGTTCATCAGCAATCGTCAGCAGACGGGGCACAGTGGAGACAAATCGTGGCCATGTCATCCCAACTACAACTCAAGGGGGCTGACGAAGCCCGGCGGTTCAAATTGGAGCGAGAGACGTGGGAGCGGGAACGGGCAGCGCTGCAGAAAAGAATTGAAGAACTCGAGTCTGGTAAGGAAAAGCTTCCCGAGACGAGGCCGGTTTCTGGTTCCACGACCCCCGTGGCAAACGATCCCATTCTGACTTCGGGCTCCGTTGAGGTTCTTAGAGAAGAGATTGTCAGGCTCCGGCGCCGGTGTGTCGAATTGGAACTAATGCTTCAAGAGCTGGCGGGAGAGGCTGAGCAGATCGAAAGTGCAATTACTGCAATGGAGAACGTTCGAAAATCACTTACAAGCAAGAAGCGCCGCACAGACGATAGTTAGGTGAGGCAAACCAGGCCCAGATCGAAATAGTCACGAATGGCTGGTACATGTGCTGTAGGCCAGGGGCGAAGTGTCGCATGCGCTCCTCCTGGCCCATCAATGCCGAGCCTCGAATGTTCATTATGATCCTCCGATCGATCCACCGCTATCGGAAGAGACAGCCCTGTGGCTCCTGGTGTGCAAAGAGAGCGTTGGTTTCTCTCTTACCTATCACCTCGTTCGCCACCTCCCTTTTGCCTCGAACATGGGTTGAGGGACCGAGGTACATACACAATGATCCCGAGAACCTGAGGCTGGAAATGCCTTACTCTGTCGATATGCGCCTTCCTGGCACGGACGAGACCCTTGCTTCCAAGTTGTCACGAGACTTTGCGGAGCCACGGCACGCAACATTGGACGGAACCACGGGGCTGGGTGGCCACAAGGCAAGCAGCAATTGCCCGAAGAGGGAGGGGCATATCAAAGAAACAGTGGAAACAGGGGCTAGATAAACGGCCGCGACTATTTCGTGGGACGTGCAATTCTGTGCAACTACTGGTACTTCACTTTTTGGCTGGTACTATTGAGGTATACCCGGGGGCGTTACAGAAAGATGGGAGGCAAATATGTACTATCAGCATGAGAGGGTGGACATCGGAAACTGGTTCATCAGAGGAGGCCCCGGTCTTTCGACGAAGCACACCCAGGAGGCTTTCTGGTTGGAAAAAGCTAGCGGAATTGTTGAGATATCAAATGCCTTGCATCAAGTCTTGACATATGATTGGAAGGCAAATTTGACCGACGGCGGGATCCTCGAGACCTTTGGACAGGCTTGCATCAACCCGGGGAGGAAAAAGGACTGGCCGGGTAGAGATTGGTCCGGTGTGGCAGAGGGGGATGCACACGGGGATGGAGCCACTAGAGGAGCCACCAAAGGAGCCATCAGAGCTGAATGACAAACAAGTAAGCAACAGCTAGTGACAGCCTGACAGGGTAGCCAGCGAGCCAGCATGATGGGATGTATGCACTTGACCATCGCAGTATAAGCCATGATTACCCAGGTAGGTGCCTAGGTAGGTAAGTATATCACCGAGTATTAAAAATTCTGCAACATGTTTGCATGGCTTGGGTGACTGCGGGGGTGGCACTCAGGCTGGCGGCACCAATGGAACCCGGAAGCACTCGAAGCTACGAGGCGCCGAGCCACCCACTAGGTAATTAAATGAAATCATTTCAGTTTGACCGTCAGTGGCCGTCATGGTGACAATGACCTCCAAGTTGCTTTCCCATCTCGATCGCTCTCTACAGCGCTGCACCTCCACCATCACTCAGCATCCCGTAAACACATCCTGACTGACTGCGCATCACTAATTGCTCTCTACGCCTCTTTCCTCCATCTCCCGCTCTCATCTCTTACAAGGCACCGGTCTGGACCTAGGTCTCGGTCGTCTCCTCGCAAGCTGGTCCCCTCTCCAGTTCCGGATTGCCACCGAAATAACCGACTTGCTTCCATAATACAAACCCTGGACCACATGCTCCCTCCTCAGTTAGCCTCGCCCAAAGTCCGCCTTGCCTGCATTGACTGCACAGGTTGAGCCGATTCGGGACAACTTCATGTCCAACTGCATCCTCGGCCGAGGTCGTCTTGGTTTGCACAAGGCTTCATATCTTGCATGTGTCAATTCATATCCTCTCTCTACCGGCTTCAGTTGCCCCCGGGCTGACACGACATGGACGAAAAGTTTGACGTGCGGCTGCTGAAGCGAGCTTTGGGCGAAACGAGAAGAAATCGGTCCGTCAAAACTCTGTATGGGGATAAGTCGTGGGTGGAGGATTTGGATATTGTCAATGAGCTTGGAGCTCACACCGGCTGCGTCAATGCTCTGTGGTACAGCTACTCGTTGCGTACGTAAGGAAAACCCCCTGCTAATACCGTCTCTGGCAGTTGGTCGACAGGTGGCAACCTTCTGGCTTCAGGCTCCGACGATACCTACCTCAACATCTGGGATTACAATCCGCCTGGAAGTACCAGACCCTTCTCGCTGAACACGAGTGTGAGCACTGGTCACCATGCAAACATTTTCTCAGTCAAGTTCATGCCCCACACGGCCGATCGCACCGTCGTCACTTGCGCCGGAGACTCCGAGGTTCGCGTCTTCGACCTTGAGTATGGCGGAGCTGCAACCCAGAATAGCTCAGGCGACGCAGGGACAAGGAGCCGGAGGTTTAACAAGTTCTTTCAGAACGCGAGGTGGCTGAATGAAGGGAACACAAACTGTCGGGTATACCGAAGCCATTCGGACCGCGCAAAGAGAATAGTGACCGAATCCAGTCCATACCTGTTCTTGACATGCTCTGAGGATGGCGAAGTGCGTCAATGGGATCTCAGACTGCCGTCCTCAGCATATCCTGTGCCTCGGGGATCTCGTCGGTACGCACGATTGCACCAGGGAACCGAGACCGATAGCGGTGACGCCCCTCCCCCCCTCATCTCCTACAAGAAATATGGCCTCGATTTGAACAGCATCTCCTGCGCACCCAGTCAGCCACAGTATATTGCGCTCGGTGGGGCTCATCTGCATTGCTTCCTGCACGACAGGCGTATGCTGGGTCGAGATCTGGACTCTGAGAAGGGTCAGCCTGCCACCCGGAAGCCTGCCGTGGGATCGTTCGAAGATGTGGCCATGGCCGAAGCAACCAGATGTGTTAGACGATTTGCCCCCAATAACAAGCGCAAGATGGGATCACGCGATCATGGTCACATCACGGCCTGTAAGATCAGTGATGCCAATCCCAATGACCTCATAGCCTCTTGGTCTGGAGATCATATCTACAGCTTTGATATTGTCAAGTCGCCCGACGCGAGGGAAGCTGATGCTCGAGCCAACGAGGAATTCCAGGCCACCCGGCTCAGAAATCTCTCTGACCGCAAGAGGAAAAGGGGAAAAGCAAACGCCTCTTCCAGCAGTCTTGGGGATGCAGCCAATCCCAGCAGGCGTCTAAGGAGGGTTCCAGACGATCGCCCAGAAAACGGCCACACTGCTCTCCGAGCGAGGCTTGCTGATGGAGAAACTGAGCTTATCCCTATTCCATCAAGTGTGTCCGAACCTGCAGCTGAGTCACCTTCAGCTCATGAGCTTCTGCTCTCAGAAGCTCAGAGATCAAGCCTACGAGTGGCAAGAGCACTCATTCAACTTCGCAAGACCTTGTTTGACTTTTCTGCTTCGTTAGGCGCTGACGTTCCTGCCACCATGGAGGAGTCTCCAGAATTGACACCCCATACAGCGGCATTTACTAGTGCCCTTGGCCAGTGTGCTTCCCTACTTCCTCAAATGGACGAGGTCATCCGTACTTGGTCATATCCAATAAACCCGAGTGAGGAGGACGTGATTCTGCAAAACGCCTTGAGGAGAAATCGACAGTCGAGCTGGCGATTCGTGCAAGCTGCCGGTTGCTTGGCCCGCATCCTCGGCGGTCGTTTGCAAAGTCTCAGTTCCGCCCCTGACGTTCGGCTTGCGCAGTTCGACCAGGTCAAACCTGCTGCTCACGAAGGTAAGAACATCCGCAAAGAGTCGAGATTTTGCTACGACTTCCTGAAGGCGATTCTTCTCTGGTTGGATGGTGGGCAGTCTGCAGTGTTGCAAGGATTCAAGCGGCCACCCAATGTGAGTGCCGAGAGTCCTCGATTCCCTCTTGATGAAGAGGACACCATACAGAACTTTGTGCCCAAATTGGAAGCCTACCTCTTGGACCTCGCAGATGATGACACACCGATCGTCGACCTCGAAACAAATCGTTTCGAGCGAGACGAGACTCGTCATGTTTTCCAGAGTCAGAGGTCGGCTGTGCTGGCCTTTACGAGAGCTCTTGGCAATATTGAGTTGGTGGCGAGCCAAGGCATGTCTGAGACTCGGGCCAACCCTTCGAGCCCCGCCACGACAATACGTGTAATGGATAAGGGCGCGGCGGCGAGATTCTGGGGGGTCAAGGTAGGCCGCTCCTTGCTCATGCATGCTGCGGAGGGTGTCACCTTCGAGTTTGTGAATCTAGCGTTCGGGGGATTAAGACTTCAGTCAGCTGGTTCCGATATTGAAGGAGAACGGTCACAGGAAGACATCGACCCGGACGAAGAGGAACGAATTGTCGAAGCCATTGATCTTGTGAGAGTTCACCCCGAAGAGTCCTCAACGGATTCGCCCCAAACCGCTCGCGAGACTACTGAAGGATCCAGCCAGGCCGATGTTGAAATGGGCACGCCTTTTACGGTCCACATCGAGGATGCGGACGAAGACGAAGACGACGACAACAACGAGAACGAAGATTCTGATTCGGAAGCCACAGGATCCGACGAAGACGACGAGGATGGGGATGCTCCGGAACGCATGATCTTTCGAAGACGGTTGGGATTTGCCCGGTACCGTGAACGAAGTTCTGTGAATCTCCAGGTGCCCTACTCGTCACATACCAAGATTTACAGGGGCCATTGCAACACACGTACGGTTAAAGACGTGAATTACTATGGTATGAATGATGAGTTCGTCGTCAGCGGCTCTGATGATGGGCATTTCTTCATTTGGGATAGGAAGACCTGCCGGATCCTGAATATCTTGGAAGGGGACGGCGAAGTTGTCAATGTGGTTCAGGGTCATCCATACGAGCCTATGATTGCCTGCAGTGGCATTGACAGCACAGTCAAAATCTTCGGTCCCGGAGGCGACAGTCGAGAACGTGAGGCGGCAGAGAAAGGGATCGACATTGCCAATCCCGGCGGAAGTGTGCATTCCTCGCTCAGGTTCGGGGGTCGACGAAGCCGACGCGCTCGAGGCGGGGGTGACGACGATAGCGATGAGGGTGAAGATGGCACCGAAGCCGTGTCTTCTAGTGGGCTCAGAAGTCGTCGGGCAATGCATCGCAGTTACGAGATCATCAGTCAAAACGACGTGGAGCGGAGGCGCAGTGCAGGAGACACCTTTGTCACGGTAGGTTCCATAGAAGAGCTGCTGGTCAACGCATGGATTGTGTCGAGTCTCGACATGGATTGACTGTGGCACACACGATTCCCCAAGCTAGGCTGCAATGACATCTAACTTCTGGTGACAATGCAGGAGGGGATGCTCGCTAGATTCGCATTGGCGATTCAAAGAGGCCAGATGCCGGGAGATGCAGGGCTAGGTGCTGAGGGGGCAGTCCGCACCATAATGGTCGATGACAATTGTCTGGTCAGTTCTTCAATGCTTTGCGGTTGGTAATTTCTCATGGCTGCTGACGGTGACTACGCTTAGGTTATGTGAGATCATCCTCCATATCCATTTCTCCCTGGGCGGGTCGATACAGCTTGTCGACCATGCGAGGTTGGACTGGTCGCTGCTTGCTGGATAGACATGAACATCTCCTATTTGGAGCTGGATAGCAGTGGAGGTCTTTGGTGGTCAGATCAGAAGCACTGATGGAACTGGAGGAACCCTTGCAAGGTGTTTGCTTAATCATAGCTCCGTTGTCTACGCGGAGTGCCGCATCCGGGCTGGTTTCAGCACCCAGAAACGATAATGTCTTCTCAACTGCATCTCTGGAGACCTGTCGGGTAAGACGAACCTTGTTCCTGGTTGAGGGGTCCTTTACAGGAATGGGCTTAGGTAAGGGTGTGCTGCCATTGAAGAGGGCTTTTCTTGGGCCACGACTTCAATACGTGTCTGAGTTCTAGTGAGACCCTTGTCGCGAGATCACCACTAAGGGGGCTGGACATGAAATAGGTCAATCGACTCGTACCGTTCTCGGCGTCTACGCTGCTCACGCGTGTGTATGGCACTTGTCGTCTCGTACTTCGTTCCGCGATCCGCGTACAGTGCTTGCCGAAATTAAGCTCCCAAACGGGGACCATTGATAGATGCGAGCGATGTACTCGTATGACAGGATCACCACCGTGACCAGAGATGATCATCGGCTCCGGGGTCCTCAGCCTTCTGCTGTGGGGTGTGTGTACACACTAGGTCCTTGTATATCGTAATAGCGCCAGGGCTAGGGCTATGCATCGTATGCAAGTTTAGGTCATGGAAGGAAAAAAAAGAAGTACCTACGATATATAGCCCCCCCTCCCCGGGGCGGGCTTCTCCTCTTCAGCCTTGTTTTTTGTCGGTTTTGGCTCCACACCCGACGATCGCGGCTCCGTAGTCTTAGACCCTCCGCCCGCCCGCTTGCCGGTCACTCACCGGGCCGACTTCTGAGGAGGTACCGAGTACGAGTAACCTATACGAGTATACGAGTATATCCGGAGTAACGGCCGGGGGGGCTTTGATTACAGGAGTTGTACCGAGTACCCCTTTGTACTAGGTACTAGCTAAAACAACGAGTACGAGGTACCTAGTATACACCCTAGTATACCGGGGGCGTGGAAGCTATTACCTAATTATCCGTATAGTACTTTGTTAGGAACAGGACTAGGGATTAGTACTAGGTAGCCTCGGTAGGTAGGTTCCAGGATGTTCTGCCAGTGGATATATCTTATCTCACAGAACCCCACTCGTTAGTTAGGGTAAGGGTAATATCGTACGTCGTATTGTCTCTCCTCGCTTCGCTTATGAAGGGGAGTCCTTTTTGCTTTCACTGCGCCAGACCAGGCGAGCCGGGGGGGGCGGGGCGGGAACGGGCATTGAGGGGGGCGGCGAGTCAGCGGACCGATTCCGAGCGGGCTAGACGAGGAGACGGAGATGCACGAAGGTACTACCTACCTTACCTACCTAGGTAGGTGCGAGGTACATGCTCGTTATACCCCCGTTTCGTGTACGGGGTCTGAGGTTAAGCAGGCAGGCAGGCAGGTAGGTAGGTAGGTGGGAAAAGGGGAATAGAGAGTAGACGCAGAAAGCAGGTGAGGAAGTAGATGGTGGGAAAAGGGAACTTTTGTTTCGTTTTTACATAATACAATTGCTTCGTCTCACCCTTACTGCCTTTCTCCTCTCTTTGCCTCGGAGGAGTAGCTGCCAGGGACGGAATTGCAAATTACGCAGCTAGCTTCTTGGTGTGCTGTGTTTGTTTTCCACTGTATCATGTTGGCTCCCACTCGAGAGAGTCAGATCTCTGAAGGCTGTGTAGCGCGTCCGAGACTCATGCCCACCTCGACATCCATCATGACCAAGTGGCGGCTCACACTCAACAAATCCTCGTCGAACTGGATTCTCCCTTGCTCAAACGCCACGATGATGCTCGAGCCGCCGTACTGGAACAGTCCCACCTCGTCGCCCTTTCTGATTTCGGACCCGGGCCTTTGGCATTTTGGGTTGATCTCGACGGTGCCCACGTCGGTGGCGCCGATGGCCACGAACAACACTTTCCCAAATTCTTGAGAGTTGATGCACACGGCGCACCGTGCGTTCGTGGTCAAAATGTCGATGTCGCTTTGTAGGCACATGGGGTCCACTTGGTAGTAGTTTCCCGGGATCTGTTTGAACCACTCAATGGTCCCATTGACGGGAGAGTGGTAGCGGTGGTAATCTTGAGGTGACAACCGAAAACTCGCGATGGCACCGTTGTGCCATACTTTGGCGGCCTCGTCGTCGCGGATCAGGTTGCCCACGGTAAAGTTCTTCCCTTTGATCCAGAGTTTCTTGGTCTGTGCCACGCTCGGGTACACCACCAGCCGACAGTCGGCGACGACCACGGCCCGCGTTGGGTCGTCAGGTTCGAAGATGGGTCGTGAGCCGGGCTTGTGCTGTCGGATGAAGAAGTCCTCAAAGGTGCGATATTCGTGGATGTCGGAGGGAGTGAAGTCTTCCATGTTGATGTGATAGAAGTCCACAAAGGCCTTGATCTGCCGAGCAGACGCCGGCGTGCCTTCCTCTTTCCCTGCAGGATGTGGTAGCTGGTTAGCATCGACCGAAACTTGTAAAAGGTGTATGTCGAAACCAGGTCTCGAGCAGCAACCCAGGGGCTTCTTACCAGCTTTGATTGTCTTCTCGTGGATCCATAGCCGGAGTAGTTGAGTGCGATCAATCCACTCGATAGGACGACTGAAGAGGATCCAGAGCTTGATCTTCTTCCATATGGGCTGCTTTTCGCGCTCATAGCAGCCCGTTTTGCGATTCAGTGTTTTCCAGCCTATCTGGCGATTTTGGACAGTTCTAATTGTTGAGAGGGCATAGTCGAGGATTTGATGGATCCACTGCAAGATGAAGTCGAACATCATTGTCGCGTGTATAATGCTGTGAGTGAGAGGGTGAGCTTCTCTGAATACTATGTGTACGCCACAGTTTGCACATGGCGAGGCTTGAAGGATTAAAAAAATACCAAACCTGCTGTCGGATTTCAACTCCGAGCTCGATTTTTCTGGAAACTCCCGCGCGCAACGTCATAGCTCTGACATCAACTGCTGCAGCCTCTGGGCAAAACTTGGATGGTAGTTGCACCGCCAAAGTAGAGAGGCACACGAGTCTCGAGGTTTCGAGGCTGATCTGGAGATCGCTGTGGTGTTGGTGGTGTCCTCGAGCTACCTAGTTAGGGCTCCCCCTTCCCCTTCTATCCCCGGACTGTATTACCACCCTGGCTGGGAACCAAACCAGGTTGTTGGAGTTGTGACACTTCCTTTTGTAGAAACCACTCGTGCACAATCTTTACGGTGGCACTCTTGCTCCAATCGACCATCTCCTCAGACAAGCATAGTAGGTGTGAGATGTTGGTCTCGGTCTCGGTCATGATGTCCATATCGTCTGCGTCTTGCATTCGGCGAGGCGGCCGTCTGCAGGGCGCGCAAGCAAGCATTCGCGGCGTTGACTGCTGATAATGAAAATCATTTCGGGTCATTACGGGCCTTTCAGGAATTAACCAGCATCTGAGGCACGTACTGGAATATCCATACTGAATCAACCAACAGAGTCAGCGTCGAGGTCCTGGTTAAGGGATGGATTAAAGCGGCACTATCAATTCCAACTTAGGTTAGCCCCTTTTGCCTCCCAGCCTTTCGCCTCGAAGCCGCCAAGCCATCAAATGTCTGGTTCACGGCGATCAACAAACCTATTATTTTCATTCCTGAGCGACGAAACAATTCCAGCGTTCTGACAGTCGCAGTTTTGATGGCAGTGACCATGGAGAACCGTGTCGTCGACGATCTGGCGGGCCTACCTCAATATCTACAAAACATACTAACTCAGCTGCCAGAAGACCACTCTATTGCCCTCAGCGAAACCAGGGGCCCTTCAGTGTCGGACGTCAAAAAGCTGGCAGATCGGAGGAAAATATACGCATATCTGCTTCTCTCGCGCCACCGCTTGACTCAACTTCTAGCCCAATGTCCCGGTCCCTGTCCCGACCTCATTCTCCAGCGTGCTGAAGTCTACGAGGCTCTCGGGTACAGTGAACTGGCGCTGGCGGATGCCTACGTCTCGTACACCCTTTGTCTCGTGGCTTTGGATGGCCCTGATGTCTCAGATCTTGAGCCTGTTGATTCGGACGGAAATCCATGGCCGGCTTCTGATGGTGACCACGACGAGATTGAGTCGAACCCCATGGCCCTGGAGCACAAATACCGTTCGCTGGTTCTGATGTGTCGCTCCGCCATCATTCTGGGTGTTCAAACCCAAGCGAAACTGTGGATCGACGAGGTGCTGGCGGTGAAGAGATCCATACGCCGGTTGAGCGGGGAGGAGCCTCGAGAGCCGGTCAAGGACATTGAGGAAGTAGTGGGAGACTTCTCCAAATACTCCACTGTCTACGAGGACGAGTCCAAGTTCCATATATGTGTGAAGATCCTGCGGCGGGAAGTCAAGCCCACTCTGTTTGGCTGGTGTCAGCGCCAAATATACCCGTGGAATGAGCATGAGCCTGACAGAATGTCCAGAGAAGCATTGATCGAGATCAATGAAAGGCTCCACCAGGCCGCTCCGGATTTGGAGGTGGAAATCTCCACACTACCATATCTTACCCCAGCTCCAACTCTGAACGGGGATATGGAGAGGCTTTCCGTCGGTGAGGTGAAAACCCGTGTCTCTTTGACGGCTAGATGCTCTTCCCAATTGGGGTTATTTGCCAGAAGGCAACTTGCACCTGGCACGACCATCTTGAGAGAGCGCTCGGCTCTGACCGCCATACGACCACATGGCGAGGCTCTCTGCGACGCCTGTGCGGCTGATATGGAAGGTATCGAACGAGAGGATCGGAGATATTGTACAGGGTGCAATATCCCTTTTTGCTCGGAAGAATGTCAGACGGCTGCAAAAGAACGCTACCACCGGCCGAACGAGGAAGACTACCAGACAGACGAGGGCTATCCTCCTGCTGAGGCGCCTTTTTGTCCCGGATCAAGTGGCAATGACGACCTTCACACTCTTGGTCGGGCTGAAAGTTCGACTACCCCCGAATGGGATTTGTACTTTTTGCTCCTGTCTCGAACCATGCAGCTGGCCGAGACACAGAGAGTGCACCCTCTGGATCTGTTTGAGACGAAATACTTGTGGGGAGACTTCTCCCCAACACCGCAAGTCATGGATCTCTCGTTCAAGAGTGGGCCGAAATCACTACCATACAGCGTGCGCCACCATGTCGAGTTGCCTCTGCAGTGGTTTGAAGTTCTCATGCATTCACGAGAGAGGTGCAGACCATACAGTGCCACTTGGCTAAAGAAATACGACTGGTGGATTATTCAGACACTTTATGCTAAGTTTCGAGGAGTTGCCGACGCACAACAATCGACTTGGACAGGCAAACCTGAGGTCGCAGCCGTACATCCGCTCTGGTGTCTGGCAAATCACAGCTGCAATCCAAACGTGACTTGGAAACCTTCAGGAGTGAGGAATCTGACCGTCGTCAAGGAGAAGGTGTGGGAGAGGCCTGACACTCCTTCATCCACCGCTTGGGCAGGTATCAATGCTGGCGAGGAGATTTGGAACCATTACACCGATGTGCAGGAGAAGGACTTCCGAGAGCGGCGAGCCCGGTTGCAGGCGGTTCTGGGTGGAGATTGCCGATGCGAGAGGTGCATATACGAAGCAGAACAATATGGACCCGGCTTGGGAATTCCAGATTCGGTAGGGGTGAGATTGAATTGAGCAGTCCGCAGGACCAGTGGGCAGCGAAGCAGCTCGACAGCACTCGGGCACTCTCAACCCTTCGAAGGCGTCTGATGCTCCTTTCGACAACACCAAGATGTCTTCTCGGCATTTGCGTCTAAATTGTTGGACAAAGGTGTCATTGAAACCGAACTGCCCTGCAATCCGCATCCCCTAGGTAGGTACGACCCTACTAGAGAAGCCATACTGCGGCAAGTGGCTTCCAACCTCATTGGGCTCGTCGCCACAGACATGCTGTGGACCCGGACCATCTACATCTGGGTATTCCTTGTCTTCTGGATATCGTTGCCGCTCTTATTATGTGTCCGTTTTCCAGCTTGATCAGTTACATGTTGGCAAGTATAAGTATCTGTGGCAACATTAGTTCGATATGGATCATCCGCAACAGACGTCGCATTCAAGACCACGCATGCCGCTTTCTTCACATACCAGGTCTTTTGCAGCCGCCTTGAAACCAGACAAGGCAACGCTTCCACGCTTGGGACAGTATCTGAAAGCTTTCTTCCTGGATCACTGGCTCGACCTCGTTTGTATCCTTGCCATCGCGGGTGTAACGGGTGTGGTAAGTTATGCATCAGACATCTCCCCCATTGACCCGATGTCCAGTGCTGACCTGATCAATGACCACAGATCTGGATCATTCCTGCCCGTCCGCCTCTTCTCTTCCCGCTCCTCAGTCCTGACGGTGCCACTTACAATCCCTCCATCGGCTACCCTTATCTAACGCCCATATTTTCTTCTCTTCTGACAGGCATTCTCTGCGGCTTCGTACCGCTTGTAGTGATCTTGCTCTCACAAATCTTCATCCGATCCTTCGCTGACTTCTCCTCCGCTACTCTGGGCCTCCTGTACTCACTGGTTACGGGGACCTGCTTCCAAGTCATCCTGAAGAAGTCCATCGGCGGACTCCGACCACATTTCCTCAGTGTCTGCAATCCGGTCGTCCCAAATGGATATGTCGGCTCTGGATATAACGGCATGATGTACCGCGTTGGAGATGTCTGCACAGGCAGCCCCAAAGACATTGACAACGCGGTACAATCGTTCCCCTCAGGACACAGTGAGATTGCGTTTGCCGGCCTGGGGTACCTCTCGCTGTACCTCTTCGCCCACCTTCGCATTGGCGACGCCTCCAGACCCCGGAAACGGGGATTCTGGCGCATGATCCTGGTCCTCACGCCGATCCTGTTTGCGACTTACATCTCGAGCACGCTCGTCTTGGGATATCACCACCACGTGCATGATTGCTTGTTTGGCGCCGCGATTGGCTGTTTGACCGCGACGTTGGGGTATAGGATTGCGTTTCGGAGTTTGCTAGATGCGAGGATGAACTGGAGACCCAGGGTCGGGAAGAGGTTGAAGAGGGCCGTGGACGTGGAGACGGAGAAGGGAAGCCACCTGCAAGGGCGAGCGGGAAGAGTGGCTGGTGTTGATGATGGCACAGGGCTCGACAGTGCATTGAGAAGGCCGAGTCCTGTTGAGAGAAGTATGCGAGACGATAGCGACACGGGGAATGAGCTTGAGGCGGATACTCGCGTTTGACTACTTCTTTTTCTGCCTTGAGGAATGTATGGATATGATGGTGATAGAGCGGAGACGGCTTTCTGCGTTGCGACCATCGTTATACATCAGTGATACCTCAGTGGTTATACTAGGGGAAACTCGTAGTGTTACTACTCGTTTGGCACCGACTACGAGGTCCATAGATGGCAGCACAATCAACCTTGTGTGGCACTTCTGTGCTGTGACTTCCCACCATAGAGCGCTGAATCCGGTGTGTCATTTCATTTCAGACGACACGATCTAAGATTCTTTATTTCTCTGCCGAGCCCGTTACTCGGCGAGTTGTTACACCAAGTTGAAATTCTCGTCGCCATACATACGAGGTATACCTACCTACCTGCAGGTGGCTAGAGCATCAAGGCACGTCCACATCTGGCCCAGCCTAGGTCTTGGAATTCGCCTCGGCCACCATGTCGAGAGAAAACCCTTCCTCGGTCTTCGGCGTGGTGGGAACACTGCTTTCTCCCGCTGCTTCGTAGCCTTGGCCGTTCCCATTGCCGCCGTTCTCGGCCTTGATCTCGTGTTTGACCGCGGCGGCAGGTTCCTGCTTGATTCTGCTCTTCCTCTTCTGGTGCGAGTCTTCCTCTTTTGTGCTGGTCTCTTCCTTCTGTTTGCGAGCGGCTTCCTTCTCCTTCCTTCTCCGCTTCCTTTCTTCCCGGTCGTCTTCCCCACTGGCGCTTGTCAAGGGGCTCAACAGCGGCGTCCCCAGTGGCGTGATATCACCGAGTCCGCGTTCTCGATTCCCATCTCTGTCTCTGCGGCCGCCGTCCCTGGGCGGTTTCCTTCGGACGCTGGCTGTGCTACTAACAGAGCTTCCTCGCCTCATCCTCTCTGAGAGGGGCCGTTCAGTGGCCACATCAAACTCGAGATGTGGGGTGGAAGAGCGCGACGATTGTCTGCTCCGGCTGTGCGTGGAGTCCGAGTCGAGGTTGACGCTCCTTCTCTTGCCAGCTGTCCCACTCAATGCTCGAGCATGACCCATGGCGTCCCTTTCTGACAGACTTGCGCGGTGTGAGCCGGTTCCCTGGGTGTGTTGCAAGTGAGGATGTTTCTCCAGGTCATGATGCCGTCTCTGGCCATGATGTCTGGACGACTGGAGTCGCCAAGCTCCCGTCCACCATTTCCAGCCTCCCGCTTCCTTCGCCTTTGCTCTCCTGAGAACATTTAGTTTCTTTCGGAGAGCTGCCCTCCGTTCGTTCTCCTTTTCCCAATACTCTGTGCGATATTCTTCCCAGTTCTCTCGGAATTCGGGGGAGAAGGACTTGGGGAGCAAGAGAAGCATGATAGCGTCGCCTCCCTCTGCGAGATCTTCTTCGACCACTAGCCCGTTTTCGTGCTCGACAAGGTGCCAATCTGAGCCTCCCGCTTCGCGCCAGAGACCAAAGGGGAGTAAGAAGGAGAGGTGGCCGAGCATCTCCCGCCAAAACTTTCCCCGGATTCTCACCACGCGCAGGTTGAAACCCCTCAGACCTCTGTTTGTCGTTCCCAACCATTTTCTCGGCCAGCGGATGCCTCTTTCCCATTGACCCGTGCCCCAAACGAGAAGAACCGTGACAACTCCGCCCATCAATGCAAGTTTCTCTGACGTTTCGACCACCCAGTACACAGATCCACCCAGGCCGATGCCATCTTCTCGAGGACGCAGGAAGAGGGCGTAGAAGAACAAGCAGTTCCAGACAGCCAGCAACAGCAGGAAGAAAGTGTTCAGCCGGCGGCGGGAGACGAGGTGCAGGTACTGTGCGCGCAGGGACGATTCAAGAATCAGGAGGTTCAAGTAGATCTGCGGAGGGGAGGAAGGCAAGGTAGCCAGGAGAGGATCGAGGGTGGGTTGTTCGGACTGTTTCCCAAGGGAATGGAGGGGAGCAGAGGGCAGTGGTCGGATATCCGTTGTAGGGGCGCCTTTGACTATTTGGTTGAGGCGAGTTTCGGGGGAGGCCATCTTGGAGGGGACCGCAGTGGAGGGACGAGGAAAAGATTGTCGGGCGTGGGTTACTGCAGTGCCATTGAGGCTCTAGGCCATTGATCTTGTGCACTGGCGGGCGCAATGTGCTTGAGCGGGTAGGAGGGGAATGACGAGGCTAAGTCGGAAAGGCTGATTCGGGGTCAGGGAGCGCGCATGATGGCAGCAGATGGTCTCGATGGTTCCTGCAGATGACGAGCGCCAGGCAGCGAAATTAACGCACGACGAGTTACTCGTGCTCCGTCGAGTTGCTTCGCTCGTATCGGCAAACAATCACAGGAGCAATCTGTATGACAAGCACCACAAGGGGTCTGCACGAGACCGGACGAAGCACTCCGATGAGGCTGTTGTTAACTCCGGCTTGCATGTAGTGGCACTGGGTGGGAGCGAATGACTAGTGAGACTGGGCCATCAACGGCTGAATCGACATCCGAGTGGCTGATCTAGTATGACATGGCGAGTAATTACCTTAGATGATGTCGGTATTGAGGCATCGGATGGGGAAATGCGAAGAAATCTGCTTGACTGCGTACTTCCTGCATACCGGATCTATCGCTGCCTCTGGGGGTCCATTACGCTCATTTCGCTTTCACTGTCACTGTCACTGTGCACTATTGTTTCTGCCTAATCTGCACGACACCTGCTTCCAATGTCAGACTTCCACTCACCTTGAAATAGATTCACCACCTGCTGAGTGTCTCGTATATGAGACGAACTCTCCCCTCAGCACTCCCACTCCTAGAGGCAGCCCCCCGATCCCCCATCATCTACCCTCGTCGATTCCAATCCTCTACTACATCCGCCCCTCTCTCAACCGACCCGGAAGACCTCAATCTGCCTCCCACCTCCCACCATCCGCCTGTCATGTCCACCACTGCCTCGGCGGCCGACTCAGACAGTGAGGTGCAGGCTCGCCCACAGCAGAGCACCCTCGCCTCCCAACGCGCCAAAGCTGAGAACCCCAGAAGATCTCGCATCGACGGCCTTTTCCCTCTGTCTTACAAACAGGGCTTCTCGCAGTGGTGGACTGCTCTGCCCGCCGCTCAAGCCGAACACCGTGTGCTCTCCTTCGTCCCACATTTGCAGCAACCTCCCACCCACGCAAAGACAGGCTCCGCGCCACCCTCACAGAACAATTCCACCGTCAACATAGACAAGACCGCCTCCCCAGAAGCCACCACCTCGACAAATACAATCACAGATCCCTACGGTCCTCGAACGTGGCACTCTCGCCTCGTTCCCCTCTCTGGGAAAAACCGCGCACTAAACGAATTCTCCGTGGTGCGCAATGTCCCTGAGGAAGGTGATCCGGAGCACAACCTGGTCATTCTGCACGGCTACGGGGCAGGTCTAGGTTTCTTCTACAAGAACTTTGAACCCCTCTCCCGCGCACCGGGTTGGCAACTCTACGCCTTGGATATGCTCGGCATGGGCCGCAGCTCGAGACCGCCATTCAGATTAAAATCCAAGACGAGGGAGGCACAGATAACCGAGGCGGAGGATTGGTTCATTGACTCGCTGGAAGAGTGGCGAGTGAAGAAGAAAATTGACAAGATGACGCTGATGGGGCACAGCATGGGTGGATACATGGCCGTGTGTTATGCGTTGAAATACCCTGGCAGATTAAACAAATTGATTTTGGCCAGCCCAGTGGGAATACCAGAGGACCCTTATGCCACACACGCAGCCATGCCCCCTCCACCAGACTCGACGATGCAGAATGAAGTCACCCAGGATCAAGAAACCGAAACAACCACCGACAACAACAAATTATTCAATCGCCAGAAGCAGGCAGCAAAGGAAGCTCAGTTGAAGCAGAAGCCCAACGCCAACCGCCTCCCGGCGAAAGATACCTCGTCAGCAGAAAATTCGTCTTCCGAAGAGACCTCGACTCCCCCACGTCGCCCTCTGCCAAGATGGCTCACCTACCTCTGGGATGCAAATATCTCGCCGTTCAGCTTTGTTCGGTGGTCCGGTCCTTTTGGCCCTCGTCTCGTCTCGGGGTGGACATCTCGGCGATTTTCCCATCTACCTCCTGAGGAAGCCCTGGCATTGCATGATTACAGTTACTCTCTATTCCGGTTGAGAGGCAGCGGGGAGTATGCGCTCGCCTATATCTTGGCACCCGGAGCATTTGCGAGGAGTCCGTTGATCAGACGTATTGGAGCTGTAGGGAGACAACCTCTGACGACGTCCACGCACGAGGTCAATGAAGAGGGCCAGCTGAAGCAGTATCCGGGATCTTCTTCAGCTGCGCAAAACGGCACTTCTCCACCATCTTCTGCCCCACAAGATGTGGCACGAGAAAGAGGAATTCCGGTCGTGTTGATGTACGGCGAAAACGACTGGATGGACGTCTCAGGAGGGTACGCTGCGAAGAAGAAGATTGACGCCGAAACAGCCCGCGCTTTGGGGACTGCTTCGCCTGAGGAGAGGGACCGGGACCACGGGTCTGCCAAAGTTGTGATTATCAACAATGCGGGACATCATCTGTATCTCGATAACCCGGATGATTTCAATGAGGTGATACTCGCGGAGATGGAGGATGTGCGGAGACGGACCTTGAAGGAGAAAGAGAGGATGAGGTAGAAACGGCGGAATTCGATTGATAGAATGGTTTGAGTTGCATGGTAGCGTTTGGTTAATTTTTAGGGATGGCATCATGATGATGTTACTGTTACGGAATTTAGAGAGGCTTATCTCTATTGCTTGCATTGAGCGCCAATTTGGTTGGGGTTTGGGAACCATAGAAGGGCGGACGGCGTGGGCTTTTAGAGGTCAAAGACAACAGCAGCCTGGTGAGGCAGAGTATGTCGCCCATCTGTGGCACCGTATCCAAGATCACTGCATCGTGATATTCTTGGTATTTCCCGTTGATGTGTATTATACCAGAGCGTGGGGATGCTACTTTTATAGGAGAGAACGGAAGTGTGAATTAGCCAGAACTACCATCATGTCCACCAACAAGTTTGGTTTGATTCAAAAAAGACCGGTTTTGGGCCCAGCTTGTCATCCCTTCATCAACGAGAGGCCTGCCTATATATTTTATTGTTTCCCCTTTAGATAGCTCTTCTAGAAGCTTCAAGGTAAAGAAAGAATTGAAGCTAAAGAAGAGGCCTCCCCCTTTTCCTCCCCCCTTTGATAGGGTCATGGCGTCTCCTCGACCAAATACACCAACTTCTCACCACTGACCTTGCCATTCTTCTGATCCTCCATGCCCTTGATCACGCCCTCGAGCCCACCCTTACCGACCTTCTCCTTATGCGGCCTCAGTTTCCCGTCCTTCAACAACCCCTCGACCATGGCCAGGAATTTCTTGGTGTACTCGAAATCCTCGGGGACGGCGGGGATTTGCGTCTTGCCGAAGCTGAATGGCTCGCCGAAGATGGTGTACATGAGCGTCCTGGTGCTCTCGACGTCGTCGCGGGGGCACTTGGCGTCGAGGATGGAGCCGTATTTCAAGCCGCCGCCGCCGCCGCCGCTCTCGGTGGAGAGAGAGTCGGCGCAGAACTGCGGCGAGCCCTTTTCGCTGATCGTGTCCCAGGCCAGTCTGAGCGTGTTGGAGGTCAGGTCGCGGATTTTGGAGGGCGAAGCGGCGTCGTTGTAGTCGAAGGCGTGGGCGGCGCCGAGGGATTGCACGTAGCTGAAGTTGCGGGGCGAGCATGTCGTGATTACGGTGTAGCCGGACCTAGAAAGAAAACCCCCCAGGGGAGGGGGGGAAAGCGTTAATGGAAAGTGTTCGTTCTGGGTGAAAGAGCGCTTCTCATTGAACGGAGTCATGGCCATTGTGGATGGGAACAGGGAGATGGAGAGGAAGGGGGAGAGTGGTAAGGAAAGAAAACTCACAATTTCGCAAACTGAATACCCAGCGCCCCCGTCGCGCTACTCCCGCCATAGATCAGAATAAACGTCTTCTCCTTGACCGGGTCGGTCGGCCAGTTCAACTTCAACGCCTTCTGATACAGACCCTGCATCACCGTCGTGATACCCAGGGGCATGGTGGCCGCCTCGGCGAAGCCCAAGCTGTCCGGGATCTTAAGCTGAACGTCGCCCTTGGCCACCACATACTCGGCGAAAGCCCCGTCCTCGGGCTGCACGTAGTTGCCGCCGTGAGCGACGCCCGCGATCCGGTCGCCCTTGGAGTAGTGCTTGGTGACTTTGGGGCCGACCTCCTCGACGACGCCCGAGAAGTCGCAGCCCAAGAGACCGCCGTCGGCGGCCAGCCCGAACGCCGCGTGCTTCCAGTCCGTCGGGTTGAGCGCCACGGCCACGGTCTTGACCAGGATGTAGTCGTCGCGGAGTTTGGGGAGCGGGCGGGCCCGGTCGACGTACACGTCCTTGTCCTTGGTCACGACTGCTTTCATGGTGGACAGAGAGAGAGAGAGAGAGAGAGAGATCTTTCGATAAATAAATCTCTTTGCTCAGTTTTTGTTGGGACTTTTGGGTCGGATGGAAGAGTTGTTCGAGAGTTAGTTAACAGTTTCTCTTTGTCAGGTTTGCGTTCTGTCAAGCGAGATCCTGCCTCCTGGTCTTTTGGATAGTGAAAATTTTCTGATTTATTGCACCTTGGTTGGGTGGGAAGTGCTGTTCCGGTAGTTATGTAGTCAGTCCTCTTGTCAGGTTCTGCTGCGTCAGCGCGATCTCAGACTCTGGGCATATTACAGTGGTATTCGGGGGGGACAAGGCCCGTACTTATTCTCTAAGGGGGGATAAGGTTCAAACTTCGAGGATTTGCAGTCGATAGTACTTAGGTATCTGGATGTACAGTCAGAAGTCAAGGTGTTAAGGTGACTAATGTTTCCACGTCAAACCCGCGGTGCCCGCGGCGATTGGAATGGATGACGTTCAATCTCATGATATCATTGACCCAAAGTACCTAGGTACCTACTGAGGCAGGTAGAATACACTGACACGACTGATAGAAGTCGACAAACAACACTGCCGGCAGCATACAACCCCAAGCCGGAAAGAAGCGTCTCTCCCCGGCTGTTGGGCAGGCTTTCATAAGCAAACTGTATCATTAACCCTGAGTATCTAGAATACACTGATAGAATCTCGGAAGTCGACCATAACACTGCATGCTGCATACAACATTAACAACCGGAAAGGAGCTTCTCTCCCCAGCCGTTACTAACCGTCGCCCGTTACTCAGAGGCTTGGATAAGCAAACTTCATATGCAAATGTTGCTCGATTGAGATGGGAGATGGGAGATGGGAGTGAGCAGGAACGGCCAAGTCGTCCAAAGATACCTAGGTAACGGGCGTAGTTTGGTGTGGAGGACGTAGAGGTGGAGTTCGTTCAAGTCATCCCACCACAATTGCCTCGGCGAATCGTCCCCCTGAGTGGAACAGTGGGACAGGAGGGACACATCCACTGCGGCATGCAGAGCTCGATACAGACATCGGGCCTGAAACCAAATGCTGTTGCTCGAGGGCTTCATTTGTAATGTGCACATTGGCAGGCACAACACTTCGGCATTGGCTCGGTGATTCCGTGTTGGCGTCCAAATGTGGAAAGAGTTTCTTGTCTGTCGACTGGCCCTCGACAATTCGGGCCATTGTGGCCGCAACAGCTTCCTGTATGCCAAAGCCTCATATTGTATACGAGACAGAGAATCCTTCGATAAGAATCCTTTTCGTTGGAATTGTCCCTCTTGCCTTTTGTCCTAGATGGCCGACGACCAGACACGCAAAAGCCAGTCACGGAAGCTCTCTGGTCGGACTGCCACCAGCTGGTTGAGATTGGTGTTGACAAAGTCGTAGCGACCTTCGGCTGTCGTGATCAAATGATGAACTCGAGTCTCTCGCGCATGGTCTCCTACCGCTCGGGCGTACGTCAATGCGTCTTGCAACGAACTCCTTGTATGGCCCGACACCTCGAACGGCCGGCCTGCAAATTGTCAGTTCGCGCCTTGTGTTTGGAGCAGCGTCCTTGCCTACCTTGGATCTCCTCAGCTATGGCAACCACATCCCGAACACTCAGTCGCTCACCGCGCAAGCGGAATTCTCTTGGCCAGGAAGGCAAGTCCAGGGCTGCGACCACGAACCTCGCAACATCAGCAGCCGAAGTCATGCAAATTGTCGCAGGCTGTCCGGCGCTGTTAAGGTAGGGGACCTGTGCCCGTCTTCGGCGGAAGTCCATCAGATAGTCCCCTTCCTGGCCGATGTTACTTCGCAGGCCGATTTGTGAGGCTGCCATCCCCCCAGGGGCGAATCTCTCGTACAGGACGCCGCACGTGAAGATGGTGAAGCGCATGCCTGAAGCTTCATGTTGGTGAAGCCGAAGAATGGCTGCACGGCGACCGTCGTCAAGAAGATCGTTCTGGGGCCGCAGAGAAGGCGGTCCGCCAAACTCAGAGGGGACAAAGCGACGTACGTGGGCCGCCGCCGCGGCGTCAATCAGAGCAAGTTGGGCATTGCCGCTGACGGTAGAGATGACAGTGTCGACACCGGCCAGTTTGAATTTCAGGTCCGCAGGGTTGGAGTAGTCGACCTGGTCAATCAACGTGTTAGTGAGAGGAGTTCCCGATTGGACAGCGATTGTGCGCGAGCATATTCAGATGGGTTTCCTCCACCCACGATGCTATACAAAGTGGGTGAAAGAGGCGACGACTTACTTGAAGCACCTGCCACCCTCTCGCTGTCAGACCTGGACTAGGCTTCGTTCGTCAGTTACCGTCAACAAACAGGGGGCAACGCACATACCCTTCGAGACAGGACGATAAACTGATGGGATGTCTGTGTCGCGATACTGTTGGCAATGTACTGCGCCAACCCATTGGTTCCGACCACTGCGACTTTGATCATGGCTGCGGTGTGCCCGGGAGAATGTTGTCTGGGTTCAAACATTTGGACATATATTTGCCAGAGACCGGCATCGTGGCAAGCTGGCTATCCTGCAGTGAGTCAAAAGAATCGCAACGATATCAGGAGATTGTGCATTTATGCAGGCGCATGTATGCGGTTGGATGACGCCTAAACTGCCTAGCTGAGTGTGTACATGTCAGTGGATGACGGGTGAATATAAGTTGATCTCTCAGCGAGGATAGGGTCAAGCAGGAGTATTAAGGCCCATGTGGTGGACCCAGAGAATAGGAATAGACCACCAATGAGGCCTAGATCCGGGGGGAACGGGAGAAGGACGCTACACAAGGCAGACAAGGACAGAAGTTCTCATTCACCCGTTGCCAATGATGGTGGCTACCCTTAGAGTCATACTAGGCAGAGGAGCAGGCATCGAAGGAAGTCTGCGAAGGATGAGCCGTTCCGACAGTCACGCGCGAGTGGATGCTCCCAGTGAACTTTGGCCATTTCCATGGGTGGAGGAAGATCAAACCGTAGTCCATAATGTAGTGCATTTCAAACAGGCAGGGGAAAAAGCATCCACCCGGTGGAAGATTGACAGTCGAGGAAGACATTGGTAGAATGAACACCTCTCGCATCTTTGCAAGAAGTATTGCCGCGATTGGTGGGTTTTACACACAAGGTGATTCTGACGAGCGAGCCGAGGTTTGAGGTTCTGCACAACTGAATCGCGACGCTCTGTCTTTTGATCAAGGTTTGAAATGAACGAAATGGTCGGTGCAACAATGGTAGAGGCTAGTGGTATTCTGGACCCAAAGCCAGAGGAAGTTTGTCAGCCCTATCAGGCCCACCGTGGGAATGACCACTGGGTCCATTTCGCAACGCGAGGCCCCTCTTCAGCCGTGCGGTCATTCTGACTTGCTGACTCGTAATCTTTAGTGACTTAATGGAAACAAGGGAATTTGCTGCCTGCTGCGACCTCATACCACGGGAGGGAGCACCAGTGAGCGCAACCCGCTGGGGTGGGATTTTGCAGCCTCCGCAAAGGACTGGAAGCTCGCGTTTAGTAGGGCCGTCGGCCGCAAAATAACGTTCGAATCTCGGGATCGGTACGACTTGCCTTTGGCGCCAGGGAAAATAGAGATAATACAAGCGAGTTCAACGATCCAGTCTGGAGGCCGACGGCAGAAGTCGTCATCGACCATCACTGCTTTGCGGAGCAGCCGAGATCAACGTCCCAATCACCAGCACACTGGCAGGCAATTCTCCTCTTGAAACGGCTGGTATGTCGGCTGAAGATGAGCATAAGAACCCTCTCGTCCGTACGTCCGTCGCGCAGGCTTGGTGGCACTCGGTACGAACGGAATATTTTGAGGCCGACAACCATGAGAGGAAGTGAGATCGACCTCGGCACGGTCACGTTTTCTCGCGTCTTCGTCGCGATAGGGCTGGTTGATGCTGCACCTCGTTCGAGTCTGAGGTAACCCATTAATAATCCCTCGAACGACGCCACAGATGGGGCCACTTCCTGGGAGCGGGCTGACAGATAGAGAGGATGGCATAAAAGTCAAAGCTTTGTAAGTTTTGAGGTGCTATCTCATGGGAAGGATGGGCAGGAATAGCAGGAAGGGGCCAGAATCAAGTGTGAAATAAAGCTGTTTTATCTCGTGGTGGAGGGCCGAGGCGACATGCCGTCGATGCTGGGAGGGATCATGGCGCGAATCCTTGAGATAGCACTCACACATTGGCATTGTTGACGTTGATGCGATGGCTCTGAGAGAGAAAGGAAGCAGGATGAGGGTTTTGATGGTTGATGGTTGATGGTTGATGGCTGATGGCGAAGAGGGCAGTGCCGGTGATACCAGTTTGGGTGCCAGTGGGTGAACAGTGGGTCAATTGATCAAGTTGATCTCATTCTCTTGGCAAGCCGTGACGCGCCTTCAACCCGCGGCGCGGAGGGCAATAATACACCCACCACTTTACACCTTGTTTTGTTGTCGCGACTCAGCCTGTCTCTCTCTGTCCTTTTGTGCTTTCTACTGCTTTGCAGGTCACGACCATGGGGCAGGATGCAGGCGACACGACTGAGCCAGCGCCTCAGCATGCTCCGTATGACATCCAACTCCACCATCATAGTATTTCTCCCTCCGGGGCACCTCTAGCGGTGAAAGCGAAGCGAAGAAGAACAAGGTTGATTGCCCTGAACCACGCTCTTTGGCCCAACGACCAATTTCTAACCATCTGTAGCCCTCAGGACTGTGCCGTCCTCGAAGCCGCGTATCAACAAAATTCCAAACCAGACAAGGCCGAAAGAGCCCTGATAGTCAGTCGGGTGGCCCTCGGTGAGAAAGAAGTTCAGGTATGGCCGCCTTCTGCAATCTCCTCGAAGTGAATTGACCTGTCCATAGATTTGGTTTCAGAACCGTCGACAGAATGACCGTCGTCGGTCCAAACCGTTGCAGCCGCATGAGCTCGTGGCCCATCTCCGCAACAGTAATGCCAGCCCTGCTCCTCCTCAGATGAGCTCATCTCCCAGCCCCGAAGATCTTTCCGCTTCTTCGTCCCATCCAAGTTCATCTTTGGCGCCTATTGAGCCCTTCAACCGACCTACCTCGAGAGGCTCAAGCATTCATGATCTTCTCAATCCAACCATACCAGAGGACGATGCAAGCCTCAAGCATAGCTCACAAGAAACAGTGGGAGGAAGTACACCGCCATCCAGCTTCGAGAAGGACGTGTTGACAGTCGAGGCGCCGCTTCCAAGTGAAACTCAAAAGAAAGTGACGGAAATTTGTGACGGACGGACGGATGTTAGCAGTGAGCATGGAAGCGCGAGAAAGAGAGACCATGATGAGATGACTGGTGCACACCCTCCTTGTCCCAGGCCAGAGAGACAAGAAAAGACTGGGGAGGCCGTCATCTCCAAGGGCCCCCTCTTGAGAGCATCCAGTTTCGTACGACTAGCAATGACTGTGGATGGAGCTGTCAAGGTTCGGACGAACAATGAGCCCACGCCATCACCAGAAAAGCCACGTGCTTCAACTCCAACCATGCATAACAGGCAAAAGGCGTCCTTGGTCCGGAGCAAGAGCGCTGTGAACGAAGTGGAGGTTTTCCGCGACAGCGTTCAAGGAGCAGGACCCAAGAGCATTGGAGGTGGATTTGGTCGGTCCCGCGACGCCAGAACTTGGGAGTTTTATTGCGACAGCAAGACAAAAGATGCGCTTTCGACCCAGGCTGAAGCGGAGAGTGCGGGTTCTGCTGTCAGCGCCATCAACCTCATTCGATCGAACAGTTTCAAGCCACGTCTGCAGGCTCTCAGCCCGTCTTTGTCGAAGACCAATTCTCAGCGAGCGACTGGGAAGGGAGACAGGCCGAAGCTATCTCGCGCCAAATCTTCACTGGGACGTCTGCAAGGCTTGGATTCATCGGAAGATCCATCGAGCGGCAAACCGAAGCTTCTTCATGGTCATGTCAGGTCACCATCTGAAGACTCGGACAAAGAGAATTGGGCTCCTGGAACCAGGATGTCGGAGCATCCCTTGCGCAGAACTCAGCCCAGCACATGTTCCCGACCGGTCCTGCAGGAAAATGAGCAGATGACATTCCCAGATGTTAACTCCTCACACAAGCGTCCCGAAGGAGGACCTAGTAATCGAGAATCCCCGACCAAAGAGACGGCCAAAGGTGAAGAATTTGATTGCGTTCAGGGGTTGCTTTCGCTCAGCCAGGGAGCTTGGTCCAGATGAAGCTGCTCACAAAATTAGGATGGAAGCCAGCATAATGACCCTACGAGGATGGTTGTGTAATTACGGAGGCATAATTCGGGGGCAGCGCATAAGAGCATGGGATGTGTGCATTTGATCTGCATGACTGTTCGCAGCCAGTCTGGTGTGGAAAAGGGATCATTGACCAAACGTATCATGATGGCTATTGGAAATCAATTGAAAGGGTCATGTTGTCGAAATCGTCTGCTTGTCCTCTATATCTCTCTCTTTGCTTTACTATTTTGACTTGATGTTGACGTCAGCTTTGTCCCTGTTGGCCACTACAAGTGCCTGGCGATAAAACCCACGTGGGCAGCGACGAGTCCAGATTCAGCACGTCGCTGTATCATCACCTCGACGGCCTAACAAGCACTGATCCGGGCCTATCGTGTCCATCATGCAGCACTTAAAACATTGAGTGATACCCTCAAGATATTGATACCACTGTCAATGCTTTTGCCTCAAGTCTTGAGATCATAGTATCTATAAGAGTGTTACAGGCACCTTCCAGGCACTTGACTGGCACTGTACACGTAGCCTCACCAGCCCCTCCAAATTTCAGGAAGTGCGGGCCATTGTCTGCTCAAAGGCACATAATTCGCCCACTCAGGCCCCATCCACGTCTGTTATCGTTGCACAGATCATCGCCCCCGTCGACATCTGGCCTGGATTGTATGTCTCGAATCTCTCGAGACCTTGCTAACAGTGCGCACAATGGCCATGCAAATGGTCCAATGCCATCATCCTCGCGTCCCTCTTCTACCATGCAAGCCCTCCGACATGCCAGCACGCTGTCATCAGGCAAAATTCCCCGCGTGGCGGTCATCGGGGCTGGCATCGCGGGACTTCGGTGCTCAGACGTCCTTGCTCGCAGTGGCGTCAAGGTGACACTATTTGAAGCGCGGAATCGGATCGGTGGGAGAGTCCACCAACTGGAATCAGGTGGCTACCTCGTGGACATGGGACCGAATTGGATTCACGGCACCAGTGGCAATCCCATTATGCATCTTGCTGAAAGGACAGGCACCACTATCCTGGAGCCGGAAGAGGACCAGGCGCTTTTCGACATCGAGGGGAAGAGGAGATCCGACTCTGAAGCTATCGAACTATCGAGTAAAATGTGGGAGATGGTCGTTGATGCGTTCAAATACTCCGACGAGCACTCCGCTGACATCGACCCAGGGGTCAGTCTCTATGAGTACTTCCAGTCCAAGCTCGACACAGACGAGAAGCTCACTCAACGGCAAAGGGAAGACCTACTCCACGAAGCGCAGATGTGGGGTCCCTTTGTGGGCGACACGGTCGAGAAACAGAGCCTCAAGTTCTTCTTCTTGGAAGAATGTATCGAAGGGGAAAATGTCTTCGTGGCCGGGACTTACAAGGATATCTTGAAGGAAATCGGCCGCTCTGCGACAGATAAGGGCAAAGTCGACCTGAGACTAGGGACGGAAGTCGTCCATTTCGAGACGGGTTCCGACGACAGCGACAAAGATGATGGCAAGGTCACCATCACGGCCGTATCCGGCGAACAATCGACCTTTGACGAGGTGGTCATCACCTGCCCTCTAGGCTGGCTCAAACGGCACCACACAAGGGCATTCACGCCGGCATTACCTTCGAGACTGGCCTCAGCCATCTCCAGCATCAACTATGGGCGCCTCGAGAAGCTCTACGTGACGTTTCCGTCGGCCTTCTGGCTATCTCCCGACGCGGACGGGCAGCCCGACCTGGCCAGCTATCCTGTGCACACCCACTTCCACGATCCAGCCTACGTCCCTCACGCAAGCGACGAGGCATGGAACCAATCCATCGTGTCGCTCGCTCATCTGCCGCCGCCCTGCGCACACCCGACGCTGTTGTTCTACATCTACGGGCCGTGTGGGACACATCTCGTCGAGTCCATCAAGGGCCTCACCACACATTCGACGGAATATAACGCAGTCCTCAACAACTTCGCATCTGCATTCTACTCCCGTCTCCCCAACTACAAACCCAGCAGCCCAGGGTGCGAGCCCCGATCATTCCTTATGACAACGTGGCAAGCCGACCCCTTCGCCGGCAACGGCTCCTACTGTAACTTCCAAGTCGGTCTGGAGCGAGGTGACGAGGACATCGAGGTTATGCGCGACGCGGGCGGATTGTGGAAAAAGGGCGTGTGGCTGGCAGGCGAACACACGGCGCCGTTTATAGCGTTGGGAACCACCACAGGGGCCTGGTGGAGTGGCGAAGGGGTAGCGAGACGGATTTGCACAAAGTGGGGGATCAACGTGCCTGGAGACGCGGCGGTGGAGGAAAATGGGAATGCTGTTGTACTGGATGTGAAGAAGAAGGAACTAGACAAAGACAAGGCAGACGCGGCGAATTTGAGCGGGTTGGCAATTTGATTTCCAGGTTAACTCGGGCCCTTTTGCATACATGTAGAAATGCTCATCATCAATTGAATGCACTTCAGGATTGTGCTATGTAGCTGAAGTTGCGTTCGACGGCACTGGCGATGGCGATGGCGATAGCCACGGCGATGCTCTTATGTACATGTCGTCATTGCCACTGCTCGATGGCTCAACTTCGGTTGTTGATCTGACGTTCTAGTTTCATCCTTTCAACTTGCTTGACTCTTCTTCCCATCCGCTTCACTTTCCCATACCCTCTTTACCATACCTAGGTACTCACTTAGCAAGAACATAGCATTATGACAATGCTCGTCATCGGGTTGGTTTGAATACCACAATGTCTGGCCCGAAGCGAAAACCATCACGTCCCGCTCACCACTCCAACAATTCCGCCAGTGCATTCGTCAATCCATGGCCATCCGCAGCGACGCCGACCTGGGCGGAACTCTTTCAATCGTCCTTCCCGCTTGGATGGTACACCGATGACCTCAGTGGCCACAAGAACGCCCGACAACTCAATGTCATCATCCCAGACTGGGGCAAGGCGGACCTGGACAAGAAGAAGCTTGAGAAGGCCAGCTGTGTAATCGGAACATGGTTAGGTCATGCCAGCGCCCTGGTGGAGCTCCCGCCTCTCGACAACCCTGAGTACCGGAGCACATGGCTTCTATTTGATCCTATCTTTTCTATGCGAGCAGGGCCGACCCCGAATAGCGGTGTCACCCGGTTCAAGAAAGCTCCTTGTCAGCCCGAGGATCTGCCAGGTTGCGATGCAGTTTTTATTTCTCACAATCATTACGACCACCTGGATGCTGCATCAATCCAGGCAATTCTCAAGGAATTTCCTCGGGCCAAGTTTTTTGTCGGACTTGGCCTCAAACAATGGATGTCATCCATGGGAGTCCCGGATGCACAAACCTGTGAGATGGATTGGTGGCAGAATCGCGAGTACAGTCTGGAAGACTTCGGTGTCCAACCAGAACCAGCGTCGACCGAGCAAGTCATCTTCAGATTCTCATGTGTGCCCGCTCAGCATAATTCTGCCCGGAGTCCTGTAGACTCGGGACGTACGCTCTGGTGTGGTTGGGTGATCGAGCGCTTTCTTCGCTCACAGGATGAATCAAGTGAATCTACAGCGACCAGACGAGGCGTTATCTATCATGCCGGAGACACAGGCTATCGGAGGACGTCGAGATCCGACGTTGTTTGTCCGGTCTTTAAAGAGATTGGGGACAAATTCGGCCCTATCGATCTCTCATTCATTCCCATATGGCGCGGTGGAACTCTCGGTTTCTTTTCGTACATGGGGCTTCGACTATCGCATCACGACATCCCTGCGTCCGTCCATGCTTCTCCAGCAGATGCTGTCGCGATACATGTCGATGTTCAATCACGGAACAGCATTGGAGTCCATTGGGGAACATTTGTTGGTTCGGCCAACGAATCTTACGAAGCTATGATTGAGTTTGCCGAAGCGTGCGAGACTCGGGCTGTTGATCGCTTGGACGCCGAAAGCAGCGGTAACAACGGCCGTGCAGGGTTATTAGACATTGGCGCCAGTCTCGCCGCACGAATATTCTGAACAGAGATTAGCTTGGGCCGTGGGAAAACGACCACCGCTATGCTAAAGTGAGCTTCCATACCTAGGCACCCTTGCCGTGAAGGCTTGGTGCTTAGAGTAATCGCAACACTCCCGGACCACATCTGCAATAAGGCAATCGTCGGGACTGGGCCTACTATACATACCCCTTTGATTGGCTCTTGTCACTTCCTATATAACTACTCGCAGGTCAATATGACGGCCTTCAGGAGGCTGAGGATGCTTGCCTGCGGTCGGCTTTGCTTATGCGAACGGATTCAGATCCAAATTCTCCTTACAGCTTGTCTTCCCATCAATCACCCTGAGTCGCGGGATACCCGTCGGAGGACGAGGAGGCGACGCCGGGTCGGACTGCAACAGCTCTCGCCGGCTCGGTCGCCACGTGGCGGCTCGCTGCTTCTCCATGTCCTCTGCGCCGGTGCTCACCATGCCGCTGAAGGGACAGGTCATCTTTTGCTGTTCATTGGACAGACGCACCTGCTCCATCGTGCGGCCAAGACTGGTGGTGCTCTTGTCCGACGACGTCGACGACACGGTGCCCACAAATGAGCTGTCGTCGTCTTCGCCTCCCACCCCGCCATTGCCCAGGATTCGCTTCCCGTTGAGGTACCCTTCGGGCTCGCGCGCCTCGGCCTCCAAATCCCCCTCAATTTCTTCGTCGAGGAATTCTCGCCCGTCCTCGACGTGCCATTTCGCCATCAAGTCGTTCTGGATCCAGATCACCTTGCCGATCGCCTTGACGATGGCGATCTTTTGCGTGAGCTCCAGCCGCGGGTGTGAGAGGATGGCTTCCGTCATCGAGTCCTGGATGTACCCCAGGCAAGCACCGAGAAAGATGTAGTCCACATGGAGAGGATTGCGGCGTCCCTTGCCCACGTGCATCAACCTGCGAGCGTTGTCAGATATGCTTTTCTCCCCAGTAGGCCAAGTTTGCTGGTTCAAATGTACAGCCACAAGGCCGCACAGACAGGTACATATACACTTACCCTACTTTGTCCAGATACTGCCAGTACTCCATCTTGCTAGGATCGGAGTTGAGTTTCGTGAGGTACCACCTCAGAAACATCTTTCGGTGCCGGATCTGGGCGTCGTCTTCTTTGATCCATTTGGAGGGGTTTTCTTCAACGCGGCTGTCTCGCGTACTGAAGACCCGGGCCGTGATGTCGTGCTTCAGCAATTTCTTGTACACCATGTTGACGATTGCTGGAATAATTGCTTTGATATATTTCTGTCCCTCGATCAGGGCGACGACATCGTCTAGATTTTGGGCCAGCAGTCAGCGGAGGCGTCCTATTCTTCACTGGTCGACAGTGGAAACCTATTTGAAGCCCTCCACAACCGAGGAGAGAGCACTTACCTGCTCCGAATTCAAGGAATTGCTGGAGGTACTGGACTCGAACTGGGAGCGAGATATACAGTTCGCGCCGCTCCACATGTTCCATATCCTTGGGAAGCTCCCCCATTGCGTGTAAACGTCTAGTGTAAAAGGAGCAGGATCTCCCAGAAATATGTCGGCAAGAGAGCGTGGACGGATGCTGCTGATCTTTCGAAGTCCGAAGCGTTCCTTGCCCGAGGAATCGACAGCTTTATGAAGTTCCAACCTCAGCTGGCGTTCCGCAACGGCAAACTCATGATTTCAAGACCGCTGGCAACTCTCCTGGTTGTTCTTCCCGACTTGACCCACTGGGCTACCATGTGAATGGGACGTCTAAATCACCTTCTAGATACTCGCTTACGCTGCCGCATGGTTCTACAGGTGCGAAATGGCCCCTTCACGCGGGAAATCTCGAAACATCCGTTTTTCAGTTTGATCAACGAGTGGCGTTATCCCGGTTTTCAATATCCAGCAAGGACAAGATTCTTGTGACGGTCCCCGCCCCCCAGGCGGATGATGGTCACGCCACTCCACGTGGAAACTAGGAACATGGCGAGATGGGCTGCCCCCCTTAGCGGGACGGATCGAAAAGAAAAAAAATCATCTTTCAACTCGTTCCAATGAAGGTTCGATTATGGAGATGTGCTGTTGGCAATAGTTCTCGGCGAGAAGAATAGTCGGAAGCTCCTCCCCTGCGCTGACAAAGCGGATAGGATCAATCCAGCCCATACCGCATGTCTCAAACCGCGAAAGACCACACGTATTCTTCGAAGCTGCAAATGAAACTTTTCGACATCTCCTGCTCCTTTGCGGGGACGCCCGAAGACTATTGGATCCAGGAACGTTGCTTTCTTCCCGGCGATGTCTATCCGAAGCCAGCCATGACAGAAAATCGTTGGAGCGCAAGCGACACGGTTGCGCTTGGTGCTACCTACCTCATCACCAAGCCGAATAAGCGGTAGAGACGATCTCAGTCCGCAGTGTTTGAGGTTGGTCTTTGTATGTCGATCATCGGAGATAAAGATAACTTGCTCGCCCTGTGTGGAGTTCGCGGTGCCTTGTCGAGGCTATGGGACCTAGATTGGGTAGCAGCGGACTTACGGTGCTCTCATGGTACTGTGCTACGAGTACAGCAGGCATGCAGAAGGGATAGACTGGAGTCGAGGCCGAGCGTGTGAGCCCTTGGCCGATTGTCCAAGTACTGGAGTTGGTAAAGATGTGTGTGACTCCTACCGCGGGTGCCACCAAGGCTCCTCCTATGCGACGCCATTGAAGGTGTCCCGGCAAGCTGCGAGGCTGTCATCATCAGGCGACATGGTTTGCGTGTGCTGTGGCGTGATTGATATACCCCTGTGGCGTCCACGGACCCCATTTGGCCAATGTAGTGGAAACCATCGGAAAGAAGGACGCAAGACTCGGCATTAGTAGGCAAGCGAGTAGTGAGACGCAGGAAGCAGAAGATAGGTAGTTTGAGAGCTGGTGAACACCGTGCAGGCTTTGTCGTGTGACTGGTAATATGTACCCTCGTACCTAGGTAGCTTTCTCCGCATTCGCGACTGACGCTCCGCGACCCGCGACCCGCGACCCTCAAAACCGCGTCTCGATTGTGGGCATTGAGCGTGACTCGGATAGCAAAACTCCAAAACCAATCCACCCCACGCAACGGTATCTCTCTGCGGATGTACCTTTAGCTTTGCAAGAGGCATTGCTGGATAACAGGTTGCAAATCTTTTCAACCTAGTGATGGCGCCCAAGCCGTCGGTTCGGGGCGAGTATATCGAAACAGTCGGTCCACCCGTCCCCATTCACCACCAAAGGTCTCTCAACCCCTGGCGGACAATTGAAAAATGCTGACGAGCAAGTTTCCCTTAGGAAACGGGCAACAAGATCAGTCGGCGAGCCAGCGTCCTGGGTCCGCGCCACATCATCCTCGCCGGGAAATGCGTGATTCAGCACGACGTCGTGATCCACGGGGACCTCGTTCGACCTGCGCAGCCCAAGCCTCCTTCCTCTCAACAACAACAACCGCAGCAGCCGGCGCCGGCGCCGGGGGGTGACCAGAAGTCATCGTCGGCGACAACAACAACGCAAGATCAAACCTCGATCCACCTGGGCCGCTACGTCTTCATCAGCCCCGGCTGCACGCTGCACCCGCCTTCGCGGCTCACGACCGTGGCCAACCCCAACAGCGGAGAACCGCAACAGACCATGACCTACTTCATGCTCCGGATCTCCGACTACGTCTACATCGGCCCCAACACGCACGTCCGCGCCGCCGAGATCCGGAGCAACGTCTGGATCGGCGCCAACTGCACCATCGGGAACATGGTCATGATCAAGGACAACGTCAAGATCCTCGATGGCACGGTGCTGCCCGCGAATACCGTCTGGGCTGGCGGCACGGTCATCGCGGGTCGGCCGGGCAGAGTCGTCGGAGAGATCGGTGAAGGCTGGGCGGCCGGTGGGAGCAGCGGTGCCGGCTCGACCGTGGATGAAGGCGTCGGGGTCAAGAGTCGAGAGAGATGGGCCGCCGTGGGGAATAAGAGGTGATGATGACCTGCCAAGCTAGCCAACAATGGAATGAGATTGCGAATGGTGTCCGAGATTCCAAAACTCGGAATCCATGTCCACGGAGCGAACACGTTTACACCGAGGGATGGAGCGCCACTTTGCTGGGGGAGATCGAGAAATCATACAGGTTTTCACCCTCTGCGTGCACTACAACCCGTTCATCTGGAGCGGGATATTGGGGGTTATCGAGGCTTCGTTCATACCAAATTTCTTTGTGGAGCGAATCTCTGGTTGGAAGCCATGGAAGTCTACGCAGTCCAGCAAGAGGCATCCACGTCTCGAGGCATATTGCGAAAAAAAGCAATCGGATGGCAGGCACTGTGCTAACATCTCCATCACATCAAAATCCACGAGTACGCTCATCAAAGAAAAAATTACACCAGTACTACTCCAGACATGCCAGCTGCCAATATGAAAAACTTCTCGACTTCGGATCCCTCGTTAAGGGGCTTTACAACACTTGGTGAGAGAAACACGGCAAGAGACCATCCTCCATCTCCTTCGATGATATCAAAAGGTTGCCATCGTGTCCCGGAAACACCTCCCCCTCTTCCCAGCATCCTCAAATCAATCCCTTTTTTACGACCAGATGACAATCCCCACTACATCGCATCAGCAACTAGTTTCAACCCTTCACACGACATTATCTCCCCCAATGCTCACCACCCTGAAATCCTCGGCCGTCCAACTCCACCTCGATGGCTTGCAGGATGACTGCGAAGATGGAGTTAGGGGGACGGTCGTCCAAGTAGCATCGTTGCACGAGCTGAAATGGCGATGGCGTTGGTGTGGTTTTTGATGACGACGATGATCGGACGACGCGCTCACGGGCTGTTTTGGTGTTTGGATCGGACAATGTTGAACCGGAAGCATTGCACCTGTCGTCAAAGGCCACTCATTCTGGACTTGATCGTCTGCTCCAATCTGGCAAATTATAGCCCTTGAATCGTGGACTGGAGTTTGCACCACGATATCCCTTGTTGCATCTTGTAATCCCCTCTTCAACTCCGGTGGATGCTGCCTCAGCGGACTCTCAAACACGCTGTATCTCGTCTCGGTCTTTTGACCCGTCGATCTGGAGATGGAAGTTGGCTGCCGAGCAGGAGCACTTGAGGGCCTTGCCAATGTGGGGACAGCCGGCTCCAGCGCTGCAGGTGGTTCGGTGGTCGAGGCAGTTGTTGGCTTGTGGTTCTGATCGCCGACGTGTTGGGGGCTATTATGCCTTCCGCGCCGCGGATTCAAAGGAGCAGGGACAAGACTTTCGCGCTCGTACTGGATCGTTGTTGGAGGTGGTGGCTTGCTGCGGTCTGGATGATCCTGTTTATTAGGCGCTGCTGGGGCCGGTGCTGGGCATTCAACAACCTGATGATGCGGATGATGTTGGTAAAGCGGATGGTCCTTGGGGATTGGGAGTGCCGCCATCATATCGTCACGGTGTGGTGGAAGCCCATTGTACGATGTCAGTCGGGACCCAGACCCGTGCTGTCCCAATTCCACCGAAACCCTGTCGGAGGTCTGAATAGTGGGAGGAGGATAAGGACATGCTGCCGGAGCAGGAACAGCTTCGACTTCCGCAATGCCACCTGCAGGCGAATGATGACTATATGGGTTTAGATGGCGGTCTTGGGACGAAGCCGGAGGAACTGGAAGCGGTGCCATATTGTCATGCCCATAGGCAAAATCGCCATATCGATATCCACCGAGGTTCTCAAATGCCACTATATCTGTTGGCCTTGATCCTTTAGAGGTCTGAGCATCAATCATCGGGTGGCTCTGGCTCGTCTCAGCCTCGACGCCGGGGGTAATGGACACGGTAGCGAGTGGTGTCTGGTAGACCTTTTCATCCACACCGGGCCGTCCTCTTGCCATGCTACGCATCTCTTCTTCTTCTTGAACTCCAACACTGCAGGTGTTTGGCACTTGGGCCCAGCCGTCGTCGCAGTCGTTCTCGATCGCCGTATCGTCGTCGTTGTCGGCTTCGGCTTTGGTGCTGTGCATTCGGCGGCTCCGCCGGCCACGGCCATGGGTCCTCCAAATTGCGACGCCTGCAACCAGCAAAATCACCCCTGTGACGCTGAAGAAGGATATCATTGCTGGTTCATTCATGTTTGCGTGCGATTTGACCCGGTTCCAGGACTATTCAATGCTCGGGCTCCAATGAATGTGAGGGTATGGGTATGGGTATGGGGTAGGAAGGAATCTCCAGAGGCTGCTGGCTGGGGCTCGTTGTAGAAAGATAGTGAGAGACTCGAATACCGTGCGCGGTGGGAGGAAAATGTCAAAAACAGATGGCCGAACAGGATGGGGATGGGTTCAATGATTGACAAGACAAACGTTGGCAAAGGGTATGGGTAGAACGACGGACGGAAAGGATAAGCTGGAAAGCTCTGTCGATGTAGGTAGGGGTCGATGGAGAAAAATGGATGCAAGGATGACAATATGTGTGTATATCTCGGATGCTTTCTGATGAGGCTGGTGGCATGCATGGCGAAGTCGATGCGTGCTTTAAGTAATAGTGACACGACACTGCTGAGGCATTGATAGCGCAGGTGTAAGATCTCATTCCCGTCTGCCAACAGACACCGAAACCCAGTACGAGGTAGTCCCCCTGATCCATATTCAGAGACATCCATTTCTTTGACGTCGCTGAGACCACTTCTCTAGTTTTGACCGGATTGAGTAAAGATGTGAGTGAGTTAGCAAGTGGGTTCATGGGGTAGTGGGTAAGGAAGGTAGTTGCGAGGGTGTGAGTATCTCCCCTGGCTTGGACTGGCCAGGTCTGGTCTCGTCGTGCGGTTCTCGAGTTGTTCCTTTGTCGTCAGCCCATGGAAGGAAGGGCAAGGCAAGGCAAGGCAGGCAGGGAGATCGTCGAGTGCATATATTATGATGATATTGTTCGATCATTTGTGGGTTCCCAAACCTCTGTCTCGGACAATGGTCTCTATCTCTCCCTTAGCCTCAGCCCGAGCGGCGGTTCGAGCCCGTGTATTTCTAAGCTGTCGATGCTCTGACTGTTTGATTCTGGTCCAAATGATGCTGGACGCCCGTTGATGGCAAAGTCTCTTCAGATGGTAATGGCAATGTTTTATGGCGAGGGTAGTTTGCAAAACCTGGGAGGTGCAAATGGGGAATGGTGCATGGGGGAAGTCTGGATGTCGTTTTTCTTTGATCCCATTTTGGAGACGTAGCGGGTGCGCAAAGGTTGCTTGTCTCGGGACGAGGGCTCAATATGTTCCAGAGCACAGGGGTTAGACTTTGTTTGCGGTAGCCCTGACTATCCCCTCAAGAAGTATCCTAGGCCGACTGAGAGGCTTCAAATGAAGGCTTTCGATATTCGTGATGCCTGGAGCAGAAAGATTTAGTCGGAGACGCAGAAAAAAGTGTATATCGACTGGCTGCTTTACCATTTTGAAACCTTGATACAGTAGCCATTGGCCTTCCTCATCCTTCGCTAGGGGATATCTCCCTCTCGGTCACTAGGATTTCCCTCCGCCTTTCCCTCGTGGTCAGACTTGACCAGGCATCCGCGTCAATTACATGGGGTTCTCGCATTGCTGCAGCAGTCCGAGTATTCCGTACCCAATCAGCACAAGCGATGAGCTCGTAGGGAGGAGGCAAGAGAGGCGGCGCCCATGTTGGAGAGCTTGGAGGGCTGCTTCTGAGCTGGGACGGGCTCCCAGTTCCTTCTTCAACATCGCCGTCTGAAGGGTCCGCAGTCTCGTGCTCATTGCCCAGTTGCAAGTACGTCGCCCACCATGACCAAGGCCGGAACTGCGGGCGCCCAGCAACAGGGTAGAGAGTCTCGTAAGCTGGCGGAGGGGGATGAAGGTTGTCCACAGTCCCCTCGGGGGCATCAAGCCTGAGGCGTCGACTGGCGGGAAGGTATCGTTGTGCGCGACGACTTGGCCGCCTTGTCCTGATATGGCGCACAAAGGCAAGGGTGACGAAGAACATGAGAATGGCCAACATGAACGCGATGCCAACGATTCCTTCGATGGTACTTCCCTTAAGATCCATCTGTGTTGGGGCAGGCTTGAATCTGAATACAACAGGATCCATGAATGTGCTTAAACGCAGCAGAAAGAATTGAAGTTCTTACAACAGTATCAGGCAGGGATGATGATATTAGGGATGTGGCCAACTTCCGAGGATTTTATGAGTCGAACAGGATATATGTGTGTCGGTTGAGAAGTGATCAGCCACTCGAACCTACAGGTTGGAAACCATGTTTGCAAAGGAGCCAGATGTGATTCTCTGTTCCGACCATCCCAGAACTTACCGTCGACAGACTTCTCATCCAAAGTGGGAACAAATACAAGTAAGAGCAGTATGATGGAACCATCGGTAGATTAATGCTTTTCTCACCTTTGGTCAAGCACGCTAGCCCACCAGTTGGGGCGGTGGACGTGGTAGAGTTTGAGTACATGAGGTTTGAAGTACGAAAGAGATGAAGGAGGATCAGCATCAACGTACCAGGAGAAGGTCGCTGGGCACCTGGACATGCAGACGAATGTCGACCACATATCGACTTCAAGGTTGTCTTTGCGTTCCAGAGGCACAGCTACAGAGCTGGTCCATATCCAGCATAGCGCGTCTCAGAGTCTTGGCGTTTTTGGCGGTGCTTGGCGAGAAATCCGACTATTTCTTTTCTCCTCGACGCTCTCTCCGAACTTGACTTCCTTTTCTTTTCTTCATACTTGTATGTCACCCTTCCCTGAGCACCATGAAAGTCTTGACCACTAACATTTCAATAGACCTTGTGGGAGCGACTCAGCTCAAGCATTGAGCCTGCTATAGCGGTGTCCCTGCATTGCACATCGCGGAGGATGTCGCCATCGAGTGTCCTTCGGGGCTCTTGTCCGCGTATTTTTTGGCCATGAAAACCCATTTTTTCATCATTACTCTTGCCTTCCGGCAAGATCTTGGAGAAGAATTATGGGATGCGATGGTACGGAGTGGGAACAGGAGATGACTCTGGGTTCGAGTCAAGATCTGAGCTCAAGAGGCGAAAGACTCGGTCCTGTCCTCGAAGCTATAAGTTGCTGATGGGACATGGACAGGCAACAGCCACTGTTCTCGCACACTACCAAACCGAGAGCCCATGTGGACCAACTATTGTTATGCCTTACAACTTGGTCTCTCATGCACGGCTTCTTCTGCCGATGGATCCTTGGTTGTAGTTGTTCCCTCCATACTCTCAGCTACTGACGGGGCTTACTTTTGGTTCTGCTCCTAGCGGTGAGGCAGTGGTCTCCAGATGTGCATGGAAGTCGGCCCATAGTATTACAACCCCTATCTTCGAAACCCCACAGAGGGACCACTCGGTTCTTTGAGTAGTATTTCTAGGTCCTGAGAGAGAGTCTGCTTTTGCCTAACAGAGATTTCACGGCAGGCACAATACGAGGTCCTGTATGGGGTCATCGTGAAACGATCAAATACTACTTCAATAGGTGCGGTGATGATATTCTATCACAAGCTTTCTACCCGATTAGGTACACCTGAGATGAACTTGAAACCACGAGGGAGCTCAACGGTTTCACCGGCGTGCTCGCAGCAAGGAAACCTTATCCGTCCGGCGGGATCGTTCGAGCCTACTTCAGATACCTTGCCATGTTCAATATTGTTCATCTCACGTACATACCTAGGTACCTATAGGTGCATAGCAGGTGTAATGATCAAATCACAAGGACATTTCTTCATCAGCTGGTACAATGGCACCAGGCAGTAAAAGGGTGTGATGACATGGACACTCTCAGCTGGTGAGGTGTGGCACGGCCTACTAGCCTTTTGCACCAGCCTCAGCCTCAGCCCATTTATTAGATGTGTTGGAGTGTCATCGCCACCCATTTTTCTCGCTCTCCCCGCGCCCACCTTTTTTGAGTGAAATGGGTCTGGCGAAACACCGCGGATAGTTTCGTTTGCTGTTCCACCCCACAGCCAGAAGGATGGTCAACTGCCCTTCTTTGGCCAAGGCCGTGTCTCATGCAAGCTGAGATAGTTTCAACACAAGGAGGCTGAATAGGGGTTATGATCAACAGTTCGTCGGGCACGTTGTTCGAATGTGATTCAGATGGTTGTTCTCCCCCCACTGTTCTTATGCCCACTAGTCTTTTGTTCTTCTGTGCATCCCACAGTGATGCAGGATGGCGATGAGCTAGAACGGGGCCTGCTATGTACAGGCATCCAGAGTGCATGACCCAGAGCAGCCCCCCATTCTCTCGTAACTATGTCCACGTGTCATGTATCTATTCTGTACGGGGTACTTCAGACACCATAGGTAGCTTTCGTCATTAAGTAGAGGCTTGTCATGGCACCAATTTTACAGGCATATTATCGTCCTCTGCATGTGCTGTCAAACATGACTCAAAGAAGTGCCACACGAAGCCCTATGGTGTCAACTCTGGCTTTTCCTGTTTATGCACACCGCCAGTATCCTTTCCTTCGCCAGATTTGCCGTCAGGACCTTCAGTCTCAAAACCAGTGGACCGTTCCGGAGGCTTCTGCGGATCTGGCTGCTTCGCTGGGTGGCCTCTGCCTTCACTCGACGTTGCGCTTTTCCCGGCCTTTACGTGCTCAGCACGCTTATCTTGGTCAGGATTGTTGTCGTGCTTGGTCTGATCGACGACGGTTGTAACACCTCGATGTGAGGGCAAGGGATGACGAGGAGATCCAACTTTTGGGTGGGAGAACCCGGAGATGCAATGACGAACGCTTGCAGCTGAAGTCAGGCGAGTCCGCCATGCCGCTGATGCCTGGAAATAGGTGGTCATGCTGTCGGATGCGAGACGTGTAAGTCTAGTCGAGTGAGGAGGAGGTTCTGACTGAGAAGATGGCCAACGAAACGCGCCTAGTGCTCGCTGTGGCTATACAGGTAGTCCTAGTTCTGTTAGAAACTCTTGACAGGCTCGATTCCATTGTATTTGAATTAGTCCAAATGGAATCTGTGTTGAATTCAAATCATCATTTCATCATCATGGATTCGGAAGCCATTTCCGTCGGGTTGTGTCGCAACACATTTCACAACAATGGCCGGTAGTAGGCAAGCACAACTTACACATCTCCAGAGGCTATTCTTCGCTTGCGAAATGACATCGATGCATTTTCAGTCAATTGATAAGTGGGCGGTGGCCATGTTTGGCTGCCCAGTGCTGTCAAAAAGAGCTCTAACGCACCATAGAGGGACAGTCTGTTCTAAGATTGGAACAAGTGCTCTCACCAGGTTTGAACATTGGAAAAATCATTGATTGCGATATCCTCATGCCTCAGCATTGCGTGTCTGCTGACAGTCCTATGGACGATTGGCTAACAAGGTAGTGGTGGCAGAAGATGAGAGGAGCACGGCGAGTCGCTGGTCACGGGGAAGTACATTACAGGCAGGTGGACATGTCGTGGCTGTGCCTTTTCAGGTTTGTGATCTGCGGCAGCAATCGTGGCAACTAGGGGACGGATGCAGGATATGGAAGGGATTGTGAGACTGTCAGGAGGTCAGAGCATGTGGTATTCGGAAGGCGGGACAAAGAAACTGAGACGGGCGTGGACTGCAGTGGGCTGGAGTGGCTTGAGGCCAGAGGACACGAGTCGCGCGTCCTGAGGCGAGAACATTTGCAGATGCCAGATGGAGGGCCGTGTTTCACCAGTCACCGGACGAGCCAAAGAAGTGATACCGCGAACGGATGATGTGCGTTAAGCGACTGGTCGGTGCGATTACGCGAGAGAGAAACCCCTGAAGCGCGTCGAGGGGGGACGTGCAGGGGCTGCCTAAAAGTGTATCAGACGTGTCAGGCGGGTGTCTCGACCTGTCAGCCAATCGATGGCCCAGGGTAGCAGCCCTTGGCCACAAGGGCGTGTCAAGTGGCCAATTTTGGACAATGGTAGGGTGGGGGATGGACACGAGCGCCTTCACGGACTCGGGAGGGAGTGAAGTCAAGTGAGGGAGTGAGGCAGGACTGAGAGATGAGGGTTGGAAGATACGAGATGATTGACCAACATTTCGTAAATTAGCTACAATGCCGAGGCAGGGTACTCCGTACCGTACTTTAGGGCAATAGAGAGCTGAATGTCTCTCGTAAAGCGTAATGGGGCAAAGGGAGAAAAGGCAATAAGCTGCAAGGAAGGCCAAATAACCACTTGACAGATGGCAGATAGTAGCTGGATCGGCATTTGGCAGTGCCAAGGCAGGGCGGGAGAGTGTCTTATGTCGTGTGGTGGTGGGCACTCCGAACACCTATTCTGCCTGGTACTCCCGCTGGGTGCCCGCACTCTCCGAACTAGCCAATTGGTACCCAAAAAGAAAGGTCGATTGGGTGCCTGTCGATGGCGAGCTAAGATACTCGTAGAGTTTTGGTACCCTGCTGCGGCATGTCGCCATCCCATGCAGCTCCCTAGCAGCCTTCCAAAGTATGCCCAATGCCCATCACTTCCTATCCGTGCATCCATCCCTTCCCCCTTTCTCCCTGCTTTTACGCTTTCACGGTTATGTATGTGGAAAAGTCAACTGAATTGGTCATTGGATGCACTAGTGGTCAGTGCCATGGTCAGTGGTCATTGAGACCTCAGCAAGGAGGACACGCGCGACACGAGATGAAAGCCTCCACAGGATCCAACTCCGTCAAGGCCCATCGGGAATAAAAAGCCCAGTGCACATCCCAACCCCATAGCAAAAAAAGCGTGTGCATCGTGCAGTCGCTCCGACCCCAGTTGTGCAAGCCGCGGCCCAATCCACAGGCTCAATTTGCCAGCCGCCAGCACTGGCCGAAACAAGGAACCATCTCGCCAACTCGCCTGCGATTCTAGCCACTGGCCCTGGATACCTGGCCGCATCCTGTAGCTGTGAGTCTGTGACCATTCAGGGTCTGTGCAAGCGCCCATTCAATCTATAACAGGTGTTGTGGCAATGCACTTCTGATTCAGATTCAGGCTCTCAATCAGATTCATAAAAACCACCTTCTCATCGCTACCTCAGCTCAGCTCACCTCTTCTTTCTCCCCTCCATCCGGAATCCTCACCTTCGTCAGTGTCGAAGGCTTGAGCTTGAGCTCTCACCAGCTTCCCAAACCCCCTGTCGCACTACCCTGATACTTCTGGGGCCGGCCTCCCCACCTCTCTCAAGCCTCCCAAGCCTCCCAAGCCTCCTCGAGCTCGCATCCTACCCCAAACTGCACCCTAGTCCTCCTCAAAGCCAGACAAGCCGAGGGAACGACACACTGTCCGCTGCTCCAGGTTCCAACCCCTGACAACCCGAACAATCCTTGCCTGCCGCCATCCACGAAGCAAGAAAAAAACCCTAACACCCTCCAACGGTGCAGCTCCAAGCCATCCGCCAAATCTGTGCTCCGTACCTGGAGTTTATCGTCCGCCTATCCACTAGCTGCAGAGACCACACCCACTCTCCTGCATTTGCTACATCAACTTCGGGTGCACCTTTTCAGGAGAACGACTCGCTTGGATACTACGAGACTCTCTCTCAAACATCAGGAGCTGCATCCCTGGGCCGCGCCTGGGACCACCAATAATTCGATATATCCCACAGGCCACAAGCTTGTGCATTTTGAATCTCTTCCTGCTGGCCAGGTGAAAAAAGGTCTACACTTAATATCTTGGATACCAACTCCCCGCTTGTGTCAAAGGCCTGTCACTTCACTTCAGTCCACTCGCTACGTAACCAGCCCTTGAAACCACTCTGAGAGAATTCTGAAGACAGTCCATAAACCCGTGGACGCTGCCTCATCTCAAGACACTCCCTTCATCTCTTCGCCTTCAAGGTCAAACAATCCATCACGAACAAATCCCATCATGGACTCCAAATACACCTTGGCCCAGAACAGGGCTGCGTTGGAGGAATTCGTTCGCCAACCTGTACGGACCTACATGGTTCAGCACCTTGCAAAGCAAGCCTCACAGGTCATCCGATGTGATCCAGAGCCGCTGCCTTCAGCAGAGTCATTGCCTACTCCCCCGTCGACCCCGCCTCATTCATCCTCAGCAGAGCCCGCTCCAGCCCCTCTACCGAGTCTTGAACAGTTCATCAGCTCTCTAGTCCACCGGTCTGCTGTTCAAGTGCCAACTTTGATGACCTCCCTGGTCTACCTTGCCCGTCTCCGATCAAGACTGCCACCTGTCGCAAAGGGAATGAGGTGCACTGTTCACCGGATCTTCCTCGCCTCCTTGATCTTGGCTGCGAAGAACTTGAATGATTCAAGCCCGAAGAACAAGCACTGGGCAAGATATACAACGGTGAAGGGTTACGAGGGTTTCGGATTCGGACTGGCAGAGGTGAATCTGATGGAGAGACAACTCCTGTACCTGCTTGACTTCGACACTCGAGTGACGGAACAGGACTTGTTTGACCATTTTGAGCCATTCCTCGCTCCTATCCGCTTCCAGATGGAGCTCCAGCAAGAAGAAGCAGAACTCACCAGCAGCCACCGCCACTGGCACTCTCATCAGACCTCTTATGACTCAACAATGTCCGTACCACCTCTGACTCGCAAGGAGCCGGCCCAGCCCGTTGTTGCAACGCCGCCACCAAGAGCGGTCGGGGTTTACGATTCTCCCGCTTGCTACGTTGATGAGGACTTGGCTAGTGGTCGATATGCAAGACACAAGGCCAACAACAGTTCGTTGTCATTACCAGCTCCCAGCCATCGACGATGGCCATCGCCATTCCGCCATCACGCCAACACTCGGTCGGTGTCACCGCCGTCCCTTCGTGATCTTCCGCCTCTTGTTTCCTCCGGCAGACCTGGCACGGTGCACAGCCACAGCAGTTCCCGGTCCTCCTCACTGGCTCCATCATCACGCTCTCGGTCTTCCTCTCTCGCACCCACTTCTCGAGGTACTCCATACACTGCGTCGTCAAACATCGACGACAGTATTGTGGTGGTTGATCTGACCCAGAGCCCTGATGCGTCATACCACAGTACATATGGCAAGACTGTTTCGGCATCGCGGCCCAGCCTCAAAGGTCATCAGACAAGCTTCCAAGGCGAAAGCCAACAGCCAGCCAAAAAGGTCAAGTCGGAATCCGGAGTAGGCAGTGTGATGGCGAGGTTCTTTAGTTCTGCGACGGGCAACCATCGAATTGGAAGGACACCTATTCAGCAGGCAGCTTAGGAGGCTGTGATTGTTGACGACAGGAAAACAGGAAGGAAACGCAAGCGACCATGTCACAACCACTCTACAGAAGAGTTGTAATATCAACCCAGATGCTGATGACCAAGCTGATTCCCGAACGACTCATACCATTTAAGTCTCAGACTTTACCATACTCTCATTTACGGCAATGGCTCTCTTTTTTGTTTACTCATGTGGTGCGGTGCAATATCTTGCATAGCGACGGCGTTGTCAGGGGACGTTTTCAAAATTGACACACAAATCAACTGGGGCGGGCATATTTCTTGGAGATGACGGAGCTGAGCAACAAACGCATTTTGCCATGTAACACTAAGTCCTACTTTAGTCAGAGATCCGCCTTGGAGTCGGGAATGAAAGGAAATCCGCAAACAAGCAGTATTCGTTGGACTGGTGCCAATGGGTTTTTTTGTTCGGCAGGAGGAAGAGAGAAAGAGGGGAGAAACTCAAAAAAGGGTGATGATCACTGATGATGATTGAAGCGCGCTGCGGCCCGCATGAAGACAGCCGAATCCGAAACCTTGGATTGAGAATCTTGCCTTGTTCAAGGACTTGAACAGACCGAGAAAGAGAGTTTATTTCGAATAGACAACCCGAAATGAAAATGAACGGCTTTCCTGGACCCTTGAGAAGATCATCGGAGGTTGAAGTCTTCGCTGTATTAACTTTTGACATCCTAAACTATCGCACTTTCTCTGTCCATCGGATGGCCATCCACCTATCCGCCCATCCATCCATCTATCTATAAAGTTTCCAAGGTTGGGAAGGATTTGACTTGCCCCGAAGAACAATGTTAGACTTTCGAGGTTTTCCCTGCTTTTTAGATCCAAAAAAGTCAAGTTTCCCCGCCTCTCTTTTAGTCAAAGCGACAGTCCCTGCAGATAGATTACATACATAATAGAGTGTTCGCAGGTGATCATCGCCCTTGTACGCGTGTTTGGATGCCCTACCTAGGTACCTTAGGTAGGTAGCTCGGTAGTTAGGTAGGCTTTTCTCTCCCCCGCAATTGTTCGGAAGGTAAGATTTGCCTGGGTCCCGTTTTTCCTTGTTCTGGTCCCTTTTATACCTATCCTGGATCTTGACCGTGTTCCTGTCCTGTCCTGTTGTATGCTAACTCTATTTCATCGCATTGCATTCCGTGCAGCATGTTGCCCGCCATTCTCCGCGCCGAGAAGGAGGGGCAAGACATGTCTTTCGAGGAATGAAGGAGCGGGTGGAAAGGGTAGGGTATCTTCGCGCTTCCGACACTGATCCATATCATTATAACCCTCGTACATAGGTAGGTAGGCTCGGTAGGTACCTTACTACTTTGTGCAGGAATGGACTGCGGGTAGGAGAACAGGTGCATAGGAGGGGGGATGCGCGACAGAGACCATAAAAGCATGGGTGGCAATCTCGCTTCCACCGAGGAACCTTTCAGACGCCTCTGGTGAGTACCTAGGTATCTGCAGGTACTCGGTACTGATACTGCGAACACGGTACGGAGGACGTATTCCCATCCCAGGTCGGTTCCTGTAGCTGTTCTTGTACCTGTGGTAAACGCACTATTACCTAGGTAGTACCCAGGGAACAATTGCCGAACGACGAATGCAGTGCCTCATCGCTCGTAATGCGCATCACCTGATGATAACCAGTGCTTGGTTCCTCCGAGCTCTCCCTTGACGCTGATCCTACACGCCTCTGTATGAGTACGTGCCCCCGGTGCGCTTCCTCCCTTCCTGCCTGACCTCGTCAAGCGAGGAGTAATCGTAATCGTCCCCTTGCATTCGTCCCATCCTGTTGCGGCACTTTGACGTTCCTGTCTTCGTATAACCAAGTCACTTCTGCCGGTGGAGACAGCCGCTTCGAAGCCCTCCCTTGTTTGCACTTTGCAGTGGGAGATTGAAAGGGTACCTTGTTTCTCTTTTCCTTGTTTTCCTTATCGCATTCCCATGTCCATGTCCATATCCATACCCCGGGCTCAAGCCCACCACTGCTGGTGCCAGTGCCGGTGCGTACTCGTTTGCCTCTCCAATCTTGCTATATGTCCTTCGCTTCCCCTTCGTTCCTTGATCCTTGGGTGAAGGGGACTGCCGCGGGGAGGTTCCGTTCGAGTTGATGCGCCTAACTGCCTCCGAGAGGATTGAAGTCCATGTACACCGTACGTGGACTATGGTTCCCCAACGTGCTCAGTACGGGCAAGACCTTTTGCGTGGTGCTGCGACCAAGATGAATCGACCTGGCACAAGTCATGATGCCGGCCAATCCTTCGCAGGGTCTGTGATCAGAAGAAGACCGACGTCCTTGGGATTGAAGAGCACCGTCGTGGTTGAAACTTGTGGTCATGGCCCTCGCACAGGGTCTTGTGTATCTCTTTCTGCGCCGGTGGTCGATCTTTTGATCTTGCGTCATCCTCCGACTCCATCTTCGAGAAGTAGTCTTGTTTCGACTTGCTTGCTCACTCCGTCTTGTCCAGTTCCCGCTTGATATTCTCCTCTGAAGCCGGTTCAGGTTCCTCCTTCTCGCTCAAATCGATTCTCTTCCCGACGCCCCATCCCAATCCATTTGTAATAGCCCTACCAATCGTCCACCCCATAACCACGCCCCAAATAACCGTGCAAGGCCATTTCTGCCACTCGCGGTCCCAGTCCAGCGCCATCGGAATGGCGCCCACCCATCCGCCCACAAAGCTTCCCACGGTTGCTCCCCATACACCTGCTGAGTCGAACGGGAGCCACGCGGCCGCGACGTCGCGCCAGGCGAGGGAGGAGACGCCGTGGGTGTAGAACAGTGGCAGGAAGCCGAGCAGCGAGACGTGCACTGAGAGGAGGAGTGTGAGGGGGAGCAGCGAGGTCGGGTACAATGGCGCGCCGAGGACGAGGGCGATTAAGCCGAGCGGGAGAGGTGGGAGAGTGAGCGTTAGGATCAGGGAGAAGAATGTGGGCTGTACCTCGCCAGAGCGTCAGCAGTCCAACCTCGAAGAACCGTAGGAGGCCGTAGATGTTGGAAAGGGGTAGCAGGAGTATCGATTGTTGACCCGCGAGTCACCACAAGACGGACATTGTAATTGTACAGGTGAAGAAAAGACTCACCATGATCCTCGCACCCCAGCCCCCTTCTCCGGCTGCCGCTCCTGCACCTCCCTTCCCAGCACCATGACCATGGCTTTTGCCGATACCTGCTCCGAGGGTTTTCTTCCGCAGGCTCCCAGCTCCCCCGGCTCCAGACAGCTTAGGACTCTTTGGGCTCTTCTGTGCTGCTGAACTTGCCGTGCCCTCAACAATAGGGCCACCTGGTGTACCCGACACCCAGGACCCGGCCGGTGGTAAGCAGATCGCACAGAATAGGCATTGTAACGTAGCAACAACGCCCAGGTCGCTCAGTAAAGTGTTGGAGGGATCGGCGACAAGTGCCGACGCGCGGAGGTAGTAATATAATGGAACCAGAGCGGTGTGGATGTAGCTGAAGCGTCTCGCGAGTGAGGAGGAGAGCACAGGGATGGGATGGGTGGTTGGCGTGAGTAGCCGGGCTTTGCTGGAGGGTTGAGCCGGTGTAGGAGGGAGGAGATGCGTTAGAGAGGTAGACATCTTGCAGGACACTCACCGTTAACCAATAAATGTTGAAAGAACAAGCAACGAGAGAAGATCAAGCCATCGTGGCTGGCTGCAAGGGAAGTCGAGAATTCGCTGCTCTCAGTGCGTCTGAAGCTGCGGACCTTGAGCATGGCACCCAATGGGGTTCCGCTTGGCGAGATTTGACTTCAGCCTCACAGCCTTGCGGCTCTAAACGCGCGACTGGAGTTGGTCTCTGGCCTGAGGCTCTTTCACGCCGAATGCCATGAAGCACGAGGCAATACCGCCTAATTGTTTCGAACTGTTTCTGTTATTCAAACAAATCGCCACTCTTCAGGCCGTATATATTCATACATAAACACTGTTGCCTCGCTCTACTCTTGAGAGCTTCATCACATCTGTATGGGTATCTCGTGCAAACAGCTTCCCCAGGGTAAAGCCCCTCATAATCGAACGCGGCTGTCCAAACAAGGCTGGAAGAGCCATATTTCGCCTCCCAATGCCGAATATCAGAGAAAAAGTTCCCCACAAGGGCCAATAAAGAAGCCGTTTGCGTGTGAAATGCAATGAGTGAACACAAACATCAGTCGCCGCTCATATAACAGCCACCTGCTGCGTATCCCTTGCCGTCTCAAATGTATCACGTTGCTCCTCCCGCGGCGTTTCATACACGTCCTCAAACCCTTCCTCCACATCCGAATCTTCTGTCCCACTAAAACGAGAAATTTCCTGCGGTAAAGGATGGTCTAGATGAAATGGATGTGTTCGATGCAGGGTTTTCATGCGAGGTGGTGTGCCAGTCAAGTTCTGGTTTGACTCAGGACTAGGCGTGGGATATGGTTCCCTGATCGTTGCGTAGATGGGAGTCGAAGTCCTCAGGCTGTTCATTTCCTTCTGGAGTTCGTGTACCTGCTCTTCCAGTTTTTGTCGAGCCGCTTTTTCTTCTTTCATCATTTCCAGCAGAGCTTCGAACTTATCAGCAGGAATATGAATCGAGGACGGCGAAGTTCCCCGCGAACGTCTCGGCGACCTTCGCCTTGCAGTTAGAGGCCTGATCGTTGCAGTCGTGGCTTTACTTGCTCTTTGAGGGTTAAACACATCGTCGATCTCTGGAGAAGGCATGGGAGACTCTCCAGGAGAAGACAAGAAAGTAAAGTCCTGGACTCCGCCGGAGGAATAGTGGCTCAAATCATTCGACGAACTGCTTGCCAACGTCAAGCTCGTTCTATTCTGCTGGAATATGTCGCGTACGGAGCCTCGGCTGAACGGTCTTGGATTCAACCTTGGATTCGGCAGGTCGTTGCCTTGGAGCTTGGCCAATGCAAATTCAAAATCGAAGAGCTTGATCTCCAGAGTATTGACCCTCTGCTCTAGTCCGATCTCGTCTCGCCCCGGACTTCCGAGGCCAAAGTCAAAAGTCTGCATGGGGTCCACGGTGGAACGATCGTGCTCCGATACCGCCACGGCACTGTCTGGCCCCAAGACGTGTGTGGGATCTACCGATATCGACTGGCCACTGTATACGGGCACAGGGTTTTGGATGGCACTATTGCGCCAGTAAGCGATTTCACCTGCTCGATCACGAGTGGAAGGGCGCTGAGCGGCACCTTGATGGAGAAGTTCGTTGAGTGCATCGGCGCTCCTAGATCGCCGCTTGAACTGACCGTCCGAGACACAGTCTTCTTTTGCCCTCTGTTCCACGGAAGCCGATTGTGGTGCAGGCCAATCAACAATTGCCGGCACGAGACTCGACTGTATGTCACTGAAGACCAGGCTAGGTAATGTGTTGCGGCGCCCGCGCCGCGGAGGTGGCGGTAAGCTCTGGTGGACAGCTTCAAACTGCGGATACGTGGTGGAATGCGAGGTCAGCGCAGCGCCTCGCAAGGTTGTTTCTGCTCCGAATGGGGGAGCCGAGTCCAGTCGTGTTCGCACTGGTTGCTCTGTGACGGGTTTGAGATGCCCAGAGTCGCCGTAATGGAACCCACTTGTATCAGTAGGCACGGATCTGTGTTTCTTGCTCGAGAACATGCGCTTAAGAGTTGCGCGCAATCCACTGGGTTTCTTCTGGTGCAATGATGCCTTTGAAGGAATGGAAGACATTGAGCTCGGAATCAGTGATGGCCCAGCAGAGGTTCGAGCGCGCGGGTGTGGCGGGACATCACTGACATGTCGCACATGGGTATCTTGCGTTGCGGTACTTGCCCGTGGCCATGTGGTGTCGTATTGTCGCTGTCCCGAAGGATGTCTGGCGTGTGGCACGGTGCTAGCGCCGCTGAAGGCTCCGGACTCATCGAAAGGAATTGGATCAGATATCTTCAGGTCGCCACGGCGCAGAGCAGCTCCTGTGATGGGTACGGATAAAGATCCGGATCCTTTGGCTTTGTGGTTCGGAGACGGCATGTCGCGAAATTGCGAGTCTGAGCGAATACTACCTCCCAGAGATCACCGACCACACAGCATCAGCACTGGGCGAATGACTCTTGAGGGTGTCGCATCATGCTGATGCCTCCTGGCTTGAAATGTGCCCGCTTCACAGGGTGTCAACAGACATCGGGACAGTCGCCTCGATGAGTGCTATCCCAGGCGGTCGCAAGAGTGGCACGATAGCATCTGTCAGCGGTACGTCAGTCGCGACAACTGTCTCACTCCGAACTTTTGGACGTCTGTAAGGCTACCACAGGTTTTCTGGAAGATTAAGATTAAGACCAAAAGTATATCTAGATAAGGCGACGACACCAGTGAGACGAGGTGGTGGTGAGAAGGAACAGTGGGCCTGAAGAACCCAGGGCCAATGGATGACCTTATGAAGGAGCGACCAGGAAGTTGGAAGACAGACACGGCGCCCGGAAACCGAAGGTAAGGCAGACTCGAGACGGACAATGGGGCGAAACAAGAGGTGCAAAGTCGCAGAATTGCAGAGTTGCAGAGTTGCAGATGGTAAATGAGGGCCGGGAAGCGGCTTTGAAGAGAAAGAAGACAGCTCTGGCCCTCGCTTGAACAACAGACTTTTGGATGCGCAAGACAGCAGAGTCTTGGTGTGTAGCCCGTATCCTTGTAGATCACAGACTTGGTGTTGGTTTCGGCATCGCTTCGACCCGCACTGCCATCGCAAGCTTCAAGCCTCAAGCCCTCTGAAGGGTAAAAAGAAACAAGTGTCAGGTCAGAAGAAGCAAGTGTGACAGTGACCCGCGGAGCCTAGAATGACAGCTGGCAGTGTCCCACTTGGCCCGGTGTGCTCGCAACAGTCATTCTCTTTCTGTTCCTGTTCCTGTTTCAGCAACAGAGAAAAGATGATGATTTGGGCGCAGGAGATAGAGCTGGGGCGGCGCAATGGAGGGGCAGGTGGTTTGCTGATGGAGACTGGGATGGAAGTGGGTGTGAAGCAGAGTGAGCCAGGAGGCAAGAAAGAGGAAATGTGGGCGTCAAGGACTTCAAGGCTGGCGGGCCGTGGACCAGTAGCGATAGAGAGCCGTCAATGGGGCCCGGGCACTCATTCGTTAGCCTTGGAGGGGCTCACTAGGCTTGACTAGGCGCCACTAGGCCTCTACTAGACTGCCCTGATCGTTGCCTGCTTCTCTACCGGGGATTGCCCAAGGATTCCCCCTTCTCAGCAGTGAGCACCTCCATCCAACTACCTGTTAGATATCTACCTACCTAGTATTAGGTAGACTAGGTACGAGGTACTACCCCAGCTATCAGCTACTGCGCAACTAGGGGATTTTCCTCGCCGCACACTTCAAGGATGGCGTTGCATCCACCGAGCCACGTTTGCTCCCCTACCTCCTACCTACCCACGAGTACGAGACCCGAGTCCATACCTGTGCCAACGGAAACAATTTACAATAGGTAATCTACAATTGTCTCTCGCGGGAAAAAAGTCACCTGCCGAACCCCGACCAACCATCATCCGCCGGCGCTCCCTCCATCGCCCTCCACCATTCTTCTCCATCCCACTAACGAACTATCGACATCCTGCAGTGCCGGTTGGCGGCAGCCGATATTGGCTTGTTCTCCCTCCTGACTGGTCAGCAGCAGTTCGTGCGCTCCCGCAGCTGTCGTGGCACCTAACCATCTCACCGCACGATCCTCCTCCCATCTACGCGCTGAGCCCCCTACGTTCTACAAACATACCACGGAGACTCCGGGAAGCTGAAAGAAACGGACCATGAAGGAGGAGGGTCACAGAGAAACAAGTGCGACCACCTGGTCGGACGCTACCCCCGCCAACTATACCCTGTCGAGCATGACTACTTCACCGGCATCCTCCAAGCTGGCCAGCCCACCCTTTCCCATTCTGCTCAATCCATTGGATTCAACCTGACTACCCCTGCGCCATGCAGCGATGCAAGTCATTTCTAGCGCGGAAATACCCGTTTACCATTGAGGTCACGCATGGGAAGCTGCTCACGTCGCTGTTTCGGAATCATACAAGCGAACTTGGAGGGTAGTCTGGGACAGAAACATGTCTCTCTCTCTGGAGCGCACCGGAAATCGCGCCAGAAACGGCCAGCCGACATTAAACCCAAAAATCCCATCGGCATAGTTATCAAAACGTGCTCGGTGAACACGGAATAAGATACGGTAAGGCTGGTCAGGAATTCCTGGTCTTGCGCAAGGTCAGGGAATCGGCGGTATGTCCGCTTCGCCACGAGAGACTGGCGTGGAGGAACCCGCTTGTTGCTAATCGGCGTTCATGGCAGGGAATCTCTGAACTCTCAACAGGAACTTGACAGGAACTTTGCTGACCCTTTGCGTAGGGCGTCTGCTCTGAAGAAGCGCGAAATCCACCCTGATTGGCCTTCTCGTTTCCCGGTTTGACGTTGTTGCAACGAACCCTTATCTTGGCTCTTTGGCCGCCTCGTTGTGGTGATGCTGGCTATTTCGCCGACAAAAACCACGATCCCTTCTTTTCTCCTTCCATTGGCTTCCTTGCGCCAATCGAAGCTGTATACTAGCGTCTTGCCGGTTTGCCGGTCGCTCCACGAGCCTTGAGAACAGATAACTCCACCCTTAATTTGAAGACATTTATATTTTCGGCCCCGCGACGTGTTCACTGGGGATTCCATGGCGAAGTTTGCAGTGGAGGCCTGATTGATCTGTCGCAACAACGGGCTCCGTGGTCCACTACCATAGTATTGACGCCTGTTCTTTTCCGTTCACGAAGAGACACATTCAATGGAGGTCGCAAGGCGCCCAATGATGTGAATTTAGTGGTAGGTCGCTGATCGACGAATCTCTTGTTGATTGCGTGGTCAAATCGGAAATGCAGCTGCGACGGAGCTCTTTGGGCTACAACCAGCCAATGGCCCTTCAAACAAGGCTCTATTTGTTGAGGACATTCCACGTCAGACCTGTCACTTCGAACATGAAACTGGCTGGCCAGGGCCCTTCGTATGCGTTTCAAATGTCCCTGATAGCAAACCAATACCAGGCCTGCCTCGCACTGGCACAAGTTCGTTTGCGGTAATTGCCAACGTCGGGTTCTGACGGTCCAGGCCATGCGCCCGACTTTGCAGATCTCCGAACTTGCAGGCCGTTGTGCAAAACGCAAGCTACCCGAGTTCCAAGTCCTCAATGTTTGGATATCTCAGATCAGCATGGTCCTCCAAGAATTTCATCCACCTCTTCAAAAAGGGGCTGCCTCGAGAAACCGTCTCTGAATCGCCAATCACGCACAAATGGCGTTTTGGCCGGGTCATTGCAACTAGGGACCGCAATTGTCAGACACTCTGCATACAGAAGACTCGATCCCGCCTGCATGATACTTGCATTGGCGCAAAAACAAGGTTCCAACAACCATTGGTCTTGGGGAGACACGCAAAAGTACACGGAACGCAGTCGAGGACTGTATAGTGAGATTGGACTTACCGTTCAATCTCCTTTTCTCACCCAAGAAGCCCACCTCCTTTTCAGCGTTGCTTCTGACCAGACTGACCACGACGGCTTCCTTTTCTCGGCCCTGAAAGCCATCCACGCTGCCCAATTCGATATTTGGATACTTTTCCTTGAGCACGGAGCTTAGAAGAGCGAGCTGAGCGTTGTAAGGTGTGACGACTGCGATATCTTCGTCCCTGACGCCAGCTTCTACCAGGTTCTTCACATGCATGGCAGCGACAGCCGCTTCCATTTCATTGCACTTACTGTCCCCCAGCAAGGTCGATTTATGAATCTGTCCACCGGAGTCGTCTTCTGTCTTCTCCGGAAAATCACCTCCCTGCGTGTCGAAAAACACAAGTGGTTCGTTGGTGTCTTCGGTCTCTTTTACTTCGTATGCCAGATTTCTCAGCACTCGGGATTTAACAGCATCGGCCGCGACAAGCTTCCCTTCATAGAGCTCGTCGCTGGGGAACCGCATTATCTTTTCATGCATTCGGTACTGCGTATTGAGCAGCCTCTTGATCCTGGGCCCGTATCTGGCCAAGAGCCGGTCAAACATGGTTGTTTCCAAGGACCAACTCTTCGCCGCCTTCAATTCTTCGTCCTTGATAGACAACTTTGCTAGTTCTTCCTCCAGAGTTTTGACTCTTGCTTTCTTTTCCTCCTTGGTGTCTTTGTTATCTGCGCTCTTGACCGTTGGCGGTAACTGCAGATGGTCGCCCGCCAAGACTAGCTTTTTCACGTTTGGTCCTCCGAAGATCAGCGGAATCCAGCATTGTGGCTCAAGAGCTTGACTCGCTTCGTCAATCACCACGACGTCAAACGCCTGGTTGCGGACTTGATAACTCCCAGCACCGTGGAGTGTCGACAGCACGACTTTGCTGCCTGTCATCAGCCCATCTATACACCTCCCCTCCCGCTCACGATACTCCTTCCGTAACTCTTTCAGGTCAGCGTAAATTGCACGTCGTTCACGACCATTGCGAGTTTTGCGGATCGACGCCTGCTTCGCGTCCATTTCCTTGCGCACGTCGCTTACGATCCCCGCAGCCTCGCTCGTTCGCGTCAACACTTCGAGCGAGTGGTTCAGGACACTTGGCAAGAGGCGGGCCGGATGACCCAGGCGGACGATCGGTGTACCAGGGGAGGTCAAAGAGAGACGCTCGACGATGTTGTCTACGCTGATGTTGCTGGGTCCGCACACCAACACGCGTTGATTGCGCTTGAGGAGCTGCAGAATGAGTTCGATGAGGGTGTACGTCTTCCCAGTCCCCGGCGGACCGTGGATGAGAGCGATCTCCGGTGAGGAGAGGGCGAAGCGGATTGCATCTTGTTGAGACGGGTTTAACGTCGGGTCGAAGAAAGTGATATCGCTCGAGCTCGAGTCAGACGAGTCCGCTGCCGCTGTCCCAGGGGAAGAAAGGCCCAGGAGGACGCGCTGGAGCGTCGTGTATGACGACTCGGGTGTCTTGAGTAGTCTGGTTAGGGTCTGATTCATTCTTGAGCCGCCGCCAGTCAGCCATGACTGGTTATCGAGGGCGCCACATGTGGCAGACAGAACTCACCTCTTGTAAGTGACATCGTTGGCAAGTTTGACCCTGTATCAAGAAGGAAAAAATCAATCCTTTGTCAGTAGCGAACCCTCAGAAACTTCGAGGGGAAATGTATGAGAAAAATCCTACAGCCACAGTTTCCCATCCGGTACCTCTTCGACATTACTGTCGCTTCCCCCAGCAGTGCCACCACCCTCCTTGCCCAGCGCAACCCAAACAGCTCTGTCGCCGACCCTGACCACCACGCCTTCAACGCCCCTTCCTTTCAACTCTGCGACTTCTTTCTTCCTGGCCGTGCCCTTCGGGGTCTCTCCGACCCGCACGATATCCCCCGTCCGAATGCCATGCTCGGGCAACTCACCTTTAGAGTCCTTCCTCACGACCGCGGGATCGAGACCGAGCTCAACCACACTGCGACCGCCCAGACCGGTCTTTAGGGAGTGGACCGAGAGGTTGAGGATTGCGAGACCCGCGCGAGACAGTGTCGTGGGCGCCGTCGACGAGAGGAGCAGGGATGTCTCGGCGATCTCGGAGTCTTGCTCGAGATTGACTAGATGGAGAAGCGTGGTGAAGAACGCAGAGGGCGAGAGCGTCGGTGGAGTTGAGGGTGCCATATTTTCCCTTTTTTGATGGAGAGAGATTTTGGAGAGGAATAGACGTGGGCTACGAGTAGCGAGAGTGAAGTGTTGGTGGGCCTAAGGCGCACAAACCTGGGAGGTTGTGGAAGGGTGTAAAATTCCTAGTCTTTTCAACGCCGTCGAGGAGTGCAAGGCCTCGCCATTTTTAGTTATTGCACTTGATGTTGACCCTGTGGCCCGATCACTGAGCGGTGAGTGTATTTGCTTGACGTCCTTCTTCGCGTGTTTGAGATGGGGGAGAGATAGGTAGAGGAAACGAATCAAGATCGCAATGGCTGGAAGCGCATCGGAGTATTCAATGCGCTCAGTCACACAGGCTCCAAGACACCGTCTCAACGTGATCCTGCATCAAGCGAGTATTGACTGTGAGGAGAAAAGAGTGGCCTTGCAACTACCTACCGAGCTACCTTAGGTCATGTTGGGGTGAAAAACCATGGAGTCATCGAACTTGAATACAGCCTTGCGGGCTTCTTGGCGCTTCCAGCAAATACTGCTACATCCGGTCGGTACCTACCTGGATACCTAGATACCTAGTAGGTACATACTAGTATGCTAGTACATACAGCGTGGGCTAGTTGCCCTTTTTCTTTCGCTTTCAAAAACCCCATCCTCACCACAGGATCCCAATCGCCCTCCCAGTCGCATCTTTACAGGAGTGAGTCTACTGGAGCACCGCAAATCCACGCTTTGCTAGACGCAGCACTGCCAAACAGCCACTCCCTTCACCACATGATGGCCTGCCGGCAAAACACTCGGATGTTGAGCACTTAGTATACTAACTCCGGATGGGTACCCATCGTTTTTGGAAATAGCGTATTTTGGAATACACCTGTTCCCGGATACTGGACCTTACACGATACCTTTATCTGGCCTGGGCCCCGCCGATGCAGTCGCTCACGGCGCAGAGCCTGTTGAGGCTACGGCTTCAGGCTTCCTGCCGTAAATAACGGCGCTGTCGCAAGACATGTCAGCTTCGTCAGTTCGAACTCGACCACTGACGTACCATGGCCAGTAAGTATATCGTTTCGTCGCCTTAAACTCTTTCCTTACATCGGCAAGGAATACTTGGACACGTTCTGGCTCCCAGCCCAAACAGCGTGTGAAGATGGCAAGTGTCAGTGCCTCGACGCCCTCCAGCATTGCGTACAGCTGATACAACCCTGCCTCCTTCAATCTGGGATCGGACGGCCATCGACCGATAGGGATCTTAAACGGCCTGACAACCACGTCGACGAAGCCCACCTGGCGCATCAGGTTTCCCAGTTCCTCGAAGTCTAGGTCAAGCCTGCGCCCCATGCCGACAATGCCTTGTCGCATCAGACGACACCACTCGTCAACTGCGTTGTCTGGACTAATCGGAGCGTGGTCGCTTCGAAGGTATGTGGCCAGATCGCGAAGCTCGAAGTAGCCCCCGGGCCTGCAGTGTCTACACAAGACGGAACTCGCGTTAGAGACAAGGTGTGCTTTGGAATTGGTACGTTGCGTGGAGTTTTACCTAAAAGCCTGTCGAAAATACTTTTGAAAATTTGCGATACTTCCGCTGAGCATGAACTGGCTGTATATGAGATCGAAATGGTTTGGCGGCCATGTCCAGTCGTCCTCGACATCATCAATCTCCCACTTGGTGTTTGGCGGCGCGAGTGTGGGCTGGATAGGACTCAAGTCTACTCCTACCACGATGGCCTCGGGGTGCGCGTCAGCCACATCAATGGCCCATGTTCCAATGCCGGTGCCCAAATCCAAGACATTCTGGAGCCGCTTGACAGGTGAATAGAAGAGCTGGCCGCCAGCAGCAAGAAACATTGCCCGGTGTTGCAACTCTAGTCGCTCGTGCTCGGCCGAGTCGTTGGGCATAAAGTATTGGCCCTCTTTATACGCATGGTACGTCCGGCCATTCTCGACCTTGTATTGATATATACTCGACCGGACTGACTGTGTCAAGACAGAATCTTGCTCGAAGCCCGAATCCTCGGTGTCGTACTGCCGCCATCATTAGCGCGAGCGCAAAGCGAGACCAGCAGCTAGAAATTGTGACGAACCCCGTAGTCTATCTCCAACTCGTCGCCCTCTGGATTTGCTTCACCGGCGCCGGCTTCTGGTCGGGTTGAAGCCATGTCCGCCTTTTTGGCTTTCTGACAAGATGGGACAAAGACGGGCAGATTGGATCTGATGAGGGTTTTGATTGTCCTTTTTCACTTTGCGGGATCCTGGGGGATGGCGTCTCGACTCTGGTGATGGAAGAGGGCCCCTCTCTCCCCGGCTGATAGGCCGGGAAACGGCTTGGCTCCGGGGATCACAGGCCAAAGCAGTCCCCGGAGCAGCCAAAAAAGCGGGCGACAACGTGGTAAGGTTTGTAGCGACTGGAAGCGACCGAGCGAGTAGAGAGCAGACATGAGAGATAGCAAGAAATTCACACGTTAATTGCAGAGTTTGTTACATACCGGACTTCTTCATACCTAGGTAGGATCTACAGTGCACTTTTATCAGTCGTAACGGGATATTTCCCTTCCTACATATGTAGTGTTCGATCGAGCGCCCTACACAGCGTTCCCAGGCTGCTACCTGTAGAGGCGAACTGGAGGATCGATACGCTAGTTGAAGGATTCGACGGTGAGTAGCCGAAGCCATGTGGTCGACCTACCTACCGAGCTACGGAGCTACGTACCAAGGGCCAAGCACCGCCCACCCAGCAGTGCCAGCACCGAGCCGGCGGGCTAGGAACCGTCCCAGCTGCATCCCCGAAGCAGCTCGATACCACACCACCAACCCGCCAGCACATGCATCTCGATGCATCTCGATAACCACAACTGGCTACTAGATACCTAGGTACGTTAGGTACATGAAAAGAGGGTTTCCCCTCTCCCTATCAGCAAACTTCTGCCCACTTGCGTCTCAAGCTTTACATATCACCACGATCCTGCCTGTCAACAATCATCTCAACCTCGCAGCGTCGCAGTCCAGGTTCTCTCAAGAGTTCGAGCTTAACTCTGACAGCGTCCACTTGAATTACGGCACCTGCAGAACGTCGGTGGAGCCGTGCCCAGGATGCTCGAGCAGGCCACTGGTTGGCTGCAGGTCAGCTTCACCAAGATCCTCGCACTATTCGCCGTCACCTGGCTGAGTTGGTTCGTCGTCTCAACTCTCATAGCATACAATAAACTACGACATATCCCTGGACCTCCGTTGGCCGGCTTCACGAATTGGTGGTGGATCAAAGCTGCAATCTCGGGCAAGGGACATCTTGCCCTGAAACATGCTTGCGATCGTTATGGTCTGTAAAGGTCTACCCTCGACTAAGGAGAAGTACACGAGGCGGTTCTGACGAGTCCCAACACAGGATCCATTGCAAGAATTAGCCCCGGCATGGTGGTGACGGCGGATCTAGAATTGTACCGGAAGGCCAATGCCAACAGGATCAACGACTACTCCCGAGGCCTGTGGTACAAGGCATTCAAGATGGATGCCGAGCGAGAAAATCTTTTCACCGAGCTGAATGACGAGAAGCACTCTGCGATGCGTGCAAAACTTTCTCCGGGGGTGAGCCCCAGGTTTCAAGCGTGTTGGTTCAAATTGACTGATCAACGCCACAGTATTCGGGCAAGGATAACCCTGAATGTGAGCCCAGTATCGACCAGATGGTCATGGACGTTGTGCATTTGATCAAGCGGAAATACCTCTCTGTGGGATCCAACATCAAGCCGCTGGACTGGGCTCAGCTAGCACAATACTTCACGCTGGATGTGATTACATACCTATCCCTCGGGGAAGCATTTGGCTTTGTCGCGGACGACGACGACAAGTATACATATGTGAAGTCCATGGAGGACAACTTTCCCATCATGAATGTCTTTTCGGCAGTGCCGCTGTTGTCCACCATCGCGAGAATCCCAACGGTGCAAGCCAACCTTATCCCTTCACCCAAAGAGAAGACCGGGCTAGGCAAGGTCAAAGCGTGGGTCATCGAAAGTTATTCGAGAAACAGCGAGACTAACACCTATTTCTAGGGTTGCTCGGCAGATTATAGCTGGCCGTTTCTCTGGGGAGAAAGCAGGACGATACGACATGGTCACCTCGTTCAAGAACCATGGCTTATCAGAACTCGAGATCTCGGACGAGTCGCTGTTCCAATTGCTGGCAGGCTCTGACACAACCGCGACTATCGTTCGTACTGGCTTCCTGTCAATCTTGTCAAATCCACATGTGTACCGAAAGCTACAAGCCGAGGCAGCGGCAACAGATATACCCTTGGACAAGATCATCTCCTACTCTCATGCGCTGAGACTGCCCTACCTGCAAGCTTGCATCAAAGAGGCTCTGCGCCACCACCCAGCTGCAGCGGGCTTACTACCTCGAGTTGTGGGCGCACACGGTGATACACACAACGGCGTCTACCTTCCTCCTGGCACCGAGGTCGCCTTTTGCGCCTGGAACTTGCACCGCCACAACACAGAGGTGTACGGCGCAGACGCCGAAATCTTCCGACCTGAACGCTGGCTTGAGGCTTCTCCTGAGCGCTTGGCTGTCATGGAAGAAGCACACCACCTCGTCTTCGGCAACGGCAGGTTCCGATGCATGGGCGAGAACATTGCGAGGCTGGAGCTGAACAAAATCTTCTTCGAGATGATCCGGAGGTTCGATTTCAGCTTGGTTGACCCTGTCAATCCGATCAAGAAGAACACGAATTACGGATTGTTCGTGCAGAAGGGCATGTTTGTTAGGGTGAGCGAACTGGAAAACTGATGAAAGCGCCTCTCCTATGTGAGAGTTATCTAAGTGGTCCACAAGACATTTCGTGGAAGATTATAGCGAACAGTTCAAGAGCACAAAACACGGAAAGTAATCATCATTTCCTGGCTCGATTGGAGGGCATAGCACATTCCATGTAAAGCGTGATGTGAATACCTAGGTATGCATTGTCAAAAGCAGTAGAAAAGCAGTGGCTCGAAAAGTGGGAATAAAATTGTCATTTGAAACTCCACAAAGAACGTCGGAAACACACAATGTTTGAAGCCATGCTCTTCATTCTCTCTCTTTCCACACCACAGCTATATGCTAATTTGATGCCCTCAATCTTACACAGGCGGTGCTGAGCTCCTAAGCCAGCACTGCCCATGAGATGATCCTACGGCTTTGAGTCTTCACTCGCATCTCGAGTCTTCGCTGTGTATTTCTGCCCACCAGGCTCAATTTCGTCTTTCAGATCATGGTGCTACCAAGTCGCTGGAGTTGAAGTGTCTGTTACGGAGCATTGGCTTGCAATAGGCGACGGCTCTTCGCATCTACTTACAACATGGCCTCTACAGAAGATCCCCAGAAACATGCTCCCTCGAATGGAGATGCCCCCGAACCAGCGCAGTCGTGGACATATCCTACACGAACGTGTCGACTCTGTCTCGAGGAGGTCCCCGCCACAGTTACTCTCTACCCTCCCGGGCTCCCGCCTGCCTTTCAACGCCCCGTTGTTGAGTACAAAAATGAAGATGAATACGGCCGGCTGATCAAGCCGTGCCATTGCAGAGGAGGCATGCGGTACATACACGAGCTCTGTCTGAGGCGATCAAGGACAGAGGGCGTTCGACCCGGCTCGCTCTGGAAATGCCACGAATGTGGGTATCAGTTCAACTTCAACAGGCTCACCGTCCAGAAATACCTCGGCAGCAGGACAGCTTCGGGAGCTTTGACGGCATTTGTCATGCTGGTGATTGTGTTTCTGCTGGGATTTATTGCAGACCCCATCCTCAACCTGTACACCGATCCCTACGAGACAATCGTCGGCCATGAGGATGTCTGGCAAGCCGTTGATGTCAATGACTCCAAGGGAAGCCTATCCGGCTGGGCTCAACATTTTACAAAGGGACTGGTTTCGATGGGCGTGCTAAGCTTCTTGAGGACCATGATTCTGAACCCTTTCCAATGGTGGAATCTCAGAAATACCGGCCTTGTCACTGGCAGAGTATCTGGGAGATCTGCTACTGGTCGTGACCGCGCTGTGAACATCAGCTGGATCGTGGTGGCTATGGGTATCCTGTCGGCATCGTATTTCTTCTATCAGTGGGTGCAAACGATCATTGGCAAATCACTTCAACGCATAGGGAACAACATCGTTGACACGCAGCTTCCGGGGGACGATGACGATATCAAACCGCCGCCTGGGTTTAAATTCGAAAACAGCCAACCGGTTGATAACAGTCCTGAGGCAGGGCCCCACCAGGATGACAATCTGCAAACAAACCAACATGAGGAAATAGCCAAAGGAGAGGACTCAGATGATCCTCCCATCCAACCGGCTGTCATGCCTGGGACTTGGGAGTCACGTGGATACAGCTCCGCGTTGGACGATGCTCAGAGGCAAGGCTGGTCATTTAGAGGGCTCTAACCATCGATATTGAAAGCCAGGTGTCTAATGATGCTGGCACCATCTGATGTCTGCCTGACACGGCTGAGTACCCGTTCACAGCAGTCAGCTATCCACGCTTGAGGGCGAAGAGGATCTATAGTCATGGCTCTTTGACGCCTTGACGCCCAATTGAGTGGCTGCGGTCTTTGCGCGTTGGTCGGCTTCAGAGGGGTCCTACTGATGCCAGTCACTGTGAGAACTACCCTGTTTGAAAGCCCTGCTTGTGTAACGTTACAACTGAATGCCTATCATTATCACACTATCGCCCAACTTTGAGTTGTCACATCTGTTTCAGTGAAGTGCCAATCAGTCAGTGCGCGAAGAGCAACAGCATTCCGCCTCCGAACTTCGTTGGCGTCATGTCTTCGTTTTCAACAGGCGGCTTGCAAGGCCAAAGGCTTCCCTCAAAGCAGCTGGCCTAGTCCATGGCTTGCGACGGGAAACATTTGGTAAATTCATCATAAAAGCATGCAATACTGTGAGAGCATGTCTGCCATTTGTGCTCGAGCGCCTCAACTCGGTCACTTGGTGATCCTGGATCCGGGTGAGGTAGTGAATGAATACGACAATGCAACAAGACGACGGTTCCATTTTCTCCTGTTCTTGCCTTTCAAGGTTGCTACCTGTGTCCCGATGTGAAATGTGCCTGATCGTCCCTTCTCGGCCACATCGTTGCTTCCCTTGGAGAGTCTATCTCGTCGTCCTCCGTGCAAAGTCTGCGGTCAACTCAACCACAATTCACGCATTCAAGTTTTGATCGGCCCTTGCTTTATGATGGCGGTTTCTGCTGAAGCCATAGAGACTGATCTCTCTGCCCTGTTTGACCGGTATCCGGACATTAACTTTGACACAACGGGAGATGTCATCTCAAGCTCTGGGATCAGTGAGCATTTCTCGTCACCGTGTTCAAATGTTACAGACCACGATGACACGCCCGTCTCCAACGACTCGACTTCCACGGCTCACACCACTCCGCTTCGGCCCAGTCTTCGCTCTGGCGAGGCACTGGAACTTCCCACACTAGACCGCTTCCTCGAACAACTTGCCAAAGCTGATCTCCCAATGACATGCAAGGAGGTGTTCGAGGGTTTTGCGCAGGCAATGGCTGCGCTCGGTTCTTTGGTGGTGCCTACCAATGGTGATCATCTTGGGGGTTACATCTCTTCCAAAAAACAAAAGATACTGGCGCAGACCCGATTGATGTCCGTTCAACTTCGGCAGTCAGTTCTCAATGTCACCGAACAGATCAACAATATCGACTTTGTCAAGTCGCGGGCTCCATTTACCGCCAATCCTTCGAAGGAAGATCTCTGGTGCATCTACCGACAACGAGCAGTACTCATTACATGGTGAGGACCTGGCTTTAGCAAAAGGGGATATACTGATCGCGATGCAGGTACGCAGCCTTGCCTTGCCGCACAGAGCAGACCATGCTGGAAGAATTGGCACACGTCTTTGATGCTTATGTTTATCACCCCTTTTTGCGTCTGCTGGGCATAGAGGACGTTGATATTGATGTGCAGGAGGCAATCAATAGCCTATATGACGTGCTGATGACTCTGCTTCACGACTATGCCATGTGGATGAGCGCAATGAAGGACATAGCAGTAAATCACATGCAGCCACTGATGAGAACGATACGGAAGTGCCCACAAGCGTTAGAGGAAATATTCAAAGCAGAGAGTCTCGGCGAGACAGTCAAGGCCTCAATTGGGGATTCAGAGGCGCCAGGGATGCAACCTGCTGACGAGCGAGTCATTCGAGAGCTCAATCTGAGCACCAGTCGACGGAGGCCACCAATTCCACCCAGAAGTAGACAGAGATATCGGCGGGAACACACGGTGTAGAAGGAAGGGGACGTTGCTTCTGTCATTCTCTGGTGATATGAGAATGACTTCTTCTACTCATGCGCAGCCAGACATGTGGCTGTTAGCATGGTATTTCACCCTAATGCACCTTGTCCATCATGAGGGTCTCGCCAAATCACTCAATATTAAGACCCAATTGGTGGCTCCCGGAAAGACCGTGATCCTTCTGCACTCCGCCACAATTCCCGAACGCCACATCTGTGGCTTTCAGCTGTGGCTGTTGAGGCTGTGCAACTGGCAACTGTTTGAAAGTGATTCCAGGGCGCCATGGATCGACTACCGCCGGCCAAATCAGCCAGGAACACGCAGCTCGATGTGTGACAATGCTCATTTAATTGGCGACAATGGCCCTCGTTTTGCCGCCCAACTTCTTTGATATTTCTTTGAGCCAGACACAAGGCTTCGCACCATCATCTTTGTGACTGTTGTCGATCCCACAATTGCCCAGTGCTTGTTGACCGACTCAACTCTTCCCAGCCATGCTATTTCCACTACCAGTCCCCGACAAGCGGCTGGACTAACTCTCACCGCGATCCTTCTTGAGCAAGACACTTCCATAATAGTCTATACACTCTCGAATCGATTCCTCCTCCCCCTCCTCCTCCTCCTCCTCCCTTTTCACGATTGTTGATCGAAGCTAAAGCACAGCCAAGAAGCAAGCATGGCGGCAATTACCCAGACGATTGCAATCATTGACCGGTCAAACAAGGTTGTCAGCACCACCAAACAACTCAAAAATGTCTTCAAGGAGGCAAAGATGGCTTATTTGGAGCGGAAGGCGGAGATAGCAGCGGAAAGAAGGGCAAGGGAAGAAAAAGAACTGAGGAAAGCAATGAAGAACGTGACTATAGCGGAAGATGCAAGGTCGGATACGTCCCGAAGGCCACGCAGACATCAGAGCCACAGGAGCGAGGTTGAGAATGGTAGGTTTCGACCTGCAGAAAGTCAGCACCATCAGCACCACCATCCTCCCCCCGAATACGGGTACCGGGGCGTTCCTCACGCAGGCTCCGAGGTCGCAGCACCCAGATCGCCAGAAGAAGTCTTCTCCAGGCACGTCGGTCTTGCAGAGTTCAATGAAGAACTCTACGGTCGCCATCACCCAGTTCCGGAATATCCACCTGCGCCGTATGGGGGGAGTGGACTCGTTCGCAGGACGACCGATCTGCCACTCGACGCTCACCGATCACATCGACCCCCACCTGTGCGTTCTCACTCAGTCTCTGACGTCGACATGGACCTTGCCTATGGCGAATTTCACCCGGAGTCTCTCATGCTGGATCCCAAAGTGGAGCAACATTTGCAGAAACAAGAGATGTCCAGCCTGGTCACCAAGTGCAAGATGCTGATGGAGGAGGCCAATTGCGCACAGCACAGTGTCCGGGCTATTATCTCACATCTGCAGGCAAATCCGGACTCCATGGCAGCTGTCGCCTTGACGTTGGCTGAAATCAGCAACTTGGCGTCCAAGATGGCACCTGGGGCGCTTGCTGCATTCAAAGCCGGTGCTCCCTCGGTCTTTGCGATGCTCGCAGCTCCGGAGTTTCTGATTGCCGTGGGTGTGGGCGTAGGAATCACCGTCGTCATGTTCGGCGGCTACAAAATTATCAAGAAGATCAGAGCCCGGGTCGGTGACAAAGAGGAAGACGCAATGGATGAGATGCTAGATGTCAAGGAACTTGACCGCATCGAGCACTGGAGACGTGGCATCCCGGATGCTGAGACGGCAAGTGTTGCTACAAGCGTCGAAGGTGAATACATCACTCCATTGGCAGCAAGGAGCATGGGCCATTTGCCTCTTCCCCGGGAGCACAGCGGAGAAAGACCCAAGGACCAGAGGAAGGAATCGAAGAAAAAGAAGCATCACCGGAGGGTCGAGGAGGAGGACCCAGATCGCACGGTGGTGGGCAGTGAGAACTCGTCGAGATCACGGCGAAGCAAGGGCAGCAGCAGCAGGCCCGAGAAGAGAGAAAAGGCACTTGTGAAGGCCAAGAAACCGAGCACGCTAAGGAGAATGTTCCTCAGCAGGGATACAGATGTCTCCTCAAGACGATGAACTGGGGGCAATGCAGACGTTTTCCTTGCTCCCGGCGTTGCGGCAAGGATTTGGGTCTGCATAGACGAGGTTACGAAGCAATGATGGACATGGAAATGCTAGATACTGTGCTTGCAGAAGCGAAATACGTGCTATATGATATATCTGGCTGATTCTGGCGGATGAAAATACTACCTTGAGCATCCATGGCGTCTCCAATATTGAGCGAAAATCACATGACTTTCAACCACGTGCCGCTGCGGCGAAATTTTGGCGGCTCGGAGATCTTTTGGTTCGTTTCTACTTGTACCTTTTATCGCGGCCTTTCAGTCCATTCACTCCAAAAGGGTTTGCCTGGCCTCCACTGTTCGATCTCTGGTTTCTGGCGGTGTATTCTGAGGCGCTGCACTACTACCTTGTTCTAATCCTCTGTCATCTCGGACGAGACAGCGCCCTTCGATCGGTCGTCCAGTTCGATCGTGGCCGCAGCGGCAACTCGAATCTTCAGCCGTCATCGACACCTCCGTCACCCTCTGCGCTGCTCAAGAGCGCGGATATAAGTACAGTTGAATCAATCACCACAGCGGCTCGAGTTTGCGCGATTCGACCATGGATCACTCCCGAGATCCTTGCCCCTGGGTTGCCCTGTCCGACTTTGGCGGAGCATTCTGTATGGGTGCTTTAGGAGGTACGAAGAGTGAGATTTCTGCTTTGACACCCCCTCTTTGACACATCTTAGGAACATTATGGCACGGAATCAAGGGCTTCAGGAACTCACCCTATGGCGAACGACGGATCGGCATGATCACAGCCATCAAGGCTCGAGCGCCCGTTACAGGAGGCAACTTTGGAGTATGGGGTGGTATGTTCAGCACGTTCGACTGCGCAGTCAAGGGCATCCGCAAGAAGGAGGATCCATACAACTCCATCATCGCCGGATTTTTGACGGGAGGTTCGCTGGCGATAAGAGGAGGTTACAAGGCGGCCCGAAACGGTGCCATTATGTGTGCCATATTCCTCGCTGTCATTGAGGGTGTTGGAATCGGTATCCAACGGTTAATGGCAGAGAACACTAGACTTGATGTAAGTTTGACCAGGAGTCCCTCGGATGTCACTCTCTCCCGGTTGCTAACATTTGCAGCTTCCTCCACCTGCACCGCCTTCAGAATCCGGACGCATGGCAGCATGACTGGAAATGGCCACAATACCACATTTCATTTAACGAGTTCTTTTGGATCGTCATGCTCCCGCGATTCCGCAACTGGGCGCAACTACTGGCGCAATGTGTCGGTTCTTGCAAGATCTCTACTCTCCGACAAGATTTCCAACTTCGTTGTTTTACGCCGAAAGACTTTGGTAATGGCATAGCGGGCGAATGGACATAAAAGGGACACAAGCGAACAATTCTCACGCTTTGGAATGATTTAAACACCACTCAAGCGACACGCGGATCTTCTGGGTTGGCATGTGCTTTGGTGACAAGGTGGTTGTTGCTGGCCGGCAATGCGCTCTGGACATCGTAAACGCGGTAGAGAATTGTTGAAGTCATGTCAAGCATGTACTTCAAAGGTGTAATATAATGTACAACGGGTGAATGAATTGTACACAGATCGAACCCTGCTTTGTGGCTTCTCCCTGCTTCTTGATTGTGAATATCACTTAACAGGTCACGAGGCTGAGTGTCTGCCTTACGACGCAAGGGACCATCTCTCCGCAGTCGCATCAGTTCACGGTATACACTTATTCTCCTAAGCACAACTCGCCCTCTCTTCCTCGGTTGGATACGTTTGTACCCATATCGCAGTTCCTTCTCGTCTTATTCCAACATTGTCTTTTCTGGTCGTTATCTGTCATGCATTTTACAAAGATCGGTTCCAAACCCGTCTCTCTGGACGAACCAACTCACGAAGGCTCCGAAAAACAACCCCGCGTGAAGGCCAGCGACCTTGGCTTCCATGCGCCTGATTATGTCCTCGACGACATCATCCCGATCACAGACCCAAAACTACTCTACTCCAACATCCACGCCCAGCGTGACCGGCGACTTCGCCTTCTGATTCGACGCTATACGAACCAGATCCAGTATGGATGTCGAAATGTCAACTGTACCACCCCGACCTGTTTGAGCTTTAGGAAGAGGAACAGCACGGGACCATTGAGAAAATACACTGAGCTGAGTGCGAGGACGCTGGCGTGCCAGTTGGTGGACGACTACAATCGACATGGCAAGGAACCGTTCTCTGGCCTCTGCCAAAACGAGCCCGTTGTGCCGTGGTACGAGGACCCGGCCCTCATCAAGAAAAGGAGGAATAGTCATGAGAAGGTCGGCCACCTGCGACAACAGGAAAATGGACATGTCCCAAAACCACCAGGTCTTGCACAGCAGCGCACCAAGGATCCGTCCAAGCCGGTGCCGACAATGGAGTGTGCGCCGCGAAGGTTCAGCCAAGACGGTGTGGTTCAGGCAGGCAGACGCCTGCGAGACGTGGATACATCTATTGCAGATGATGTGGTGGATGTCTTGAACTGCACCATTCCCCCAAGCAACACGGAGAAGGAGCAACTCAGTGAACACGAGGCAAACGGTGGACTAGAGCAGCCTTCCGCGGCCCCTGCAAAACAGAAAGATCTCGCTTCTTTTACGCAAACGTTATTCGATCTGGTGCCGCTGCGGCTTCTCAACTGGTTGCCAGCAAAAAGCAACGGTCACACGACCAATGTTTCAAGACCGGCCGGACCGTCTGGCGATCAGAAACAAGCCTCCGTCGAGGACACGCCGCAAGATTTCCCTACGTCTACCGAAAGAACCGATACATTCTCTGAAGAAGAGACGGATGAGCAAGAGTGCGCCTCGACAAGGCCACATCATCAACAGGCGTACAGCCTTCGAACATTTACCTGGGTCACCCTCCCCTGGCTGAGGTGTGTGGGCCCGGACGATGAAGGCTATCAACGGAAATTTGTTCCCTTTATAAAACAAAGCCTTGTCTATTGCCTCAGTGACCCTGAGCGGCTGATGAATACGGTCAAGAATCTTCAAGCCAGTTATTGGAATGGTTTGAAGAAGAGACCGGAGCAGAATGGTACGGGTTCGGAGGACAGACTCGATGTCAATCCGAGAAAGGAATCTATAAGCCCGTGGCCAGTCATTTCTACAAGCACAAGAGACGATGTGCAAGCGCTCTTGTTCAGCTTTGCTTTCATTCAGAAGTTTGAGCATCGTGATCTGGTCATGAACAGCATATTGAATGCGCTACAGCACGCATACTACTTGCCACCATGGCTGCAAAGCAGACGACCAGGAAAGCACAGTCGATCAGGCAGTGCAAGTTGCGATCTGGCACTTTTCAAGAGACGCCAATCTTCGGACGGCAACAGCTCGTACGATCCACGATTCCCGGATTCTGCGGAGCTCGGTATACTGTCGGAGGTCGACAAACCCTTGATTCCACTCGAGGATTCTCAGATAACTGACCTGTGTTTTGTGGCACTATTATCCCTGGCAACCGCCATCTTTCATCCCCCCAATGCATCACTTTTCAAGGGAAAGGACCAATTTGTCCGTTTTGCCCGGGAGAGAAACAGTGGACTTGCGCATTCGTTCTGGCACGTCTTCAAAGGACGAGATCTCATGCTCATACGTGAGATTATCGACGTCATCGACATCACCGAAGATTGGGCTGTTCATCGGTTGCTCACGGCTCTCATGAATGTTGTCAGTCATAGGTTGACCGTGGGCAAGTGGGCGGCCACCCTAAAGAGCTCAGGCACGTCAAAGGCGAATAAGACCACTGTCGTTGAGTCACTCATTGATCGGTTTGACCGAGACTACCTCAGTGGATGGGGCCGATTTGACAACAACTCCAGTTGGATCGGCTTCGCTGCTCTCGAGCTCGGACGGACAGTCATGCTCAAGGATTGGGATCGTTCTCCAGTTGTTCAGCGTGCAGGCCCCGTCGGCGGTGCCCTCGAACTCTTGGCTGGATTGTACCGGGCACGACATCAGCTGAATTTGGATGCAGATTGGTTTCACATGCCATTCATCGCTACCACCTTTGACGATATGTCCATGCCATCAGAATGGTTATCCTTTCGCCCAGACTCTCGACAAATGCACCTGCTATCTTTCTCCTTCCTCTTCCAACCCCACGTTCTGGTGAAGTATTTTAGGGCAATAAATATTGCGATCATGAAGAAGTCGCACGAGGACGCCACCATTGTATACAATGATATCAGGCAATATATGTGGGCACCTGCCATCCCGATCTACGGCGCAAAGGAAGTTCTGGCTCATCTGCGGCCTCACATGGCCAGGTACTTTGTGCTGACAATCCGCCGACATGATGTCTTGAACGATGCGATCGATCAAATATGGCGACGCCAACGCAGGGAGTTGATGCGCCCTTTGCGAGTCCGCCTCGGTAAGGACGAGGGAGAAGATGGGCTCGATCATGGCGGAGTCCAGCAAGAATTCTTTAGAGTGGTTTTTGGAGAGGCACTCAGGCCAGAGTATTCCATGTTCACAGTCGACAGTACGACTAGGATGGCTTGGTTCCAGCCAGGGTCTTTCGAACCACTCTACAGGTTTGAGGCTCTGGGGATCCTGATGTCCATGGCTATCTATAATGGGATCACTCTACCGATCACCATGCCATTGGCATTCTACCGGAAGCTCCTGGGGCTCAAGGTGAAGAAGCTCGACCATATCGCTGATGGCTGGCCTGAATTGACTAAAGGCTTAAAAGCGCTTCTGGAGTGGTCTGATGGGGACGTCGGGGAGGTGATTGCGAGGACCTACGAGTTCAGCTACGAGCTCTGTGGGACCACTGTCACGGTGGACATGCAGAAGGTTGGTCGGCATGACCCTTGGCCACCGACCAAGCCGCGGACGAGCAAGAAAGGCAAAGAAAAGTCCAAGTCCACCTCTTTCGAGTTGCCGCTAGAACCAGCCTTGACCCCGCCTCCTCAGCCATCACCCAACATGGCACCTAACCTGCCGAACGGTTCGATCTTGAGTCGGACCTCGTCCATCGAAATCAAGGGCATATCGACGCCCTTGAGCATCGACAGTGACATGCTGGAGAATAATTCAGGAGAAGAAGAAGCCGCGCTGGTCACCAACGCCAACCGCGAACAATACGTGAAAGACTACATCCTGTGGCTGACGCACAAGTCCATCGAACCACAATACGAAGCCTTTGCCAGGGGGTTCTACACCTGCCTCGACCGCACGGCTCTATCCATCTTCAACCCCGAATCCCTCAAGGCCCTGATCGAGGGGTACCCGGAGATTGACATTGACGAGCTCCAAATGACCGCCACCTACGACGAATATACCCCCGACTCCCCCACCATTGTCGACTTTTGGCACATTGTCCGCAGCATGAGCACCATGCAACATCGACAACTCCTCGAGTTTGTGACCGCGAGTGACCGCGTGCCTGTCAATGGCATGCAGAGCGTCACGTTCATTGTGCAGAAGAACGGCGAAGAGGATGATAGATTGCCCAGCAGCAGTACCTGTTATGGGAGGTTGTTGTTGCCGCAGTACTCGAGTCGCAAGGTCATGGAGGAGAAACTGACAAAGGCGATTGAGAATTGTGTGGGCTTTGGGACGCTGTGATTCTTTCCCTGACATTTTCTGCGTCTCCATCGCATCTGCATCGCACCTGCTGTCTCTGGTCGACGTGCTAGAGGTAGAGGGTAGGGATATAGACAGGATGTAACAAGGGTGTGCTGTATTGGAGAGACCAAATCTGCGCTGAATGAACATGGCGAACTATAGTGAATGAGCAAGAGGAGCATGATGTAGGTAGACGAGAAAGGAACATGAACACAATGAACACAATGAACGTTATAGAGGAAATTGGCAAGCAACCAAGCAACCAAGCAATCCAACCTGGCGATAGATGATTTCGGTTTTGATGATAATGTATGAATCAAATAAGGGAATAAGGGGAAGCAAGCGGCGTGAAACCCCGGGTCTAACAGCCTTGCACTCTCATGAGACGTCCCTTCTGTCGAATTGATTGATTGATTGATTGATTGATCGATTGATCTGCTTGACCGAGCCTTGTCTCTTACGACTGACTGACTATCTGTCTGTCTGTCTGTCTATTCTTCCCCATGTCTAATGAGTTCTACTCTATGTTTATGTTTATGTTTTCCTTTTGTCCGTTCGGATGAAAACCAGTCCGCCAGTCCGCAATCCCCAGGTCACCATGCCTTCCCGATCCCGCCCCAACCCAGCGTGAAAAGCCCAGCTCCAAGTAATAGTAATAATGAATAATCGCTGTTCAGGAGGAATCGGCGAGATCCACCTTTTTTCTTTCTCTTTTTCTCTCTATGGTGTGCGTAGGGGCCACCCGAAAACCAAAAAGCCGCTCCAGGGGGTGTGTTGTGCAATGAATGTAGGAAAAGAAGCGCGCTTTCTTGTCGTTGTTCATCCGTGGATGATACTCGGAGTATGAATTTAAGCCATCACCTGCACGCTGGCAGGCTGGGGCTGGACCTCGTCCGCGGCCATGGTGACATGCCTGTCTGCGTCCGCTGGATCCTGGCCAGACTTCTCCTGCTCCTCGATGATCTCATCGTCGTTGGCATGGGAAAGCTTGCTCGCGTTCTGCAGCCCTTGGTCCTCCCACCCTTGCATCATTTTCTGAAACAGCTCCTGTTGCTTGCCGTGGTCCAGCATGGGGTGTTCTATGCCCCTCCGTTTTCGGCTCTCCATTGTTTCCATCAGGAATGCTTCCCCGTCCGAGTCAGAGTCGAAGGCGTGTTCGAAATGGTACGTGCGGTGTTCGGTGTTCTCCCACCCAGTGCCCAACAATTTGCCTGCGTCTTCCCAGTCGTCTGTGAGATAGTGAAGATATCCGCCATGGGTGACGAGGACAATCTGAACGTCTTCGTCTCCACTCTCTGCCAGTTCGCGGGCCTTTTGGCGGAGGAGACGGCGGCAATCACGCGCACGGGTCTTGATGGCCTGACTTGCGGGAGAGTAGCGGTTGTTTAATGTCTTGACATTCCACGACGGGGTGAGCAGGGAAAGGTCGACAGGCCAGTTCTGCTCGGCGCAGAAACTCCGTAGGACGTCGATGTCGGAGCCCGTGTCACAGGGGTAGTCGGATGTTTCTTGCGCATCGGGGATTGCGAGGATGGTAGGTTTGCACTTGGCGTCCGACTTCAAGGCCGGCGAGAACGAGAGTAGAGCGGTGTGAAGTGTTCTCGTCAGGGGTGAGGCGGTGATCAGGGAAAGTGACTGCTGGCGCTCGGGCGGAAAGTGCAGTTCCCGGAGGGTGGCGCACTGCGACTCTCCTAAAGGCGTGAGACGCGGGTCAGGGAGAGAATGAAATTCGGAGCCTAGGTTGTGGAAGCCTTGGGCGTGGCGGACCAAGTGAATCTGAGGTTGGGCAGGCATTCTGCTGCGTTGTGGATGCGGTGAAAGATGGTGTCTAGGTCAATGGAGGGGTAAGGTATTGTCTCAGTGATGATGTTCAAGGACGGTCAGTACAGGATTGCTTTTGAGCCGGAGGCACGGCGAGAAGAAAGAGACGCGGAGAACAGAAGAAAAGAAAAGAACAATAGGGAAACGAGATACAAAGTCTAGATGACGGTATTGTCAAAGGGCGAAAAGGGCTCCGTGAGGCGGAGAGAAGCTGTGACTCGAGTGCTTGCGTTTGTTGTACCAACATTTTTCCCACGGCGCCCACCCCTCGAATGGGGACCGTCACCGCCATTGCAACTTACACTGGCAACGCCGTCAGATGGCCCGCGGAAGATGAAATGATTCAAAAGTGGAGTCCTGTAAGAGCCACCCAAGGAGGCAATTACTGGGGACGACAAGAAACAAGGGAAAACTTCATCGAATTGGGAGGCAGGAAGCGCCGTCGTGAGCAGACGAAGCGCAGAAATCGTCCAAGTAATGAAAAGACCCTGATTCGATATAGAGAAGAAAAAAAATGACTCTTGGTGGGACATCGGAAAGACTTCGCCGGACAGCGGCGAGCGGACAGCAAGCCGGCTTTCCATATCAAGCAGAGCCGGATGATCAAGAAACTGGCTTTGTCTGACAGTCGTTGTTGGTAGATCCGCATTGATCCCACTGATCCCATTGATCCCAGCACGCCCAGCACGCCCAGCAAAGCCATTTGTGGTCAGACTGCTTTCTATTAATTGTTGGACCACATATGTGATGTCCATTTGCTTCACAGACAAAACGACACAGACCAATGCCACCATCAGTTCAATTCGAAATTCCACGCTTGCTTGAAACACGGGTGGATCGTTTAAAGGGCATCCCAGGGCTGTCTACGCCAAAGTCCTCGATGTCTACAGGGTACTCTATAGTAGATCTATCTGCTCATACACGCATCCTCTGGCATGAGGCGCGACTCCTCCAGGTGCTCTTCACTCGTCCTGAGTCTCGATGGTGCTCCCCCTGAACCATCCCCAAACAGAATTTCTGTTCGCTCGTTTCTGCATCTCTTCTTCCGACGCGGTTTGCTCTTGTACTAACCGTAGCGGCCTCAACTGGTTCTGTTTCATCACGGCTCCCGGAATACTTCCTTGAGCCTGTCGGTCCCCGCTCATTTGGGCTGTCATCGAACCTCCATCGGTTGTCGATCTTTGCTCCTCGCTATGTGAATCGCTGGTCACGCTGTTGGCAGAACTACCCCCGCGAGTGCCAGAGCCAGACGGTGTACGTGTGGTGGTGGAGTTAGGAGGACCCCCAAAATATGATGCGCGCCCTTGAGACAGTTGTGGGCTAAGTGGCCGAATGCCCGGGCTCATGGGTCCTCCAGAGACCGTTCTCATGGGAGATCCACGGTTCATTTGCTGAACTACTGCGGCAGCTGCCATGTCAGCTTGCGCCTGATCAGATCTGGCCCTGCGATGTCCCCGGTTGAGCGGTATACTGGGGGCCGTCTCTGGGTTCTCATTTGCAGTGGGTCCTGTTGCTGCTGGTTGTGCGTAAGACATTGGCCGTGCTTTGGCTCCTGGCCGCGAAACAACAGATCTGGCACGCTGCAGCAAGCCGGTAGCCACCCCAGCTACAGTTGCAGGGGCGGCTGCCTGCTGATCTGGTATTGCGGGCAATGCTTTCTCTGTGTACGACTTTGTGGGTGGTGGAGGCGCATCTTCTTTGTCTTGGATGATATGCTCGAACCCTTCGTGCGACAGTAACCGCCCGATGATCTTGTCGATGTATAATGTCAGAGCCTTGTTTTGATCTCTTAGTGATTTGCTTTCTGCTTCTAGTTTCTTGTAAATCTCATTCTGCCCTTCGGAGCTCTCCTCTTCCTCGGTAGATTCGAGCTCCTCCGCCAGCGTGCTCATGGTACTCGGCTCTTCGTCGGTGTGGTCATGGTGCATAAAGTTGCCTTTGAGCGTCTTCTCGCTCAATAGCATCTGGAAACTTTCATTTTCCTCTTTAAGCTTGGCATTTTGCATCTTCATTTCTGCGATCGCTTGGTCCAACTCCAAGAGACGTCCATCCCCCACGTGTTCTTGTTGTGTCAGTTTCAGATGTGCTTCAGCCAGTTCTAGGCGAAGAGCGTTGATCGTCTCATCTTTCTGTTGCAGGTTGTGAGCGAGGTTCGAGGCAAGATGTTCTGGTCGAAGGCTTTCTCCATCGACTTTCGCGTCCGCCGCTTGAAAGTCAGCCATGCTTGCGCTTCGGCTTGCATTCAATCTTTCAGTACCCTGCAAGCGCAGGGCTTCGTTGAGTCTGTTAATGGTGGCTTGTTGCTCGGCCTCCTTATTCATCTGTCGTTCTCGTTCTTGAAGGAAGAGCTGCTGATGTTCCTCTTGTTCAATCTCCAGCTCTCGACGTTGTCTGTTTAGGTCTCTGATCTCTGCTTTCAAACGGTCCACCTCGGTTTGCTTTTGTAGATCGCGTTCCTCGGATGCCATCTGCGCTTGGGAGGCCTCGTCCAACCGTTGTTGCATGACTTCCAATTGCTTTTTGTATCGCTCTGACGCTTGCTCGGCGCGTTGGACTTGCTCTTGCAGATCCTTTATCAATTGTGCATTGGCCGACTTTGCCTCTTCGTCCTCTTGGTCGTGATCGACAGGGCCAGCAAAAGAAGTGCTCATGCGGTTGGGCGTTTTCCTCAACGGTCGGGTCTGCCGGAGAGACGGCGTCCGAGCAAGGCCTGTTCCGGTACTTGCTGGTACAGAAGTTGCAACACCAGGCCTGCTGGGACTATTTTCGTTGGGGATGCGACGAGATGGAGGAGTGTTGGAGGTATTGGAAAGCGGTATGCGAGGGTTGGGAGTAGCCATATTGATTACTGCTGCGTAAAGTTATGGCCGAGCAGTCGAGACGCGTTGAGGCGTTGCAGCAATGCGGCAAAGGCGGGCCAGTGAATGAATGGTTTGGAGGCAGTTTTCGACTGCAACATAAATAGTCGAGGGTGTGTAGATGGTATTGGCTGGTGAGGGAGGTGGACACAGGTATTGGTCAGGAAGCGAGCCTGCGCCTCAGTGATGAGTGACGACGGTGTTCAGCTGGATAGATATGATGGGTGATGTTTTGGAAAGCAATGCAGGATGATGTTGAGGATGAACAGGTGATGCACTCAGCCATCTGCTAACTCGAATGCATCATGGACGCGGCGTTGTTCAAGAGTCAAGTACTGGTATCTAGGTATCCAAACATGCACGCACATGCCGTAAATAATCGAAATCTCCGGGAATGGTAGCAGCAGGAGCAACAGCGGAGCCTCGCGTTGCTGGAGGCAGCCCAAAAGCGGCCCTTGCTTGCATTGCCGCATGAGGCGCTGGTGCATGATGCCCGTGAGAGCCCGAGATGACAGTTCCGGGGCCCGCTGCGTTAAAACCCAGCAGTGCCAGGGCCGCCAGGGGTCATGATCGCCCCTAGCCGTACCCTTGTGCCCTTTTCTCAGAAAACCCTCCTCACGTGCTCACCCGCTGCCAAGAACGAATTCCCACAGCAGGTGCATTTTCGGCATCCTTGCTGGACCATAATTCTTTTCCCACCACCAACACTGCACAGTCGCCGGAGCGCAACCCTCAGTCAATTCTACTATCGGTCCTAGTAGAGCGCAACGATGGCACCCAAGAAGGCGAAGAAGACCACCGACAGCATCAACTCGCGCCTGGCGCTTGTGATGAAGTCCGGCAAAGGTGAGTTTGCGATCCAAGGTCCAAAACGTTGGCGCTTGTCTAACACATGAATGTAGTCACTCTGGGCTACAAGTCAACTCTCAAATGCCTTCGATCTGGCAAGGCTAAGCTGGTCATCATCGCTGGAAACACTCCTCCTCTCCGCAAGAGCGAACTCGAGTACTATTCTATGCTCTCAAAGACCAATGTCCACCACTTTGCTGGAAACAACGTGAGTGCAGGTTCACATGAAAGACCCTGAGAAGAAGCTCCCACGGGCTTTGGAGGGAATATTGGCTAATATCGCTTCTCCCAATTGTAGATTGAATTGGGTACTGCTTGCGGAAAACTGTACCGCTGCTCTACCATGGCTGTTCTTGATGCCGGTGACTCTGACATCCTGGGTGCCGCCTCATAAACACCAAATTCATGCACTATTGCATTTTGGGGAAAAAATGCACGTGTTCAATGTTATGATACCCTGGCCGTCCAAGGCGCAGAAGGCAAGAAAATGAGATGAAGCCGTCCCTGAGAATGTGCCCTCATACATGGGCTTGGTGTGGCCGAAATACCAAAATGAGAGAGAGAGGCGCTTCCCGGACCATGAATTTAGAAAGAGCAGTCTAGAGAATGAAATGCTGTTCCTATTTCCCATGCCCATCAGTGCAGCCAACTGAAACTATAAATATCACGTCTGACACCGTAGATGCCCATGATGCCCAAATCTAGAGCGTGAATCGGTGTGTCAGACTCGACCCCCGGACTTAGAGTCTTCCGGATCGGGAATTAGGGCTAGAGTGTGCCTTTCTTGGTTTCTGGTGGCGGATTGGTCTTGGCATTCGCTTTGAAATCAACTTCAGTGGGCAAACCTACAAAGTTCATTGTTGGCTCTTCAACACCTTTCCCCTCGACCATATTGTTCGCAAGAAGTGCTAGTCTCTCTGAACAACCGTCAAGATGGCCAGAAGACCTGCCAGATGCTACAGATACTGCAAGAACAAGGTGAGTAGACAATTTTTGCGACAGCGTGCGGCCGATGTGCTAATTCCTTGCAGCCCTATCCCAAGTCTCGATTCAACCGTGGTGTACCTGACCCCAAGATCCGTATCTTCGATTTGGGACGAAAGCGTGCCAATGTCGACGAATTTCCCCTCTGCGTGCACATGGTCTCCAATGAGTACGAACAATTGAGCTCTGAAGCGCTCGAGGCGGCCCGTATCTGCGCCAACAAGTACGTCTACAATAACGCCAGAAGAAAATGTGCAGGTTGGCTAATAGAGATTTCAGGTATCTCGTCAAGATTGCAGGCAAAGAAGGTTTCCATCTCCGAGTCCGCGCTCACCCCTATCACGTCGTCCGTATCAACAAGATGTTGTCCTGCGCTGGTGCCGATAGACTTCAGACTGGAATGAGAGGCGCTTGGGGCAAGCCCAACGGCACAGTCGCCCGTGTCAACATTGGCCAAATTCTCCTGTCTGTCCGAACCCGAGACGCCCACCGTGCCACCGCTATCGAGGCTCTACGACGCTCCATGTACAAGTTCCCCGGTCGCCAAAAGATCATCGTTAGCAAGAATTGGGGCTTCACACCTTTGAGACGCGAGGAGTATGTCAAGTTGAAGCAAGAGGGCCGTGTTCTGATCGATGGCGCATATGTCCAATTTTTGAGAAACAAGGGCAATATCGAACACAACATGAGACGATTCCCCGGTGCATACGAGGGTGGCAGCGAGATCGCCGCTGAGGCATAGATTTCGTCTTTTGACTCAAAAGGTGAAGCGAGATGCTTATGCAGAGGTCACAAGTGGACTACCGGAATAGTTTTTTAGTTCCACGGGACGAAGGAATCAACTGGGCAACATATCGCGTGTCTGAGGACGATTCTTTTGTCCGGAATGAAGGTGCGCCCTTCGCCCGGCATATGGCTTCCGCCAGACTGCGTGGAGCACCTTTGAGATACTTCTGATCATGATAGACGCGAAATGGAGGACCGTGACACAATAATGAGACCACCCCGTTTCTTCACAGATGCCTCCACATATACCCAATGACTGTTGAAAGTGACGGATGTACCTGTAAAGCGAGGTGACAGGATGACCTGCCCCTAGTACCACTGAGGTAATATTAAGAGTACCCCTGGCCCTCCCCTACCAAGTAGGTACAGAAAAGTGACGACAAGCAACGAGTGGCGATGCAAGAACCTGATGTTCATCCCGGAATAAACTGGTTTGTTCCCCGACACGGCGACCGTGACCGACTTTGCATGCCCCCCAACTGACCAGGCAGTAAGCCACAATCCGACTGTCAGATTGCGTGCCTGAAGGCGGAGGATTTAGGAAGGACGAAAGGGGAATTTTTAAATCGGTCGCCCCCCCTTGCCTAATCATGAGCAGATATTGACTCACGTCAAGGCAACATCGCCCTTTGTTGTACCATGCGGGAGATATTCTATGTAGGCGGAAGAGGCAGGATTTCCAACAAGGTCGCGTGGTTTTTGGCAATCCATTAGTCAGAAAGCCGCCTGGGTCCGTAACGAACTTGGCCTTTCGTGGACAGCAGGTTAGAGTGGCATGTTTAGGCGGGCAGATAGGAGATCTCTGGGTAAAGGGCGTATATCTCTTCCACCAAACGCGGCTGAAGGGATGGGGAGACTAGGCCGGGAGCGGAACGTTGGACATGGAGCATGCCCCCCAAATGCCCCCAAAGCCCCCTGCGAGGCCCTATGATAACGATGATGGCGTCCAAGGAAATCTTGCATCTCGTCATGCACAGGCCTGCAGCCGCAGCTCTGGTCATGCCGTCAAACTGCGGCTGGCTTCTCCGACAGCTGCGGAACAGCCAGCCTGCAGCACGAGGGGTGTCACTCCTAGCTGGGCCATCCTTTTTCAGCGCTGGCTGCTCTATCTGTCGATTACTCGACTACTCGACTTGACGTGTCACTCACCATCCAACACCTGCAAGGTTGTAGGGAACTTGTACAACCTGCTTGCCGCTTCTCTGCGCTGCACACCCTTTTACCCCTTTACACATTTCACTCGGTACTTGGTCTAACACTGTCCATACTGATAATCGTCATTCTACATTCCTCATTCCATTCCCAACATATCGTCCCTCGTGACATTGGTTTCCCGGAAAGGAGCATACAAGTCATTCGCGCATCCCTGGATCGGAGCCGGACCTCCACCTTTTGATTCCGACCACTGCAGCTCATGAACACGCCCTAGCAGAGACAAAGAACAATTGACGACAGAGATAATACAACCCTAATCCTTTGTCCATCAATTCAGTCCTCCCTTGCCATTACCGTCCTCATTTCGATCCTACCATTGCGGCCATTCTCGTGCTCGCTGTAGCACGGCCCACCCGTACGTCCGCGGGTTGGGAAACATGGCCTTCCAACAATCCGCGGCACCGCGGCCAATTGTCATCAATGCAAATCAATCTCAAGACTCTTCATCTCAGACCCAGTTACGACAATCAGCAGTAGAAGACTCCCAAGAATGGGTCCTGTTCTCTCCTAGCACCGCAGAGTCAACCATCACCCGCACTCAAACCAGTCAGACTGCAGGGGTTTCAAGAGCAAGCGATGTATCACTTAACACTGCTGGGCGGTCGGGTAGACTTGAATCATCCGTTTTCGATGAGGAGGTCACAGAAGATGGTGAACTCGACAGCCTCGACGATGGACTGCATGCGTTCAGAGAACCTCCCTTGTATCCCACCATCTCCCACCAGACTCAGGGCGCCGTGTTGCCGACCCATGACGGCCTGGGAACCTTCCCCGCTTCAAGCCCTCCCGTCCTTGAACAATTATGGCAGCATGAGGCATACAACCCAAAACGAAAACACGACGGACATCACCGACGACCTTCCAGCGTGCAGAGGAGGCTCGATACCATAGATGAGATCGAAGCGCAGGCGAGCGAAGAGAAGAGAATGCGGATAGAGAAGTGGCGTATGGAACAGAGTCAAGCATTAATGGACGAAGTGGAACGGGAAACTCGCCGACGACTGAGGAGGGGATCTCGCCAGTCCTCTTACCAGGAGACACTGGCATCTATCAATGAGGATGTGCTGGGGACGACACCGAAGCAGAGCGACTATCTATCCAGGCCAGCCGCAGAGCCAGAGGAGGCAGAGCCGTTCTGGCGCCGCATCACCAAAAAGTTCATCCGTGATGTTATTGGCATTGATGAACCGCTTCTGTCAGTGATATTTGGAGAGAGCCTTCCAGATGAGGCCTACGACAGCAGGCCGTCCTCCAGCCACGTTCTGCCTTCTATACCTGAGCTGGCAACGGAAGGCCGTCCTGTGGAAGACTCAACGTGGAGGGACAAACTTCTTCAACGCATTGCCCGCGAGCTGGGTGTCCTTGTGCACCAACTCTCACCACACCCGGGAGCTTTCACGACTTACTCCCGCAGTCCTGACTATGCCGGCATGCCGGTCTCCGTGTCTCGACCCAGGCCCCAGGTTTCGCTGTCACCCAGCGAGGAAAGCCCAGTTAAAGATACCATCTCGTCTGGTATGACGCCTAATTTTCCACCAACCATCCGGGATCCAGCCCATGCTGAGAACTGGGGTTTTGAAGAAGACCCCGTCTCTACCGCCTCGCCACTCGATTCGTCTATGAGCCTTCGACGGGAGAGAGAATACTGGGAGAGAGAGCTTGATCTGAAAATGGTGTTCCGCTACCTCAGGGACCGGTTCGCGAGCAGGTCATCTGCTCAATCGCCCCAAGCCGCAGGACAACCTCTTGAAGATGCCGCCACTCGGACGGCGATCATCCGGCAGCACCATCCTCTTGTCGCTCGGGCTCAACGATCTCCTGCTCGCTTGCGACGTGAGTCTAGGGCAAGCATCAGACGACCTGCAAGCAGCTGCGCCAGCGAAAGCGTGCGGAGCAGCAGGAAAGCCTCTGTGGTGAGAAGCGGCTCGAGTCGCAACTACTGGGATATTGGCGGAAGCGTCGGAAGCGGAAGCATCTTAGCCAGTGGTGGGGCTTGGGGTGAAGTGTAGGATATCAGGACATAGTTGGCAAGACTTGTTTGATGTGTCTGATGGCATTATGCATTGGCGATGGAATCGCACTGTAAGAGTATGGATCACGACTTATATGAGGTTGGCTAAGGAACTCAACTTTTCTTATTGTCTTGGTAAAGACAAGCATCCGGGAGCATGAAACTTCTTTAGAGAGTCTGAGACTCGTATGAACAATAAACAGATTCTACTTTGATCGGGCGAGTCGGTCTGGTGCTGTTGTTGTCTTTCTTGTTTACCTAGAGTGCCTAGTTCCACTGCCGCACGGCTCGACGGATGGCCAAGTCACATGATGAAGACGGAAGAATATCGGATTAATATTCCGCCGCCCAGGCGGCGAGCGGTTGACCCGTTTTGACGTGGATGCCTCCCACCCCACTGCGCCATTGTTTACAATCTTGAACTTGATAGTGAACCCATTGCCCGTTCACGAAGCAACCTGTCCACTTTTCCTTCAAACTCTTTTCATGCCATTCCCGCCAGCTTGGCCCTGACGCGACATTCTCCTAGAATTGAATTCCTGTTACTTTCGGCGCAAGTGGCATTGGCCTGGGTCTTCCGCTGACCAGTGGCCGCGGTCGTCATAACCATGGCCGAGGAAGACGAGCTATACTTCCTTCAACCGGGTTTCGACCTGAACAGCCTCACCATCCCCCGCATCCGTTCAATCCTCGTCGCGCAAAATGTGCATTATCCGTCCTCGGCGAAGAAGAGTCAACTGCTAGAAATCTTGGAGCAAGAGGTCCTACCGCAGAGGGAAAAGCTACTCCGTGCGCAAGCTAGAGTCCGGCGCACAAGCAAAGGCATAACGGACGTTCCCAGCAGTCAAGAAGGGACAATTGACGGTGACGATGATGATGACAGGCAATTGATGCCGCCTCCCCCGGCTCCGAAAACACCGCGAAGCAGGAAAAGCAAGTCAGACCTAACTGCCGCATCGGCTCCGTCGACTTCGAAGCGGACCAAGACTCCCAGCAGGAAGAGCGCGACCAGAACACCCCGCGCATCCGACACTGAACCAGAGGTGGAGAAGTCGACCGTCCGCAGACCTCGAAAAAGCGCGCCGATTGAGGCTCCCCCAGAACCTTCCGTTAAGATCGAAGAACCAGACCGCCACTCAAAGAGAAAATCGGCCGAGGCAGCAGAAGCAAGTCCCTTCTCCGACGACAATCCATTCCAGTCAGGATCCAGTCCGCCGTCGGTTTCGCATAATCGCAAGTCCTCGACGTCTCGAACGCGAAAATCGTTGACATCAACGAGTACCACAAAACGTCGGCAGACGACTTCACCACCTATCAAATCAGAAGAGTTCTCACCGTCGCGCTCCAAGGTGTTGTTTCCGGTCTCTCGAATCTCTTCTGCTGATGCAGAAGATGGCGTGGCTGTTACAGAAGAGTTCACACCCGATGCTGCCCGTGAACTGGTGGAAGAAGAGAGGAACGGACAATTAGTCCCCAACCGCGCCTCAACACTTGTAAGAAGGAAAAAGAAGAAGGAAACGAACGCGGTTGTGAAAAATGCACCCTTGGCTATCATCACGACTGTACTTGCTGCTCTGGGAGCGTGGTACAGGCAGGAGAAGATCAATATCGGTTACTGTGGGGTGGGGGAACCGAACTGGTCATTAGGCTCCAACCCGCATATCCCTGCTTGGGTGCATGAGAATCTCCAACCAAAATGCGAGCCCTGCCCCCAGCATGCAGTCTGCTACCCGAACATGGAAGTAGAATGTGAGAGCGACTTTGTGGTCAAGCCTCATCCATTGGCATTGAACGGCTTGGTCCCGCTGCCACCAACGTGTGAGCCAGACAGCGAGAAACAGAGGAGAATTAAGGCCGTGGCAGACCGAGCCATTGAGGAACTTCGTGAGAGGCGAGCCGCCTATGAGTGTGGAGGTGATGTCCCGAGCTCGTCAAATCCTGTTGCAAGAGAGACCGAGGCTGTCAAGACAGTCGCAAAATCCACGGCAGCAAAATTGGAGATTGCGGAAGAGGAACTGAAGCAAACAGTCTCCAAGCTGCGAAGGAAGGGAATGACAGAGCAGGAGTTCGAAGAGCTATGGCGCGGTGCGCTTGGGGATATCAAGGCACGAGACGAAGTCGAGGTCACTGAGGATCGGTAGGGTTTAGCCCCATGTCCTTGGGTCCTTACTCTCGCTCTTTGTTTGCGAATCGCTGACTGACTGAAGCGCGCGTGCTCCAACACTTGCAGATCCGGTAGAAGCTTCCTCTCGTCTTCCTCCCTCGCCAGACTTCCCTTCGCGTGCGCCGTCCGACGATCCGTTCTACGAGCGTTTACAGAAAATCGAATCCCTATTGCAATTCTGATTCTAATTGCATCGACCCTGGTCTACGGGCGCAACAAGATATTGTCTTATCAACAAGCCACGGCGCAAATCCCCGGTCTAGTGGCAACTACCTTGGACAGATTAGCCACGCAAGCGGCTCTAAATCAGGACGGGCGCGCCGCCGAACCATTCATCAGCGTCGGCCAATTGAGAGATGATGTGCTGAGGAATGTGTTCAGTGCGTCGGAGAGAGAGCGTGTGTGGCAAAACGTGAGAAAGATTGTGGAAGGGAATTCTAATGTGAGGGCCGCGACAAGGGAAGGAGGCAAGACCGGCGAATGGAGCCGTGTTTGGGAGTGGATTGGACCTCTGGATCTGGCGCCAGGCTTGGAGGGACGCAAGTCGGGTGGGATGATTACGGATGGAAGGACTGCAGAAGGCAGCAATCGTGGTAATAGCTTGGTGAAGGCGGAGGACGACTCGAATGTGGAAGTCAGGCGATGGGACGAGGGAAGACCGATCTATTGATTGTTTTTCAAGCAAAGTTCAGGAGGATTTTGTTGCCCCTTCCAGTGACGTGGGTTTGGTGGCTGTGTTGTTTTACTGCTTGCTTGTGATGATTTTTCCAGGAGGTCGAGCACAGGGTCAAAGGGTTTTTGGACTTGGTCGGCCTTGAACACGATGTTTTTGAGGAGATAGCGCACACGTGCTTGTGTACTATTAATGACTGGAGCGACGAGTATTTTCATTGCGAGGATGTCTGCAACACTTCTCTGTACAAGCCAATATACAGCCAGCTAGTCAGTGCCTGCGTCGGTACAACATACTCAACACGGTACCATTTATTCATCAATCCAAGGACGTTGAAGGCAACGGATCAAGGAGGAACCCAGAGGGACCCACAGAATAACCATCACAATAACCCGTCAAGGAAGTATGGCGTATAAGGTACTCGCTACCTACCTAGGTACCCAGTAAATTGTGAATCTTGGTTGTATTATGCACATAGCGAGCTAGGTAGATAGTATATACCCCGTATGTAATTTCACTTCCCATCCACCATCTGTTCTCCACCTCAGCCTCGTCTATGCCCACGGTCTCTAGCACTGAGTCTGACCCTCCCACCATCCCATCCACGAGGCTTTATTCCCCGAAGCCATCCATGAACCTCTCTCTCTTGTGGTTTGAGGGTTTCTCCGCCGGATCGGCCCCTTTCTTCCCTTTCTGATTTGACATCTCGAAACTCGAACATTACATCAACCCCCCTGGCCTCCTAGACCACAAGGCCAGAAGAAGTAATCAGGTGACAAACCCCCATCGTTTGGCCCCCAGGCACACACCCAGGTAGGTGCCAGGTGACCACCTGCAGCGTCGATCATCGTCCGTCCGTTCAAGAAAATCAGGTTTTTTGACCGTTTCTTGAAACAAAAGGCGTTTTATTCGCACCAGAAGTTCCTGGGCATGGATTTTGTCCGGGGCAAGGAAAGTATCTAGCCTTGCCTGTCCCCTGTCCCTTTCTTCATTACCTACATTTACTAGGTAGGTACTTGTGGTGGCTTTAGGCGTTGGGTCTTCCCCGGCCGTTGTCTGCGCCCCACAGGCATGATTTTCATTACTTCCTGTTACTGTAGACTTGAAGCCAGGGCTGAAAATGCAAATACGGTACGACCACCCAACGCCCTGTTTAACTTATCGGCTTGAATCTGATTCGATTTCATCTTACGAGGAGGCAAGGACAAGGGCCCTTTGCTTCTTGCCAGAAAGGCGTCATACCAAAGGACGAGGTATGAGGAGTCATGAGGTTCGCCTCTCATATGCTCTCTCATGGGTTTGAGGGTTTGTCTCCCTCTCCCCCAGTATGTATTCCCATTCATTTCTTTGGATTGTTTAGATTTCCAAAACATTCCCGCCGTCTTTTCTGCTCGCGATTGAACGAATACCTCTTTCTTTTCCCCTTTCCACTGCGCGTTTCAGCCAAGTTGTGCGCATTTTTAAACCCCGCCGACCTGGATTTTCTCACTTCTCGTCCTTTTGTATACTCTCTCCCCTCAGTCTCATTGGTCACTACACAAGCAAAGCACCTCTAGCTCGATTACAAGGTGGGAAGTACTTGCTTGACCGGCAAAGAGCAACTGTGCGAAGAAAACCTACGATTCGATGACGCTGTGAGAATCGCCGCAAGGGAACGACTTTGGCTTCTCTGCGGAGGCATCCACCCTGATCATCGCCTACAGCTCCACGCCTTCGGATCATAAGTCGCTGAGACGGTCTTACCTTCGTCCACCTTAGTAAACTTGACAAAACCCCGATAAATGCAACGCTTCGAAATGGCCACTGATCCCACCGACCCTCCCGCCCTGCGCTTCCTCGACACTCTTCTCCCCTGCACCTTTCTTCTCTCCACCTTCGGCTCGCTCATCACCTTCACCACTGCCGTAGGCATTTACGGGGGCCCACGGCGGTACTTTGACGAAATCCAGGTCTTCATCGCTCTCGCGTGGTTGTTTTTCATGTTATCTCTCGCCGTGGCGACGGTGACCAGCATGGCGTTGACCTTCCACAGACGGCATGTGCGAGATGCCTTTGACCGAGGGTACAAGTCCTGGCGGGGCGGGGCGGGGAGTCGTACGGCCGGTGAGAGATCTGTCGTCTTTGGTATCGTGGTTCTGGGGATGGGAGGGATGTGGTTGATGCTGTTGGAGTGTCTGGCCTTTGTGTTTTTGAGTCTGTCGATCGCGGCGTATTCCCTGGCCGTGGGGTGGATCGGGTTTGTCGTGTCGGCGGGCATGATGATTCTGACCGTGGTGTTCTGGGTTCTGATGGGCCAGAGGGATTGAACTACGAGTCGAGCGACAGGAGAAGGAATCGTTCGTTCACTGGAAACTTGTCTCTCGTCCTGGGAAGCCCCATGCGACTTGCTCATAATCTCACCACGAGCAATGACCGGGAATAGTCAGTCCTACCTTTAATAGTTTGCTCTTGCTTTCGTTCTCTTGACCAGGAATGCCAACTGTCAAACGACCAGTTTCCTGTCCTAGAGTTTTCCCAGAGTGTTGTACATCCTGTGCAGTCAGTAGATAACTCAAAATAGGACTCAGATATTGTAAAATTGACGAGGACATTCGGTCGCCCTGTATGGCGGTAATTAAATGTCCTATCCAGTATCTCGTACAGAGAAGAGATCCACAAGCCACAGCAGTCATTGTTTACTTCTCGACTGATGCCCCGCAAACTCCTTTATACCGGGCTTGGCATGTATGCAGCAAAATTCAAGTTTGTCATGTTTGCTCCCGCGTCAACTTAATTTCTCCCCAGCATTGAAGACAGTGGACGATCACCCTCTCCGTCAACCACGTTCCAACTTCTTGCCCACGACAAAGTCATGGATATAGATCGAGACCCTCCCTCCAAGCGACGCCGGACGTCAAGCCAAGACTCGTTCTCGTCCCGAAACTCCACGGCTGAACCAAGGTCGTCGCATCTTCCCCCCCTGCGCCATTCAGATTCCACCCGTTCCGATCGAGACGCGAGAAGGGGGAGGGCATATTCGAGTTCGAGAAGCAGAAACGCCAGTCGCGATGACACACCCAACGTTCGTCGGTCAAGGAGTCGTAATAGTCGATCGCGTTCCGGAGGAGGAAGAAGAAGTCTGAGCAGGTCGCGGACCCCAAGTTCGGTGTACGAGTCCGGGCGAGAGCACCAACCAGGTTCAAGATCGCGCTCACCACGGAGGTCAAGGTCAAGATCCAGATCCAGATCGTACGAATCGTCACTCGATGGTCGACGTTCCCGTTCTCCGTCGACCTCACCCATTCCAAGGCCCGCAGAAACCCCCAAGTCTCTCAACTTCACCCCTCTAGTGACTCTCCCACGCGCGCACGCTCGAGGAATCACCTCGATCAAATTCTCCCCCGACATGACTCTCCTGGCGACCGCGTCGGCTGACAATGCGATAAACATCTACTCTGTCCCCTCAAACCCAACGCCCGACACACCTCTGAAACACATACGCACGCTGCGCGCGCACTTGGCAGGCGTAAACGCAATAGCCTGGTCTCCGGTCGGGCCTCCCTATACCCTTGCCTCAGCCGGCGACGACAAATCCATCCTCCTCTGGTCTCCCCTGTCGTCAGATTTCCCAATCGCGCCCTCACCCTTCATGGGGCACAGCAACTACGTCTATTCCCTCGCCTTCTCCCCCAAGGGAAACATGCTTGTTTCCGGCTCCTTCGACGAAGCGGTGTTCCTGTGGGACGTTCGCTCTGGTCGCGTCATGCGCAGCCTACCCGCACACTCTGACCCCGTCAGCGGCGTGGATTTTCTAAGAGATGGCACCATGGTCTGTTCGTGCGCCGGGGACGGATTGATCCGCATATGGGATGCCGGCACAGGGCAGTGTCTCAAGACGCTGGTCGACGAGGACCGCAAGGCCGTCACGAGCGTCCGGTTCTCCCCCAACGGGAAGTTCGTGCTTGCGTGGACATTGGACAACTGCGTCAGACTATGGAACTACACCGAGGGCAGATGCGTCAAGACGTATCAAGGCCACGTGAATCAAGAATACAGCCTGAGTGGGACTGTGGGGAGTTATGTATACAAAAATGGAAATGCACAGAGAAGGCGGGAGGCCTTCGTGGCGAGCGGCAGTGAGGACGGCGACGTGCTGGCGTGGGACGTCACGAGCAAAGAAGTCCTCTGGCGCGGCAAGGGCCACAGGGATGTGGTGCTGGCCATGGACTTTGGGCGGACGAAAGATGGTAAAGGTCTGCTGGTGAGTGGCGGCAAGGACCGCGACTTGAGGATCTGGATGCTTGAGAGCGACGAGGCGGATTCCGAGTTTTTCACCACCGACAAGCATCAAGGCTTGGAGAGAGGTCGCGACGATAATGACATGGATATGGACATGCAGATGACGATGGACATGGACGATCACGATATGCACAGAGATGCTGGTGGTGGCGGACCAGCAGCACCAGCAGCAGGAGGTGCAGGAAGAGTAGTCGATGGCAACCACCACACGGACATGGACATTGACGGCAAATGAAAGTCCAGTCTAACTACCAGGTACCCAAGGTATCACGATCACGATAGCCCACCAGCCCGCGTAGTAGTTAGGAAGGGGGGGGCCCAACCACTCCGAAAATACACACATGTGATCTGACTTCCTACCGCAAGATAGCTAAAAGCTTTCCCTTTCCTTTCCTTCCCTCTCTTCTCCTTTCGAAACGAATCCCCAACTTGCAGTTTCGTTTCAACAAGTCCACCTGCACACGGAGAAATACCTACCTAGGCGAATTTTCCTCAGATCCTCCTGCCCCCCATGCCCATGAAACCCGGAGTCACATACTACATAGTAGGTAATCAACCACCCGCCCCTTTTCAGGTGTGTCTTTTGCCGCCTAGCTAGCCAAAAAGGAGAAGAGAGGGAAAAAAAATTGAGGAGAGAAAAGAAAGTAGGAATGGGACGTGTACATAGTCCATAGTACATAGGTAGGTATCAGGGACGCATTCCTCCCCTTGCTTGCCCCTTGCTTACTGCTCCTCCTTCATCCACATAACTATACGTAAGTAAGTCTTCATGGCTACACATGCTCGAAGCGACGACTATCATATCATCGCGGCACGCGATAATTGCCCCGTGCTTGCTCAGCCTTGAATCCCTCGCTCTGGCTGGGCAGGGGCGCTCGCCTGCGCGCGGCATTAACAGAGTTGAGGGCGCCGTTTGTTGGCGCACTGCCTGCACCGTTGCCGGCGGAGAGGACTGGGATACCTCCGCCTCCGATGCCGATACCAGGAATGCCCGTACCGGGAGGCGCAGAGCCGAGGAGAGGCGGTGCACCGGCGGGCGGAGGGGGTGGAAAGCCCGGCGGCAGGTTGAGTTTCGTAAAGTCGATCGGTGGTGGTTGCTGAGCTGGTTGCTGATGCTGCTGCTGTTGGGTCAAAGCAAGTAAACGCTGGAGGGATTCGGTGTCCATGCCTGGGATGGGAGGGAATGGTGGTGGGATTGGAGGGACCGCCGCCGTGTGACCAGCCTGGCCTGGTGGACCACCTCGCGAGGATGGCCGGCCGTTGTTCTGCAGCCCTGACAAGAGCGACAGTGGTGGCGGGGGAACGCTGCCAATGCCTGGAATGGGTTGCGTACTTCCGTTCATCCCTATCCCAGGCAGCCCAGGTAGGCCGGGCAGACCGGGCAGACCAGGAATTGACAATGCTCCGGCGGCAGCCGCTGCTTGTCCCTGGTTCGCCTGATCTTCCAGCCCTTCTGCCTCGTCTTGCTCTTCTTGCTCTTCCAGCTCCTTGGCCTGTTTTCTCCCAAACTTTCTATCCCAAGTGCCCTGTGCTTCTGCTCCTTCCTCGCCCAGGTGAAATTGGTCTTTGAAGCAGGTACTTTGCCCGGGTTGTGCGCGGGACCAGAACCGTGTATAGTGGTCATTTGAGCCCGAAGCAAGAATGTGTCCTAGCGGGTGCCAGTCAATCGACCAGATCGAGGAATCATGCGCGTGAGGAATGCGATGGGCGGGATAGATTGATTGTGCCGGTGCGGAGCGCGGGTCTGGTGTTGCATAGGGCGAGATTGTTGTGGAAGAGATGCCGGCGGGCGTGTTCGGTTCGGTGAGCAAGTAGGAATGAAGTGAGCCATCGTCGCCCCCGGTGCTGATAAGGCTCGGGTGGATTGGATGCCACGATACTGTAGTCACGCCTTTATCGTGGCCTCGCAAAATGGCAACGTCGCGCATCATCCGTAGGTCAAAGATACGGGTCTGGCCGTCTCTGCCGGCTGTAGCAAGCAACTGGTCGCGAAGACGGCTGAAAACAGTGGCCGTGATGGAGTTCTTGTGACCATGCAGTGTCGTCAAATTCCTGCATGTCCGAGGATCCCACAGTCGTACGCTGTGGTCTTTGCTACCCGACACAACGAGGCCTTTGGTGGGATGCCAGTCGCAGGCTTTGACGTCCCACCCATGCTCTCGAAACGTCGATTCGTTGGTGGACGAAGTAAAGTCCCAAATTTTGAGAGTATTGTCGTCAGAGGCGGTGACAAACTTTGCATCAGAGGGCGCAAAGGCTAAATCTCTAATTGGAGCATCGTGGCCCTTGAATTGATGCGGATTGTTCAAGGTTGGTTGTAGATAATACACCGTGCCTTCGTCGTTTGCTGCCACGAGCCAATCTTTTCGATTCGACCATTCCGCAGCTCGTAGAGAACTGGAGCCCATAGCAGTCACAGTCTCGAAATTGAAAGACATGCCATTCCACAGCATGAACTCGCCATTGTGCACACCAGCAAGAAGTCGACGACCTTCGGGCATCCACCGCACTACCGTCACGGGCTTTTTCGATTTCCCCAGAGAGGTGTGAAGATGGCGAACGGGTATCGACTCGGCAGGGGCATCTCGTCGAGCAGGCGGGGGCAATATGTCGATAACATAGCTTTGGCTGGGTCGTTCTTGTTCATAATGATAGCTGCCTTTGTAAGGTGGTTTTCGATTGCCCATCCACTGAATTATAGAAGAGCCATAGTCGGTAATGGGTCGCGGTCTGCGTCGACGGAAACCGCCTCCCTCTTGGTCATCGTAGACATTGGCCATCGCGACTAGAAGATGTGTTCATTGAGAAAACAAGTCGAGGATAAGGGTGTTCGCTGTCACCAAGTAATTTGGGAGTGACGAGATGCCAGACACGAAAGGGATCGCGTGCTCAACATCTGCCCCACAGAGGTGATGGGATCCGACTTCTCTGAACACAGTATTTATCAAGTTATGAGATTCACGGGAAAATAATCTGCAGAATGAGTTGCAGATGAACGGTTGGTGAAGCATGTACACACAAGGTCTGAAGGGGTGGGAAAGGGAATCAGCCACAGATCGTGGCAGGTCACGACAAAAGGTCTACTCGGGACGTGATCACGTGAGCTGGCCTGAGAGCCGTAGGGGAGCGCGGTTCATATCCAAGTGAAAATCGTCTACTATTCAACTCCGCTGGACAATCTCCTTGAACAAAGACACTCCTAGTAAGTTGGGCTGCATTTGAGTCACTTCTGGACCCTGCTAAGCTCCCCATACTTTGCCTGCCAAGCGAAGAAGTAGATCATCGCAGCCAGTGGTTGTCCAACGAACACGAAATTGATCCAAAAGATACAGTTACCAATCACTCTGCCGGTCCCATCCATCTTTGCCAGGGGCTCCGTTATTTGAATCAGAGGTAGTTGCAGCACCATCCCGAGGAAAGCCACTCCGAGGATGTTGTGAGAAGGCACTCCGACAGCAAGCTCGTGCAGAAATCCTGAGAACAAAAACACCCACGCACTGGCTGCTTGATGGGACCAGCCGCGGCCGACCAGAGGCGAGTAGATGTGCCTCCGCATGAAATGATAGACGGGCTTATTCCAGGTAGACCAGTAGATCTTTAGACTGGTGCTGTTCCACCAATCCTCGTAAAAGACTCGATCGCCGAACATCATGATCTCGGATAGAGCATTGAGAAATGAGTGAAAAAGGGCGAAGAAGCCAGCGAGCCACACAATTAGGGATATGGTTGACAGCTTCATCAAGCGCTCCGCGATGGAAGAGAAGTCGAGCACGGCCATACCGTCGAGCGAATTGCGCAAGACTGGCACTGCATACTGCGCACACGTGAGCCAGATGAAGACACTGAGGGCAGCGACTTCTCCGACCCGTTTGAGGAAGAAGGTCCATCTAATGCGATCTGTGCGTGGGTAATATGGTTGGTACACCAGGGTCGGTGCCCACCAGAAGTAACACAGGTTAGGAAGCGTGATATTGCGTGGATAGGGACATTCTGAGTAGATGTCCGGAAGAGCCGATTCAGGACCGCCAGGATTCAACATGGCATGTCGAAGGTCTCGGTTGGTGAAGGCATAGGAGCAGGTCTTGAGCCACACTACGATGGCGTGGAGCTCGCTGATGGTCCCCAAGCCGGGATTGTGGATGCAATAATAGACCACGAAGCTCGAGATGAGCAAAGCAAGCGAGGCATTCAAGGTGTGAGCGACAGCAATCCACCACCAAGTGTTGAGAAATTCTTTTGTCTGCTTCTCGGTTTCGGGCTTTTTGTTTGCGTCTGGGTCGCTCTTCTTCCGCCTTCCAATGACGCCCTTGGCATTTTCCATGGCCACCTTCTCGATAACATAGGCGACAAAAAGGTGGCACGGCGTCAGGGCGTAGAGGATCAGAGCAATCTTGATATCCTGGCTTCGAAGGTTGGACTTGAGAGTGATGAGGAGGCCGTATTTTCTCGCATTCTCAACGACGAGCCGCAGGTTCATGACTATGATGGTCAAGACCATGAGATTGCGAAACCCTATAAAGCTCGGTGTCTCTTTCGCCTCATGACTGAGACATGACGGCCGGACTTTGGAATGCAGAGCTGCAACATGACGGTACTTGCTGCGGATCTTGGGTTGCGTCTGAGGCTTATCGACGGAGGGGTTGGGAACCTCGACGGGCGGCTTGACATCGTGAAGGCCTTTGGCCGCGATATCCTGGGTCTCTGAGATCAGGGTATGGACGTTATAAGCCATCATAAAGGCTAGAACGTCGAGTGGTATGTAGTGTGGTGGTGCTGTAGCTTGTTGAAGTTATGTACTGTTTTCCCTCTCTTTCAACTTGCTCAGTGGATTAATCGTCAACCATGATCAACAAAACCCGACCAATTGCAGATAGGAAGGGAACCGGCGCAGGATGGGTATGAAAGGAGTTTCGAGGATGACATGACGGAATGCAACTTTCGTTCAAAAAGGTAGCGATCCTGACAAGAGGACCCTGCTGGGCGGATGGCGAAAAGGTAAAGGCACAGACGCACATGGCACGAAGACGGATATGTGACACGACGACCCGAACACGGCGGAACGGGTCCTTGCTGCACTGTAACTTAGCTGCTGGATAGCGAACAGGAGGAGGCAGGGGTGAGGGATACGAGCCTGGAAGGGTTGACTGCGGTTGGGGACTGGAGGAATGTGGGCCTTGTGTTGGCCTGTTGGCCGGTTGGCTTGTTGGGCAGTCTCGCAGCATATGGGATTGGTTCATGGCAGGCATTTGTAGCTGGCTCGCTGGGTGGCATCCTCTCAGAGCATGTGTAAATCCCAACTGTTCAGCTGAGGTCTTTTTCCTCATTCAAGCATTTTCAACCTCTGAGTAGAGACGGCTTTTTCCTTTCTACATATTTCATGGTACAGCATCTAAACTCAATCATAGATGCACACAGCACGGTCCGACGCCGACAGGGTTTCTGCACCCGCCCCTGACTGCAAAATAGAGCTCTGCGTTCCAGTGGGTTTCCTATACAAACATACATGCCGCGCCCAATTTGTGTATATGTGCGCTGGTCCTCGGTTTCGTGGGTCTGGAATGACTTCTGCAGCAGTGCCGCGAGCAGCAAACAAGCAGACCATCCTGATCGTGGCCACGTTGTCCTGGCCCCTTACTCAGACTCCAGATGCCACAGTTGCCTCGTCGAGAGGGAAGATCGCAATCACGTCTTCTTCTCTTCCACTGCGCTCTTGACCGTCTCTTGTACCTTGCTGGCCTCGAGATCTTCCTCGCTCTCGCCCTCGCCCTCACTTTGTTCTTCCAATTCCACTTCAATCTCATCTTTCTCCGTTGGCGGTCCCTTAACTTCCGGATCGATAGCCAATTTGTCCACGCCATCCTGTGCCCTCTCGCCTCCGCTCATTTGCCATTCCATCAGCTTCGTGAAAGCACCATCTGGTCGACTGCTGAGTTCCCTGTAGCTGCCCATCTCTGCGACGCGGCCGTCGCTACCCAGACATATAATGGTATCGGATCGTTTGATGGTGGAAAGACGGTGGGCAATGGAGATTGTCGTGTTGCTCCCTTTTAGCAGCGAGGCCAGCGCTTCATTGACCAAGGTTTCCGATTCGGCATCAAGAGCACTAGTGGCCTCATCCAAGATCAAGATATCGGGTTCTTTGACCAGAGCGCGCGCTATGGCAATGCGCTGCTTTTGGCCACCAGAGAGCTGTGTGCCACGAGCACCGACAGGAGTATCCAGACCTTCTGGGAAGTCGCTAATGAACTGACAGTTTGCTCTTCTTGCTGCGCGCATAATCTCCGCCCGGGTTGCATGAGGTCGACCGTAGGCGATGTTCTCGGCTATGGTACCAGAAAATAAGACCGGTTCTTGTGACACGATACCGATCCTGCGTCGGAGAGATTTGACGTTCATCTTTGAAATGTCCTTGCCGTCGATCAAGATGCGCCCCTCTGTGGGTGTGTAGAACCGCAAGATTAGGGATGCAATCGTGCTCTTTCCACCACCAGACGGACCGACAATGGCGACGTTAGCACCCTGGGGAATCTCAAAATCCAGGTCCCTAAAGATGGTCACCGCCGGTCGAGTAGGGTAGCTGAAGGAGAGATTCTCGAACCGGATGGGACCTCGTGCTGATACCACTCTCTCACCTTTAGTGGGAGATATGGTTGGCTCGCGGTCCTGCAGTTCGAACAGTCGTGATGCCGCTCCGACGCCTTTCATCAACTCTGAGTAGAATGACGAAAGCCCAAAGAGCGAAGAACCTGCGTATGCAGTATACATGAGGAAGGATGTGAGCTCCCCAATACTAATTGTTCCATTCGAGACCATACCACCACCGACATACAGGAGCGACAGGATCGTCATGTTGCCCATAAACCCGGTGGACGAGAAGAAAGTGGCACTGATGATCGACTCTCGCTTTCCCAGCTCGAAGATTTTGCGTACCTGTGTGTTGTACCGATGAACCTCGAGAATTTCACCTGCGAATGCCTGTGAAGTCCGGACATTGCCCAGCCGTTCTTCTGCAATCTTCGTCAGCGTCCCAACATTCTTCTGGATTTTTCGACTCAGGTTCCTGATCGCTCGTCCATAAAAGAATGCTCCAAGCGCTACAGGGGGAAATAGCAGCCCCAGAATACCGGTCAACTTCAGAGACACCCATGCCATCAAGCCAAAACCAGCAGCTCCGCTGACAAAAGCGCGAAGCCCGTCTGACAGGTTTTGCGTGATTGACTTGCCAACAATGATGGTGTCAGAGCTGAGTCTGGAAATCAAGTCGCCTACACGATTGGCGTCGAAAAACTCGGCATTCTGAATGTAGGTTTGCCGGAACAGCCTGGATCGGAGTCTCGCCACGATCCTCTCGCCCACAATTCGCAGGATGATAATCCGTCCGTAGTTTGCTGCCGCACCAGTTGCAAGAATACAGACGAGGGCAGTGTAGAATGTCGTCAAGCTGAGACCAAAGAGCATGTCGGTCTTTTGCTCCAAGTCGGCGCCCTCGGTCTTTGCTCCCCCTTTGGTAGCTATATCCAGGATCTTGCCAATTGAAAATGGTATTGACATGGTGATGGATGACGAGATCAGGAGAAGGATAAAAGCCAGCGCAAGGACTTTTGCTTCTGGACGTGCAATCTTGATCAACCGCCATATCTCTCCGAAGCCACCGCCCTTGCCCGTGCCACCCTCTTTTGACAACCTCGCGCTGAGATTCACATGCGAGGCCTGGTGTGCTTTTTCAGTCCTGTGAAACGCATCCTCGTCATCTGTTTCTTCAGTAGTTTTGTTCCGCTGCTGCTCCTTGATAACCGGAGTGGGCGTTTCGTATAGAGTGCGACCGCTCGAAAAGAATACTGCCTGAGCAGCTATGCTGGGTCGGAAGAGCACATTGACACTGTCTGCCCTCGTCGCAGAACCGCCAAGCGACTTGAATGATGGAAATGGGTTCTCATTGCTGGAGGGTTTGGGGCGTACATATTGATGCAGACTGCGTGATAATATCCGCGAGTGTCGAGGAGAGGAGTTGTACAAGGAGAGAAGGATATTCTGATCAAGCTGATTTAATCTGGAGCCATGTTGAAAAGGCCTGAAAGCGAGCAGCACTGAGGTGCGCGTAGCAATCATGCCTGTAAGAGATCGACGGATGATTCAGGGGACTAAAGGGATAGACGTGTCTCTCCTCCTCTTCATCGCGGCGACAATTGTATTGGGAAAGGGTAGCAGTGAAGCAGGTAGTTCTAATGGCGCAGTGAGAACATTGAGGGTGAGGAAAAGGTGCCTGCCTCAGCGACACGGATGGATCAATGACGATTAACCGGCCGACAAGCGGAAAGGCGAGACCGAGCCTTAGTGAGCCCGAACAGCTCCAGCTAAAAGGCCCTAACCAGCTACGAGTAGCTCGCTGCCCACCTGCAGTTAAGCACCCCCGGAGTGGAATGAGGCTTGTACCGAGCCCCTCCATTTTCTCGTTGTGTGCGGCGTGCCTGCAGCCCATACTCGGTAGACACACCCCCACTACGTAGCTGGCAGGGGCACTTGGTTAGATGGCAAACATCGAGTTCACCATCATCCGACTCTGGTGTTCCTTTCTAGAAGGATCCTTGTCCTCCCGAAGATACAAGAGGCTCGACAACAATAAACGGAATTGAGATTCGCTTTTACTATCACTTCTTGTGTTCTATCTTCATCCTCCCTACCCGAGATTGACCACCTCCTGCTCCCTCTCCTCCCTTCATCATGCCTATTTCTTACGACAAATGGGATAGGCTCGAAGTGTCGGACGATTCTGACGTCGAAGTACACCCGAATGTCGACACAAAAAGTTTCATCAGAGCCAAGCAGCGTCAGATACATGAGCAGCGAGCGCAGCGAAAGCATGAGATAGAAACTCTCAAATACGAACGAATTATCAACGACGGACTGCTCGAACGTATCAATGCCCTGCTAGACGCTCTCAAAAGACATCAAGAGGATGCAAACAAGAAGGATGCAGATGAGGTTGTGTTTCAAAGTCTGATCGAGAGCGCCGGTGACCCTGCCAAAGATGAACCGCCCAAACCTCCCGAGGGTGTCTATACGCACCAGAAGGAGCAGCCCAGGTATTCTAAGATGATGGGTGCTCTGGTTGATCAGGTCAAGAAAGAGGTCGACGAGAAGAAAGACAAATCCACAGATAGATATGCAGACTTTTTGCAGGGAGTGAATGGTCATCTCACCAAGGTCCAGAAGCTGCAGCAGGACCTGTTGAAGCGGCTTGCGGAGCTGGAGAAGGAAGCAACCGCAAAAATCACGAGCGAGGACATCCACTTTGGTTTCGACTCGTCTCACATCAATAAACCGAAGCCAGCTGCGACCCCCACTGAGAAGGCCAAAGCTAAGGACAAAACCAAGACTGAGACTGTCGAACTGCTCAATGCACCCAAAGGTCTAAGCTCGCAGACACGAGATGCACTCAAGTCTAGTGAGGGCGGTGTTTCGTCCGGTGCAGAGGCGGATATCGAGGATGATGCTCTCCTGGACAAGCACGAAGATGAGGAAGAAGACGAGGCAAAACTCAAGCTCACGCCCGAGGGCAAACAGTTTGCAAGGATCAAGCTCGGAGACTACCGGGCATGCCTACAATTTATTTCAGAGCATCCCAACATCGTCAATGAGAAGACTCAAGATGCCCTTATGATTGAAGCATTCAATGCTCAGATGAAAGGACAAGATACTTATGCACGAACCTGCGTACATCAGAGTCTCTTGATCCAATATTGTCGCCAGTTAGGTCGGGACGGCATCGGATTGTTTTTTAAGCGTATCACCACCAAGGGACACCAAGCGCAGCAAGTATTCAACAAAGATTTGGCTGAAACATACGGTCGCATCAAGACTCGTGCAGCCGAGTTGCAGAAAGAGGAAGGAAACGACCCAGCGGGTGTGGAACAGATACAGCTTCATGCTGTGGAGCCTGGAACGGAAATCCACATCAACGTGCCACAAGCCGGCTCAGATGACCCTGTCGAACAAGAGTCACGCAAAATCTTCGAGCGGTTTCCGCCTGGACTACAACGTGCGTTAGAGAGCGGCAGCTTAGATGAGGTCAACAAAGTTCTGGGCAAGATGAGTGTAGATGAAGCTGAGGAGATTGTGGAGTTGCTGGGTCAAGGCGGCATGCTCAGTCTCCAAGAAGGAGTGATTGACGCCACGAACGAAGAGGGTCAGAAGAGGCTGAAAGAGATTGAGGAGGAAGAGAAGCGGAGAAAGGCTGAAATGGAACAGAGCGTCGAGGGCGAAGGCCAAGGGTTGGGTGAGCCTGGCGAGGCCGTAGGCTCGTAAGGAGGTATTAAGACTGATGGTCTTGTATCGAAAAGGCGATATTGGCTTCTCCAGGGTGAACAGAGCAGAACTGCTGTACCAAAAAAGTCTTGTCTGACACTGAATATTGCTCAATGCGCCACTTCGATGCGTGTTTACGATCGTTGTCTGACGGAAAGTCTGCGATTGTCTGAAGCTCAGAGACAAGCCTTTCGACAGTGACACTCTGCACTCCAGCTGTTCTTGTGGTCCCTCTCTCTCTTGTCAGCGAGCGCTCCTCTCATGCTTCTCTTCCTTTATTTCACCTCCATCTGTTCATGGCCATGAGGCACCCATGCAGCAGAAATTGCATCGGAAGAAGAGTTGCCTTGGTGTACCTGGTCAACCAAAGTTCCCTCTCGGATTCAGCTCAACTCTATTGGTTGCTGGCACAAAAGTTCCAGCACTAATGCACCTCATCGCCATAGTGCAGCAGCTCGCGAGGCAGCGAGGCAGTGAGGCAGACACTTGAACGCCTGGCATCCAATGACATCCTTCTCTGTCATCATTCGATTGTGCTCAGCCCGTTGTAGCAATATCAATGAATGCTTCCAAAGTCAAACCCCATCAGCATAAGATTCAAGGCATTCTTCTCCCCACCATTATGGCTGTCTGTCGCTCTCTCAACTGCTATCGAAGCGGATTACATGGACTTGTTGACCAGTCCACAAATCTGACGACTGTCGGAATTATCTTTGCCCATGTATCCTTTCTCAAGGTCGTCATCGGGGATGGTTGATGGTGGAATAAGCTACATTCAAGACGACAATTCAGGTTATGAGGAAGATCTAGAGGTAGATCCCGAGCATCAGCATGCTGAGCAAGACTCCCAATCGCGGAGGGTCGTCGGACCTACTCCTCAGCAGTGGATTGATATCAAAGATGTCTTCTCTCAGTTGTACATTGCTGAAAACAGGAAGTTAAAGGATGTTAGAACCATCTTGCGCAAGAAGTACGGTTTCAATGCCAGCGAGAAGATGTTCAAGCGACGAATTACTGAGTGGAAGATTCACAAGAACTACAAAGCTAAGGATAAAGAGCTTCTGGCGAAACGGGTGAAAGAATACGTGGATGCCGGACACGACATTCAGTCGATCTCATTTCGTGGAAGACCGTTGAAGCTCGATCGAGTCAAGCGCCATTATCGCAGCGACAAAAGGTTCACTCAACTTTGGGAACAGCTGTCACAGAGTCCAGAATCTGTGTCTGTTGGAGATATGACAATCAAGGACGAATCGCCATCTATAGTCCCAAACAGATCAAGAACCTTGCCAAACTCTAGCACTCCGCCTACAGACTCTGACTCCATCATGCAAGACAGCAATGGTTCTGATGTTGGTTCCATGACGATCAACGTTCTCCCGCCGACTGATCTGTACAACATGCAATGTAGTCTATTTCACACTCGAGAGGCGGTGCAGTGGCAGTTCACGGCCTTCAACCGACTCAAGATGAACGAACTGCAACATCGGTTCCCGAACTCCATTCCAGAAGAGGTCAAAGCCGGACAGACAGATCAAGTGTCAGCATTCTGGCTGGGTCTCTATCATGGGTTCGACTACTTGCAGACAGGCAGATCGAGCGAAGCATGGAAAAATTTCGACGTATGCTCCAGTATGGTACAGCCATTGCTACATTCTGCACCTGTTCAGCTCTTATCCTGCCTGTTGGTACACTTTGCAACCCCATGGCTGGGAATGGCTGCGCTGGAGCAGCATCTACTAAGTTTCGTCTCATCTATGGCAGCAAATACCTTTGGGAAAGATCATCCTTATGTCAAAGCTTTAAGAATGATGGTTGCCGCTGACAGTCGAAATCGCATTGTTGAGTCAATGATGCAATTGATTGTTGAGGGCTACAGCGCTCGACGAAGACCCAGCAATTCGTCGCTCTTTGCCTTGCGCGTTGACCAGATCGACATGCTCCGGAAACGCAAGAATTTCCAACCTGCTCATCATATGTGCCAGCAATTGATCAAAGACAGTCAGTCCATGCCTCCGAAACGGTATAGGACTGCGCTAGCGGCTTTGGGAAGGCTGTATGCGGATCAGAACGAGGAGTTTGCTGTCGAGGGGGTGGCGCACCGCATTCTCCAGCATGAGACGTCGGATTCAGGTACGACAAATAGTGGAAGCGCAGCTTGGGCCTGCGACCAGCTCGCTACTCTTTGTCTGAGTCGTAAAGAATACGGTCTAGCCGAGCGATATCTTCGTCGAGCGGCGCGCATGTCCTACACTGGACTCCCGCACCGAGGTCCTTCGACGGATTCTTTCACTCAAAAGCTGGATTCCTGTTTGCGACAGCAGGGCAAGAGGGGCCGTCTCAGTGAGATCCATGAAGAGCCAGGTATGGAGCAGGAAGAGACCGCCAGTGGATCACAACAGTGAAGGGCAATCCGAGTGTTTCAATTTATCGGCGCACCCTTGACACAAAATCTTAGATGTCTACAGATGCTTCTTGACTGACTTTTGGAAAAGAGTCGCTCTAGAGAATCTGGACAGACCGAAAAGTCCGTGTGGACCAGTGTCTTAACCAGCCGAAACCAATCCCGGTCGTGTATACCTGAAATTGACCGCAATCCTGAATCAGGAGACAAAGCCTCTCCAAATCAAGTCGAGCAGGATCTGGTGGTTCAAAAGGACGCCTTCATGTCACTTCGAACCTCGCGAACTCAACTTCCGAGCAAGACAAGCAGTTGTCCGCGGTATCAGAATGCCACCTTCTTACTCCCGACGCGCCTACTTTGATGAGCTGAAGTTTCCGGACGTCGATACCATTGAAGTATTGAACGGCAAATCGAATTTTCGTCAATGGCACTCTGACATTCAGCCCGTTCTCTTGTCCAATCCTTATTCTTCTGATCTGATACTTGGCAGCTGGGACGAACCTCAACCTCCCTCATCGTGGACCGTCGAGGATCAGGCCTCATTCGACGAGGAGCGCAGAGAATGGCACCTCGCGAACACGGCGACCTGTCGCTACATTCGCGCCACGTTAGCTGAGAACGTAGGCCCGTTTGTTCGTCAATATGCCACTGCAAAGACACTTTTCTTCAACCTTGTGTGGCTGTACGGCGAAGAGGCTGGGATTGATTCTCAAGGTGGTCCTCCTGTACCTGTGAATGCCGGAACCCTGAACCCAAAGAAAGGCCGTGCCGGTCTTCTGGCAGCCCTGGAAGCTAAAAGAACCGTGGACTTTCTGCCTCTTGTCTGCGCGAGCCTCAAACCGTCAGTGTCGACAGCACTGGCTCATGAAACCAGTCAAAGCGACTGGGAGGTTCCGTCTATTTCTCCTTCGGGGACAGAACTGCCCACCACTCATGGAAAGTCGACGAAATGGCAGCCAGCAGGTGGCCCGGATTTCACGTACGCACAAGCCCATGATCCCACAATAGGCCATTTGTACGATCGAAGCCGCATCTCTTCTAACCCCAGCCTCGAAACCATACAAGAACACGATGAACCGCATCCGGGAAGACGTGTGCCATCCGGGTATGCGGTAGACTTTCACTACAGCTTTTCCAGAGGAGATCAAGAGCAGTCGGTTGGGAAATTCGGATAGTGGATATGATGATGATGACGAGGTGCGTCTTCTTACCTCCAAGCCAATGACACATCCATCACAACTAGTCTTGTCCATGTCCAGGGCCGCTGACCGATGCGACCAGGACCAGGATGAATGCCACCTCGAAGACATGGACGTCGACAACGCCTGTGGGCGGTCCACGTCGCCGTCAAAGAAACGTCCAGCCGCCGGTCCAGACCTCGACCTCGACCTCGAGCCAAGGCCTGCAAAGACGAGCATCACTTCGATTTTGAAAACCGTCACAGCCAACAACAGCAGGGCCAGGAAGCGAGACAGATTCACCTTCTCGTTTCCTCTGCGGCGGTTGAATCCGGAGAAGGAGAAGGGCAAGGCTAAGGCATAAATCGAGGTGTTGAGGAAGTGGAATGGCGTGAGAAGTGCGCCTCTTTCGTGGATCAGCTGCTGGAGGAGATGTTGTATATGTTTCTTTACTTCATTTTCTTGATGTTTTTCTATAAGATAGGACAAGAACAGAACCAACAAGACGCTCAAATGCTCCAACTCCTACCTCGTATGTATATATCGTTAACATCACTTTCCAGACCTCCAGCCCTCTTCAACCCTTTATTCTAATCGTATATACTCGTCATCATCCTCCTCATCATTATTTACCAATCAAGCCTCCCCCCCTCACGCTCACCTTGTCGCCGCCCTCCCCTCTCTTTGCCCACAAACAGCCCATAAAGCCCACCGCCGACATTATTCCGCACGGCTTTCCAGCCGCCCTCTTCACCACCGTCGCGCTCCTTCATGTAGTGGCTGAGATCCGGCGAGAGCATCTCCGGCGTCACGAGCACGGGCTTGGTGTATCGGGCGCCGAAGTACGAGATGCCATCATTGGAGGAGGTGGAGGAGTGGTCATGGTTAGATCTGGATCTCGATCTGGATCTAGACCGCCGCACCTCTTCCTTAGCACCATCGACATCGTCGTCGTCGACGATACTCTCCTTTGTCGCAGCGCCGTGTCGTCTTCGATCGACCCTCACCCCTTGCCTGAGATACTTACTCACATCGTCGTCAAAGTAGTTGAACGGCATGAACATCACGGAGCTAGCGCTCGTGTGCATCAGCGTGTTCGGGATATCCTGACTTGTCGGCACATGATGCCCGCCCAGGTTGAAGTACACCACCAGATCCTGACCCTCGACGCTCTCATTATCGGCGACCATTTTGGAAAAGTCGACCAAGGGGTCCAAAGGTTCGAGCGCGTTGTAGTGGTGCGCCGACCCCGGTTCCGTGGCAGGGTGGTTGCGCAGAACCCACAGGTCGGCTTCTGACCAGAGCGCGGCTTTGCCCAGTGTCGTCGAGTTGACGATCGTCAGGTGCGACGGGTTGCCCATCCCCGTGCCGGGCAGGATGCGGTAGCCGCGGGTTTCTCCCCATTTGTTCGTGCTGTTGGCTCCCGTGGCTGTCACGACGTACATCTCCCCGGCGTTGCGGGGCCAGTTGAGTCCCGTCTCGTGCGTGATGGGGTTGTGAACCATATGCATGGTATTCCGCAGCCCGGGAACCTCGGGCCGGTCCCAATCGTAGACCCGCTGGAGCGGCTCGATGACTGTGCGCACGACCGTGTTGGCGTCCCCGCAGATGTCCAGGTCCGCGCGGAAATTCACCACGTGGTCGTGCATCGACGTGTGCAGCGCGGGGCGGACGCGGTAGCCGTACTCGTTCGTCGAAGTATCGCGTGTCGTGAGTGGCGTGGAAGACGATCGCGGTTCCGCGTGGAACGCCCCGAAGATGTAGCCGCTGGCCCGTAACTTGACTTCGATCGAGCCGTCGAGGTAGAAGATGTAGTCGATCTGTTATTCATAGTCGGGGACACAATGTCAGAGAAGAAGGGAGAGGGAGAGGGAGAGAAATTGCTAAACAAACAAAACTGAAGCATTTTTATAGAGGGATGTTTGTATACGGGGGATAGAAACGGAGGGAGCTCACCGTGTAGTCATAGTTTCCGACCGTGCTCACGCTCCTGACAACAAGGTACGTGTTTCTACTCACGGTGGCGCTAAAGGCCGAGGTGTGTCTCTGCAGCGGCGCGTCCGACGTGTATTCAAAGATGCAGATGGCGTTGCGGTTCGTGAACATCTTTCCGGCCCGGTGGTAGACCATGTCGAGGTACTCTGCATGACCGGGACAGTCGAGCCCGGGCACGAGGCTGAACATCATCTTGCCCATGCCGAAAAACGTATCCAGAAACTCGAGCCCGGACTGCATGGGCTCCGAGCCGGCGTAGTGCGCAAGGGCTTCCTGCAGGCCGAGCTGGTAGATGATGCGGGCGCCGGCGTAGCGGATGTCGAAGAGAGAGAGGGCTGTGATCTGCGATGTCGAGAGGTAGAACGAGAAGCCCATCCACGATATGTAGTTCTGGGCACGGTCGAGGCGGTAGCGTGGGCCGTACGGCTGGATGGATAGCGGCGGCGGCATGTCGTCGCGCTCGGGGTTCGACGTGCCAAAATCCTCCGTGTCGGTCCACCCGCCATCCTTGTTGATTGTGAGGCGCTCGAATCCGGGGGATGCCATGGCCGCCCGCAGCATCGTGGCGTTGTCGTACAACACCCCGTTGTAGAACCACTCGCGCGTCGTCCACGTCTTCGGGTTCGCGCTCGGCACGTCCAGCTTGACGTACAGGCCCTGGGGCAACAGGCTGCGGCCGTCGGATTTCATCCCGGGACCAAAGAACTCCAGCCAGTGCACCATGCGGCCTGAGTCGATCAGCGCCGGCCGCGAACCCATGACCAGTCCATTGGGGTCGTCGAGATCGTCCCGGTTGGTCTTTGCACCGAGCAGGTCTTGAGTGATGTCGGATGCATCCTCGCCAATGCGCAACGCCCAGTCCAACAGAGCAAACACGTCCGAGATGGGGCTTTGCACATAGTTGCGACCGGAGTTGTGGCAGTACGTCAGCGGCAGGAGTTGGGTCTTGTTGGACGGCGGCAGTGGGCCGACCATGTATTCGACGATGAAGGCGTCGTCGCCCTTGGTCTCGACGGCGGACACACGGGCCCAGCGGTCCGGAACGGGGCCATGGTGGTCCAGATAGTCGACCACACTCGACTTGTTGGGTCGGAGAAGTTCGACCAGACTCAAGGCGTTGTTTTGACTTCCACCGGCGCCACCATCGTCGGTCGAGTTGAATATATGGGTGTTCTTCTGAAGCCAGACATACACCTGCGACGCTTCAACCTCGTCGAGCTCCGCCCAGGGATTCTCTGCCGGGGCCTGAAAATGTCGGTGAGGATGCTTCCATGATGAGGCTGATGAGTCAAAAAGTGGCTGCCTGACAAGGCCCCAAGACGAGGCCGACAGGAATACGACGTAAAGGAGATAAGCGAGGCTGGACAAGATAAGCACGGCCGAGATGGAAATGCCCAACAGCCTCCACGAAGAGGCCATGGTGACGGCGACCTGGACCGTCCTACACCGGAGATGGACAGAAAGCAGAAGAGGGGGACGAACAGATTCGAGTAGGAGTTCTTGTCACTAGGGTTCTCATGGTGAATGATAATTGAAATTGTCCCTGTATCTTCCATTGGACTTGGAGCGGAGATGCCCTGATACATCGAGGGAAGAGCGGGCTAGATTGTCCGTCTGAGGTATAGCCTCGTTCTTTAGTGAAAAGCCCTCCATGGCACAATTCCTGTGTCCATATTCAGTGGATGTGGGGACGGGGCTTGGATAGTTGCAAGGTATAGCTGTCGTGGATATATATATACCTAGGCACATGTAAATACACCAATATAAGACACGTTCCATACTAAGTGCTTTGCTTTACGTCGCAACAATCCCGTCGGGCACTCGAAACTCCTTTGCGGTTTCGCCCTTCTTGACGCCGTCGTCTGCATCCCCATTGGTCACGATCTTGTCCTCGGTCACGAGCAACTTCTCCCCCTTTTCCAAAGGCTCATGCGTGAAGCGAGTGTTGTTCAGATACCAGGTCAAACCCTCCACGTCGCCGGTTCTCTCTGCCGAGGCCCATCCGTCGCCGAACCATCCAAACTCATTGCCATCGGCCGGGGTCATTTCAAAGTCGTCGAACCGCACCTTCTCGAGCGCCCTGACGGCATGGATGCTGCTTCCTGGCCACAGGGCGGTCACTCGGCCTCGCTTTCGCTCTTCCGGGGTGGCGTTTGGAGGCGATGACTTATACCAACTGCCGCATTCAGCCGAGAAGACTGTCCGCTGGAAGAAGGCATCACAGTAATTCGTAAAGTTCTCGACGGCTTTCCTCTTGGGCTCGATGGTCTTGGTGTTGCCTTGACCAAGCCTCTGGAGAATTTGCGCCACATAAGTCGAAATTGCTTCGATGATGATCAAGAGATTGCCGTTACCAAGGCCAGCATTCGGACCAAGTGACTGGAAGAAGTTTGGAAACTGGTCGGTGCATACACTGAGGTACGTCTCTGGCCGTTGTCGGTAGCGATCTTGGAGGTTGACTCCGCCACGTCCATAGATGGGGAACCGGCCCTGAAACGACGTGTCGAAACCGGTGGCACAGACAATCGCTTCGACCGGTCGATGTTTCCCATCGGCAGCTACGATACCGGTCTCATCAATGTGTGAGATCTTCGTCGGAATGACGGTGACGTTGTCGGCGACCAAGGCTTCAAGATATCCAGGACCAGGAGTCAACCGCTTGCAGAGAGGTGGGAATTCTGGGATGAGATGCTCGGCAATCTCTGGTTTCTTCTGCAATCGGCCCCTCATATCTTGGTCGAATGCTGACCACGCGCCTTCATGCTCTTTCGTCCCTCGGTGTGTTAGAGCAAAGCAGCCTTGCATGCCGATTTCAAGTGCCTTGCGATATTTGACGTAAGATTCGGGGTCCTTCTCCCAAGCCTGTATTTCCTCCTGCGTGTAATTGAAGTTTCCGTCCTGTCCATCGTTTCGCTCTCGAACGAGTTCGTTACCAAACGTCGCCGCAATCCACGTCCGGCCACGCACATAATGGTCCATGGATTTGACTTTGGGCTGCAAGTTGGCAACGATCTGAATACCGCTGCTCCCAGCGCCAATAACTGCAATCTCTTTGCCCTTCCCCATCAATCAGCAAGAGCCCGTAGAAGCAAATGGGAGCAACTTACTGAGATGTCGTAGTCAGAATCCCAGTTGGCACTATGGAGCAGTTTCCCCTTGAAGTCGTGGAGGCCTTTGATGTCTGGCCACTTCCATTCGTTCAGTGCCCCAATGCCGGTCATGAAGACGTCGCCTATGTCCTCCACGACCTCGTCGCTATCTAAGTTTCGGAACTTGACGTGCCATTTCGAGGTTTCCTCGTTCCATCGTGCTTCTATACACTTGTGGCTGAATTTCATATATTTCTTGACGTCGTACTTGTCGGCAACTCGTTTCCAGTATTGGAGGATTTCTGGCGCGTCGGCGTAGAACTTACTCCAGTGGAGGTCTGACTCGAAGCTCAGTTGATATGAATGAGCGGGGATATCTGCGATCCTATCAATATCGGGACATTGACCCCATCGAGTTGTACTTACCACAGGCGCACCCGGGATACCTATTCTCAAACCAAGTACCTCCCACATCTGGATTCTTCTCGTAGATTGCAAGCTCCACACTCGGCAAGAAGCGAGGGAACTGAATGGCAGCACAAATTCCAGAGACACCAGCACCAACGTAAATGACTTTGAGTGGTCTCGGCTCGTCAATTGCTCTTTCTGATATCAATGGATGAGCATATTGGCTATCCGATACCTTGTAACCGATAGATCCCATCTTGGCCAGGTCTTTTTCCAGTCAGAAAGCGCGAGACGTTGTGAACAGCTTGAATTAAGACCCCACGTATGACAGGCGACGCTAGGTTTGGTCAGGACAAGCCCTGGTATAACCCAGAAGTTAAGTGTGATACTCAAAATCCAAGCTGAGAGGAGGGTGGCGCAAAGGAGGCTGAAAGGTTCGAAGGAAAATGACACAGGGATACTGCTGGGTATTTATTGTCTCACTGTATGGTCTTCAACAGGAAGGTGAATTTTGACCATATCAAACTTTCAGCAGGGCCAGAGCCTTCAGTTTCATCGATCTGCCGAGAGCAAAGGCATCATAAGACAGTTGCAATGCGAGTTCTAGCTCGGTTTGGAGGAGCAAATCCAGCCCGAAAAGGGAATCTCAAGAGGCCCCGCCCCCCTGGGGAACGCATCCCACGGGAAAATCGCCATTCAGTACCTAGTTGAGGGGCCGAGGACCTCATGGTGTATGAGCACAGGAGCTACTGAGTACCTTGTAGGTTCATGAGGGCGCAGCGGGTTCCACGAGCTTGGATTTTCGGTGCATTATCCGACTGCCTAAGCAGAGGCTTACCCCCACAGGTCCGTGCCACTGGCGGCAAGATAGAAGGGAAGTGGCCTCTCAAGCGAGCACTCGGGGGGAATGGAGGGATGCACAAGGGCGCTCTCCGCGGCATAACTCATAAGTGGTGGCGAATCGTACGTCCGGTGGGATTTTTCCAGGCGTTTTCTGACAGTCAAATCCTCGAGGCTCGGCGCCAATAATAGCTGGAACGCGATTGAGATTTTCGAGCCTCTGGCGAAGTGCTTACTTCTGTTTGTCGTCAGTTGGGTACTCTTTTCTTGACACATCGCGGACGGGAGTATTTGTTTGGTGAGAAAGGCTCGATATGGCTCAAAGCTGGTGAAGGACCGACAGCAAGCGCTCCGCACGACCCTCGTCTGAAGTCCCTCTCCCATGAGCCGATGGAATTCCCGAAGGCTGTGGCGTCAAAGGCACTGTGGGGGCCTGACTGCGGAACTGAATCACATTGCTCAGTGCTCCCAGGAATACTCCGTACAGAACCAGCCTCCACCACATGAACACCGAGTTCACTTTCTGTAGGGGAAATGCATGTGCTCACGAAATATATCACTCCACTCGTCAAATTAGCGACAGGGAGTCTTTGGTTTTTTGTTCAGATCATAGAAGTTCTTGCTTCGCATGAGTGCCTCGCAAAAGCTGGAAAGGAAGTGAAGGAGTATAGTATTTGACGACCGCCACTTCGGGGCCCGTTCAGCGAAGACATTATTCTAGCCACGTAGCCGAACGAAAGAGAAAAGCCACTTCCGGAAAGGGCACGCATTCTGCACGGGGCTCCCGTCGAAGAAATCGCAGGCAGTATCATCAAGAGATGGAATGCCCAGGCTTGGTGAAAGATGTCGCTAAGGCAAGGACAAGGCTGGTAAGGCTGATCGGGAGACATATTAATATTCCATCAACACAAATACTGAAAAGTCACGTCCATGCCTTTCCAGAAACTAAGTCTTGAATATGACAAGGTAATCCATTAAGACTGACTGAAATCTTCAGTGCTCTATCTTGTCTATGCTCTATCAAAGAGGGTATCAGAAATCTTGTCTCTATTTCCCTCTCCAAGCGGATTTGTTTTGCATGGCCTCGAGAACTCCAGGCGATCCCTTCTAAACAACCATTATTCGTCTCAATGCCTCCCAATGCACCGTCAGCCGTAAAATCATCGAAAGAGAACCGTGTCAACATCTAGTCATCCTCATCCGAGAAGACTTCTTCACCACGCTTTCTCCGGGCCATGCGTTCCTTCTTCTTCTTTCTCAGCTCAGAAGACGTCAGCTTCTTTGCTTTTTTGTTGCCTTCGATCTTGTTGCCCTAAGAAAGAAATTAGTCTCCAAGTCTAAATATGTATTGCGGTTGAACTTACCATAGCATCGAATTTCTCCTCTTCGTCGTCATCCTTTGCGCTCAAACGAGGACCAGAGCCTTGCCCTTGCTAAAATAAACAGTCAGCACAGATCGACAGTGACAATCCAGATAGACTCGACTTACAATCCAGTTGTGCCCGCTAGGAGTCATTCTACCGTTCATCACACTCCAGACCTCCTCAGTCAGGGACTCGGTGAATTCGGCGTTGTGGGAAATGATCACCACACCACCCTCGAACTCCTTCAGAGCCTTGGAAAGAGCACCCAATGAATCACGGTCAAGGTAGTTGGTGGGTTCGTCCAAAACGATCAAGTGAGGGCGTTGCCATGTGCAAGCCGCGAGTACGACCTTGACACGCTGACCACCAGAAAGGCCACGCATGCGAGAGTGGGAGATCAATTCAGCATCGAGACCAAAGTTGGCACCGTGCTGCTCAATCTCACGTCGGATGAGAGGTCGGAACTGACCGCTGGCCAGAGCTTCTTTCTGGTCGACTTCGGCGACCATCTTCTGGTGGGATGCCAGAATTTCGGAGCGAGGAATCCAGGCGTTATCAGCAGTCATCATGGGAGTCCATTTCTCGTTCTTCTGGCCGACGTTTTCGCCGAGGGCGAACGAGCACTCATACTCGTACGAGTTCTTGAACTTTCTTCGGGCGTGAATGCCAATAACGCGTCTTTGGGTACCGTCGATCTTGTAAATCTTGTCCATAGCCTTCTCATCATCTTCGGTGACGATCTTGTTAGCACGATCCATGGTTTCACGGTCCTCGCCAGTTTGGAATCGCCATTGGATGTACTCTGATGGAGTCTTGTCCAGATGGTTATCAATGTGGGCGAATGCGTGCTGTTTGATGTAGGCAATACGGATATTCTCGTGCTGATAGATCTCACCAGAAGTGGGGATCAATTCACCAGTGAGCACGTTGACGAGAGTAGACTTGCCAGCGCCGTTGGGACCGATGACTGCAATACGGGAGCCGAGAGACACCTGGAAAGTAATGTCCTGAATCTGGGGTTTGTCGGTGCCTGGGTATTGGAATGCCATCTTGTTGACACGGACAATGGCCTTGGCCTTGGTCTTGACACCTTCAAGGAAACCAGGTTCTGGGAACTTGAATGACAACTCAGAAGCACCGAGCTCGAAGTAAGAGCGAGCAGATGGTACTCGCTTGGCGAACTCGGTCAAATTGCCACGGTACCTGCGCAGCTTGAAGCGTTCGTAGTGGATGACGTGCTGGATGACATTGTTCAAGAATTTGGAGTCGTGCGAAACGATGATCGAGGTGCAAGGAGAGGTGATGAGGTAGTTTTCGAGCCAAGCCACGTTCTTCACGTCCAAGTGGTTGGTAGGTTCATCGAGCAAGAGAATATCGGGGTTTTCAAATACAGCACGGGCAAGGGCGAGCTTCATCTTCCAGCCACCAGAGAGCGAGGTAATGGGGCCCTCCATCTGAGATTCGAGGAAACCGAACTCCAGAAGCTTCGCCTTGATATCCTCCACAGGGGTGTCAATACCGACGGATCTCAACTTCATCTCGGTCCAGCCGATGACGGTGAGTTCAGTATCAGCAGCGTCCAGATCGTGCTCAACGAAGACGGTCTTGACCTCGGACTGCTTGGGGAAACCTTCGACTTGCTCGTTGTTGATGGCTCGCATGAGTGTGGATTTGCCGGAACCGTTGGGGCCGAGCAAGCCATAGCGCTGGCCACGCTTGAGGCGGAGCGTAGTTTGGTTCAGGAGGATTTTTGCACCGTAGGCCAAGTTGAACGTGCAGTTGCAGAGATCTTCACCCTCCTCCTCATCTGGTTCGGCCTCGGGTTCGTCCTCGACATTTGGGGAAGCACGCTTCCGAAGGCTCTCAGCGACCGCCTTGGCGTCAGCTTCACCAACGATGGTCTTAAGATACTCGACGGTGTTAGAGACCCAGTCGGGTTCGTCCGTGATCTTCTCGTCGATCAACTGGCCTGCGATGGCGGCCACATAATCAATGACGGCATCGGCCTTTGCAACGGCGCCTTTGTGCTTTTGCTCAATGATCTCCTTCAGGATCGGGACAACGGTGGCGACCTCACCAGCGTTGGAGATCTTGGGGAAGGAGCCGTCTTCCTTGACGGCACCGACTCGCTTAAGGGTGTCCAAGCCCTGTTTGGTCTTCTCACGAGCCTCGGGATCGGCCATGTTCTCGTAGTTCTTCGTAAGGGCGGGCATCAGTTTGGGCAAGAAAGCTGCAACAATCTGAGGGTCTTCGACCAGTTTGCACATGTTGTCCACAATGACTGCGGACTTTCGCTTGATGGCAGTGTCACGCTCGGCCAGACCACGCTCCAGCAGAGGGACCATGATGGCCAAAGTCGGCTCGTGGACATCGGTGACGAAAGTGGTAGCACCAAGCAAGTGAACGGTTTCGGGAACGTTCTCAGGCTTAGCAATACACTTGATGAGCTCAGGAATGAACTTCTCGATATCCTTGTTTTCGATCAATTTGCAGATCTTCTCCATTGTGCCGTAGGCCTTCTTCTTGACTTCGGGTTTGGTATCCCACATGGACTCGGAAACGATCGGAATGAGGGTAGGGACAAGGAAGGAGAGCTGGGTGGGAGCGGTTTCGACAAGAGCCTCGATGCAATCGAGACCGGTCATCTTTTCGGGCCATTTCTGGGCCGTTATGATCGAGTTTCGAATGTGTGGGAGGGCGACCTTGACGGCGTTGGGATTGATGGCTCTGACGATAGCAAGAGATGCGGCCTGCGCAGCGTTCTTGACGGAAACCATCTTGTCTCCAACCGCAGCCAGAGCTAGCGGCAGGAGGGAGATCAGGTAGGGCTCGGCACCGGGGGCAATGCTGGAGTGCGTGGCCACGGCTCGGATGCCATCCAGAGCACGTTCTCGCACGACCGCATCTTTCTTGTTGCCGAGTTGTTTCTTCAAAATCTCAACGGCCTTGAGCGGCACATCGTGCTCCTCGATTGGGCCGTTCAAAAATGTGGCAACGTTGCCAGCGGCGCCGTTTGCCTCATCTTGAGTTTTGGAGATGGACAACTGGTGCAGCAATTGCTCGAGGGTGGCAATCGACTGCTTGGTCTCCTTCGACGAGGAAGTAGGAGTTGCAGACATGGTGTCGACAGCGGGCATGTCTAGAGGAAAACCCACGAGAGTTGTGAAAGGGATGGATGTTTCGACTCTGGGGTTTTTGTGGGTGGAAAATTTCAGGAATGTGAAAAAGGGCGGTCTATGTCGGCTGAAGGGGTGCCCACGAAGACTGCGCTTTCCACGCCGGTCTCTCGCTCTATCAGGCGTCTAAGACAGAGAGAAAAAAGAATGTGCAAAAACTCTATCAAGCAGAGAAGATGCAAAACAGGTCGAGGGAGGGGAAAAGAGGATGAGAGAAGGGAGATTGTAAGGAAGAAGGATGGTCAGGGTGAGCCGGCCTGGGTTTTATTTTGTATCTGGGCTTCGCCATTCACTTCTCTCAGAAATTTTTTTCGCTAGTTGCTGCCGGTCCCCAAAGGGACCCCTCCATTCGCCAGTCACATACTCTGGTACGGGCGCATCGCCCCATTTCACCCGGTGCCCCCATCAATCTCCCCCCATCAAATGGCATCTCCTTCCGTTGACTTTTGACCGCCTTCTCTCTAGTCTTTTGCCGCGTTGGCCGACCGCTACCACAAGGAGACACTGTAACCAAAAGGGCCCCTCCGAGATATACCAGAGCCAGAACTTTCCCGAACGCATGAGTCCCGCCGGAGATCTCGACGATCCCTCATCCAAATGTCTCTGGCACGGATCTGTCTGGACGAGTCGAAAAATCTCAAGGGAAAAAGGGGGCCATACAGCATAACACAAGCTACAACAGGGGAAGGGTCTCGATGCTGGTTGCCTGCCAGTTCACTTTGCCAGTCTTCTAGAAGTCCTATTTTTATCGCCACTCAGCCTTGGATAATCAACAAGCCGCACCCTTCTGTTACAGCACAGGCCAGCACAGGCCAGCAAGGGGACAGGGGGTTTCACACCAGTCCGCAGCCTGCATTTACGCCAACCACGTCAGATTTGCATGCCCAATATCCTAGCACATACAGAGGGCAGCTACTGCGGCAGTTTGAGGAGAACCGAGTTCCCCAAGTCGCCTTTTCGCAACCAGACATGGGGACAATGTGTAAGCATGCACAGGCTTCGCCTCCTGGAAGCCGCCCGAGTGACTGACCACCTATCTTCGCCCGAACAGACTGTCAGCCGTCCTACTCGTCAGACCTGCAGCAGTCATCCCCCGCCCATTTTCTCTTGAGGGAGCTGGAGTTACCCTTGAGGGGCTGTGGTCACCATTTCAAGCCCTCTCTCGTATCAGAAATCCCCCTTATCGACAGGAATGGCACTAACTGATAAGGACAATAAGTTTCTCGCACAACGGTCCGCAGGCTCCTGAAATCTCCTTGGGATTCAACAAGACGCGCGACAAAAGGCTCAGACTGTGTGAGGAACCCCTTGGATCAGCACCCCTGATCACTTCACAATCCTGTTGTTTGCAGCAGAAATGCGCCAACAAGGGCAAATGTGCTTTTGCTTTCCACAAAAACTTACAGGAGGGCAAGCCACCTGCACCCAACCGCGGGGCCGCCAAAAACTCGGCGAAACGTTCCTTTTACGTGCTTAACGATTGGCGCAACTGTCGACTGCAGAGAGATATTGCCGTTTTTAGTGGCATGTATCATACTCTCGGAGCGAACTAATCTTGGGTCTTTCAATGTCGGGACTGAAGGGACCTGACGCAATGTGAATACTGCCAGCGCAACCACAACCACTGACGCCCTTTTCTTCGGGCGAGAAGATGCGGATTTCTCTACCGCTCGGATACTCTTGCCGACTTGCGCGTTGCGAGACAACTTGATAGAGTATATTGGCTCAAAAGGCAGCCCACGCCCGGGCTGTAGACTGTTTGCTCACCGCCTTCCCCCGGATTCTGGCATTCAGTAGACTCCAGATGTGCCGCCGTTTAGCTCTCCACATTTGACAGTGGCACGCTTGGACTCGCTAACATGCAGGGTGCCCTTCAGGCACTACGCATCAGCCGGCTTTGCCACACTTTATTTCCCCAAGTTTCCTCAGGGCTGAAGGAATCATGGTGGAATAGGGCGGACTGCTTTTATGTCGAGGTGGGAACGCGCACCCTAGAGCAGGAGACCACTGTGTAGCGAAGCAGAGGAGGAGGATCTAATTGTCATTGGTCGTGTCGTCGCGTCGTCGCTGAAAAGGATCGGCCACAAACGCCAAAAAGCACAGGACAGGCAAATATAGCTAAAGACACTGGACGCTCCTTGAAACCATTCAACAAGAGCCACGAACCCTTCTACCTCGCTCAGTGATGGTGATGATGCCTGCGCCTGCTGCTATCACTCTCACTGCTGCTGCTGCTGCGGTCCCTCCGCCTGCTCACTGACCTCCTGCGAGACCGAGAGACAGAGCGGCTTCTCCGGTCATCGTAGTCGTCATCGTATTCGCCGTAAGCCTCGCCTTCCCGGCGTTCTCTCTTCTTAACCTTGTCCTTCTCATGCTTGGATTCGAGCTTGTGACCAGCATATGCACCGGCAAGAGCTCCGGCAACGGTGATCAGGCTGTTGCTGTGGCCCAGTTCATGGCCAGCCCCTGCGTAACTGTGTTAGGACTCTGTCCAAAGGGGTGTCGCGACCTGAAACTTACATCCACCAACCGCGCCACCAAGGAGAGTAGCCCCTATCTCCTTCCCCTTCTCGTGCCCGCCGTGATGCTTCTCTTCTCTTCCTCGTGACCTTTCTCTTTCCCTTTCCCGCCTTGAGCCGCGGGAGCTCGGGCGGTCGTCGTAGCGATCGTCGTTTCCTTGAGACGGAGGCGCATAGTATGAAGAGTTGTCACCGCCTCGATACTGGCTGGCAGCATAGGGGCCCGAGTTGCGACGCTCGCGATTGTACTCGTACTCGCCCGCGTACTGGCCGACCTGCATTCCAGAATTACGCGGGGAAGATCGGTATTGGTCTTCACGAGCAGGCTGATACTCTCCATAGGAGGACTGACCCAGGAAGTCAGCCAAGACCCGAAGCTGGTCGAGACAAAAAGGGTCGATCATTCTAGCCTTACCTGTGGAGCAGTGTAGGTTTGCCCACCCTCGTATTGTGATCGCGGAGGAGGCGGGTACGTATTGTGTCCACTCCCCGGCGGAGGGGGATACGGGTTTGAGTTGTAGTAGTCTGACATGTTGATATGGCATGTAGCGAGATGGCAGTTTTTTAGAGACGAGCGAAGCTGAGGTGCCGTCGCAATGTTTTCAAGGTTTAACGCAAGAGGGATGACACCCAGCGAGCCCAGGTGACAGCAGCATGAGTCCTTAGTCATCCCGGGTCATGTCGCGGGAGAGTGGCGGGGCTGCGAGTAACTTGATCGGAATGGCGGATAAATTATGACCTCATCGTTCCGGACAGCCACGAGGTCGAATCCGAAACGCTGGTGACGCCAAGCCCGACAAGCCACCGAGTCACAGGCTGCCGCCAAGACTCTTGATCGGTTTCACAAAATGCCTCTTTTCTCCCTGGATGAGTAAGTCTCTGCAAAGATTTCATTTCCGCCACTCTCCGGAATAGGGAGATTGTCACGTTGAAGCATTCCGAGGCTTGACCCTGTGCTGGTCGATTGGCATGTATCCTCGAAAGTCTGGCGAGACGCACAAGGAAAACCCTTAGGGGAATAAACAAACCCCATCAATACTGTTTGGTTGGTTCTTTCTCTGCAACACGCGGCCCACGATAACATTTGGGACGAATGCCTTTCTCAGCCATTTTGTGGTCCCCAGCAGATGAGGATAGAAGCGCCCTCACTCTGAAGAGCATTCACCAAAATCTCTACAGAATGTCGGGACCGAGTCTGCTCTCAATGACACCAAGCTACATTCATTGGATGCAGATCCAACTGGGATTTCTTCTTAGACTGATCAATTGCCAGCACCTTCGCTGACTCGGCCTTGAAACCTCTGTATTGATTTGTGGTGATCGAGGACTCGGTATTCCTGCACCTCAGAGCCTTGCCAGATCTTCCACAAGGCCGCCAACCACCGTCAAGATCATGTTGCCCCGAATCGGAGACAGCTCGTTGCTTCTTTGGTCTCGGAGTACTCTCGGAAATCTTCAGTCCACGTACTGTTGTCCTCGCTTCCTCTCCCAATCAGCGTCGCTGCTCCTGCGCGGCTTTTCTCAACGGTACATTTCAGTTGGCTTCGGGTTGAACTGCGTCGATTTATCAATGCCCACCGCCCCTTCTTAGTGATATTCGGTCTCTCGCTCTAATAAGGGGATGCCGACTTTTCCTTTCATTTGACTTAAGCTTAAGTGAATGCGCCAGCTTATTGGGTGCAAGTCTGGCTCGCGGCGAGCATTTCCGCAGTTTCACTCCACCTGGTCAACCTCGTCGTCTTTTCGCGTTTTGCGCATGGCCGAGTGCGACCATAGAAGATCGAAGCATGTGCATATGTCGATGATGTTGTCCTTGTTGGGCTGCGAAGCCACTAGATCGCCTGTGTCAACGAGGCACGAGACTTGGTGGAGCCATGATATATATACACCATGTTCCCGGGTCTTCGTTACCCCTTCTTGTCGCCCAGCTCAACTTTGCCATTCTACTCTGCCCAGAGAAACAGTCCCAGAATTCAAAACTATTTCCCTTGCCGATTCCTAATTCGCCGAGCTCACCATGGAGCACGCTCACATATCCCACGGGACTTCTCTAACTACAACGCCCACGCTGACGGATGCTTCCAGCTCTCGGGAGCATGGCGTCGAAAAATCAGACAGCAGACTGACCCGGGCTTCTACTCGTCGGACACTGGAAAACTATCAGACCAGACCGACGCAAGATGCCTCAGACGTGCTGGATTTGCCTTATGATATCCTCAGCGATGAGGCCGATATGAACGAATATTTAGAGGAGACTGTCACCGGTGTGATTCCCAAGAAGACAATATCGAGAGTTAGTGGAAAGCTCGAGGAGCATGAGTTGGTTACTTTCAAGATTGGCGACCCGGAAAACCCAAAGAATTGGTCTAAGCCTTACAGTACGTTTCTCTGCGCCACATCGCATTTGTTCTGATTCCTGCAGTTGCTGACCTCTCTGTGAATAGAATGGTGGTGCACCATGACCGTGGCATTCACTTGCTTTACCGTCGCCTTCAACAGCGCTGTCATCACTGCCGACTTGGAAGGCGTCTCAGAAACGTTCCACGTGTCAGAGGAAGTATCCCTCTTGACCATCACCATGTTCGTCATTGGTTTTGGGGTCGGTCCCCTCGCATTTGCACCCTTGTCAGAGCTCTATGGTCGGAAGCCGGTCTATATCATCACCTTGGCTCTTGCTGTCATATTCGAAATCCCCTGCGCCGTGGCCCAGAACATTGGGACACTGTTGGTCTGTCGTCTGATTGACGGTATTGCATTCTCTGCACCCATGACCCTCGTCGGCGGGACGTTGGCCGATCTCTGGAAAAATGAAGAGCGGGGCGTTCCCATGGCCGTTTTCTCGGCGGCTCCCTTCATCGGCCCTGCAATCGGCCCCTTGGCAGGAGGCTACCTTGGTGACGCCGCTGGATGGCGCTGGCTTTACTGGATCCAAATGATCCTCGCCGGTCTCTGTCTGGCCATCCTGACCTTTACGGTGCCAGAAACTTACACACCTGTCCTCTTGGCCAGAAGGGCGAAGAAATTGCGTAAAGAGACGGGTGACAGCAAATTCGTCACGGAACGGGACCTCGATGCGCGCCCCTTGACACAACAACTGCGCATTTTTCTCGTTCGGCCTCTGCAACTGCTTTTCCTCGAACCCATCGTCCTTCTCATCTCGTTGTACATGTCGGTGCTCTACGGCCTCCTTTACATGTTCTTCGTCGCGTACCCGATCATCTACGTTGAGGGTAAGGGTTGGTCTGAAGGTAGCACGGGTCTTATGTTCATTCCGCTGGCCCTCGGCGTCCTTCTTTCGGCCATATGTTCGCCGCTGGTCAACAAGCACTACCTATCCATCTGCGCCAAATACCCCGACGGCAAGCCGCCGGCGGAAGCACGCCTCGTCCCCATGATGTTCTCCTGCTGGCTGATTCCGGTTGGACTCTTCATATTCGGCTGGACCTCATACCCGGACGTCTCGTACTGGGGACCCATGATGGGCGGCTTCCCCGTCGGCTTTGGGTTCATCTTCCTGTATAACTCGGCCAACAACTACCTCGTCGACACCTATCAGCATCTCGCCGCCTCAGCGCTCGCCGCCAAGACCTGCATCCGGTCCTTCTGGGGCGCCAGCGTCGTGCTGTTCACCATCCAGATGTACCACACCTTGGGGTACCAGTGGGCGAGTTCGCTTCTGGCATTCCTGGCTCTCGCGTGTTGCGCGATCCCTTACGTCTTTTATTTCTTCGGGGCGCGCATCAGGCGGTTCAGTCGATACGCCTACAAAGACGAGAACGAGGTTTCTCCTATGAGAACGAAGAAGGAAGGGGAAGTCTAAATTACAAAGGATCGGGCTATGGCTATCAAGAGCTGGGTCTCACAACGAGTTGAAAGATCGAGATATCGATCAGGAACACAACGGCCAGACGAGAACCTCCTCCCCTCAGAGGGTAGCAGGAGGTCATCTGTCAGGAAAGGTGACCGGGAAGGAGAACGTAGTAATTTCTGTCTTTGGTTTGTCACATATTCGGCGTGGGATGCCCGGGGATAAGGTCTTGTGACCATCTCCAGTTCAGGTTTCAGGTATACATGTACTAATACATAGGCACAAACAAGAACCTTAATCCAAATACCAGATATAACGCTCTGGAGTATCACGGTTGATTGGGCAGCCACGCGGTTGCACAAAAGAAGCTTGTCCAGGAGTGCGGGCACCTCTGATTCAACTTGGCACTGGCAAGTAATGGATACGAGTAGCCTTCCACACTATGATGACTGACATTACTGGTGCCTCTTAGCATGCTGTAGGCGCTGTAGTAGAGCGTAAAGAACAATGGTGTATGACGGTGGTAGATATACGTGGAGGCTAGGTGGATCATGATTGCCATGGCCCTGCAACATCTTTTGCAGTCAACAACACACCATCAACCAACTCATTGCCCAAGCTTTCGCGCTGGCCAAAAGCTAATTGCGCTGCTGCTGCTCAGCCTCATCGATGCGCCTTGCACAGCCACCCCCGAACCCCTTGAGATACCAGGCAGACGTCCACCCATCAGGCATTTCCAACCATCATATAATCGCTACAGCGCATTCCTTCACATGGGTGCCAGCATGAACTCCAAAGGGACTTCTCCCGCTTTGGAACCTCCGAGGAGGCGTAGCATGAACCATCATCCAACACAAGAAGGATTAACATGAAGGCCACTAGTTCACCCTTCGTGGCATGCAGGACCTGCTCTTGCAAACTTTATCCCTACACGTACCCTCCACTGGAGGAGGGAGACACGCAGATCAGGCTTCTTGAGCTCGAACCGAGCCTGGAGGCTGCCGCCAACATTCATGCAAAGCTGCGGACTTATGCCATCGACTCTGCGCCGGCATACACAGCGATATCCTACAAATGGAGATCCAAGAATCCCTTGCGCGCCATTCACCTGGACGGCATGCGCTTCTTTGCACGCGACAATCTCGTAGACATGTTCAGATGCCTACGAGATCCACACCAGCCTCGCATGTTGTGGATCGACGCCGTTTCCATCGATCAGTCTAATGTCCAAGAGCGCAACAGCCAGGTCGAGAAGATGGGAACAATTTACGAACGAGCCGAAACCGTGGTCGCTTGGCTAGACCTGCGAGATGAGGACGCCCTCCGAAAGGTGTCGCAGCTTCTATCGACTCCAAGACTCTGGCAATATACCGACTTCCGGAAAAAGAGTGAGGATGCCCAAGAACTTTGGGGGGCTTTGGAGACGGTTATGGAGCACGACTATTGGACTAGGTCATGGATCATCCAGGAGATCGTCATCGCCGACCGTGTCACACTTCAATCAAAATCCTTCGCCATGCCATTAAGTCTCCTCGAAGACTTTGCCTACTGGGTCATGGTCCGCAGAGATAAATCTAAATGGATCCACCCAGACTGGAAAGCCATTGCCACGGCAAAATGTATCCAGTTATGCGAGCATCGAACAGCCGCGTCCAGTCTCTCAAACTCTCGTCAACCCTTACAACATCTCCTGATGCGCTATGCCGACTTCGAATGCATGGATCCTCGAGACAAGGTTTATTCGGTACTCAACCTTTGCATTCAGCTCGACCCGCCAATCACCGTCAACTACGCCTTTACCTGTGCCGAGCTGTTTGTCGAGGTATTATGGTGCTTGATTTGGTCCCAGGAGTTGGGAGCGAGGGAAGTCGTGGGGACGGCCGCCCTGTTATACAAGCACCTCCTCTGCGACTATGCATCCGAGACTGAGCGGCGAAACGCAGTGTATGCGGTGCGTAGCACATTAAAATTCAACATCGAACCATATCCTCGAGGCCACGTCGCCTCTGGAGCCTTGAGTTACGACGAGCGGCTGCAACTACTCGATGGTATTCGCAAGCAAGCCGCAGGAATGCGGGCGTTGCCGAGCCACAGGTCCTATTATAGAGACTATGAGAAATGGGTCAATTTCCCCGACGTCCAGAAGGCGCCGCTAGTCCAGCCCGAGCATCTCTCCAGCTTTGCGGTCGAATTCGATCTCGGCGAATCAACCAGGGCGCATGCCGCGTCCTTTGGACTGGCAACCTGCCCTGTCAAGGCGGGCGACCAAATATATCAGTTCAGCAACACCGACTTCGCCCTTGTATTGAGACGTGAACATCCACTTCACGTGTTTCAGAACTCATTTGTAGACAGGGTGGTGGGATCTGCGGCTTTGGTGACCGGCCCAAATGGTGCAGCCCCGTGGAATCCGTTCATCAAGTCGACCGACATTTCCTCCTGGCTCAGGTCTTTTGAGTCGACCCCGGACGATGGAGCGGCATATAATAGCGTCCGGGCCAACGAAATCAACGTCGTGCAACTGATGAAGCTTCTCTCGTTGGTATGTCCGCCTTAGAAGCAAAGAGTTGCTCTGGGCTCTCAGTTGAAGAGTGCCTTTTCCATTCTCATTCGCAAAAACTCGAGGTGCGAACCTCTCTTTTGTGAGGTGGTTGATTTTGCATATTTAATAGGAATTTTGACCAAGCCATTGCCGCATCTCCGGCAGCACAAAACGAGGTGTGGATTGAATGACTCTATGGGAGAGCTTTGCTTCGTAATATCGACCGTGCTTTTAGTATACCAGCGTCGATAGCAAGCTGCGCCACGTTTGGCTGTCACGGCTGGCAGCATTGGGTGACCAGTAACCTGCCAGAAAATACATGTACTGGACTTTCGATTGCCATAGGATCCATTTCGAGTCCCAGTATGTCAGTTTCCGGATCTTCAGATCACGCAAGACCGATCACATGCGACTGTTTGACATATTTATCCATGCACCGCTGCCTACATATCCTGCTCTGTGGATCGTCTTCACCATCCCCTCCCCCAAGGCCGCCATCACCTTCGCCCTTCAGCCGCGCCCCAGTTCAATAGAAGAAGCCTCAGAAACCCTTGCTTGTGAACTATGTACAGCTTTCGAGTGAGGGCCTCGTTCCAAATACTGCTACGAATGGACTTCTCCCACCCCGCCGTACATGATAAGTGACTCGTACTAATGTCAAACGCCAGACAAAGCCGTTGGTCCTTTCCAGAGCATCAGTCATCGCCGCCGTCATTACGACGAACACGGGTGTGGTGAACTTACTGAGCGTTTGAGCCAAAAGCAAACGGGTCATTGTCCAGTGTAATAAGAAGCCACAGAGTTGTACACACTAGAGAATATTGTTAGGACCTATATCGCTTCAGACGGTCGAATGAGCGGCATCCGAGACCATTTGCCTCATCGAGCTTTCGCTCGGACCCTGGAGTTGTGAATGGGGGCGTGAAAGAAACTTACTAGCCGACACCCTCTGAATTGCAGACCCCGAGCTGAAACCCCTTCGCCTCGCCATCCACGTAACCCGACATATCAGCCTCGGCGATATTACACCCTGACGCTCTCGAGATATAGGCCTTTTGATCCGAGCCACCGTAAACGTCCAGCGTGAACGCAGCAAACCCGGTTCCGAACTCTTTGCACGAGTTGTCCCATACATTGATTGATCTGGCAGTCCCAGTGCAGTCGGGGTTCTCCCAGGCTGTCATGACAAAGGCTGATCCTGCGTTGAGGAAACCCATCATGACTGTGCCGAAGGTCAAGGCCTTTGAACGTGTGAAAAGCATTGTTGTTGTTGTTAAGACAGTTTGTTATCGAGCGTTAGGGAAGGGGCGCAGTGCAAAAGGACTATTCGTCAAAAGTCAGATAAGAAATGATGAAATCTTAGGATGGATTGAGGGAGCAATGAACCAGAGACAGGAGCCCTTGGGAGATATCTACCCTACTTATAACCTTTTTGCAATCGCCAGGTCATCACGTATAATTCACTTGTGCGTATACAATCACCGTGAGCGTATGATCACAGTGGCGGCCGAATCCTACAGCACCGCCCTTAGGCGTAGAATACTCGCTGAAGAACTTTAAAGCTCTATAGGGGGAAGATCCTCGGACCCTAAAGAATCCTTAAGGGGCCAAAGTATCTAGCCTAGGATAGGGCTGTTTACGTTAGCTCTACGGGTATTATCCCGTCGTATAGGTAGTTTAAGACTATCGACCTCCTAATTAGGATAGTCTACCGAAGATCAGTATACTCCGGAAGGCCTAATACCGGAGATCGACGGTATTTCGGAAAAGGACGAAGGGGTAGGCAGCTGGCTATAGAATAGGTCCATCCGGATATGTCTATGTAGCTAACCCTACCCAGCCCCCCTTAGCCGTCAGCTGTGACTCTATAAGTATAGAATGTCGAGGTGGGATATAGGAAGCGGCCCCCTTGATTGCGCCGTTGTCACTGGTTATCCTGAGTTGTAAACGGTCGTATACCTAGGTAGGTAGGAGGGTTCGATTCCCTGAGGGTAACTCCTACTGGTATTGAGCACCACCACCGGTGCCTGTAAATAGCTTAGCTTAAGTAGGTAAATCAAATAAAATCAACATATGTTAGTGTATGATCAGCATGCGCGTAAGATCATCTTGCGCGTATGATCACCGTGCGTGTATGATCACCGTGCTCGTACGATCATCGTGCGCGTATGATCACCGTGCGCGTATGGATAAAGAACAGCCTGGGGCGATAGCAGAAGGCAACAGTAGAATTCAGTAGACGTCAGGCATCCCTTGTTAAAGTATATCGGCGAGATAACCTGTAGTACCAGAATTTGTTTCAACATTTGCTTTTTTTTTTTTAGCACTAAGTCTCCACCTTGACTGCGACTTTCCCAAGACGCTCCACCACGGACTTCACAAACGGTCCTGTACCCCAATTACCCACGTTATTGAGCTTGACCATAAGGTCCTCCACCCGCTCCAGCACCAGCGCATTACAACTGTCCAAAAGTTTCGATTCGAACCTGCGCACACCCTCGTCATAGACGGTCCAGTGGTACCAGAGCTCGTGGATCGGCCCTTGGGTGGTGATGGAGAAGAAGAGCGGGGCATGGGTGCTCGAGGAGGATGTGGGCAGAGCACCAGATGTGATCGCGCCGCCGTTGACCAGGCTATCCAGGTCAAGCTGGATCTTGAGCGCGCATACCCCGGAAATCGCAGCCTGGTTCTCTGCGGCGAAGATTTGGTTACCGGTCGAGTAAGCCGTGCCCTCGACAACGGCAAACGGGAAGGCGAGATCTAAAGCGCCTGGTGCCGGTACTGAGAGAAGCATTGGTTCAAGCGGGCCCTGTGGCTCGTGCTGCACCATCTCGTTCTGGAGCCAGTCGATGAATGCCGTGGCCTTGGCCTTGTTGAGTTTTTGCGCCGAGAGAGCAGAGACAAGGGCCGTGAGATCTGTGCCTATTGAGAGGTCGGGGCGGGGAGTTTTGATTGGGTAGCGAACTCCCCATTTCTCCAGAACAGGTGGGGCTGGGCGAGGCATCGTGTGCCATCCCTGTGAATTGTTGGCTGGCGGAGTGGTGGGTGTGTTAGCCCGACAGGATTTGGGAGACATGTACTCGCCAGCGGACTGCTGCTGGCGCTTTCCCGGTCGAGCTGGGACATGGTCAACATCTAGTTGCTGGACACCAGCCATGAAGTTCGAACTGAAATGCAACTGCTGCTGAACTGTTGGCTTAAGCTCCTCTCGCCACTCGGCTTTTCACGGAGACAGAGGTTCTTGAGACCCAGAGCCTTGAGGGCAGTATGGAGCGGATCTAGAAAGTCATCCTCGCCAGACTGAGCCCTGATATTTTTGAGGCAGCCGTGACTCAGTTCCTGGGCTATGACACTGAGTTGAGCTCGGCGCTGCTTGGAGAGTTTAGCGTTGACAATGAGGTTGACTGCGGCTTCGATGTAGTCAGGCGGCTCAGCGTGGATGTGGATCTGTACAGCTTGAAGATGTTTGTGGCGGTAGAAGGCGTTGGTATTAGAACAGCGCTGGGATCGGAGTGTGTCCACTTCCGATGTGATTATAGATCGCCATGATGAGGCCTGTCCGAGAACTAGAGCATTGTCGGCTGCGGGGTTCATTTCTCCGTTGAATATTCGTAAATTGGCCTCAGACAGCTGGTATCTGGTGGCGGGGAGCCTTGAGGACTGTATTGAAGGCCGTACGGCTTCTCGCTTACCAGCTTCCGCTTCAAGTTCAGAGCCTGTTTGCAAGTCTTCCTCAGAGTGGTCGACCGCGGGATGAGTACTTCTCCTCAGCTGTTTTGCGAGGCGCTCGTTTTGAGAGTTGTCCACTTCGGCTCCAGCTTGAGCGTCGTGCGAGCGCTTCCGTTCTATCCCGGCCGGCTGGGAGATGGATGGTGGAGGGACTCCTTTAGAGTCTTGTTTCACTTTCACGGCTGGTCTCTGTGATGGCCTCCTCCTCTGTCCTTTGCTTGTCGTTCGCTGGTGGTTCGTGGCCTTTCTCTCTTGCGATCGCGGGCTCTTGTGGGAGGAGATGTTGGAATTTACTCTTGAGTTTTGCGTGCGCAATTGTTGGTCGGCTTACAACGCCGGTCAGCGACGTTGGTGACGAGGCAAGAATGAAGGTTGTGTAGAGCGAGAGGGAGAGCGCGCGCGCGCGAGAGAGAGAGTGTGTGTCACACTGACTGACATTTTTCTTGTATTCTCCGGCACTTTCTCTGGTGATCGTCAATCGCGTCTTCTTCCTCGCCTTTGTCTCGGGCTGAATGTTGCCCTTCGTGGTCATTCATTAAGGTCGCAAATTCCAAATGATGAAAGGAGTTTGCTTACGACTAGAGCGATCAAGCTTGGCCTCCTGCTGCTGGGGGCGGCCAGCTTTGTCGTGACCATTCTTTTTTGCCGTTCCGCTTTTGTCCTGTTTTGCAATTTTACTGGGTGCCATAATGTCTAGCAGTGTGTACTAGAAATGGACGGGAGAACCAAAGGCCAACCACGTATTATATAGCACCCACACGCAGGAAATTGGAAATTGGAGGAGACGCGGCGGTCGTGGTCGTGGGGCTGCTGCTCTCGAAGGGCTGCGCGGAGAAGAACCGACGACTCTGTCTTAACAGGAGTAAATACACAGAGGAAACAAAAGCAAAGGACGTGTCCAACCCCTTACGGTCTTGTCGAATTAATGGAAAGAATGTGGAGAGACACTGGCGAAATGCAAGCAAAGATAGGCTTAGACTATACCATATTGGGTAAGGCGCAAGACAGTATTTAATTACCTAGGTACCTTCATACCTAGGCCGAAAGGTTAATAGTATGTGCTCGGTATAGAAGTAGCACTGCCCTGCCACCTGTTTCCCAATAGGAACTTGATACGTCCTTAACTCGACATACGTAACTCGGCCTAACCACCTGCACGGCTCGTCAAGCTTGTTTGGAGTCATACCCATGGATCGTTTCCTTGCACTATGGGATGCGAGATGGAGCAAGTCCAACCGCGCTCCGAAGCAGGCGTTTATATTGCAACACGACTTTCCATTGACTGTCCCAGTATCCGGGCTCTCGGTTCGCCGGCGGGTCTGACAAGTCTGCCAGGACTGGCAAGTGATTGATCAAGAGACCCAGAGATTTCAAGATATCTGGTAATTTCTCCGGGTGGGTTTCTGTGTTACGAACAAAATGTATGAGTATATGAGCGTAATGGAGAAAGCATAAGCTAAGAGTTGTCGCTTGATAGGTACTAGGTACGAACGTGCAAGTGTTTCCAACTGATTGGCCGTGGAGGGGAAATTCTCTATGGGCTTCCCATCGAATACATTCCGGAGAGGGATGAGCTCTTCGTCTCCGTCCACGACGGACGAGTTTGCGAGCCGAGCGGACGCATTGAAGCGTCTAGAAATTACCATGTCAACAAATGTATGTTTCGAAAAGCCATCGGCAACTAAAGGCATAGTCTCAGTGGTGATGGGGACTCACTCAATGTTCAGGTTTCTGGTGTCAAGCTCTGGATTCCCCATTGTGGTCGTCGTCGTAGTCGGTTTTCGTCGTCTCGAAGAACTATTAGGTGAAAATTTTGAAGCACAAGGCGAGCATGGGCGTGTCAGCGAGAGCAATCTAGGACACATTTATACCACACCAGGCAGTCCTGGAGCAGCCTACCGTCCCTCGCTCCCTTTGTCCTCAGCTCGAGCAAAGTTCGATATCACCGCGACGCGGAGCTCCGCAGCTGCGCTAGGTGTACGTCAAATGTTCATTTTCATGGGTGTCTGAAGTAGGAGGTTCTAGCCGATTCGATCAGTTCCAGAGGCCCAAAAGGGGTGGGGTTCCGTGCTGTCAAGAGAGAGACGGTCGAAAGCTGGGTTCCATGCATATGCACATAGCACTTGTTCAACGTTCAAGTTCGTTCAGCAGCCTGAACCTTGCAATTAGCCCAGAAAATGGGCATGCTGCATTGGGACGGGCCAAGAGCCCCTTAATGGCTTCCAACTACTTACCATATTCATTTGCTTCTGCGACAGGTCCCTGGCACCCGTCTGCATCCTTCTTGCAACATGTTCGAGGAAAGCGGCTGTAACGGGTAGCCTTGACGCAGGGATGCATCGCCTGTACGTAGGCTGGAGCACAGTAGGTCCGTTCTGACTCGTCCAAAAAGAGGACAAAGCTGTTCGTGAAAACTGCTGTGGCTTGCGCAGGCTCTTCTCGAACCCATCGCCACCAGCAATTTCATTGTCGAGATCACGCAGTACATGCATGACTGTAGGCGTCAGTGCCAGGAGAGTAAGATTTCCTTGGCCGCGGGTGGCCAGAACCGTCTTCGATTGGAGTGCGACAAATCACACCAGTCGATGTGGCTTGCCAGCCAGCGCCTCGTATAGCAAGCTGAAAATGCAGGGACTCGGCAGGGCAGTCGACGTAGCTTGTGGAGCTGAAAGGCCGGAGCTCAACAGTTCAGTCGAGGTGACTTGCTTGTGGCGAGCTGAGAATGGGCGAGCTACGTTCTTGAAGCTATGGCATCTAGCAAGCAAAGACGTGATCAACGAATGGATTGTCTACCTCGACAGGTGGCTACCTGCTATGTTCATGTGCATGCGACAATCTCATGGTGCCAAGTGCCAAGTGCCAAGTAGCACCATCCGTAACAGCATCGGTTGTTTCCACGCGTCCTAATCCAGAACATCGAGTTCCTCCTCCGTTCTGTCACACAATCCTTCATCCATTACGGCAATTCACCTTATTCATATCATGTTGGTGTGGCTAGCGCTTTTCCTGCAGATATTTGGCCGGTCCGGCCTGTGCAGCGGCCCAGAGGAACTCTCTTAGCCAAATCTGTCAATCCATAATTACCCCCATGGGGATATGCACATGGCTGGAGACATCTTATTGATGCATATAGGTTTGAAGTGTCCGATCAGCTGGCCGCAGCTTTGTGGCTGATCACCATTCTATGAACACGGTACAGCTGAGCCGTCACGGTCTGGAACGTTCTCAGATCAAAAATGCCATCTATCAAGGATGCGCAACAGCTTTTCGCGATGCTGTGAGGATGCAGCTTGCTTTTTCACTTGCAGACTGCCTTACGAGTTTAACCGAGTCAGCCAGCCACCTCCAGCGTCGCCTTCTATAGCTCGTGAATCTAGACGTGGCGGTTCTACGTTCCCTATGTTATTGGTGACGAATCCCTGGACTTGTGGCCGCATGAGCACGCAACTCATCAGCTCAATTTACCTGTTTGATCCTGCTCTTGCCTGTTACCGGACTCTGTGAGTCTTACCGCTTCAAACAGCTTACCCTAGCGTACCTTTTATCCGATTTCAAGCCAGCTCGTGGGATGGGGCCCTGCGCAGGCGGCTAGTTGTGGTATTTTGGGTCGCAGAACATTTGAGCTTTATGGTGCGAACAACTTCAGGTTTCCCGATGTCCTCGTATCTCTCAAAGATTTGGAATTATAGTCGCTTGCGCAACAGGATTTATAGTATTTATCACTTCTTCCGCGTCTCTGCAGAGCATATTTCTGAAGACTTGCTTTGTCTCAGACTGAAATCTTCCAAAGTACTAACTTGACTTCCAGTCATGGCTGCCCTGAACAAACTCAAGCAAGCCCATCAGCAAGGCGTTGTTCTAGGGTTGAAAGGCGTTGGTGATGTGAAGCCACGCTACGATATTGATGTCTTCTTGTTGAAGTACCCGGACACGTTCAACTTATTCTGTCTTGCCCTCGGCGAGTTGATGAATGATCCCGACTCAACCAAGATCATGGGCTACTATCAGATTGCAGGCATCCACGGACTTCCCAGTGCTATGTGGAATGGGGTTGCATCCAGCACCAAAGAGACTATCGGCACGACGAAGTATGATCAATCTGGCTATTGCGTACATGGCCTGCCAGAGTTTCCGACATGGCATCGTCCTTACTTGGCCATGTTGGAACAATCTATTTACTTGAAGATGCTCGAGATTGCGCAGAGCTATCCGCAGAAAGCCGACCAAGACGCTTACCGAACAGCCGCTCAAGATTTCCGATTGCCATATTGGGATTACTTTCGAGCACGCGGCCAGAATGCCAAATATGGCACGCGAACTTTCTCCTGGGATTTCAAGGCTCCCAGGATCTTCACCGAGACCGAGATCATGCTGGATGTCCCAGGAAAAGGCTTTGTGAGAAGACCCAATCCTCTGCAGTCGTTCAGCTTCCTTAAGGGTGGCAAGCTACCGCAGAAAGACTGGGACCTTGTGCCTCTGAAGTTAAGCGTTTACGACAAAGACAAAACCCTTCGACACCCCCGGAACGATCATCCAGTGGACCACTTGAACTACACTCTCAACACGAATTGGCAAGATGATCTACGCGACATCTCCAACGCAATCAGTGATTACGACCATGAGAAGATGGATGGGTTCGTCACGAATTACTACAGATCCTTGGAAGGCAGTGAGTATGCCAATGTAGAACGCCGACTGCATCGCTAACTCGAGGACTCAAGTTCATGGGGATTATCATATCAACATCGGTAACACCGCAGGTCACATGAGTGACGTGCCGATTGCGGCTTTCGATCCGATCTTTTGGATCCATCACGCGTGAGTGGTTTCTTTGGGACTTTTCCCCCGGCGAAGTAATCACAGACTAAAATCTCTGGGTGGTTGAAAGCCAAATTGATAGATGGTTTGCGGTGTGGCAGGCAGCACATCCGGACTCTTGGTTTGATCCCGGCGAGGATCAAGCACCGCTGCTCCCTTTCAGGACTTCAAAAGGCGATACCCCGGCCAACGATCGGTTCTGGGATTCAGCAGGCTCGAAATCCACCGAAACCTTTGGCTACACCTATCCCGATCTCAAAACAACACTCGAGCCTCATCAGCAAGGGTACAACAAACAGGTCGCCAAGGATTTTGTGGATCGATACAGATGGGCACAGCGAACGTCTAGAAGTCCGACCATTACTGGCACACCGCCGTCGGAAGGCCGGCTTGACATGAGTATTCTACCCGTGGATTCTGAGGCGCAGGTTTTCCAGTATGACAAGACGTCCAAGCCTAGAAAAAAAACAGTTACCTCTGCCGCTGTTGCTACGGCGGCTACATTCGCGCAACAGGCGAGCCTGGTGAAAGAAAGTCTTGCTGGGATGGTCGCTCGGGTGGTCGCAACAGAATCAGAGCCAAGTGAACCCACGGCTGAACAGAAAGCGACTGCGGCTCAGCGATCATTGAAGCACATGGACCCGGCTGAAGTCGCCATGGCAGACGATTCCGACATTGACGAGTCACGAGTGGAACGTCAATGGTATGTAGATGACTCTGTGGAAAGGTAAGTCTGATGTGCTCAGTGCTCACCTCCTCTCTGCTGGTCGCTTATTGGGGCTAACGTCGGAATCAGGCTTGCTCTCAATGGATCTTTTACCATCTTCTACTTCATTGGAACTCCACCCCCGGTTGCTGTCCCCACAAGTCAATATATATCCTATCGCACGCTCGGCGGAATCAGCCACATCTTTGCCGCTCCAGTCGAAGCATGCGACAACTGCCACATGCAGGCAGTAAATCTCAACCATCTACAGACCGACACGGCGGGAATCACGTCCACCTTGCTCGACTACATGCTGACCGGAGACCTTGCGGACCTCAGTCCCGAGAATGTGAAGCCTTTCTTGGTCAAAAACTTGAAATGGAGAGTGGTAACGGTAAGCCTTTTCTTCTCCCTTTTTTTTTTTGGAAAGAGTAAGGACAAGTTTTCTTCATAAAACATTTAGCTAACGAGCCACTGTTGGTGATCAAGGCTACCGGAGAGCTTGTCGATCCTCGCACCATCCCGAGCTTGAAGTTCGGCATTACTTCCAGGCTGGAGACTGTGGGTGACGATGGTGGCAGGGTCACATGGCAAGAGTTCCCTGAAGTCATCACAGAGATCATCCAAGCCTCTTCGTAGCGTGGAGGGAACGAATGCATCATGCAGCCCGTAGAGGCGGCCATTTGGTCGTTTGACCCGAGCCTGCAAGGATGATGCTAGACTGACGACCTACAAGTAACCAGTGTCTGAAGAACCTGGTTGTTTGAACTTAATGATAAGACGCCTATGTGAGACGAGAAGCCCATTTGATATTACGGGAACTATCAGGATCAAGTGGTTATCTTAAGATCTTACGGCTAGAAGTTTTCGAAGCCCACAGTGGAACCATGGAGGTTAGCACTTGGAGCAACTAACTCCTTTCGTCGTGGTCGCTGCGCAATGCGTATGAGTAGGTAGTCTAGTATAATCGGGCTATATTAATTACCATCTCGACTCTCGACTTACCCACCTAGGTAGGCTACCGTATGTATTATTATGTATTTCAGCCTTACTTCAGGGACCTACCTACCTACCTAGTATCCTCGTGAGTTGCAAATTCCCTGCCTTCACGCTCCTACCTGACCTAGCTTTGCATGAGTAGTACGGGGTCGCCAGCCTATCGAAGGGGCTTCCCCCCACTCTCTCTACTTAGGTAGTCATACAACCCCAAACCACCTGGTCAAAGGGGGTATGTGCAAAAGCTAGGTAGTCGCTAGAGGTGGGCCAAGCCGTGTTTGAAAAATTACATGGACAAAGTTGCATACCTACATCACGCCCAAACGGCGACCGGGGCGGGGGGGGCGGTTTATTCGTCGTCTATGCCGAGTACTGCGGCAGAGCCCGCTATAATCGGTCAGTTTTGCTCGGGGGTTGGTGCGTGAAATGCTGAGCAAGACCGGGTTGGCCTTTGTCGTCCGTACGAAGTATTTGGACATCTCAGACTCGCGTGTGCTTCGCCGCCGTGCAAGGCGTTGTACAAGGACGTCATGATGAAGTACTTGGGGTCCAATCCCGTTGTCAGATCGAACTTCTAAAGGAACTTGCGGAAAACAGTCAACAAGATCAACAGCAAGAGCAACAAAAAAGTTTTGTATCCAATGCCCATTCACAGTATACTAGCTTTTCCCATGCCTTCCCAAGAAATTACCGAAGCCATTCCCACGACGCCACCGCTATGCTCGGGGTCGCCCAATCAAAGAAAATAAGCAAGAAGGGAGATCAGCTTGCCCCCAGAATCCTGGTGTACGCATCCTCCACCTCCCTGGCAATCTCCAACAGACTCACAATCGCGATGCTATGCGTTGCCTCGGGCAACTTGTCCCGGTGTAATCCGATCCACTCCAAAGGCGGCGTTGCCTCGCCCATGTCCCGGAGCTGTGGCGTATCAATTATCGGCGGCTCAAGTGCCACATAGGTGAATTTACTCAGTGGGACATTGACGACCGCAGTGATCTTCTCTTGACGGCCGTTTTCACCATCTTGCGAAGGCTCGGCGGTGACTTTGATGGCAGATGGTGGTAGGGGTTTTCCTAAACGTGAGGCCAGAGCACGGGAGTGGGCCTGCCACATGCCGCGGATGAAGCTGATTCGAGCATAATTCCAGCCAACGTCGACTTTTCCTTCAAAGGTGCTCCGGAAGGTATATTCAATGGTGTTGGAGTCTGCGACCTGCCAGGTCTGCATTGCTGAGACGAGACGAGGCACTTTGACGATGGTCCCGCCTCGAGAGGTGGTGGCTCTGTCAATTACATCTGGCACTGAAACCTCGCTCAAGGCCTTTGTGGTGGCCCGGTTCACGCTCGACAGCGCGACTCTGAGTTGTCCTAGCGTCATTCCCAGTGCGCTGTGGGTTTTGCCTTCAGTCGTAGCCACGGCAAACCTTGCCTGTACCTCGGTCGCTTCGACCTTGAGAATCTGATTGTCGAAGAATGTGTTTGGGAAGACCCCAGCATCAAGAGCTCCCAGAGTCAGAACCACGTCTGTATGCAACGCGAACGTGCCCTTGGCTGCAGCTTTCTCCTTGCTTTTCCTGACCGGAGCTGGATTGCTCCAAGTGCTGGATGGAAACATCGATTTCCTTCGGAGGAACTTATCCAGGTCCTGGAGCGACGTCTCGTATGCTTCGTGCTTCTCCTGCATTAACCGTTCGAACGCCTGCACGAGGGCAAGACCCTGGGCAGCAGTGGCCGTGGTGCAGAAGACTTGGACTTTGCCGCCGTCGACGAGCCCGACCAGCCGATCGCTGTCGTGTCCGAGACCCTGCCTCACGTTGTACATCAAAAATTCGAAGAAAGAGATGTCTGCTACCGCGAATGGTTGATAATCGAAGGCAGCCTTGACGCGGAAATGCTCGAAACCAATGGACGCTTGGACAAGAGGAGCGCGCGTTTTTGCCGTAGCATCCTCTGGCCATTTGATCGACGTCCGTGCTCGCATGTTCTCCAGCTCAATGAAGCCACTCATCCGCCCTGTGCTGTCCACGCCCACTCTGTCGAATCCTATGCACAAGTTCTGCTCCGAGTCGCTGTTCTTTCTTGACGAAGCCCACAGCTTGGAGACGGTGAAGACGGACTTGCCGAGCCCCTGGCCAAGGTCGACTGAGAGCTGAACTTCCTGCACAGACACGATAGCATGCCATGGTAAGGTGCCCTTCCCAGAGAGCTCCTGATAGCGCTGCATTGCGTAGGCCTGTTGATCCAGGGGAGATGCCACGGGAGCACTCGGTTTGGACTTACTGCGAAGTTCTGGAGGGTACCAGATTTCGCGGAAAAGAAGAAAGTCCTGCAGCTGTTTGGCATTGATGTCCGTCTTCATCGGACTGATGTTGAGAACCGCCGAAATACCGGTTGTGGCACTCACATGCTTGCTGTTCATCAGCGACATGACGATGGAATCCACTTCAAAGCTCGCGGTGGATTCCCGCGAGTAAACGTGTTGTACTGATGCGCCCAGTTTATTGAATGTGGTCTGAATTGCAAAGAATCGTTCCTGATCTGGCGCAGACACGGTGTTGACCCTAACGAAGATGTCTGCAAACCTGGCCGTGGCCGCCACCCTTGCAATTGGCTGACAGCTCAAGCTGAATTCCTGTGGCTGGATATAAAGGCCGGCGTTCAACTTGCAGCGACCAAAAATGGCACTAGGATTCGAGTTACTCAGAGTGGCATCGGAGATGTAGCTGCGAGCGTCTTGTGATGGGCTAGCCTTGACGTCGGCGGGTCGATCTGAATCGCCCAGAATCTCTTTGATACTTGCTGATATCTCTTGCACCAAAGGCACGACGGTGGGGTAGAGAGTATTCGAAGACGCTGCGACTCTGACCTCGGTGCTGAGGGATGGATCGTCCTTATTGTCGTCTTTGTACTCGACTTTTAGGGCAACACCGGGAGCTTTCAACACAGCTGACGACACGTCCTCTCCTTGGACTGCTTGACCATAGCGGCCAGCCCGAGAACGTTTCTTGCCTTTGAAGAATCCGAATACTGAGTTCTTGTGTTCGGCCTCAGAACGAGGACTGATATGGACGACAGCTCCGGCAAAATCAGCGTCAACCAGAAGGGATGCCAGTCGCTTCCCACCCAGCAGATCTATTTGAGAGGCTTGTGGTGTTGCTGGACTGGTCTCACGGAAACTCTTCGCTCTGCGTAACTCGGCGCTGGCATTGCCAAGGGAGTTCTGTAAGGCGTGACCTGGTATCACAAAGTCGGAAGCGAGTCGGAGGTCCAGGGCTTTCCCTTTTGCTTGGAATGCGAAGCGTCGTTCATGCTTCGTGGACAGGTAGGCCGTGGCAAAGACAACTTCCGGTAGCAAAGCAGAGTTGGCTGTCCGTACCGTAGGTTTCTTCGACTGTGACTGTGGGACGATCTGTAGTTGTGTGTCCACTATCGATAGTCGGGCGGTACCCTCTTGCCGGGTCTTGAGATCGACCTTTCGTATCGAGAAGACCAGATCCTCCGTCTCACGGGTGGCCGAAAGCCCAGGGCTTTTCGCCAAATTCCATCGTATCATGATATTCTCAAGGTCGAGAGCATAGGTCGACGCGTAGAGAATTGTTGAAGCACCGTCGACGCTCTCAGCCGCCGTTTCACTGACCGCGTCCATTGTCGGTTCTCTGGGCCTCAACCGATCCGTGATGCCAGCAGTGGTCATCCTCCGAATCCGCTGGATGTTCTCCCCATCATCGGCAAGTTTGAGGGATTTGATTCGATCCTGCAAAAACGCAACAATGTCGACCGCCAGGGTGGCACTCTCCTCGAAAAGCTCCACAGCGATTCCATCGCTCCAAGCCCTATAAACCTGGACTGTCCCTGAGTTCCCGACGGTCTCGGTCTTTCCCGAGGCTTTCAAACCTATGGTGCAGCTTCCAAAATTGGTTCGCTCGTATCTGGTGCTGCGATAGAGCCCAACGCCGATGCCCTGAGAGTTGAGAATAAATTGTGGCCGCTCGTGGATCGAGTCTGGACGGCTCGCCTCATTGTGTATGTACAATGTCGTCCCTTGAAGCTTGAGCTCCATGTCAGCCCGGTAGTCCTGATCTTCCCTGACAGACGGAGCACTAAAGTGAATCTTGATCCCTGCTAGGGTTCCGTGAATTGCATAGCGAAGCAAAAGAGTGGCATCAGCTGGTTCTTCCACCTTGGCTTTGGATTTTCCACCTGTTATATGATCAACAGATTCTTGCACTTGCTGAATTGCCCTCCTGGCATCAAGTATTAGTTGTATCACACCAGGCTGGTTGAACGCGTCGAAGCAAGCTCGTACACCCGAAGCTTCCAGATTGATCTGCTCGACTGTCATGCGAGCCCGGACGGAAATGAGGGAGTCTGTCTGGGCTACGGAAAGACGTCCGTTAATGGGCGGCATCTTCAAGAGGGACAGATTGCCCCGAGAAGCACCCTGGGATACTTCAAACAAATGCTCGTGCTCTTTGATGTCAAAATTGACATCCAATCCCCCATTTCGCCGCGGAATGATTGACGTACGGGCCACGTTCCCGGCAATGGCATAGTGCAGAGATGGAACCACCACAAAGTTCAACCTATAGTCATCCAAAAACATGGCCACACGGAGGTCAAGATCTAGAGGATCGTTTGAGCTTGAGATCTTTTGAACTTTGTTGTCGCTTGCGCTGGGAACCAGATGGACCAGATCAACAATTGTCGCAACTTCTTCGCGGACGACAGAATCGGCTGCGACAAGCAATTTGACAATATCTTCCTTCATCTGAAACCGAAGCTTGTGCGAGGCTGCACAGAGTTGAACAACCATCTTTTGGTCTCCGGAGCTGTCGGCCGGCTGGGGCCACACCGACCCATAGAGCTTCGGCATACGGAGGCGCCACATCATCAAAGTGTGAGAATGGCTTCTGAACTTGGCCACTGCTGTGTATGCTGCAACCGTAAAGGAGGAAATCGTAGGCTGGGAGCCGCCTTCGGAGAAAGAAATACCGCTTCGAAAACTTTCAGCTGCCCATTTCAGTTTGAGGTTGATAGTGGTGAGGTAAATGGAGGCTGCATCAGCTCCCACCATAACTGTAAAATGGTTTCTTTTTGCGGTCAGGGTTTGCGCTGTCTTCTCGATGGATTTGTTGGTTTTTGGTGTTTTCAGTGTCAGAGGGTTACCCAGTTCAATGACTTGACGGGCGAGTTCAACCAGGGCCCAATTGAGATGGAGCGAGGTGTCTGCAGTGTAGGCTTGAAGGATGATTCTCCGCGCGTTGCTGCCGATGCCGGAGGTACCTGCAGGGCGCAGGATTATGTTGAAGTCAAGGCCGAGTAGAGCCAGATCACTCTGACGGGGGCCGGGATCCAAGATAATTTCAAGTTTGCCCACGATGATTTCCGACTGTACAACGAGCTTGTTGTTGACTGCTTCCGGCGTTTGGACACGCCCGCATTCGAACAGAGAGCTCATAATTGGCACTGCATCGCGCGCGTAGTCCCAGCCTCGCCACGCCTCGAAGGAAGAAAGAACCTGGAGTTTAGCTGGATCTTTCAGCTCGAGATCTTCGCAGCCGCATTTTCCGATGAAGTCTCGTCCCTGGTCTTTCTCGAGGGTGGCGAATATGTACCTGAGCCTAGAAATGATCTTCCAGGAGTCGCTGAGACGGACATGTTTGTCCGCGCTTCTGAGCACATAGGAGGGCCTGATCAAAAAGATGGGATCCGAAATTGCGTTGCCCGCTTGAGTCAGATGATAGATCAAGTGCCTTGATTTGTAGCTCTGGTCAAGGCCCTCGAAGGCATCGACAATGCGATCTACCATTGACACGGTCCTTTGAATCAGCCCTGCCATGCTGTTGAGTTGATCCGCCCATAAGACCACGTCAAAGTTGCTCAACTGTAGTTTTGAGTTGATGTCTTCTTTCAAGCAGAACCAAAATCCCACGTTCGCGAGCGAGACTGCGGTCTGAGCGGAAGGTCTCTCAGCCTCAAGGGTATCGTCCCTGACAGACACAGAGAGGTTTTCAATTGAACCATACGCCAGCTGACTATGCGGCGGGGTGGGCGCGAACCTGGTACTAGTCTTTGGATGTAAGAGGCGGTAAAACAATTGTGAGCTCCGGAGTTTCACGTCATACTGGTCCTCCTTTGGAACTGATGTACTGCCTTCGCCTTCGCCTTGTAGGCCGTTGATCAACCTAACATGTACGAAGGGCAACTGGACAGCGAAGTCCACAACGTGGCCTCTGTCGTCGTGCTTGTGAGTTTCTAGTATTCGCTTCATGACCGTAATTTGGACCTTGTCCAGTTGGTCAACCGGGTGATCTTCATTTAGTTCTCGAATCAAGTCCGCTATTGAAAGGAAGAGAGAGGGAGTGCAGAACCCTGTCAGACCATTCTGAACCATGAAGACAACACCATTGTGTGGCGTGTCCTCGAATTCGTCTGGTATGGCACCAGAATCTTTGGTGGCCGCGGGCGTCAAGGAGGGAAATTGAGCAGGATCCAAGTCAGGTAGCTGGGGCATATGTCTTGTATTGGGTTGTACGTGGTGCAGTGAGAAGTGTGGCGGAGTCCATGGACTAGAGAATGTTACCAATGCTTGATGCACATCTCGGTCTCTAGAATGAAGACGATCCGGGCCTTCTCGGCTTAAATCAGAGTTGTCCGACGGGCGTGGCCGGGATCGTGCAGGACCATGATCTGACTCATTTGGCACCCGAGACTCGACGGACAATCCATTTCGCAGCGGAGTTGATGATGCTGATATAAAGGAGGCCTGTCGTCCTGTACCACGTCTCCGACCATTATGATCCCTGGATTCAGGAAACGTCGTTTTCTCCACTCTTCCCACCGGTTCAGGCATCGCGGGCACTGGCATGGCCGGCGGATCACGGGCCCAGTCAGGTGTCCGGTGATTTGGCGGGTAATGCTTGCCAGAATCTAACAACCAATCTGCACGGTGGGTTCGCTGGTCATGATAGCGGATATGCTGTTGTTGCAATGCGCGGGTATGTGCAAGATTGTCTGTCTTGTCCAGCGTCCCAATCCGAAGAGAGGTCTCAAAGCAGGCAAAGGTCTCTGCCAAGCCTGATCTTCGATCGTGAGTTCGCAAAGCGGCTTTATAATCCACGGCGGCGAGAGCAACCCGAGGGACGCTGGCACGCAAAGTCTTTGCAAAGCTGGAGTTGGCCCAGTCGCTGAATGAGACATCAGATTCGGAAAGCTCCAGCATGTAGGCAGTTGATCCTGAGACCAGCCAAAGACGGAGACCGGCGAGATTGGCTCTGAGGAAGGTCACATCGTGAACAGCCGTCCGATTGAAAGGTGGCAAGGAATTTTCATCGTCGTCCAGGGTATAGATGAATGCCATGATGGAATTAATCAGGGTCTGAACAAACTTCGTGGAGCATTCGCCCATGATCTCACCAACATTGATATCCCAATGACAGGCGTATGCGGGCTCCGAAGGTGGTGCCCCAAAGAGCCTATGACCGTACACGCCGGCGCCATCAATGAACAGTTGACAGTTCGTGATTGAGCTGGACGGCTCGTTGCCCTTAACTGTTATAGACTCAAGCGAAGCCTCGAGCGGACTTGAGCTAACCTGTAAGTCCATGTAATAGTTGGTAAAGCGCATGTCGGCGTCGACTAAAAGGATATCCACACGGACGTTTTCTCGCTGTGAGTAAATGTTTGCAGGTAACAGCACGCAGGAGTTCTCGGCTCGGATAGTCAAGATAACATCCAAGTCATTGTCCTTTTTGCTGCTTGGTCGCGGTCGCTGGAGCTCGTTACCGGCCAACGTATCCTGATACTCCTCCAGCGTCCTGAAATGCAGATCCTCACCAAAGTAGTTCTCCTTGACGTTCACGAAATAGCGGATAAGGTAGCCATGCAAAAAGAACTTGGGCGCATACCCTGTAATGGTCATGAACAGAGAGTCTGTCAAGCTGGGAGACGTATTGGGATAGTAGTTATAGGAGCCTTCGAGATTAAGCAGCTTGAGCGTCATCATTGTTGTGTCCTCAGCGAGCGTATTGAGCGTGTTCCACACCGGTGTGATGAGTTCCAGATATGCATTATGACCCTCGCCAATGAACTTGACGCTGCTCTGACGAGGCGAGAAGTACTGCATGGGAATATCCACATTTCCAGCCAGCGACTGGAATCCTAGGACTAGGAATGCGTTTTCCTCAAGGTCACATGGGTTGTCAATAATGTTATAGTCGTTTGCGTTGAGATATAGCTTCAGGTCCGAGAATGTCAAGTGGAGTTGATAGACAAACGGTACAAAGGTCATATAGTCCGGCTTCTGCCCTGCTGTAAAGTCGCTAACAAGATCTGTCAGCAGAATCATGTGGTCTCTCAAGAGAAACATCTCCATGGCACTGCTCTCAATGTCAAAAGCCCAGGTATGAAGGGCATTCCACACTAGAGGATTGGACAGGTCACATGAAACCTTCTGGGACGGACAACGCCAAAGCAATGCGTGATTGACGCTAGAAGTAGCTTTCGTCTGCTTCAGGTCAAGTCGCAGATAATTTCTGTAGCCTTCTGGTCGCGGGACCATGTCCATGTCGTACCGCACTGTCGAATCTTGGCCTGCTGAGACGGTCAACCAACCAAAGGGGCGGATATCGGGCCCTAGCTTGGTCTTTGGAGCGCGACGGAATCGAAAATGTCTCTTTTCACGTTGCTTCCGTACAGCGGCAGCTTCCCTGACGGCGTGCGCCCGATTTCTCCACTGCCAGTCTTTCGAGCGTTCTCTCGTCGGTACACGGAGACTAACTTCATCCTCAAGATCAACGCGTATCGTCATCACCGTGTATTGCCGCACGTCGCCTACTTTAACAGGCGGGGGTGGTGTCACTGATCTGTAGGGATTTGGGACAAATGCCGACTGGATTTCAATGCGAAGGCGGTCGGCCCAGGGTCCGTAGTTTACAAAGCCACCTTTGACAGTCAGGTCCATCCCGTAGGCTGGTGGCTTTGACATATTGATGTCGTCCACGTTTGCATGTCGGCCTAGGTCCGCATCTTCTTCTGTCACTTTGCCCGGCATGTCCCAGAAGAACTTGAAGTGAACTTCTGGCGAGTCTAGGATTTGTGAGAACCTGGCATATTCCACATGAGACCAGCCTTCGTGATCGTCGCGCTCGTCCTCATCCAAATACCTACCAAGGCCATGCCACGATCGATTCTCATCTGGGAATTCGTCATAGAGGTGATATTTCTTAGTATCACCGTCCTGCGATGCAGTGGTGCGGAGGGAGCCCCTTGAACTGCCTATGCCCGGCAAAAGACGTCTGAGACCACGGAAAGCTTTACCAATTCGGCGTCTTAGACCGAGATTCACTTGCCACCACCTTCGTCGTTGGTACAGAGACTCTGCAGCTGATATTATTCTCTCAGCAGCGACATACTGAGTTCTGCGAAAGTCAGGATTAGGTTTCATTTCGACTTTGGGATGTTCAATAGTAAAGTCGAACACCTGCCGGAAGAAGTCGGACGACCTCGCCGCGGATGCATCGATGTGGCCTTTCGCGGCTGCAAAGGTAGTGACGACCAACGCCCGCGTGTTCTCATTCCCAAGCGAAATTGCCCCTTTTGAGCACTCGACAGCAATCGGTAAGGCTCGCAGGATCCAGGGATAAAAGGACGGTATATCTGTGGCAGGACCCTCCGTGTCCGCGGCCACGCTGGTATAGGTCTCAGCCCGTCCGATGGGAACAGCAAACTCACTCGATGGTGAGAGCCGGTCAGCCTTTTCGCTAAGTGGGCTATCCGCAGTGCTGTCGCTGGAAGTGGCGTCTTTCGAATGGGGCCTTGTCTTGTCCCGACGGAGATGAAGCTTGCCCAGCTTGTGTTCTTGTTTCTGCCCGGTAGTATGATGTTGCGCACCACCGTCCTTGGGATCATGATTTAAGACATCTTGGACAATAGAGTCGTATACAGGCGTTCTGTTGTAGACGAACCATTCCAAGCCAGTGATATGGGCCGAGATTCGGGCGTCCGCGATCGGTTTTCTCCTAAGTCTGCCATGCTCAGGGTCTTCAAAATGGGTTTCCGACTTGTCAGAGCCACCTACAGGCGACGACTTCTTCTCCTTGAGTACAGAATCCTCCTCTTCCCCTTCCAGCACCGTGAGATCCACTTGCCGCGCGGAAGACTGCCAGTACCTCCAAGTGATGTAGCCATGCTGGATTAGGACTGTTTCATTCTCGGCGTGATAGCGAATGCCTTTGAAGAAAATCCGCCCAGCTAAGAAGGATAGCTGAAGGGCTTGTATGTCAACCCAGACTCGGTACTTGTGCCAGGTGAAGGCTCTCAGCCCATAGGAGACAAGGGTCGCGAATAGGCGGTTAAAGTAGAAGAGGAAGAAGAGTGTCAAGCAAGAGCAGGTGAGGAGTTCAATGAACCATGTCCTAGAGGATGTTAGCACCAACCTGGATCATTCGTAGGCATGTTTATTATGGGTGCTCACCAATTGAAAGAGGTGTTCCTCGAGATGGGAGCCCCGACCAAGTTATCCACATCCGACATGATTCATTTGGCTGCTACCATGCGACGACAAGTCCATGGTCACCGGGATTTCAGGAGCGGTCGCATCGTCTGTTGTGTTGGAGGAGCGCGCAGCAATATAAGATGGCTGCTAAGAGGACCTCGAGCGTATGCAACGGAAGCTGAACCCGCGTTAAGGTGCGTATTGGGTGCGGATGTGGACTGGATCTGGACTGAGATGCACGATGATGACTTGCAATGTTTCCTGTTTCCCCGCAGAAAACCCGACGAAGGCGCATGCCATCCATCATCGCCTGCACTTTTTCATGATCGCGCTGCGTGACCTGTCTACACCCTCACATTAGCGGAGACCAACTTCAGTCATTCCTCTACCTCTTTCTGGTGTGGTCCCGAGTCGACACAATGTTTGCTTGGAGTCCTCGATAACAGGACTGAAGCTCCTCCCGCTGCGGTGCAGGTGCCTGGAGGGCATTGCGTGCCAACCATCATGGAAACAATGGCAAGCGGTGGAACGGGCAACAAGCTGACGAGAGTCATCATCATTCTGACTGGAGTATCGTCACTGCTTGCTACTCTGATATCGTTGGTGTACGTCTGGAGATCTCCAAATTGTTGTTCTCAAGGTATCCCAGTACTAATTCGCACGCCAGTTCAATATGGCTTCAATCCAAGAATTACAGGAAGCCTTTGCTGCAACGATATGTCATTCGGATCCTGCTCATGGTTCCCATCTATTCCGCTGCCTCATGGGCTTCAATCGTGTCCCTGAAAGCGGCCTTCTACCTCGATCCTCTTCGTGACGTTTACGAAGCCTTCACAATATACACTTTCCTCCAACTCCTCGTCAACTTCCTCGGCGGCGAACGATCCCTCATTATCATGATGCATGGGCGAGCTCCTGTCTCTCACCCGTGGCCCATAAGTCTGTGGTGCGGCAAGATGGACATTTCGGATCCACATACCTTTCTCCTGATCAAAAGAGGTATCCTGCAGTATACCTGGCTCAAACCCATCCTCAGTGTTGCCACCATCATCCTCAAGCTCACAGGGACATACCAAGAAGGCTACATCTCCTTGGGCTCGGGTTACTTTTGGACAGGCCTCCTGTACAATGTCAGTGTGACCTTGAGCTTATATTTTCTTGCTATGTTCTGGGTCTGTATGCATGAGGATCTTAAACCATTCCGACCTATGCCAAAATTCTTATGCATCAAACTCATCATCTTCGCTTCGTATTGGCAAGGATTTTTCCTGTCTATTCTGCAATTTCTCGGGGCTATCCCGAATGACGTCCCAGGCTACACCCCGGACAACCTTGCTGCAGCCATCCAAGACGCCTTGATCTGTTTTGAAATGCCCATATTCGCCGTGGCACATTGGTACGCCTTCTCTTGGCATGACTACGCCGATGTCACCATCTCGGCGGCTCGCATGCCAGTCAAGTACGCGCTCAGAGATGCCTTTGGTCCCAAGGACCTGATCCAGGACACGAAGGAGACATTCAGAGGAAAGGATTACGACTATCGCACGTTTGATTCTGGAGACAATGTTATTGCTCACGAGGAATCTCACTCGCGCGTTGCCAGGATGATGGACGGCATGAGGTATGAAAGAGGAGGGAAGGGCAAGTATTGGATTCCAAAGCCCCAAGGGCCAAACAGTCGGACACCCCTCTTGCCAAAGGACGGATCATCTCGGGCCCCGGCACCAGAATCTCGAGGCAAGGCTCACGAATACAGAGCAACAGATCCTGATATTGAGATTGGCATTGATGCCGAAGACGAGAGGTTATTCACTAATGCGCGGGCTCTGGAATTCGGGGATTGGAACGTAAGTTATGCACACCTTCGTGGACTCTGGGCCATGTTTCTAACTGTCCTCCTTCTACAGTATCCAGTCGTCACCGCCCACGAAGCACGGCGCGAAGACTGGTTGCGACGTGATCCCAACCTGCTAACCACCTCCACAAACCGTAACCTCTTTCAGCCGACTCGAGACCGGAAGAGCCGCCGTCAGAGTGAAATCCAGGCGAGCATCCAAAAAGGCAAGAACCGGAGCACGTCACCTTCCGAAAACTCGTCACAACAAGGTGCCATAGAAGCGAAGTTGAAGCGCCCAAAAGAGCGCTCACCCTCGGCTTCTGGCAAATCCGACCGCAGCCAGCTCGTGGATCTGGTTGTCGAGGACTCAGAAGCAGAAGAAGCGGAACGCGTCAGAGCTCGCAAGGAAGGCAGTGACGCTTGGAATCGAAAGCCTCAGCGACATTTTGTACGCACCTACAGCATCGACGAGGAGGCTCCAGAAGGGCAGGAGATACGAGAAGGCTGGGATCCGGCTAGTGTGGCGCCGAGGCCGCCGCCCCCTGAGAGGGCAGTGAGTGACGACGAGAACAATTTTGTCGACCACAGGGAAGAGGAAGAGCGCCCGACAGAGCGTGGAGAAGGCCAGTACGCCAACATGATTGAGGAAGATAATGTGTGGAGTCGATGACATTTGTAACACCATTCTAGGAGGCAAGGAGAGTCCTGGTTCTGGGACCGGAGCTCTTTGGGATGATTGGTATGGTTTCCGACCGTGAATTACCGCCTGTCCTGTATATGGTGGGCAGTGAGAGCGTTCGAGCGGGCGTGGTTAATGCCGCGACAAGTTTTGGTCTGTTCTAGGTCCCTTGAGGGTCGCGTCGTCTTTGCGCCACCCTCTGGCATTTAGCAAAGGTATAAATTACGAGCAAGCGCACATAAAGCCTGTTTGAATTGGTCAGCCTTGTTCTGTAGATCGAGGGCATCGGAATGCTTGTCCAATAGTCTTCTTCAGCATGTATACCGAGTACCACAGGATACGGTAGGTAGGTAGTCACATATCATGCGCCTGCGATGACTCACCGCCATTCACTCGTGTCATGTTTGACCAAGGCTGGATGCCATGTACTTGGGGTAGAGTCATAGTACATCCTGTTGGGTACCATGGGTACCTATCTGACGGGATAGAAGCGGTGGCCAAGCCGGAGTTAACAGCTAGGACGGCAACCCGAAAGGCGAGTGCGGCATCATTGGCGGGGTACCAGCCCATAGCACCGCTTACAGGCCTGCCGCACAGTGCACACCACTCACTGCGCCCACTCACAGAGTCACCATCACTCACCACCATTTCACTCCATCAAAGCCCCACGTGAAAGCTTGCTTGGCAAATTGCCGCACTCGACGCTGCATTTCTAACCACCAAGATTTTCTCGTCTCAGTCCAACCCCTCCTTCACCCTCTTTACCCTTCGAGTTCTCCCTCGCCAACACGCGGCTCAACCAGCTGCATTTTCCATCTTCCTTCATCTATCCCAGCGCAGGTTCTCGCCCCGTATTTTGGCAGATCGAGCGAGCTCTCGATTTGCACCAATTCTTCTCAATAGCTCAAGGGAGCGCACTTTCAAGCCGTTCTAGGGCAGTTCAACATCAAAAACCGTCAAAATGGTCAACGTAAGTCTATGCCTTGCTCGCTGTCTATGAAATGGCCATGACTGACTTTTGAGGTAGTTTACAATCGAAGAGATCCGCGCTGTGAGTTACCCCTCCATCGACAACACCAGATTATGGGATTGGTTCTCATTGGAATCTGGCTGTTTTGCTTTGATATGGACTAACACCTCAAAAAGTTGATGGACAAGCCGGCGAACATTCGCAACATGTCTGTCATTGCTCACGGTTTGTGGTAATCCGCCGTCTTGAGATTGCGCAAGCTGACCACCTGCAGTCGATCACGGAAAATCTACCTTGACCGATTCTCTCGTCCAGCGAGCCGGTATTATTTCTGCAGCAAAGGCAGGCGAAGCGTAGGTTTTGGTATCGACATGTACTCAAGGGAAAGATAATAACGATTTCGCAGTCGGTTTACAGACACGAGAAAAGATGAGCAGGAGCGTGGTATCACCATCAAGTCGACCGCTATCTCCCTGTATGCCCATCTTCCGGATGAAGAATCTTTGAAGGACATTCCCCAGGTAAGAGATGCCCCCCCC